ACGCCCGCCGCATCAACATTTCCTCTATCGCATCATCATCGCGCGTCCTATCGGACGCTTATGCTTTTCCCTTCTCTCATATGGACATGGCTATTCCATGCACTCCCTATTCCTCATTGGTATCATATGAGAACCTGGCACAGGTTCTGAAGGGGGAGAATGTAACGGATCGTTCATTACCTTATCTTATCTACATAGTTAATCTACATCTTGTATCTAAATCTGGATCGTCATGGTGATCGGCGCTGATCCATCTGGATCCGCGCGACGTGGCGAAGGCTTCTCAGCCTTTCACCACGTCCACCATAGTATACGCCCTCTCAATCTAGAGATTGGTTCAGTGTACTTTGGACTTGTGTGAATCAGGCGACACCCGTATCATTACACCCAGGGGGAAAGTCACGCCCGGCGTCCCACAGGCTGGGCTCGAGCGTGCAGGCGTCCCGCCGGCCGCATTGCCCCAAGAGAGATGTGGAAACCACCATATGCAGCGGGACAAGCAGGTAGAGCACTTACGACACGCGAGCGCACGAATGCCCCCGGGCGAGCACGTTCGTCCCGACGTCCGTCCCGTGCTCCGAGGGGGGAGGCCGAGTTTGGGCGTATACGAGCGCACGGGACGTCCGCAAGCAAGCCACGGAAACTCGCTTTCTTTCCTGAATATGTCAACACGCGAACGCTGACCGGAAGCAGCATGCATCGGGGCCGAGGGTGCACAAGACAAAATAAGCATGCGTGCGGTCCATGGCCAGGCTGGAGACCGTGGTCCGATCGCGAGCGACGGTCAACAAAAACGATCGCGATGGGTTCGTGGGCGGCTGGGCCGTTGTCACAAGTATCGAGTCTGTCGACCGTTGCCCTGGCTGGCTTACGGTGGTGCTACATAGACTGGACGGAACGCGGGCGTTCTGCAGATGCGCGCGGGGGCGGCCAGAGTGCAGTGGGCTCTTCGCCTTTCGTCCGCAACTCCCGCTTGCCGACCGCACTTGCCTTATACGTCAGTCGAGGGCGGTTAGTGCAGATTTGCGCGGCTGTCTGGCAGACAAGGACGACTGTCGCGGGGTGGCATGTCGTATGGTTAACGCGTATCTAAGCAGATGCAGAGACGTTATGGGCAGCGGCATATCGTCCAAGTGTGACAGACCCGGAGGCGAGGATGGAAACAAGACGGAGGCCGGGCACTTGCCGGGGAGATACGGAGGAAGAGGCCGCGACGATGGTTCGAGCGTAATATCGGAGAGGGAGGATGGACCGGACGGTGACGCACACATGCATCCTCGAGCAGGTGGGCCCGGGCTGGCTGCTGGCACGAAGCGTCTCTGCGAGACGTCCCGGAGTGGTCAGATGTCTGCCCGATAGCAGATTGTGCACACGCAGGAGCCGTGCGGGGGAAAAGCAGAGACACTGATCCAGCGTCCTTGTTGAGTACTATTACGAGCGTGGCGCCTTGGCGTTGTGTGCGAGGCTGAGGGCGCAGCGCCAGCACTCGTCGACGCACAATCCTCCGACCAAGGCGCCGGTCGGGACGGCCCAGGCGCTTCCTGGCTTCAGCCCGATTAGGGAGGTCACAGTTTACGGTCACGGCGTGTCACAGTTTTGTACATCGCGGATGACGCCTCCTTGCGCGTCGAAAGACGTGGCGGGCTTGGTCAAACCGAGTCCACATAATATTCGGAGCCCAACGACGCCTGGTCGTCGAGGTCCCGCGTCGAGCAGCGTCGAGGCGGAGAAGACGGAAAGGAGGACTTGGGCGGCTGTTCAGGCTCCGCCACAGATTTGTGTTTGAGCGTGTATACCGTTATTCAGGGCTTCGCCGAACTCACGTTGCCCCCGACCGCTCTTCCCTCCCACCACCACCGTCCTCATCGCCCGTCTGCATCCTCCCCTTCCCCTCCCCCCCTCCGCTCGTCCCTCGAGCGCAACCCGCTCTCCCCGCCGGCCCCCGACCCCACATCACCCGCCGCCTTGTGCGGTCCCCCGGCCCTCATATCCGTTCGGGGCCGTCTCTCAGACTAGCCCAGCCCCCACTCCGCCCCTCCCTCTCCAATCCACCCCCCATCGGCCGCGTTGGCTTCACACCCCGACTTCCTCACCATGCTCCCCAACAACTATGTCGTCGGTGGGCAGCCCGGTCTCCCGCAGCCACAGCCCCAGCCGGGCCCTCAGCAAGGCATGCCTAATATGGGCATCGACCAGAACCGGATGTGGCAGCTGCAACAACAGCAACAACAGCAGCAGCAGCAGCTTGCAGCACAACTACGCGCACAGCAGCAGGGAAACGGTGGGCAGCTCAATCAGCAGGTGAGTTAGCTCTCAGTCATGTCATCGTGGTTGTGCCCAGCCCACCCCCTCCATGACACCACACTCTACCCGTATATCCATCGCTCGCCTTGTCGCGCATCAAGTGGTCGGCTCATCCATCGCACGGCGTGGATTGCCTCGCCTCCCCCCTCCATCGCTCTCTCCACCGCCTTAATCTCACATTGAAGTATTTACTCACGCCCGTCTGATTATGTCATCAATTCCTGCTGTCTTGCCTGTCGCGTCCGCTTCACCCTTACTCACTCCTCCAACTCTCCCCGGTAGATGCTCGAACTCCTCCGCCAGCGTGGTGGTGTACAAGCAAACCCGCAGGTCATGGCTCAGCAGCGTCAGTTTGCCGGCGGCGTCCCTCAGCTCGGCGTTAATAACTCCTCTCCATTTCCGCACGACCCCTCTCAAGGCCTTCCGAACGCCCAGCCGCAATTTGGGAACGTACCTCCCGGCCAGAACTTCGCCAACTTCCAGACGCTTGCCCGTAATCCGGCGCAGATGTTCCAGAATCAGGGTCCCATGCGCCAGCTCGACCTCATGATGGCTCAGAACCAGCAAAACCAGAACGGCGTCTCCAACCCCAATCCCATGGCCGCCCTTCAGCGACAATTGGCGCAGCAACAGCAGCAACAACAACAACAACAACAACAGCAGCAGCAGCAGCAGCAACAGCAACAACAACAGCAGCAGCAGCAGCAGCAGTCGCACGCGCAATCGCAGGCCTCGCACCAGCAGCCATCGCGGATGGACGCGCCTCAGCTTCCCCCTGGCCTCTTCAGTAACATGAACCCCGTACAGATGCAGCACAATCTCCAGAACCACCCTCCACAGAACGGTATGGGCCCCAATCGCGCACCGAACGCCATGATGCCTCCTATGCAGGAAGGCCAGATGCAGGGTCAACAGCACATGCGACGACCTATCAGTATACAGGAGATGTCGATGAAGGCGCACGAGTTCAGACAGGCGATTATGGCCGGGGAGAATCGCATCAAGGCGCTTCAGAGCCAGGCGATGACTCCTCAGGCTCCGCAGGACGCCATTGCCGCCGAGATTAGCAAGGTGCAGAAGGAGTTGATGGATCGCAGGCAGACTTTGACGAAGATCATGAACTTCTTGCGCATGAATGCTGTCAATGGGGCAAACCCCGCCTACCAGAATGGCGTTGAGATGTGAGTGTCACAAAAATGGCGCAAAAGCGCTTTGTGCGGCGGACTCACACTTAATCCATCAGGAGAACCACGGGCCCGTCGCCCGTCCCTCCTCAACGTCTACCCGGTGGCCCTCAGAACCCAACTCAGATCGGTTGGATGCAGCAGAATCCCTCGCAGATCCCCCAGTTCAACAGCCCCCGTCCTGTATCCACAGCTGCCCATTTGGCTCCTAACGCAACATCTCAGCCTTCGGGTCCTCAGATGAGTACGCCTCAGCTCCAACAGCAGATGGCCGCGTCGCAGCCGAACATGCCCCAGCGCGCGATACCAACACCCTTGCCCGTACCGAACGGCGGCGCGCCGTCCCATGGCGGTGCGCAGCCCACTCCCAACGGAAGGCCGAACTCTCTTCCAAACGGCGTCGGCCCTCCGTTCAACATGTCGTACTCTCCGCTAACGCGTGAAAACTTCACGAAGGCCTACTTCCAGCAATGGATACCGAAACATCCCGTCGACCAGACCATGCTCAAGGTCGAGGGTCGCGAGATCGACCTGTACCAGCTGCACTACGAGGTCATGAGCCAGAACGGCTACCGGATCAACGTCCAGCAGATTGCGCCGAACCAGATTCCTCAGCTCGTTCCCACTCTCGTGATCTCGCAGGAACAGTGGCCGGTCATCGCGGGGCGGCTCGGGTTCGTTAACTTCCCTGGTAACGGCCACGAGCCAGCTAGGTCAGGGCCTGCTATCGCCGTTCACATCGAGCAGGTGTACAAGCGGTGCCTGCAGGACTTCGACAGCCAATATCTCCGCCAGCTCTTCCAGCACCGACGGCTCATGATTCTCGGGCAGAAGGTCAACGGTGGCGACATGTCCGCTGGCCCGTCGGGCCCCGCGGCTCCTCAGGGCTTGAGCGACATCAAGGACCCGAAGGCCCTCAGCGAGATTATCAGCTACGCGGCGCATTCCGCCCCTGAGCTGCAGGCGCGCGGGGTGCCGAACCACATCATCGCGCTCGTTGAGAAGCACCGCGACCAGCTGAAGGCGACGCTCCAGCAGCAGCGCGACTTCGCGAAGAACATCCAGATCGCGGCGCAGGGTCAGCCGCGCAACGTGTCGAACCCCGCGATGGCGAACGCGAACGCGATGCTCCACCACCAGGCGAACAGCATGAACATGGCGAACGGGATGAACGGCCATGCGAAGCCGCCCATGCAGCCCGGGCAACTCCCGCAGGGGATGAGCATGCCGTCGACGTCGTCGATGCCGCCGAACGGACAGCAACAGCAGCAGGGGCAGCAGCGACCGGGTGGTGCTCCCGGGATGTTGCCTATCTCAACCGGCCGTCCAACTCCCGCACAGATGGCGGCGGCGGTGGAGATGGTCAGACGACTCAAGGAGGAGAACAAGCGTAAGTCTTACTGGAGTGCACCGTCTGCGTTGTTCCGACGTTGGCTAACTGTGTGAAACAGACGTTCAATTCCCCACGACCCGCCCGGTCCACATAGGTGACGCTCAGCGTCTGGAATACAACGCGCAGTTCGAGCACTTGCACCGTCTGGTGACGACGCTGGACCAGAAGCTGCCTCATCTTGCGGTGTGCATGAGGGAAGACGTGATCAAGAAGCTAGTGATGATGGTAAGCGTGTCCTTGCTTTGGAATGAATCATGTTCAATGACATTCGGCTTTGAAAGATTTCTGTGGTCCAGCAGCAACGCGAAATGCTGTCGAGCAACCCAACGCAGTACTTTATGCCGCTGCAGTGGGTGCAGCAGATGATCATGCAGGTCAACCAGGCGAACCATGCGTTCACGACGTGGGTGAACAACGCCATGCGTTCGGGACCACCTGCAGACGGCAGTCAGGCCCAGGCGGGTCCAAGTACGCACAGCCAGCCTGGTCCGTCGACTGGGCCACAACGTCAAGGGCCACTACCCGTCCCTCGACCTCCCACCGCACAGCCCGCGCCCACACCGTCCGCCTTGTCACCTCCTGGGGCTCCCGCACACACGCCTGCGGCGTCCGCTTCATCCCCGCATGTCGTCAGCACGCCGTCGATTTCCAAGAAGCCGACGCCAAAACCGTCTGGCGATGTAGCCTCCGCTCCCACACCCACCCACATCAACTCTCCGCAGACTCCCAGGTCTCCCAGAAACAAGCCCGCCCCGAAGCCCAAAGCGCAGCCGAAGCAGCGGAAGGTGTCTACTAAATCCGGCACCGCTGCTAGTCCAGCCGCTGGTCCTTCGGAGACGAAGCTGCCCGCTACGCCTGCTGCTGCTACTCCCGCGAACGCGCCTACGCCGGAGCCCTCGTCAGGCTCGAAGCGGCCACGGGAAGAAGAGTCGGTCGCATCGACGAGCGCATCCGCGCCTCCGTCCGCCAAGAAGATCAAGACGGAATGGGACGAGGCGCCTAGCGATATTCTCGTGAAGCGGCAGGCGGAGGCAGACGGCGCGAAGACGGACGAGGACACCGTGAAGTTCCTCGAGCAGATGTCGAGCTGGCTGACGCAGATCGGCGGCGAAGGCGACGGGCAGGACATACTGAAGACGGAGATCGCGGAGTCGCTGGACGAGATCTTGAAGGCGTACCCGGTCGCCGCGGACGACGGCATGTCATTAGCCACCTCCAGCTTCATCGAGAGCATCAACGTGGGGAGCTCGTCGCCAAAAGCGTCTGCGGTCGACCCGGCCGATTTCTTCGACTTCACATCGTACGGGCTGCCCGAGGAGGACTCAGGGTCGAAGGCGGACACGCCAGATCTGGTACAGGCATCGTCGTCAGTCGGTCCCAGTCCAGGATCTGCGTCGGAGACTGAGGTGCATCCGGCAGCCTCTACAGGAGCTGATATCGCGAAGATCGCCGACCCGAAGAGCGAGCCGTCGGGGGGCGACTCGATGTCGCAGGACCTCTGGCGGGCGATCGACGGGGGCGAGTCCGCGTTCTACAACTCGACGGACAGCTGGAAGTGGGACCAGCCCATGCCAGCACTGGAGCAGCCGTGGGCGATCTACTCGTCAACATCATAGTCACGATTTTAGAGGAACCTGGAGACTCGGGGCGCGGAGCGGGGGAGGCAATGTGCGGCGGACTGTGTGGTGATATAATACCGACGTGGACCTGGGCTGCTCTTATCTCGTAACATATTTCGCTGTGCTTTTAGTATGCGCGCCGCTGCCTGCCTCGTCTCGTCCAGGGCTCGACTCGTTCACGTTCTTGGCCGCTTGTCTTCGTTCCGGCTGCCCTCCATATCTGGTTCGCCTTCCCTTTATCATCTTCATCCTTCCCCGCTGGCAGATTCCCCTCTCGTCTATATCATCTCATCCATCCTCTCGCCACCTGTCGTCGCATCTGTTGTTGTTTCTTGATTATATTAGTCGTGTCCGCTGTGTATTTTTACGCTTGTCTAGCATGCTATCGATATATCCGCCCCGCAGCTACTGAGACACTTCTGTACACATGTTCGCTCGTCTGAGCTCCAGTTGGTGAAGGCAGAATCTGTGTGCATTGCGCGAACCTCAGACGTCATGACATGGGAGGGCGCTTGTTTATTCAATATTAGCGAAGTCGGTAGCCTGATCCTGGCCTCCCCCTGCGGCTGTTGATCCGTTCTCCACTTTCTCTCATGCACTCGTAGCGGTATACCACCATGGCTGCTTTGAACCTCAATGTCCTTACCGAAAATGCCGTCAGGCTGGGAGCCCGCCTTCAAGAGACTCTCTCGGAACAGACTAGGGACCTCAGCCTGCGGGCTTCCGGCTCGGCCTACCTCGACAACCCAGAGGAAAAGGTCAAGAATATCCGGAAACAGTTGGACTCGAACAGTGACAGGGAGAAGCTTGAGGCAATGAAGAGGCTCCTCGCCGTGCGTCTGCCTTTGACCCGTTGATTTATCCCAAGCGCATTCTCTGACCAGTGCACGCCCATGTAGTTGGTCTCCAAGGGCAGGAACGTCTCCGAGTTCTTTGCTCAAGTGGTCAAGAATGTAGCCTCTCATAACCTCGAGATCCGGAAGCTCGTGTACATCTATCTCCTCCGCTACGCCGAGCAGGAGCCGGACCTTGCGCTCCTGTCCATCAACACCTTCCAGAAGGACCTCTCCGATCCTAACCCCCTCATCCGTGCCATGGCCCTCCGCGTACTCTCCGGAATACAGGTGCCCATGATTGGCAGCATCGTCATGCTCGCCATCAAGAAGTGTGCCGCCGACATCAGCCCGTACGTCCGCAAAGCCGCCGCACTGGCCATACCGAAGCTCTATCAGTCAGTCATACGTTCCTCCGCGCATCGTCTCTCTCATGAGTAATCGTGGGACAGCTTAGACTCGACGCATCAGCCTGAGCTCATCAAAATCATCTCTACGCTGTTGAAGGACCAGTCTCCGCTTTCGCTAGGAAGCGTCGCCATCGCCTTCGAAGCTGTGTGCCCGACACGCCTTGACCTTCTACACCAGCACTATAGACGACTGTGCAGGACCCTCATTGACATGGACGAATGGGGTCAGGTCGACCTCATCAATTTGCTCATCCGCTATGCTCGCGTGATGCTGCCTCGACCCATCCCCGCGACGGCGGCTGGGTCGTCATTAAGCTTCGACGTCGACAGCGACCTGAAATTGCTCATTACGTCTGCGGAGCCTCTACTGCAGTCTAACAACCCTGCTGTAGGTCAACTATGGCTTCTTCATAGAAGATGTGTCTAAGCACGAAAAGCCTATAGGTCGTTCTGGCTGTTGCACGAGTGATTTACTACCTAGCGCCGCAGAATGAGCTACCGAAGATTGTTCCCCCTCTATTGCGACTTCTGCACGTGTCGCCCGAGGTCGAACGTATCGTTCTCACCAATCTAGCGATTACTTCGTCTGCGTTAACTGTGAGTATGGTATCAAGCACCGTGAACAAACCTCTTAATTCACGTTGTTGGCCACAGGACGTTCTTGCGAAGTCATACATCGCGTTTCTGGTCAGAGCAGACGACCCGCAGCGAGTGAAGAAGGATAAGGTTCGGCTTCTTCGCGCGGTTGTCAATCCGGAAAATTATCCATCACTTCTCCGAGAGTTCATTGTAAGTGAAGTTATGTCCCTCGGCGCAACTTACAACTAAAGCAGCAGACTTGCAGTGCTACGCCGACGATGCTGACGACGAGTTGGTTGCTGACTCCATACAAGCCATCGGCTATATCGCACGCGTGATCCCTGAGTCCACCCAGCAGTGTCTCACGGCACTCATGTCGTTCATCCAGAGCAAACACGGTTCGTCTCAGCATCCGTGACTACTATCTTTCTGTCCTCATACCAATCGACGTAGACGTGATCGTCGCGAATGCCGTCCTGGTCCTTAAGTCACTAGTGCAAATTCGCCTACAACAGCAACAAGACGCGATAGCGTACGGCGCACTACCGTCCACCTTCTCCCCTCTTGAGATCATCTCCCGCCTCGCACGTCGTCTAGACGAGATCCGCCACCCTAAGGCTCGGGCCTGCGTCATATGGCTAGTCGGCCAGTACGCCGCATCGTCTGCGGCCCCAGACAATTCCAATGGTCTCACGCACGCAGGACCAGAAGGCATAGCTCCGTGGGCACCTGACGTGCTGCGCAAGACCGCGAAGTCCTTCACGCAAGAGGTGTGTACCGTCCTTTTCCATCCACTCGCGTAGCTTTCTCCGCTCGCTCAACGAGGCACTCGCATGGTGGTTCAGGCGCCAGCCGTAAAGTTGCAGATCATCACGCTCGCCGCAAAACTCCTTGTGTTGTCGCCCGCGGACCGGACGATCGGCCTGCTCAACCGATACGTCTTCTCGCTCGCGCGGTACGACCTCAACTACGACGTGCGCGATCGCGGGCGGATGCTCAGCGCGCTTCTCGCCGGGGTCGCCCCAAACGTCCTCGGAGATAGCGACGATATGCACGAAGACGTCGGTGGTGTGGTCCTGCGACGCGAGCAAGTCAGACTGGTGCTATTCGAAGGCAAGTCCAGTGCCGCTGAAGAGCCTGCTGCCGCGAATGGTACGTTGCATTCCCCCTTTGCTCGTGCGCATGACCTCATAGCAGCTAACCACGCGCGATACTCCCCCTGACTGGTATGGACAGACGACGATCACGGACGCTTCGGCTCGCTCGCCGCAGTGACAGGCAAGTGGGCGGGGAGCGACAACTACTTGCCCGACTGGCTGGAAGAGGGCACGGAGTCCTCGCTCCGGGATACCGAAGCGGATGTGCCGCAACCCCCGGTGCTCACGGCCCAGTCTTCCGCCGCGCGTTCCATCTCGTCAAATAGCGCCAGGCCAACTCCGATCGTACTCACGCCGACGGGCGGCGGCGCCTCGCCTGCAGGCTCATTTTCACGGCAACAGGAGGGCGCAAAGGCGGCGTATATGGATTTGGATAGATTTTACGAAGATACGGAGGAGACTGAGGAGACGGAAGAGAGCGAAAGTGAGGAGAGCGAGGAGGACGATGGAGATGATGATGGGAGTCACCAAGCAGAGTCCAGCGGAGAGGAGTCCGACAGCGATGAAGACGAGAGCGAAGTCGAGCACTTACAGGGTACAGCAAGGTAGTTTACAACAGACTAGTGTATATGTAGATACAACAACATAACCAGATCAGTCGTCGGAGGGGGTTCCCAAAGCCTCGTCGGGAAGCTTGTAGTACAGTGGCTGGACATTTACCAATGAGTATCAGTAACCAAAGGTTATCTGCAAACTGCTCACTGTGTTGAAAACATGATAACCGTGGCCGTTCTTGCCGCCAAGTTCGGGATAATATTCCATTGGGAACCACTGAGACGTGCATCAGACCTCTGCCTTCGGGCCAAGGATACATCAGACACTCACATGGTCCTCCGGCAGCCACTCCTTGAACGACCGAAGATATCTAGCGGTCCTACTGTCGTCCCTGATGGTCCGTTTGTACGGCGGAACAACAAACTGGCCGATTTGCATCTCGGTGTCTGTCACGATGCCCCTCGACACCCGCGCATAGGACGTGCGATACAGCCCGCGATAGAAGATGTATTCGCACCAGCGGTCAGCGTCCTCGTCGTCGATATCGAACACCTTGCCGTCCTCCACCATTATCTGATACGGCGCAGGGCGCGGGGCGTGCGGCTTGGTGACGACGTAGCCGAGGAAGATGACCGGGTCGGGGTACGATTCTGCCATGATGCGAGCGAGTTCGGTGGCTTGTAACTCGCGGTCAAGTGGAGTCTCCTCTGCGATGACATATGTGAATGGTGGTGCACTTATCGCGGATGAAGGCTGGAAAGTCATACCTTGACCATTGTGAGACACGATGACCTTGACCGGTGTACCAAACATATTTAGGTAGGCCTCGATAGCAGGCGCAAGCTCGCCGTCAGGTGAAGGCAGGAGATGGTGCGTGGAGTTGATGATGGGGAACTGGTGCTACAGTCAGACAGTAACTTCGACATTCGAGTTCAAAGAACGTACCTTCGAGAGTAGCACCGCGCCCCAGGTGTGCTGATTAGGCCCCGGACCTATATCGACATGCTGGGCCAGAATGAGCCATGCGCCTTCAAGAGCAAAACCAGATGAAACAACGACTCACGAAACCGAGGTCTTCTGCGATGACCCGCGTACTTGTCCAGAGGGTCAGGCACAACAAACCGCTTGCGAGAGGGGTAAACTTACAGGTCACGGTTCCCAAAGGTAACGCGCTACGAAGATTGTCTCAGCACTAAGCGTCTCAAAGCCTACTGATCGGCACTTACGTGGAGGTCCGTCTCCAGCAACCCGACAACATCCAGTTCCATGTCCCTATGCGCCAATCCGTCAAACATGCACTCATTCATGACCACGACAGAAACGCTCACTTGATCAAGTCCCGCATCAACCTCTGGCTGTCCCTGCCCCGATTGTCGATCCCGAAATGCACCGTCCAAATACCCGCTCTGACGATCCTCGGCCCAGGTCGATGAGGCGTCGGCACCACGGTCGGTATGTGGTAAAGCGTCGCGAGGAGCGACAACGCCGACAGGAGCGCAAGCGCGTACTGAACAGTGTACTGTGCGCGCTTCGAGAGGGTCAGAGCCACAGAGCCGTTGCCCAACGCAGGCCACTTGAACGCAAGACCGATGCCCGCAAACTGCGCCGCGAGCACCCTGAGGACTCGACCGTTCAGCACACACACAAGGCGTCCAGGGATGGCACGAAAGGACACAAACGTACCAGTTCGTTCGCTCGCGGAAGTACTCTCCCCCAGGCACGAACGCATACGCGACCGTGAACACGCTCGCGACGTCGAAAAAGCACACCACCAGCCACGCGACCGCCGCCGTCTTCGCCACCCCGCCGTCCAGCGCAGCCGCCCTCGCGCGCGCCCACACGGTCGGTACCAGACTCATGAGGAACGCCGCGACGCCCAGCCCACCCGCGTACCCCGTCCAGTCCTTGTAGGTGTACATCACGTACGCACTCGCGGATCCGAGCGCGAGGTACAGCGGGTGCGCGAGGACGTCAGAGGTGGACGCGGAGCCCGCGAGGAACGCAGCAAGTCCGAGCCCAAGCACCTGGGCGAGGTGCGTGAGCGAGCCGTGCTGGCTCGGGATGGGGCCGGTGATCGGATATCCGGTCCATGACCAGGCGATGAGCGTGCTAGGGTCGCCTAGTAGGGAATGCAGTGAGAAGATGAAGCTTCCAAGGAAAATAGCACCAGGGAACCAGTGCGTCTGAGGCGCAGGGGTTGGAGCAGACTTCGCAGGCTTGACAGGCTGCGACTGGACGGGACGATACGCGAACTCAAGGATAGCGAGAAGTGCGAGCGCAATGCCAGTCTTATTGCATCCGCCCGAATTCTCGTTGACAAATGGCCAGACTGCCACATATAGATGAGCATGACGACTGAAAGCGCGAAATCCACAGGACGTACTAGGGTTGTTCGAGTGGTTGGCGTGCTTCGACAGGGAAGTCATGAGAAAGCCGAGTCCAGTGACTGATGATCCAGGTCAGTACGAATAGGTCGTAATCATCGACACCGTTAGATGCAACACATACCCAAAGCCTGGTATGCAACTCCCTCATCATCCCCGCCAAACCACACCGCAGTCGCACCGACAGTAGCTGCGGAGTTCGCAAACGACACCAACAGGAGTCTAGTCATAGGACTCGAAGACAAGTACGAAGCAAGGCCGACCAGCGTCAGAACGTGCAGGGTCGTGCGACCCTCCCTGCTGTAGGCCCATCCCTTGAACGGAGGGATCCCCAGCAAGAGCGGGGAGAGGGAAGACAGCAGAGCGAGCTCTTGTCCGGAGATGCCGAGCTGCCAGATCGAGAAGTAGAAGAGCGTCGGCGTGAGGGCGGTGAAGACCGACCAGAACATGTAGGCTGTCGTTCCGCTCCAGGTCAGCCTTTCTCATCGCCACTTCCAGCGTAACTGCGTTGCACATACAGAGATACACGTCGCTGACGAACGATACGGTCGGCTGTGCACACGAGTATAGGGACTGTGTTGCAGTGGCTTTCGTTGCAGTAGCCTCCTTGCCGTTTGGTTGTGAGGTACTCTCACCAGCCGACTTGACAGCTGTCGTGGCTGCGACCGGTGTAGGGGCGGACACGCTACTACTGAGAGGAGCATCCGCGCTATGTGTGAAGCACCGATCAATATTCAGTTAGGCGAGACGATGAAGCTGTTGGTACATTTTGTCTGCCTCGGATGAACTGGCCACGAAGTTCCCTACAGTCATCTACCGCAATGCGTTTAGCATCCTTGCAATTGATAGCATTCTGAGGAGTAGGGTCTCACCTTCAAGTCCGCTGCTTGCAAGTCTAGTTCTACCGAAGAGTCGTACATGACATCCAGGAGTATGAGACTCCACTCGAAGAAGCTATACCGCGTGTACGCTACAACACATCGAAAAGATTGTGAAGCACGGTGTGTACCAAGTTTACAAGGGGTACTTGCCTCCTGGTATACGATGCACTTTATGCTGGATGAAGAAGTATATCATTGGGACAAGAGAGCCGAAGAAACTAGAAGAGCGTCAGTTCACGATCTATTCCAACTACCTGCCATCTTCGAACGTAACGCACGCTATGGAAGTCCATCGTCTAGCATGCAGGTCAGCGTGCTTCGTCGTTATCCGTGCGTCGAACTCACCTCCGACGTCTAGCAGCAGTGTGGTTCGCAGGCGTGAATGCTAGAGAACCGAACATCCACGGCAGGTTCAGCACAATGTAGGAAACCATGAGCACGTCATGGACATCATGGTCGTCCGAGCTCGTGATGAAGACCCATCCTCCGCAGGAAAGTGTGCGGAGCAGCCCGACTAGGAAGAGAAAGCCTGGTATACTGGAGGTCGCGGACCTGTGCAGGTAGTATTGCAGCGCAACCAACGCGAACCTCGGTCCTGCGCAGCAATATTAGATACAGAGACTTTGTAGCCAATCGAACCTCATTCCTCATCCCACGCTTCATGTGTGTGTGTGTGCGCGCGCGCAGAAGAATGTGGGCAGCAGAGCGCGAGCACGTACCGGCATTTATAGCTATCAAGATCTGGAAGATGTTTCGTTCTGGGTACCAATCTCCGATCCTAGACACGCGAATACGCGTCCATCAAAGCGGTTTCTTCGTTACCCCTGCATGCCTTTCAGCCACTAGCAATGAACGCACTCACGTTGCGGACACGGACGGGAACCACTCCTCAGGGTATCCTGCGACGCCATTCTTGACAATCTTCTTGTAGTGGAGCGCGCAGCCGATGGCGAGGGCACTCAGGAATGCGGCGAAGGCGAGATAGGTGTGGGCGCGGGCGATGGTCGACGCGTGCAGGACGAACGGGTCCCGCTTGCCGGCTACGGAGGGCGCCATCTCGACTTTGTCTCACTGCCTAGAGGTTCCAACTCGGCTTTGCGCGAGGCAGACGACCACAGCGTACAGTCAACCTCGAGCTAGATGTGGTGAAGAAATCCTAGTGGGAGTTGAGCGCAAGACGGACTTGTGCGTGCCCGTGCCCGGCGTTTCAATGTGAAAAGGAGACCGAGACGGGACAGCGCTCCGAGAATGCGTAGCAAGGTGAGTAAGGGCTGATGAGACAGCCGCGCTCGAGGGCAATGTTGTGCTGGACACTGCGGTGGTGGACGCTGTTCACGAGCTCCAGCGTCGCATAAGTGTCGGAACGTGTGTCGGACGCTGTCCGCTCACCGACGGCGTCCACCGCCTTCGCTGTCATACTCGCCTTCTCCCACGTGCCCACGACGCCCCCTTGTCCCCACCCGGCCAGGCCCCCGTCGCGTCTTTCCCAGTCCGGACCAGTGCGAAAATGCGTGAAAAATGGTCTGTTCTTCAAGGATGAGATTCAAGAAATAAGTACAGATAACCACAATACATCGTTCGTATAGATGGGGATAGGATACGTAGACTGGACACAGCGAGTAGACATGCGCAACAACAGCACAACAGACCGAGAGCAATCGACAAATCGACAAGTCCGTCATATAAACACACCGGTACCCGCGCTCGCAGAGCCTCATCTCCTCCTCGCCCCAGTGCTCGCCCTCGGACGTAGTCTCTCCTCCCCTTCGTCAGCGACCGCACCCTGGACGTACCCCTCGCCCATGAACACAGGCGCACCAGCCCCGCCTCCCCTCGCAAGAAACCCCCTCTGGCTGCTCCGCGTCCCGAATGCGACGAGCTGCCCGCTGTCCAGATCCACCTCAGGCTCGCTCGGAGGCTGCCGAGGCTCCTCCGAGGACTCCCTCCACAAGCTATCCCCCGCCCTCCTGAGCTCCTCGTCGAGCGTCAGACGGCGCTTGGCATGGTTCGACAGCCTCGACGCGGGCCTCTCGCCCTTCAGCTCCGCCTCCGCCTCCGCTTGCGCTTGAGCCTGAGCCTGAGCTTGTGACAACGATCGACTGCGGCTGTGGCCAGAGGAAGCAGACGTCGCGGTCTTCTCTCTCGCCCTGGAGACGCGCGAAGGCCCAGCGACAGGCAGCTCCTCGTCGAACAAGCTCCCACCCAGCCCTTCTGTCCGCGCCCGCGCCATAATCAACGGGTCGTCGCTGTCCGACCCATCGTCCCGCGGGGGCGGATTGACAGGCACGCGTCTCGGCAGCTTAGTGGGCACGGGAACCTTGGCAGCCTTCGCCCTCGCAGGCGGCTTCGGCTTCACCGGCGACCTCGACGGCATGGGGCTCTCCGGGATCCTGCGCGCGAAGGCGTTCTTCCTCGCGGTCTCTGCCTCCGCCCCTGCCCCCGCAGTTTGCTCTGGTTCGGGGCTGGGACTGGGACTGGGAGATGGCTTGTGCTTCACCTGAGGCGGAGTCTCCAGCGCGTCCACGTCGATGATCTCGGGTTCTTCGCGCCGCTGCGGTTGGCTTGTCAGTTCCCTTGGCAGCACCGTATCCGCGCCGACGCCGCGGCCGCTGTCCGAAGGCGTGTCGGGGAGCTTGTCCTCACTGTGCCCACTGTGGTCGTTCTCGTTGTCCGAGCATAGAGAAGGCGTCGTGAGGTCGGTCTCCGACGCACGAGCAGGCCAGATGCGCAGCGGAGCCTTCGACTTCGAATGGGATGTACGGGGACGAGACGTAGAGGGGGCTGTGTCAAACAAGCTCGAGCGGGAAACCGAGGACTGAGAAGAGGTAGACGCCGTGGACTGGGAACTGGCCGCAGAAGACTGAGAACTGGTAGAGGACTGTGACGATTGCGAGCTCGACGCAGACGAGGATCCGCCAGTGATGTCTGACCGAATGAAAGCTGTCTCGCGACGCTTAAAGGGGCCTGCTACGTCCGCATTTTTGTCAGCAGTGCCGATAGCATAAGAAATCCAACGTGAGGCTCACCAATAGGTTCCTCCGCCGCGTCCCTCTTCCTCTTCTCCCCGATGAATATTCTCGCAGCGACACCCGTGTCAAACGAAGTGTCCCCCAAGATCGCCGCCCTCCTCGCCTCGCTGACCACGCCTGCCCGTGTCTCTCCGGCGATATCCCCAGCAGCAGACGGTGCAAACTGAGGCGGGCCCATCGACCCAGCCGGCCCGCTCACCTTGCGCAATCGCTTGCTCTTCATCTCTTGCAAGAACGCAGCCATCTTATCTGAGGGCACATTGACGGTGGGCTGACCCGCCTTGCGCGTCCGTGCCCCGCCGTACGCGACCGCGTTGATTGGTGCCTCGACTGGAGGCCCGGTATGTTTGAGATTGGCACGTGCAGAGGCGAAGAAATTCGCTGGATTCCCTGACGAGGACGTCGAGGCCTGAACGCGCATATGCGGCGGAGGCGGTGGTGGTGGGGGAGGGGGCATCATCGCAGCGGCATTCGGACCGCTCTTCGAGGCCAACTAGAGATGCATCGCGATTGATTACTATGGTCTTTTTGCGGGATGTAACGCACGCACCTCGACCCGCAGACGAGCGACCTCCTCTTCAAGCATGCGAATCCGTTGTTTGTCCCTCTCACGCTCGCTATCGTCTCTTGCGTGAGCGTTCCGTGCATGATCCTCCCTAGCCTCGTGCAACTCTTGCTCCTTGCCTCGCACCCTGATCTCCCCCGAGGTATCCCACGCACGCTCCTTGCCTTTCCTCGAAGTCGACCTTGCCGCAGGCTCCAAGGGTCCAGGTTCGAGCTCTTCGGTGGATATGGAACGGTGATGTGACGGTTCTCGGTGCCGCGAAGGCCCTGCCTGATCTGCATCCATCGACTTTCCCTTCGTGAGGCTCTGTGAACGCCCCCGTCCAGGTGACCGCTCTGGAGCCAAGGCGATCTGCTGTTCGTCTGCCTGTCCCTCTTCTTCTTCCGGTTCTTCCTCGATCGCTGGCGGAGGTGTGCGAGGACGCGGGACGGCACGTTTCATGGGGGTTGGTATCGCCTCAGGCATGAGGGATGCAGATCGTTCGAAAAATGAGCCAGGCATCGTCGGAAAGGGGAGAGAGTTTCGTGTAGTAAGCGGCGTTGGGGGTGATGGCATCGATTTCGATTTCGACGGTGCTGGTGGTGGGGGCATGAGATCTTTTGGATCTTCGGAGGCTCTTTGGTTACATAGACGCACTGAATCATGTAGAGATGATGCTCACCAGGAAAGGTCTTCTTGGCCGACTTCCCCTGTTGTGACGATCGCGGTTGCGGTTGCGGTCCAGGCTCGTCGACCTCCTCAACCACATCCTCATGCCTAACATCATCGACAACAGCATCTCGCCTCCTCTTCTTCAATAGTTTTGGTAACGGTCGTACAGGCAATTCATCTGCTACCCAGGTTAGCACGAGCGCAAGGACGGCCCAGTGTGAGAAGTGCGTGAGCTCACCATCCTCGTCATCGGCAGCCTCCCTCTCCGACGACCTCTCCCGCTCCTCCTCTCTCCCCTCCGTAACAGGCGTCCTCTTCTTCGCAATAGCCTTCTGTGCGCGCTCGGCGCTATCCTCCTCGCGTAGCCGTCGTCTCGCCCGCGCCCGCTCGACTTCAACCTCGCTCCGCTTCCTCACGCGCTTCGCCCTCCGCTCTCGCTCCCTCTCCCTATCCCTCTCACTCCTCCTGTCAGCTCCATCATCGCGTATCCCCCTCTTCCCATCGAGCGTAACGCGCGAACTCGATGCTTGTGGTTGTGTCTAGGTACGCCGAACGCGTCGCTTCAGCACCCACTCTTCCCTAGCAAGCGCGCATGATATCTCACCTTCTGCTGCACTTCTCCACCTGTCGCAGCGGTAACAAACGACTCGAGCTCCCGCGACACAAAGCTGAATGCAGACGCGAGCAGTCCTGGCGCAGCGGGCGGGTCGCGCGGCCTGGGGGGCATGGCTAGCGGTGGTCGTAGATGGAGGAAACGGAACAACGTTGAATGCAAACATCTGTCAACAACGCCGCTGTGGCCACTTTTCCCACGAGGCGCGTCGCGCGCGCATCCTTCTCCTGGCGCTTCGGTCAATTGTGTTCACCCCTCCATTCCTCGAGCTCCTCATCGGGTCTTGTGAGTGAAGCCACCCGGTTGCAGCTGAAAATCTTCGAGACATCCGAATAGGTTGAGCTGCAATATCTTGTAGATGGGAGCTATAGTAATACACGGGAAAAACGGAGAGGTTGCAGTCATAAGTTAGCGTGTAGTACACTATAGCCGTGCAGCATGGGCAACCATATCCAACACGAAAATCAACAGCAACAAATATCCGTGTCCTTCATACCACTAGCAAGATCAGATCAAGCTACAACAGTCGTAAAGGGTCCGCGCACCTCTTGTCTGCTCCTACCTGTAACCGCCGTAGGACGTGTAACCGGGTGGAGGTGCGCCACTCGCCGGAGGTGTCGTGCTGCCAACTTGGCTTCCCGCAATGGATGCGCGCACAGCAGCGTAGGGGTCTGCGTACTGCATTGTCCGACTGACGCGCGGCTGATCATCCGGATATTGGCTGGGCGCGAAGCCACCCGCAAACCCAGACGGCGCGGGATCAGAAAATGCTCCATACGCGTCGATGCTGGGGCGGCCCGCTGGCTGTGGGCTGAAAGCAGGAGCAGATGGGGACTGGTATGAGAGGTTATTACTGGAAGCGTTCGTAGGGACACCAGAAAGACGGTTCGCATCGCTGAAGGGGGAGGAGTAGTTGTTATTTGCGTTATCCGAGTATGGCTTGTGGCCAGCCTCCTCGTCCGATATTTCGTCTTCGTCGTGGTCATCCGCACGCTCATAGATGGATCCTTCGGCCTGCTCGACGGGGTGGGTGAAGGGTGGGTCACGTGGGCGAGAAGTCTTCCCGTTACGCCAGTCCAAGACGGTCAGGGTGAGCGAACAGCACCAAAAGACTAGATATCCATAAGTAAGCTATTCCGATGATGACGTTGTATGAGCATACCGAATACAAGCCAAAAGAATATGGCAGCAGCCTTCTTGGTGCTGCAGAAACCACTGAGACCCTTCTGGAAGTCTTTACCGAGCTTAGCGTGGGGGTCCTTGCTCGGGTCTTTGCACCCGGGTTCTGTCCATGCTGAGATAGTAACGATGAAGCTACATGGCAGTGAGTCTCTCGATAGAAGTTTGGATAGTGACAATGGTAAAACGCACGCAATGAGCAGACTGACTGCTGTGCCAGCGCCCGACAAAATGAACCCAACGCGTGTTTCTCGAAGTGCGCGTGCAAGGCGCGCGCCCTTGTCGTATTTCTCGTATACGACGGGGACCAACAGGATGAACAGCGAGTAGAGTACGCCGAGAACGGCGATGAAGATGGCAAAGCCAGTCAAGCCGGCTGAACACGAACATGATCGAGAGTCAGCTCGTGTGCGTCACAGGTTCCCGGTGCGTCACAACTTACACGGCCCCACTTTCCACTTTTGCTGGAACCCGGCTGCGCCGGCCATGGTACACATTGCCAGGAAGTTGAAGAACGTTTGCGAGATGTGGAAGACGATGGCGGGTTTCGACACAATCATCTAAGCGAGCACTCGCGTGAGCGATCGGTTCAACAATAAGCGGTAGGTAAGGAATATGAACCCAAATCCATATCGTCGTCAGTATAGGGATGAAGAGGAGGAATACGAGATATCCCTCTGTCTGCGTAGTCTGTTGTGCGGTCTCTGCAGCCGCGACCATGGACGGGTGGCGGGAGTGTCAAAAGAACATGAACCTTACGTAAGCCATCTACAGCCGCAGCTCATGCTGTTGTGTAGGCTTCGCGGCGCAGTCACAGCATGTCGCCCGCAACAGCGCACTCGACACGTAGTGCTGCAAGTAGTATGATGGAGGGTAGTAGTATGTAGAGGGTGGAATGGGATCCCGAGAGATGAAAAGAAGAGGACTCACGTCATCCTCGAAGGGGACCACTCCGCCGTTGCCAATGCCAGTGCTGGAGGCTTGCAGGGGCAACGAGTGCTTTTTCTCTGGCAGCACTCGGAGCGCAGCGTTCTGTATCTTGTCTAATAGCGACATGAGGATCTACGGAGAAGGGTTGTGGCGATAAGCCTGAGGTGTGGAGGGGAAGGTGGAGAGGACGGGGTGGGTCGTGAGTGTAGCTACAGACGTCGTTAGAGTGCGAGCGTGAAGCGTCGTGACAGATTATGTACGAGCGCGGCGACTCGGAGTAAAGTCGAATGCAGCGCAAAAGACCTGCGGAGGGGGCAATGCAAAAGAACAGCCCTGCATTGCGGCGCGCGGTGCATGTCTCTGACCATGCTTGCATAAGCGATTCTCCTTATCAGGCATCTGCCCCGAGGGCGCACTCGTCGCTCATCCATGCAGATCCCCTACATGTTTCCCGCGACGTGGTGGACCCAGACTGCGCCTTTGCGGCGAACCATTCATGATCGGCTCATACATACAGTAGGCAACATCCATGCTTGTCCGTTTCTCCCAGGACTGATGAATGAACGGACTTCTGAATGGGCGCCTGTATGAGCCTCGCTGCGCCGCTCAGCTTCGTAAGATCCACATGAGACGGCTACAGGTACACGCCTTTACGTCCGCAAATCTGCTGCTACATAGAGGCTCAACGCATCGGCCTCCCTGACTGATATGCTCTTGTATCTTGGGCCGACCCATCCTGCCGTTACATAGTGACGTCGGCCGGTGGGATTGGTCCCAAAGGCTTCGGAACCTAACAAGGACAAACAGTCATATTCGGCGGTATCGAAGCGTCTACGTCACGCGCGTGTCTTGGACTGGAAACTTTGGGGAGACTGCTTCCGACACGAGCAACCTCCAGTACGTAGGGCACACATTCGCAGCGGTCTGTCATCCGACTGACATTACTTCGTTATGACATAGGTTTAGAAGGGCCACTTCAGCCCCTCGGTTCTAACAGAAGCCGGCTTTCATACGAGCCCCATCCTCTTTCGATGTATTAACGAGAGCAGAGGCCATCTAGATCAATGTCCCTGTTGTTCAGGAATCTGAGGATACACCAAATCTTTGGTGCGAACACAGATGTTGGCAAGACCGTTCTCACGTCCGCGCTAGTTCGCGCTTCTGCGGCAAATGGCCATATCGTGCATTACTTGAAGCCAGTTAGCACAGGCCCTTTGTCAGATGCTGACGACGAGTAAGCCGAAGCGACGCAGTCAACGGCCTTGCTCCGCACTGACCAAACCGCACTACAGACGTATACTCGTTTTAGCCGGCAAACATAGAGACCGTTTACACAGCAAATGTCTCTTCCGCTTCGATGATCCCGTAAGTCCGCATCTGGCTGCACGCTGTGCAAACGAGGGTGAAGTTGTTCAGGTGATTTTGCGTGACATCTCTGTTCTTGTGCCATTGCTGAATCCTGCAGTGTCATAGAGAGTGGTGCCTACAGATGATGCCTTCGTGAACGCGGTCGCGAGCTACGTCCGCAGTTGTGCCCAAAAGGTTACGGCCCCTAGCCATATGTATGTCGAGACTGCGGGAGGTGAGATTTAGGAGTGCCTTGTATAGCCTCTCTCTGTTCTTTCTATCCTCTCCCTTCAGCCGTTTTCCTGACGATATCATAGGCGTACACAGTCCAACATTATCCGGAACGACTCAGCTGGACAGCTATCGACCGCTCTTCTTCCCGACTGTCTTGATCGGCGACTCGAGGCTCGGTGGTATCTCCTCCACGATCGCCTCCTATGAAGCAATGCTCCTTCGAGGTTACATCGTTGATGCCATACTGCTCTTCCGTGATGAGTATTATCGCAACTGGGGGTACTTGTCCCCTTACTTCGCCGAACGCGGAGTCCCAGTGATGTCGGTCCAACCTCCCCCAGAGCGCCATTCGGATCCTACCAAGGATGGCGCCCTTACTGAGAGCTACTATCAAGACATCGTACCCCCGACCGGCGATAGTCCAATCTTCGAGGTGGTCAAGCACCTAGACGAGTGTCATACCCGCCGCATAGCAGAGCTTGACTCTATGCCTCGTCGAACGCTCGACTCGATCTGGTGGCCCTTCGTACAACACGGACATGTCAAGGGAGAAGCGGACGTCAATATCATTGACAGTGCATGGGGCGACTTCTTTAGCATCTACAACGGTAATCGCACACTTCCCGCCCCGACCTTGTCACCGGCTGCATCCCCCGCCACTTCACGGCCTTCGTCACTACTCGAGCCTCAGCTTGACGGCTCGGCCTCTTGGTGGACACAAGCCCTCGGCCATGCCCACCCCTCCTTGGCCCAGGCCGCAGCGCGCGCGGCCGGCCGATACGGACACGTCATGTTCCCCGAGGCGTCGCACCTCCCCGCTCTCCAGCTTGCAGAGCGTCTCATACAGAACGGCCCCGGCAAGGGTTGGGCGTCGCGCGCGTTCTTCTCCGACGACGGCTCGACCGGCATGGAAGTCGCGATCAAGATGGCTCTCCGGGCGTTCTCAGTCCGCGAAGCTGGGCAACTCGGAGGGTCGCGCAGGAAGGACCTGGGCATCCTCGGGCTGAAGGGCAGCTACCACGGAGACACCATCGGCGCCATGGACGCGTGCGAGGACGCTGGCGTGTACACATGCGAGTGGCATGACGCGAAGGGGTATTGGTTCGATCCTCCGACGGTCTCCATCCGGAAAGGCAAGACGGTGGTCAGCCTTCCTCCGGCCATTGCGGCTGAGACGGACGATGGCAAGGCCGACGTTGAAACTGTGTCGTTGTCTTGGACATACAACGTCGAAGAGCGCCTTCAGTCTTCTCTCGCAGATACGTACCGCACGTACATTGAACGGACGCTGCAGAAGCTCAAGGAAAACAGCGGGCTGAAGATTGCCGCGCTCATACTGGAACCGATAGTAATGGGCGCAGGCGGGATGATCTTCGTCGACCCCCTCTTCCAACGCGTCCTCATCGACGTCGTCCGCGGCACGCCCTCATCGTCCGCAACATCTGAATGGTCCGGACTTCCCATCATCTTTGACGAGGTTTTCGTCGGGTTCTACCGCCTCGGCTTCCCTACGACGCACCCCCTCCTCGGCACGACCCCGGACATCTCTGTGCACGCAAAAATCCTCACAGGGGGTCTCGTGCCACTGGCGGTCACGCTCGCCTCAGACTCGATCTACCGCGCGTTCCTCAGCGACGACAAGGCTGACGCGCTCTTGCACGGACACAGCTACACGGCATACCCCGTCGGATGCGAGGTCGCGCGTGAGACGCTCGAGATAGTAGACAAGCTCGCGGCGAGCGACTGGTGGAGCGAAGCGCGGGAGAAGTGGAAGGTACCCCAGACCCAGGCAGAGCCTACAGCTACGAGCGAAGCGGCTGTATGGAGCTTCTGGGACCCGGAATTCGTCAACGTCGTGTCGCACATGGACCACATCGCGGAGGTCATGGCTCTTGGTACGCTGCTCAGCATCAAGATCAAGGACGATGCTGCCGGTAAGAGCGCTGCGCCTTATCTCCAAGCCTTGTAGTTGCTGACTACCTCCATCATGCAGGCTACCAGTCTCACTCTGCGCGAGCATTACTCGAGTCCATCAGGACAGCTGTCCCGACCGGCAGCGATAGCTTGTCCCCGGCGCCAGGCGGCTCGCCCTTTGGAATAAACTACAGGACGTTAGGGAACGTTGCGTACTTCATGCTTAGCCTGAACACCCCTCCGAGCGTAGTACGTGCGGTTGAAGAACGGGTATGGCGCGTCCTACAAGATAACAAGCGGTGATTTATTGCGGAAGATAAACGTATGAAAGCATGAAAGTAAACGCGGAATAACAGTGCCAATAGCATTCTTGTAACGTACTCTCTGGTGGGCTTGGATCATCGAGAAAATGAAAAGCGACTGGGGCCTTTATGAGCGCTACGTAAATTCTTGGATGGCGGACCTCGGCCCGGGCGAGAGCCGTGGAGGCCCCCGAAGTCGGATTCGGTGTCGATCTCTGGAGTCTGGCCGACGACCTTCGTCACTCCCCCACGCCGGCCAAGCTCTTGCACTCAGTTCTCACCCTATCGCCACGACAGCTTGACTCCCGTAAGTCGCGTGGAGAGCTGACTTCGCGACGACCTTGATCTTGGACGAGCATACAAACCGCCCTGCGAGCGGGCCCGACGCGGAACCCAGTTTACTATGCGGCGCCACGCAGCTTCCTCACTGTTGAACTCGGCGTGCAGAGGTGGAGCATACAAGGCTCTCGCGGTTCGTCTAGCATCTGACTCTTCTGAGTGTGTGATGATTGAGACGTCGGTCTTACAGATATCTCACGCAGCTCGTCCATCAATACCCTTGGTCGCGCGTTTCTCCACATCGGGTCGAAGATTCTCTGAATCTCCACCAGCACAGCCCACGAACCATGAGATCCAGAGGAGTCCGGAGCTACCGAGTAGCAGGATAGATGACAAGAAGGTTGTGCTTGGTTGGGATACGACAACATATTCACGATTGTGAGTACCCTCTACGAATCCATGTTATGTGGGGCTGACATGCTCAAGCCATCATATCTGGTTGCGAGACCACTGCCGCTGTCCTCACTGTTTCCATCCACACACTAAACAGCGTCTTGTAAACACATTTGAGGTGCACTTGGTCAAATTCCAACTAGGTATCGGATATAGTGCTGATCGTCTCCGCTCAAGATACCTCCGGAAATCAAGCCGACGCATGTAGAATCCAAACCAGAGGGATTAGAGGTCCATTGTGAGCCATTCTGGCATGCTTTGCTAAAGCACGTCAATAACCACACGACAGGGCCTTCATCTCAGCCACATACATCAATATACCCTTGGTCATGGTTACGGTATAATTCCTACGATCCCCCCATGATGCAGCCTCCTAAGCCAGAGTGCGTTCCAGCTATCCCTTTCGGCAGTGCAACCAATAACAAGCTCTTAGGCGTATCCTCTGGGGATCCAAAATTCTGCAGGACCCGCCAACTGTTACTCACGAGGAGGCTATGGCTTCAGATGACTCTGGCCTATTCAAGTGGCTATCTTACGTCGACAAGTTCGGGTTTTGTTTCATCTCAGGTGTCCCTGCAACACCGGAGGCGACAGAAGAGCTCTCCCGGCGCATAGGCTTCATCAGAGAGACGCAATGTCTGTCTTCCTAACCCTCCGCGTGCACCACGATTTTCGCTGAATCCTTTCTCAGACGGAACTTTCTGGGACTTCACCTCTGATCTCGCCAAGGGAGATACCGCATATACTACACTCGCCCTTGGGGCGCACACAGACACCACCTACTTTGTGAGCAACAAGCCACCTGCTCCATAATCTTGCTGAGAGCCTCGCGGCAGACGGATCCATGCGGATTACAGCTCTTCCACTTACTCGAGCACACCGGCGGGACGGGCGGCGCTACACTGCTAGTCGACGGCTTCTACGTTGCGTCCATATTGAAGGAGCTCCATCCCGAAGCATACGAGCTTCTCTCCACAGTCCCGGTCCCCACCCACGCTGCTGGAGAAGCGGACGCTTTGTTCGCCCCAAACACTGTCAACACGCCCGTTCTCAAGCATGAAGCTGGGGAGCTCGTGCAGGTGCGGTGGAATAACGATGATCGCAGTGTGTTGCGGGACCTCCGGCCTGACCAGGTCGAGCCATGGTGCGTACACGGCGCTTGTGTTTCAGATCTTGTAAGTTGTTGGACGTCTCATATGAGCGTAGGTACGATGCGATCCGGACATGGTACAAACTGCTCACCAGCCCCGACTCCGAGTACTGGGTGCAGCTGTCGCCCGGCACTGCCGTAGGTGAGTCCCGCCTTCTCAAAGCTGGCGAGTCTCTTGTGCTAACTCGAGTCGCAGTGGTCGACAATCAACGCGTACTTCACGGACGCTCAGCCTTCGATGGGAAGCGCCGCATGTGTGGCGCATATATCGGGATGGACGAGTACCGATCGAAGCTTGCCGTGCTGAAGGAGAAGTTCGCTCCCGACCCCGTCACGCAGGACACTGCGGCCACTTCGAGCGTCAACGGCAGGAGCATCTGGCACCCCGCCCTTTGAATAATCTATTGGTTCGCGGGACACCGTGGAAGGCGGCATCACAAACTATCCTCTCTGAAGACGGTGGTTGTATATCAACCTCCTGCTCTGTGTACTCGTCCATGTAGGATACACTCGGGTGTTCTATTACACCTTGTCAATTTCACGCTCCCCGAGGCATCGATCAGTTCAGCTGTATACCGAATAACATAACAGTCGAGACTCGAACATGATACAGAATGATCCAACACGCAACCAGGTCACAAATCCTGAAGGGCGAGAAAACCAGTTTGCTCGGCTGACGAGGTCAAACGCCCGCCCGTTCTAGACACTACTCGCGGTTAGTAAGTCTCCTTCTAACGAGAACAACACAATACTTACCACCGAACTACCAGGCCGTCAGATGATACATCAACAGATGATAACGAACGATCGCTTTGCTTCGGTACCTGACTCTCATCCTCGTATAAATGCTAGAGAAGCACGGTTAATTTGTTCAGTTACTCTGTGCACGGACTCTTCGAGATCTGAAAACAACCACGGTTAGTGAGTCCTTTCGTGCACGAGTTACACGTAGTGCAAGTACTTACCACCTAGGCATGTGGAGCCGGGCTCCGAAGCCCTACATTCTTCGAGACTCTGACCAACTCATCTCTGATACGCGGCGCAAGACACCCAAGGACGTATGAAATGGTCAGCATGAGTGGCGTAACCATCTGTACACCTTGACCTCGTCTCAGCGCCCCGAAAAGCTGGAAAGAAACAGCGGTTAGTAAGTCTGCGCCCTCTAAGTCGTACTCATACTTACCTCCGAGGGGAAGAGACGAAGGTGGTGATGGTGGTCAATAGCGCTGTGGATGGGCCTTGCTCTGCCAGAGGGCGGCTATATAGACTCAATTGCAACTGAGGCTGACATTCGCGGGCGCGGGTGGCATGGCCGATCGTGGTGTCAGCCTCTCTGTTTTGGACAGTACTGTCGAGCGCTCAAGTTCTTGACTCTGTGGCTAACATGGGGCTTCTGAATTCTTCAAAAGCTTGACCTGCGTTGAGGCTACCAATGCGAAGGCTAAATGTGACAAAGCCACAAAAGCAAGGTTTGCGGACTTTGCATCAATCTGGTTCTGCCGCTCGCCCGATGGTATTCAGATCAACATGAAAGTGCTCAGCATAGCCACCAGATACTCATTGTGTCACATGTATTCATCTTAGCGTAAGTACAACTGATCCGGAGCGGATGACTCGAGACAGCTTGCTGACGTACTGTGCCTGGGATGCCGCCATCTGTCACGAACTCGCATATAGAGGCACGAACAAGCGACTTGCGTAGGGCGCACCTTACGCACCGCTCGACTCCTGGACCCGCTGCTCAGTGCTGAATCACAAATCTGTCTCTTGATCCCTCCAGCAATCCGGAGTTTTGCGCGATGACATACAATGAGGCCGCCTTGCAGCTTGTTCAGTATTCCGCTCGCACGTCAGCCGGCACAATGCTCAAAGTCTCGATCTCAAGCCTGTTGTTCGGTGGGTTTCCCGATTTTCTCCGTGGATCCTGCTAACAAATATCATTCAGGTGTTCTGACACTACTTGTGTTGACGGCTCTGTCTTTTCTCATGTAAGCCATCCATGGCGCTCCATCCTGCCCACTCACAGTCTCGACATAGTCGCAAACGAGCCTTGGCGCGTACGGCAGGGATTGTGCTACTCTCCAGCACCCTTCTTCTCTACACGTCCACCACCATCTACATGGCTGCGCTGGCGTGGAATGCAACGAGTTTTAGCTCAGCTGTCACCGGGGCCGCTGACAACCTGTTCTCCGTCACCTATGACGGGCGTGAGAGCATCCTTGCCCTCTCTGAGGCGGCGGACAAACAGTCCCGGATGCTGACTGCGGCGCTTTCAGTCAATGTCAGTCGAGTAGCTACAGTACGCTGCGCATGGTCCGCTGAGCACTGCGCTGTCCAGGTTATGATTGGAGACGCGGTCGTGTGGTGGCGGGCATGTTTCATCTGGCAGAATAGGTTTATCAACTGTCTTGGTCCACTGCTCTTGACGCTGACTTTAGGTGCGTTATGGCCATATCTATCCGGAGCTGCGGATTTGCTCATTTGCCCTGTCAGTTTTCGGCGCTGTAGGCCTAGCCCTGTCCCCAGCCCCGGGTGGGATAGCGCTCACAGTGTACTTTGGATCTAACGGCTTCGTCGATGCCTGCGCCATTCTGTCCTTTGGCACCAATGTGATAGCGACGTCCTTGATCGCTTATAAAGCTTGGTGAGCGCCCTGCAATCATCCTGTTCTATTGATTGATTGCTGAAGATCGACACGATCATAGGGCCCACAGGCGATTCTTAAAGAAGTATCTTGGAGCCGACGGAATGAAATCACGCGTTTTCAGGATGCTGGCTCTTCTCGTCGAATCCGGCATCGTCTACATTGCTGTGCTGGTACTGCGTTTTCAATTCTTAGGGGAGGCGTTCCATATCTTAAACTTCAGCTTAGGCGTTCTCGGTGATGTACCAACTGAATCCAGCTTCATACGAGTCATTACAACAACAAGGCGCTCTAGTGGAGACGGAGGATGTCTTCACTTATGGTTGTCTCGTACCCGTTGCAGTCAGTATATTCGCCAGAGATCACGCTCCTAGAGAGTCCTGACGTTACTTACTAGGCCATCTATCCCACCTTCATCATTGTACTTGTTGCACTTGAGCAATCGCCAATCGCCGGCGGGTTGTCTCAGGCAAGCAAAAATCGAGATCTCGAGAAGCTGGATGGTGTTACGACCAGCACTATCATATTTCACAACTCTACGTTTCGCAGCCCTGACTCCGAGGACGACTCGAACGCGTTGGAAAGTGGGACGTGCAGCTCAGATAGTGTCGTGCCGGATAACCGACCTGAGGGCATGAACCCACCCCAGCTTGAATTGCGTCCATTGCCTGACAGGGTTGGTGAGGAGCGTGTGTAGCATAGTGATCGATATAATTGGCAACTACTTCTGAATTCATTCACACCGGATCCCTATGGACTGGGTAATTTACGGTCCTTGTCGCTCGATGTAGGCATTGTGGTATAAAATGCTATCAGAAGGGTACTTATGGACACTGGTCAGCACCGTCGCCAAATGCACTACTTTACTTGTACACCCGTGTACACCCGACGAGCGAATATGAATACCGGATGTCTGCGGATTCAGGGCTCCGTTTCCGATGAGTCGCCGATATCAAAGTATCGTGGTGGATGAGAAGTATCTTCAAAGTCGATCCGAGGTATTCTACTTGACATAAGGCACTCCGACGAGGCAAGGCGCACTCGGGAGTGGCTTGAAGATCATGCAATTCCCGCCAAGAACCGCCTGCGCGAACAAGGCCTAGCGGCAAAGGGAAACCAAATTGTAGGGAGTGAACCTTGGTACTAACGTCTCAGATCGAAGCTTGCATATGGGACGTTGCACTTGCGATCCTCTGCTCCAGCGTTACAAGTAGGTCGCGGACGATGTCCGGGTTTTCTTCCCTTCCCATAGCCTCCATGGGTTCGTAGCCAACCGGCAAGGCAGGCGGGCGATGGTCTCCGCAGGCAGCTCGACAACAAAGCAGATAATTTGCCCCGTCACGACTGTCTCTAGCTTGCTGAGGTGCAGCGACGTGCTTCCAGGTGGTGTTTCGGTGTATAGGAGGAGGTCTGTGTAGGACGACATCTCAGTATCGTGGTCTGGAGAATGTGGCACGGACGGACTCACGTTACGCCTGGCCGCCATGGGTGCATCGACAATCAGATTCGTTAACGTCTCCCTTAGACTATACAGCACGAGGATGCTGCACATATGGGACTCCTAGCCATAAAATTAGGCGTGGCGATTCCATCAGCAAAGTCGCATCCAGTAAAGAGAAATGGGGGATGGACCTACCGACGGCATGTGAAGCCTTCTCAGCAAATGCACGAGGGGGTCGGTCGATATACCACCCCCTGCCTATCAAATATGCCAAGAGTGGGCTGGTGAATCCGGGGCGTTTCCCAGAGTACTCTCAATAGTTGTATCTACGAAGATCGAGAAAGCCTCGGCAGAGCGCTACAAGGTCTGCCGGTTCGGGAAAGACCAGTGAGCGGAGATGAGCTCGGCGATTACAAGAGTGGAAGGAAACGGGACGGCGAATCGTGCCAGGAGTTGATGTGCATTTTTTTTCCACCATGTTTCGACGGTGAGCATGTGCAGGAGAGGGGAACAATAAGAAGATATGTGGCGGAGTGAACAGAGGACGCCCTGGCTGTTCCTGTCCTTGCTGTGACCGTCACGGAATGCGCGAGCGTTAGTAAGCCCTATTCTGGCAAGTTCATTTGTAACGGAGGAGCGCAGATCGCGGGGATCCACAGTAGACGGTACTGATGGCATTGCCAGAAACATGGGGGAGAAGTCGGTTCGCTCCGCGACGCTGACAGTCAAGTTCAAGCAGGTAGACATAGGCTGCATGACTTGAACTCGGCGCTCGATGAAGGAGAGTAGAGTCGTTACTGGGTAGTCGATGGTATGGTGTAGAGTAGATCCACATGACGAGGATAGGCATCATTCTCCCCGCTGACGTTATAGGAATGATGGCGAGCGGCGTGGACAACCTGAGTCGCGGCAGAACTCCTTCAACCCACGGCAGGGATTTAGGTTCAGTGACAATAAACGGTCAAAAGAGGTCTGCGGGAGTAAAGCATCTCAGCAGGAAGACAAGATGAGATCCTGATGAAAGCTTACTAGAAAGATCAAAGAATGCGAGCGGCGATCTGGGAACATAGCAGTTGTATTGATGCTTCACACCGACCAGGTCAGAACCAATTGGGACGATATCTGCGGTTGTGTCATCATGAATATGGGCATGTACATGCAGAAGAGGTGTAGGTCACTTACACGCGCTCTCTGGTTATCACAACGTCGAGCAACCCTTGCGAGAGCAACAGCGGGAAGCAGTCAGCAATCCGTGTCTTCCACCACGGGTGCATCTCCTCGTTGCTACCCACGTCGAACGAGATCCACTGCAAGCGAGGAAACCTCTGCAACAGAGTAGTCTCCATGAAGGGTTGGATGTTCCGCAGTGCCTCGAGGCATCTTAGAGGCTCTTCAGTGGTCTCTCGAGCATCAATTGTCATGATGAGCGTGTGCAGCTTCTCCGCTTCAAAGGGAAGGAGAAGCCGAGGGATTTCTGATATATGTGACAGAGAAGGCGCAGGTGCAGTGTATCGAATATCTGCCTCCACGGGACAATCCAGAATCAGATGCACCTTGGTGAGTGCAGGTAAGACGTGAATATTTGAAACTTCGTTCCCTGTGAAGTTTGTTATCGTGTCAAAGGGGCGAACGAGGACCGGTGAGAAAGAGCGACGTGAATCGAGGCGCTTTTAGGAGCGCACGACTCACTGGCATGTTGAGAGACAAAGCCGGCAGTGTGCTACTGACCGCGTTTATAAGCCTGTCGTAGCCAAGTAGATTGAACGCTCCTCCCAGCACATACTGCAATGTCAACTTAGCGTATAGTGCCCGTTTGATAAGGATCACAAGTGTACGTACATCCCACTCGTCGCCTCTCGAACCTATTCGCAGATCGATGAGCTTGGGAGGCACTATTTTCAGCATACCTGGCCATCGAGAATCCGCTTGTCGCACGTCCTGCGGAACCCAAAACACCCGATACATGTCCAGGATACGTAGGTTCGGGAATGGCATAAGGAGCCGATCAAACTCCCAGGTTTCCAGCAACGGGATGAGCTTGAGCTCGAGGGTTGTGACGTTATGGAGCTGAAGGCGAGGGTCATTGAAGCGAGGATGAAGACGCATGCGGCGAAGCTCGCCTGGCATGTTGATGATGACGACCTTGAGCATGCCTCGCTAAGGCGCTGTGGAATACTTCCACAAGGGCCACGTATTTCGCCATTCGTATCAATTCAACTTCTTCAATCAATATCGCTATGTGGGAAGCGGAGATGATTAAGCGGCGGAATGCGTATAGGTGTGGAAGAAAGTGGATCCGGCGGAAGGCGAGGGCACGGCATCTTGGATGCCATGAATGGCAGACAAGAGAACATCGCAGAGATCTCCCTTTGACGAAAAGAGGGGATGTGCGAGTCCACGACGCTTGTATTTGGCCTCTGCTTGACTAGGACCGCCACCGAGCTTGCAAAGTGCTCACATCAATCACATCCGTTCTCTGTGCCGCAAAGCCAGGACCCCCGGCAATAGGCCCAAATGTATGATGCCTGATCCGGACGAAATTGGCCCCTCAAAAAGGCCTATGCCTGGTCCAGTCCGGTCAAATCGACCAAAAATTTGCGGATGGCCTGCGCCATACTCCGGACAAATCTGACGTGCTCAGGTCGAGGCCTGATCCCAGGCGGCTGTCGGGAGAGGACCGGTCCGGGGAGGCCTTGAGGATATAATGTCGTTGGCGCACTTACTTATACGTCCTTATACCTATGTTTATCTGTTGCTACTTACTTCGTGTCACAGCCATCCATGTGTGTAATATAGGTTGTTGTACATCTAGCCCGAAGTGTGACACCTCCTTACTCAGTCTATCTCCCAATGTCACACCTGTGCAGGCGGCGGACAACGTCAGGAGCATTTCGAATCGCAAGAAGACAAACGAGCTATTGCTAGCCTACGCCGTCACTTAATACTGCTCGCTATAATCCCTATGTCTAGAAGCTCAACTATATTCATCTCCGATGACGACCCTCCCAGCAGCGACACACGAACCTTCGTTCCATCTGAATGGATTGCCTGCGCAAAGACATACCCTGCTCTTGAGACACCACCCTTCATCCTCGCTGCACGTCAGGCCGCTCTTACCATCCCCCCGGAATACAACACCCTCATGCCCAACCCCCACACTTCCGTGCTGCATTTGCTCTGCACAGATCTTCCCCCTCGTCCATCGGCACTCACCTCTCAGAAGGCCTCACATGCATTCAGCGAAGATCCTCCGAACGAGACCCTTCGTACACTCTTCGGTGAATGTAGCGCCGGACATCTAGAGTGCCGTATGCGAGCTCCTCCTTGCGTCCTTACATTATACCTCTATCTACGACCTCTCCTGCATGCTATCCCACTCCTGTAGTCAATATCAGCATGGTTACAGCGGTCCCCGACGAAAATCTGCTTTCAGGAGGCCTGATCCAGCGAATCCGGACAATTTTGGACCTCCCGATGGCCTGATCCAGAGTCCGGCCAAATTTGAGCGAAAATCTGGAGGCCTGGTCAAATCCGGACGAATTTGGCCTCAGACAAGGCCTGATCCATCGGACAATTTTGGCCGGATTCAAGGATTTTGGATCATACATTTGGGTCTATTGCCGGGGGTCCTGCAAAGCCCCACCCAATACTTAGCCTATCGCCACCCACAAGCTCGTCGATCTTTCCTTTCGAGATCTACTTACTACCGCATCATCGACTTCATCGGCGATGATGTTTGACACGCACAGGCCACCAGCGCCTTTTGCCTTCTATCACTGCAAAAGTATGCACTCCGCTGGCTTCAGGTCGTGAGCTCGAGGTCAAGTAAGTACTATGGTAGCAATTCGGAATTCAAGCTAAGACCAACGAATTCCACGTGGATTAGTCAATCATTCCCATCCTCATGCATTACCCTACTCCGAGCCTTAAGTCTGCGTCTCTCGAATGATCAATGCAGGGGCCCCAGGCGTGTTGCCTTTACTCAGATGCCTAAGAACAACACACCGTACCAATGCTTAGGCCGCTGAGGCGTGAACGCGCCAAACCCTGCATGACCGTAATCACTTTGGCTATTTGTCCCCACGAGTTAAGCGTACGCTACCGGCTTTCGCGAGGTCGAGTTGCCACGGTCACGATAGCGCAGGTGAAGCGGGCCTGATGGGTATGCCTATATCGATTCACTTCCATGGACATCTACATCTTTAGCGTTGGCAGACGGTATAGCATGCCCGACGTTGGTCGAACGTGTTCTAACATCGCATGCGTAGCCGATACCGTCGGGCCAAGCATAAGCAACCGCACAGGCATAGATTACGGGTCGGCTAGTATAGGAACTATATCGGTCAACGATGATAGACAGCGAGGACATCTCAGCTGGCGACCATGTCGCTGACCCGGAAAGTGACGAATACCCTGCAAAGGCCCTACCCGCACCTAGAGCACCGGTAGGTCAAGGATTCCGGACGACAAACGACTGCACAAACGTCCATGAAGCCAGACCATACTTGGAGCATTCTACTCCGATCCCAGAATGCTGGCGGCAGAACATGTCAAGGAAGTGAACTCAGAATGTATTGTTTCGTCACAGCTCACCTTCGTTCCACCCATCGGCTGGTGACCGCTGAAGTCAGTGAAAAATCCTGAGAGAGCGTGACAAATGAGCACACTCACATGCTCTGCAGAGACCGCTCCCCATTCGTTGACCCATACTAGAGCACAGGGATAGCGATCAGAGGATGAAGCGGGCGCAGTATCCATTTTTTGCTCCTTACCCATGCCGTTGTACAATCCGTCTGCGATGCGCTGAACCCGATCCATATCCTCACCCCAAACTGACGAGCTGAATCCGAAGTCCGTGCCATCTGAAGTGACACTCATGCTGGTCAGGATCAACGGTCGACGGTCTCTATGCGGTTACGCACTCGCTCGTCGGACGACTTCGTCATCGTCTTTCCACTTGAAAAGAGGAACGATGGGACCAAACTCTGCAATGTTGAAAACGATGAAGAGTGCGCGTAAGGCATAGGAAGGAGTACCCACGCTCTTCTCGTGCGATACGGGACTCGTCAGGAGGGTTATCGATTATTGTCAGCGGTATATAGTAGCCTTTCTCGCCTGTTGGGCGAGGTGAGCTTTGGAATGCGATCTTGTAGCCCTTCTCCTTGCAATCTGCCAGAAGACTCCTGCAGTAGACAGAGTCACCTCCAGCACACTGACACGGAAGGCCAGGTACCGTGAACCGCACTCACTGCAACCGGTCATATTGTGCCTTATTTTGTACAGGGCCCATGTTCACGTCTGGATCGAACGGGTTTCCGATGCGAACCTCCTTCGCTATTGCAACGAGTTCGTCCTTCACGGCGTCGTAGATTTTCTCGTGCACGAATATGCGCTTGATCGTGAAGCAAACTTGGCCAGCGTTGTGCGTCGCGCCGAGGAAGAGCGCCCTGTTTGGAGATCGTGAGTTGCCCCGTGCGGACAATGGAGCCGCAGTACTCACTGCGCGGCCTGCTTTACGTCGATGTCGTCGAGCACGATGGCAGGGTCATTTCCACCAAGCTCAAGGGTGACGCTTTTGAGCTCCGCGCCCGCCTCACGCATGATGGCTTTTCCTCCTCCCGTCGAGCCAGTCATGGACACGCGCATGATGCGTGGGTGCTTGACCATCAGCTGGCCGCTGAGGTCCACCGTGATAAGGGTTGATCATCCTGTTTCACACAGGCTCGATAACTCACAGATCGTTACCGCCATTAAGCACCTGCAGGACCCCGGGGGGCAGCACGGACTGTGCGAGCTCGATGACCTTGATCACGAGACAAGGGGCACTCGGGGGAGCCTTGAGAATCATGCAATTCCCGGCGAGAACCGCCTGCGCAAACTTGTTGATGCCGAGGGTCAATGGAAAGCTAAATTGCGGAGCGTGAACTCTTGTACTCAAGCCGCCGGGCGTGCGTATGGTGCGCTCACTTGAACGGGCATATGCCTGCAACCTGACAAGATCGGCCAAGAAATATGAATCAGCTGATCCAAGAGGGTCTGCCGGTCTTACTCACCACTCCAAAGGGCCTGAAGCGTATCTTGGACACCCTCCCCGAATCCTCCGTCCTAACCTCTTCCTCCAGTTTCTGTTTGGCAACGCCGCGCAGCCACGGCGTCGATATACTCAGCTCGAACGCTCTGCAGACCATCAAGAATCATATGAATGCGTCAGCACTACTTCGGCTCTCACATGGGTCGCACACCATCGCCGGACTCACGCGGCCCCGCGGTCTTTCCCAATCTCCTTCATGAGCAGATGCGCGACCTCCTCCGCATGCCGGTCGATGAGGTCGGCGAGCCTGTACAGTGCAGCCTGGCGCTCCTCCCACGGCGTCGCGCTCCATGCGGGGAAAGCGCGCTCCGCAGCTGCGATGGCGCCCTCGAGCTGCGCGGGGGTTGCGATGGGCACGCGCGCCCAGACTTCCTCCGTCGAGGGGTCGATAATGTCCGCGGACGTGGGCGACGTCGCCTTCTTCCCGTCGATGATGTTGGCGCTGCGAGAGAAGACGAGAAGTTCGAGAAGTCAGCAGGCCTTGGCAACAGCTGTCGACGGGTGCGGAGAAGGGGGCGATAGAGAGGGGGTGTGCGGGGGAGACACTCACAAGCCGTCCGTGAACGAGAAGCCGGTCATATCCAGTAGCGTCCTGTGAGAGGCCAGGGCGATCTCTCTCGGCCGCCCCTTTCCTCGGGCTTGCTTGCTTTATGCCTGCTTGCAGCGCCAGGAACGCCAGCAATTTTACCTATCGTGTGTACCCCAAATCGTCCCACCCAGCTATAGATGCAACATGGGTCGAACCCGGCCCCGCGTGGCCGATTTCATCGGGGTTGCATGAGCGCCATCGTCGGGTCAACGCCATTTCTGTCATGCCTGACAAACACACCACGCTCGCGCAGCGCAGCGAGACGTTCCTCTGAGCCGAACAGGACACGAGAACACCAGGTGACGGCAGGGTACGTCGTATTTCCTTTGCTTCTGCTCCGCACAAATGACACGGCTTCGGTGGGCGCGAGTACACAAAGGGACTGGCGGGTCCCACGACCTATGCGACGCCGTACGCTTAGGGCCAGCGCAGCGCATGCATGGGCGTTTTGGGGGGCAACGCCGGGACTAGGTAGGCGTCTCGTGCTCGTCCTCTGGCCAAAGAATCAGGGCAGATGACCTGGAAGGGACTCCTCAGGGGAACTCCTCACCTGGAAAAGGGATCGTACTCACTTCTAGCATGGGCATAGAACTAATTGGAGCTACGCCACTGGGAGCTCGGCGGAGAACTGCGACCCGTGAGGCCGGAGGACGTAAGTAGCGGGCATTGGAGGGCTACCGGCGACGTCCAATTCTATTTGATCGACTTGAGCTGAACTCTCCACCTATCGGAATTTGCTGATACATGTTCTGCGGTTTCCATTTGCCGCCTCGGAGGCATATTGCAGCTCAAACCATGCTCGGGTAGAAGCGCGGAGCCAAGAACAGATTCCCTGAGGTCATGTGGCCATTGGATTGGAAGAGGCCCGAGCGGCGCGGCAATTTTGTGCTAAGAAGATACAAACACATTGTCAGTGGACCAATAACGCATGTAGAGTTCCCTGCTGTACGTACCAGTTACACAGCGATTCAGCGAATGCCTGATCACCTATCCGGCATGCACATCATACGTACAGGCATTTTTATGACACGATGCGGCGAGTCCATGTATCTCACTTATAGACTTTTGGAATACCTGATGCCCCACTTTCTGTAATGCCTCACGACCTGGGAGAGATGATCGCTGTTCGAATGAAAGAGGACATATATAGACGCCGGTCCGGAAGCGGCATCGGGTCGTGCACTGGGACAACGGTCTTCCCTGGTTCTTAATCGAAGGCCCCCGCAAATATTCGTCCCCAGGAGAAAACGTACGGAGCTCAAAATCGAGAGCGTACAGTCTCTTGAATTGACGAAACTTGCGTGTCCTAAGGCATAGTATCAGAGTCCAGCAACAGAGTCTCCGGCGCATATGTAACCAAACACGTCACAGAGGCGAGTCGAGGACGATAGCACAGGATACACAAGGCTTTGTCTACTGGGCAGTCGGGTAGGGGTATAGCGCAGGAGAACGCGAGTGTCCATGAGATCTACCCTCCGGGGTGATGACAACGTAAGGCTGGAAGCGACAGTCGAAACCGGATGCCAAAGCGCAAGATACTATAGGGAATCCATTCATTCTATGGAAACTATTAAACGTGGATGAAGATATCGCCGGGTCCTCCCGGACTTACGAGTTCCGTAGTCTAGGTTTTGCGTCGCGAGCGGACGATACATCACAAGATGACTAAAGGAAAGACGGAAATGAGGGACCTTAGCGATAAACGGTACTGCGGACGAAAGAATCACGTACTCGGAATGCAGCCGATGGAGATCAGACCGCCATGGCTGTTGTTCTCACAGCAGACGGGGCGCTGAGAGCTAATTCGGATACGTACGGGCGGCGAGGTCAGCGCCGAGGACAAAGTGTAAGTGGCGAAGTCGAAACATACCAAGTGGACCCAGCGCCGACGCCCACGACACTGAGCGGCGAACACTGCACACCGACAAGGATGTCGTCGGCGATGCCCCCAAGGCCGAGGAGACCGAGAATCGCGGCGACAACGTTGTTGTTTGCCTTTGAGACCTGGTTGCAGCATTGGACGGGGCCGGTGTTGCAATTGCCGTCACCCTCGGAAGGGGTGCCAGAAGGGGTCGCGCGCTTGGCAACTTCCGCTGAAGATTTCAAGCTGTCAATGGACGTGTTCGTGTGACGGGTGAAGAACGCGCGCTCGGACGGCGCGCATTAGGCGGTTAATGCCCAGTTGGAGACTCACCCTCAGTGCGGGAAGGCGCGTGGCGACGGTGATAGTTGCGGGGAGGGAGCGGGCTGAGACCGCGAGCCAAGCGTTGGGCGTTGGTCTCGGTGGCCTGGACGGAAGCAGCGGCAGCGACGAGAGCAGCGACAGCGTAAGTGAACTTCATCTTGAACTAGTTGATGGCGGCGACCGCAAGGGATTGGGTGAGGAGCCCGAGAGCAAAGAGCGAAGGGGTGAAAAGAGTGACGTCTGGCACGAAGCCGAAGGCTTGGGCGAGGCCTGTAGGGGACGGGTGGTGGAAGGACGAGAGTGCGAGAGCGAGAAGCGCGGTCGAATGCCCGCAAACAAGACGATTTATACAGAGCCGGAGCACCGAGAGTATCAGTCTCGGTTCGGGCGCGCAAGCCCTTCGGTAATGGCATGTCCAGGTTCTCGGCTCGGCTGCGTGACAGAGAAGGCCGCTTGCCGTGTCTTACGTTCTGAAACGCCACGCAAAGTCAGGCAAAGACAGGGTAAAGCAGCGCCTTACATCCAACACTGGGCGTCCCAACTGCGTGCCCCGAGGTCGTCGAGCTCGACGTTTGCGAGCTTGTCGACCTGGAGCAGAGGCTATTCACGATTACGCCCACGCACCTCGCTCGTTCTATGGACGACCACCGCCGAGCGGACGGACGGAGGGTACGGCAGCCCGAGAAGCGAGACGTAAGCGGTAACCGACGAACTTCTGTGAAGCCCGCTGCCCGCCCAAGGCGGGCACGGAGCGCCCCGATATGCCCCCAAAGTCCTTCACCGACACGTCGGCCGAGATGGTCTTGACCGCGCTCTATAGGGATGTACGCATTCGAGTCCTTGTCCTCCAGCCAAGAGAGTCATGGACTCGACGACGATCTGCAAAAAGTAGCGTTAAGACAGGGATCGACGTCTTGCAAGACAGAGCAATGCGCTGCCAGAGACGCACGTATGTCCTTAATTAAGTACTACGCTAAAAGCGAATCGGACGTGTTGCAGCTACTTGCCGAACTCAATCGATCTCAGATCCCTATCCGCGGCGAGACCTTCCCCCCGCTGCCTTCGCATCTCTTTCGAGCTCTCCATCGTGAACACGCATTGCTTGGACACCAATTATGTGCGCGATAGCTGCACGATGAAGCTAGTCGTGAACAGTCTCATCACCGGAGCGCGTCGCAATTGCTTGCACTTGCACTTCCTGTGGGCTTGGACGGCTCGAAAGCTCATATAACAGATTCACAGGAGTTTGAGCTTCATCTCGTTACAGTGCTTTGCAAAAAAGATTGCAGTGCGAAGCGCGCAAAATCCTGTTTGCCCCTGTTTGCCCACCCGGGGAAACGCCTGCAATGCCGGAAGCCTCTTTGCAGCATGGTCGATTTTCCAGCCACAAACCTACCGGATATATTCAGAAGGTCGTCATTCGGAGGCAAAGAATATCCTCGTGCATTTTTGCAGTAGGAAAGCGGACATGGACTCAAGCACGGCTTTTACGGACGGAGTCCTTATGAGCGTCCGGTTCCCGAAACAGAAATCCTTGCCGTAGCCGACGAGTGACCAAACAGGAGCAAACAGGATTTGCGCGCTTCGCACTGCAATCTTTTTTTGCAAAGCACTGTAGCACGAGCCCTGCATGTACCATCCAAAATGATTTCACAGACGACACGAACCTCTGTTATCGAGTGCACTCTGCCAGGATCCTCACGAGCCCAAGCAGCCCAGCTTCCAGATCACGCGGCTTCGTCCGATGGTGCGCATCGCCCGCAGTCCTTCGAGGCGGTTCGGCCGCAGACCTGCTGACTGGCGGACGACCAGCTCTGAGCCATCTGGTCTCTGGGAGGATACACGAGGCACCAACAACCACATTGCGACGAGGTCGTCATCGAACGATCTTCTAACTACTTGACAACAGTTCCTGGGCAATCAGTCACGACCGCATGGCTGCCTTACCATTGTGGTCTCTCTCTGCTGCCAGTGTACAAATCGAGAAGCCCTACTTAAGATGACCGCTGCTCGCGGTACAGAGGGGCCTGAAGTCGATCCCTTCGTCCCGCTTTGATCTTTCGCCTCCTCCGATGAGCCTTCGACTGACCCTCTTCGTTGCTCTGGTAGCCAGCGCCTGCAATGCCTCATTTCACGTTCACAGGCGGCAGACCGTCAAACCTGTGGTAGCCAGCACGACTCTGTACCCTTCACTCAACATGCAAGGCCTGAATCGGGACTCTTGCGTTTCCGTCGCCTGGGAGACGAACCAAGCTGTAAGCCTTAGGCCTTCGCATCCGAACAGCCCACCATCCTCACCTTCAGCATCAGCTCTGGGTATGCCGAGACACGCAGCAGCTGCAATCCAACGGCAGCCCGGGTGTCGGCCTCATAGCCAACACGGCATCCTACTCCGGGCTCCCCTCTGACAAGTCAAACCCCCAGGCGCTGACGCTCACCTCCCCGCAAGGCTTCGGCTCGCTCTTCTACAAGCTCGAGGCGAGCGAATGCCCGGACTTCGGTGCATGCTCGGACGGCACGCGCTGGGTCGGCTGGCCCAACACCGGCCCGGTGGTGACGTTCAACTTCAACGGCGCGATCTCTGCATACCAGTTCCTCGCGCGCCAGAACCTGAAGGGGCTCTCTGTCACGAACACACCGGACTACTCGCTCTACCATGTCACGTCGCAGACCGCAGACGCGAGCAAGATCCCGACGACGAACATGGATATCTCGGGCTTCTGGACCGGGAGCCAGGTCGGGTACGGCAACGACGCGAGCGTGGTCGCGAACGGGTACGCGTACCTGTATGGCGCGACGCCGAGCGGCGGGCTGGCCGTCGCGAGGGCCGCGCTGACGGGCACGCTGGGCACGCTCGAGGACAGGAGCTTGTACCAGTTCTACGTCAATGGCCAGTGGCAGACGGCCATCCCGAACAAGAACGATTCGGGCATCACGCTCGCCAACACGCGGTCTGCCCAAGGCACCGTCTATTTTTCCAAGAAGTGGAACGTGAGTGCTATATCATCACCTGTGGGCTTCTTAGACGCGACGGTTGAGGTGCTTATGATCAGTCCTTTGTGTGGATTGGAGGCGACGGGTTCCCGAATGCTAACTTCTATATCTCCACTGCGCCTAACCCTGAGGGCCCTTGGACGTCACCCACGGTAGGTACATCAGTCGCCTGGATCGACCATTTTTGGTCACGTCTTCACGCCGCGCCTGCTATACAGCTTTTCTACTCGGGCGCCGTCGGGGATTCCGGAACGCTCACCTACTCTACTGTCGCTCATCCCGCGCTCACGGATGGCACGGGCAACTATATCTTCCTCGTGAGTGAACCATGCATGCGATGCGGAGAACCACGAGCCGATGCAGACCACCCTTTGCGATGCAGAGCTATAGTCGCACTGTCACCAACGCGCAGGGCTTCCAGGTGTACGACCAGCCGCTGATCCGTGTCGACTGGCAATAAGTCCCATCAGGCAGTGTTCGTTCCACTTCATGAGGTTTTCGTCGTATTCTACGGGGGTAGCGTCTCGTTTCGTCCGTGGCGCTTCCCTTCCCCCACAATCTTCGTCGTCGGGAAAAACGGTATACCCTCTGCTCGTCTAGGGAGCACTCGCATTTCTGTGGACTTTTCTGTATGCATCCTCGTGCTGGTCAACATGGAATTGGGCTGTACCGCATGGCGTCCTTGTATCTGGACTCGCTGGTGACCGCCTTGCGTTATTTGATGACATTGTGGTATGCTATGCCTTCACGTTCAAGCGGTGTGTGAGGGGTCATTTCGATGATGCCAGGACTCTTCCTGTGTGTGTTGTGTCTTAATGCCCGGCCAGGTCAAGGGAGTATAGCCTTGACCAATTGTGTACCGTAATCCTCACCTTCCGTGTGCGTAGCCAACTTCCTGACTAGATAGCTTTACAGGCTTTATCTTCGCCGGGCATGGCAATGTCAGAGCTCGCTGTCATGCTCACCATGTTCCATCCATCGCAACCTCTAGGGTTCGTTGCAGTCAGACGGCAACAACATCCGTGGACCATGCTCGTGGTATGTCGACCTTGTAACGGTTTGCGCGTTGTGAAAGATCAGCCTCAGGACAGTTTCCACGCAGAGGCTGGTGCCAGTAACTTGTAAGTAGCCTCCTAATATTGCTGGACGAGCGCGCCGGTACCTGCCTTCCATAAATGGAGATACCATGCCATGCGCGCCCGTGTCCGGACCGCCATGGTCGAGCTCCCTGTTTCTCCTGAATCTTCTCTAGTCTCCTACAAACAACAGCTGTTACAGAGCTTGGGCAAACTGGGCTTCCAACAACGCCCCGTTCAAGTCGCGCATAACATAGAAATTTGTACGTACCAGCAACATTCATGGTGGTACTCCAGTAATCTGATGCACTATAGGAGCCTTACGCGTCCTTGTGCGGGCGGGCATTCGATACCACGTTTACTCGAGACTCCTGTTCACACTATGACCAGAACCCGACTCTGCAAAGATATCATGGGCGTACCTTGCGCCGATCGTGTAGTCGAATTGGGAGCTACAAAGAATGGCTGCCCTGAGCGCTCTCTGGATCTGGCTTAGTGAGTAGTCCTATCTCTGTCACCCGCATTCGTACGGCTCCCCCGTTGCTGTTGTCGTAAGACTCAACGGCTTCGATGGCGGAGTGGTCGTCTGCCTCCCGTGGATACACAAACACGGCCTGTCAGCATCTTCTGTACTCCTTGACTGTCCTCGATCTCCGTAACCCACGTTTGGGAATGTTGTCTCCTGTAATCTTGCCCTGCCTGCTACATAGGAGCCGCGTCGGGGCATCGGGTGACGCTGCCACAAAAGGCTCCTTCAATGTCGCGAGTCCGAGAAAGCCGAAGCTGGGGCTTCAAATGAACCCCCACTGGTTTCTGTTGTGTGGCGCATGAGTGGAACGCGGTGGCGGGAGTTCGACTGGGCTTCTACATCCTCTGCTACAAAGCCATTCAGCTACCGGCCTATTCTCCTTCCGATGACATCTATTCACCCTTGTTGTGAATGATCCGAAGTCAGCGGCGAAAGTGCTGCACCAATCGGGCGGATAGGTACGAGACCAGTCTTTCGGAACGCCTTGTCAAGTGGTGGCGGAGACGCCTGATGCCTTTGGGGGTGCATCAAAAACTTTGACAGAGCTTGGGATCATCGAACCGCGTTACGTTTGAAGAGAGACGGGAGAGAGTGGCATACGAGCAGACGTCCCAAGTCGTCGTGCAGATCGGGGAGCCCCTGGAGATACGGCAGTTTACTCGCGACGCAAGGGGAGTTCTGCAAAAGAAAGTCATCTTCAGCACAGCGCGGTGCGGGAGCAGAAGATAGAAGGAGAAGGGAAGCCATGCCACGCATGATCCTGAGATGAAGGGAGAGGCGTGGGGCCGGTCGTCCAATGGGCGGTGATCTATCGTCTGTACCAATCAGGGGCGGTCAGGCATGGTAAGTTCGAGCAAACGATTCGGGACACGGTTTGCCTAGGGCGGACCCGTGGTTCTCGCACGTTCCAGTGTCAGACTGGACTCTTAAAGAGACAGATCCCATGAAGGTATCGACTGTGTTGGAACCCGGGCAGTCAATGTTGCTAGAAATACAAACTTCTGGCACCTTCCTAACCAGCGCCATCAGGAGCAAGTATGTGCTTTGCGCAATAAACCGCTGACCCGACTAGCCCATGTCGCTACAGAGCTGCTCTCGGAACCAAGCAACGCCTGAAGGCCATGTCCACGCCCAGCTTCAATCAGTCTGAAATATCCATGCGGCAGCCTGCTTACCACTTTGAAGCACCACGGTCAATTTAGCTTCCTCGGCTTGACATGTGTGCCGTCTTCGCTACTTTGGCAGTGGGAGACGGCATCCGCAATCGTTCTGCTCCAAGGTACGTCAAGGTACTTGTATCCTGATATGCACACCGCCAGATGCTGACTGTTCCCGTTCGTTCAAATGCGAATCCGCTGGTAAGAGGACCGTCATAAATAGCAAATTGAACTCAATCACTCTCGACGTTGATCAACCACGTCCGGATTCTCACTAAAGCTACATAAAGGTCCTGCCGCTTCGGTAGAAACTCGCTTCATGGTATCAGATCATGGACAACCCCTCTCCAGGTCTCAACTCAACGGCACCGGCCCCCCCTGCGCTGCCTTCTCTTGGCAGTACGTTTGGGGCGGTCCTTCTTGGAGTGTTCTTCTCCCTCATGTAAGTGCGGCACGAGAAGGGTTTTTCTTCCCGCATCGATGAGCTTATGCCCCCGCAGTTTATATGGCGGTATTTTACACCAGGCATATCGCTATTACCGGACGTATACTAGTGAGCGGCTTGGTTTGAAAACCCTTGTGAGCGGCTCCCAGTGTCCGGTTGCCCGACCGCCTTTTCGCTAACGTGTATGTAGGTATCTGCAACTGTGTGGGTAGTCGCGACTCTGCTGCTCACCAGGAACCTTCCTCACACTTTGCGTATGTAACAGCCTCCTTGAGACGGGCCATACGGCCATATCTATGTACATCTGGTGGGTCTTCGCCTTCTGGTTAATCTCGGGATTCCGTACAATGTATGTTGGTCAGCTACCGCGCTCTCGTTACCGATTACGCCAATCCTGCAAGCCTTTCGAACGTCACCAGGTAAGCCAGTATATATTCGATTCCACCCTGAGGCAATCTAATGCCATTGCGGGGACAAATTGCAGGAGTGTTGATGTGAGTGGCATGCCCTTCGCAGTCTCCGTATAACTACTCATCGAGCTCAGATCCTACCAGCACTGTCGGTCAGTGGCAGAGATACATGCCTTGTATCTAAGCTCCAGTTGACACCAATCTTTAGGGGCTCATCGTAGCTTTGACCCAATCGTGAGCCGCATCTCCCTTCCTTGAATGCCTGCGTCCAGATCACTCAGTCAACCACAGGTTCTTCCTTCGACGAGCCTATCTCTGTAAGTGCTCGCTTGTGTGACCGAGATGCATCCGCTCGACCTCACCTTTCTCGAAGTTGGAAAGCAGTATCGCCCATGGGCCCTCCTTGTGGTATGTCGACCTTCTGACGATCCGAGCGATCTGCTGATGGGCGTGCGAAGCTCTTTCCACTGGTCCTCGGATTCGGTGAGTGGCAGCCTTGCCTGCCTGTACCCCCACAGTGATTGACCCTGGAGCAGGGTTTTCGATAGGTCAGGCACTACCGTCGATGCTCCGATCGCTGTACTGACTGTTTCCTCAGCATCGACAGTTGATGGGTTCGCATGGTTCTCAACATGCGATGTAAACGTATACGACTGAGCGGCCTGTTCTAGCTTTATTGGGGCCTCAAAACCGGGAGGCACATTAGGACTTCCTCACCCAGTACGTCTTGGCCCATTTGCGGGGCAATGCTCGTACTGAGAATGCGTGAAGTGGATCATAACATGTGCATCAGCGCTGGGCGTGTCGACGGACTGGACGTTGACCATCATCCTGATACTTGCTCTGCGTCGGAGCAGAAGTGGCATCAAAAGGTTTGTCCCTGGTCTGCAACGCACAACATTCGCCTCAGACCGTTCACATCCCGTCATAGAACCGACTCCATGCTGGACACGCTGATCCTGTACACAGTCACGACGGGTAAGCACGCTTGTTGTATTCTGATTGTCGTCGACGATTAACGGTGATGATAGGCCTACTTACAAGGTAGCAGACTTCTCAGTCGATTGTGATGATACAAAGCTCAAAGCTCTTCTAGCGCGTGCATGCTGCTGGTTTTCGTATTTGTATGTTTCGCCATTCGTGGGTGTACAAGCCCGTGCTCATCGATGGATACCCAGTCAGTAGCCACCCCACACAACTTGATATACATCGCGTTCTCTTTCCTGCTCACCAAGCGTGCGTGTCCTTCTCTGCCGTTCCTCGATATCCTCGCTCACGCACATGCAGTGTATACAAACTCGTTCCTCGCAGCGTATGCAGCAATTTTTTGTCTTCTCGAAAGGATTCCCATTGACTTCGTGACACTTGTATACAGATTGAACACCCGGCAATCCCTCCGGTCGGACTCGACCGTGCAAAATTTTGGGACCGACGTCTTTGGGAGCGGGCTGGCAATGGAGCTCCGCAGTGGGCCGAGCAAAGCGTCGCGCCAGGAGTCGAACGCAGTGGCGTTGGAGCTCACCGAGCGACCTGCGTCGCGCCAATGTGAGTGCACGACATCGACTATAGACCGTAACACGGACTCCTCACGCCTGTCTGCTAGTCGGGAAGATTTCTGTTCATACTACGACGACATACGAGTCTGGCGTAATGTGAGGGAAATTCGGAAGTAGGAAGAACTTGAAGGGAGGACCCTATGTGACTTGTACTGAATATCAGTTTTGTGGCTGTATACTATGCAGTACTAGGTGTACATAGTGTACTTGTTGACTCGGGCTAAGAAAGTATGTTGTCGTCCACAAGATGCGACTGCATTAATATTATTGGCCAAAGCAATCATGATTGATCGCATCTGTATGCCATGTACTTAAGGCAAACACGCGTCATGAGCGCCTGTCGCGTCGGGGGAAACGCGTCTGGGCGTCGTGGGCTGTGGCTGCTCTCCGTCTTTGAGTGCGTGCAGACTGCCATGGCCGAGCTCCCCTCTCTTCTCCTCGCCTCTCTTCAGCCAGACTCCAGGAAACAGGCAGAACAGAGCCTCCAGAGCCTCAGCGTTCAGCCTGGCTTCCTCCCCCACCTCCTCACTCTCGTCCTCCAATCCACCCAAGATCGCGCCGTTCGCCTGGCCGGCAGCGTCTACCTCAAAAACGTCGTCAAGTCGCGATGGGAAGATGTAAGTCCTACGGACCCGCATGGTGATCTTGCTTGATCTCACGAGCCCGACGCGCCCTTGTGCAGGATGAGCCACCCATCGCGGACGCCGATAGGGCCGGGCTGCGCGAGGCCCTCGTCCCCGCTATGATCCAGCTCTCGAACGCATCGGACAAGGCCGTCCGTGCGCAGATCGCAGAGTCGATATCCCTTGTTGCGAAGAGCGACTTCCCCGAGCGGTGGCCAGATCTGGTCGATGTGAGTGCTCTTGCCTTTGTGCTCTGTGCACAGTATCCCCTTTTGCTGTGTCGCGCCTTCGTTCTGCATCTGCCACCGTCTTCCCTGTGGCGGTCGGTATTTCGTTTGCGTCCGCTACGCCCTTTTGCTGTCGTTCAACTCCGACCTCTTCGTTCGGTGGCGCCCTCCGGTGTTCCGCGTCCTGCGCAGTGGCGCAGACCCACAGGTTCTAAATCTGGAAATACTTGATATCCATGGCGCTGCGGTGTGCGTACCGCGACTGTCGGCAGAAGACTATGGGTGTGGCAAACGCCCAAACTCTCAAAAGCGAAAAAGACTCCCGAAGCGCTGAATCGCTCCCGCGTACTGAGGGTGGGCCCCGAGTTCTCATCTCGAGTTGCCAAGTGTCCGCAAAACATACATGTCGACGCGTAGGTGAGCCGACACTGCAGCGCCACACACGGCTTGACCACGGTGCGACCATTATGGAATTCTGACGTCCTGAACATGATGCCTCGTGAGACTATAGTGCTGATCACTTCTCTGCTATCCTGCAGAAACTCGTCGTATCGCTTTCCGAGTCAAATTATGAAGTCAACGTCGGCGTACTCGAAACAGCACATTCCATCTTCCGTCCATGGCGTGCCGAAGCTCGCTCCGACGCCCTGTTCACCGAGATCAACTACGTCCTCTCCCGCTTCACCACACCCTTCCTTAGCCTCTTTCTGCACACTACTACTCTCCTATTTGCTCAGCCGCCTCCACCCAACCTCGCGCAAGTCGCCCAAGCAACGGTGTTCCTTGTGGAAATCTACTACGACCTAACGTGCCAGGACCTTCCGCCCGGCATCGAAGACTCGCATGCACAATTCTTTGCGGCCCAGGATGGCTTGTTCCTCCGCCTCCTCCTGTGGGACCCACCACAGCTCCGAGGGGACGTGAGTGCGCATGCCTGCCCGCGGATAATGCGTGCTGTACTGACAGTCCATCTAGCCCGATGACACGACGCCGTCTCTCCCATCACAAATCAAGACGAGGATCCTCGAGATCGTTGAGGTACGCCCCGTCGCTCTCAGCATCGGCGCATACCTGATATGCCGCGTATACAGCTCTTTGTGAAGCTATATCCAGAGACTCTCCAGTCGTCAGGCACCGTCGAGGCTTTCGTGCGGGCGATCTGGGACCTCGTGGGCGGTGGCAAGCGGCCAGGCGTCGCGGACGACGGGGTGTGTTCCATCGGTTGCGTCGTGATCAGAGAAGTCGTGTTCACACTGTGTGCCGTTTTCAGCTCGTGTCGCAGTCTCTGCGCTTCATCGCCTCGGCTATCCGGATAGGTTACTACAAGGACCTCTTCGGCTCAAAAGAGACCATCTCTGGGCTCGTGCAGGGCGTCGTTGTGCCGAACGTCGCTCTACGAGGTAAGTCTCGCGTGAGGCTTCTCCCAGGGCGGCGCACCTGATGTCAGACACATCTCAGAGCACGAACTGGAGCAGTTCGAAGACGACCCGCTCGAGTACATCCGGTTGGACCTCGCGCTCCCGTCCATGGGCGGGATCGGTCTCTCGCACGACGCGGTCACGCGCCGCCAGGCGGCGGCCGACGTCCTCCGCGCGCTTGTGTCGTCCGGGCTCGAGGCGGAGACGACGGAGGTGACGGGCGCGTGGATCGGGCAGGGGCTCGCGGAGTACAACGCGGACCGGGCGCAGAACTGGCGCGCGAAGGACACGGCGATATATCTGCTCACCGCGGTCGCGACGCGGGGGAGCACGACGCAGCACGGGGTGACGTCGACGAACGCGCTGATCGACGTGGTGCAGTTCTTCTCGGACCACGTGTTCGCGGACTTGCAGGCGGAGGAGGGGAGCATACACCCGATCCTGCAGGTCGACGCGATCAGGTTCTTGTATACGTTCCGGAATCAGGTGGGTGGCGGCGCGCTCTGTCTGTGGTTGTGGGAGGGTTGAGTGCTGAGTGTGGTGGTCTTGCAGCTCGTCAAGCCGCAGCTTCTGTCTGTGCTGCCTTCGCTTGTTCGCCATCTGTCCTCGGACAACTACGTGTGCTATACCTACGCTGCGATCAGCATCGAGCGTATCCTGTTCATTCGCCAGGGTACGCAGCTCATGTACGTCGTTGCGTCGTGCTGTATCGGGAGGTGAACTGATGCTCTTCTGCAGGTTCACCCAGGCGGACGTGCAAGACGTCGCTCCGGGATTGCTGAATGCTCTTTTGTCCAAGGTTGAGAAGGCACCTACGGCGGAGAAGATGGCCGAGAACGACTACCTGATGAAGTGTCAGTACCTTGTGCGAACGTTCGTCTGCACTGAGTTGACGAGTGGTCGGGTTGCAGGTGCCATGCGTGTCGTCGTCACGGCGCGGTCGACGTTTGCGGATGGCTACGATCAAATCCTCCAGCGGCTGGTCGCGATACTCGGCGTCATTTCCAAGAACCCGAGCAATCCAAACTTTGACCAGTACATCTTTGAGAGCATTGCTGCGCTGATGAGGTACGTCTAGGGCTCCCAGGGAAAGGCAGATTGGCAGTTCGTACCTAACGTACCCCAAAAGATTCGTCGTTCAGGCCAACCCAAGCGCACTGCCCCGCTTCGAACAGGCACTCTTCGGGCCCTTCACGATCATCATTCAGCAAGATATTGACCGTGCGTCTCAACGGGATGTTCATCGCTGTCGTCATAATCTGATCATTCCCACCATGCTTTAGAGTACATACCTTACGTCTTCCAGATCCTTGCGCAGATGCTCGACCTTCACACGGGCGAGGTACCCGCCGAATACCGAAGTCTGCTCCCGTTCCTCCTTACCCCTGCATCGTGGCAGCAGAAGGGCAGCATCCCGGGGCTGGTCAAGCTCCTTGAAGCGTTTTTGTCGCATGACGCGAAGTCGATGGTCGCGGCGGGGCAGCTTACGCAAGTCCTGGGGGTCATCCAGCAGCGGCTCATCCCGTCCAAGATCAACGACGGCTGGGGCTTCGAGCTCCTCGAGGCCGTAGTGCAGTACACGCCTTGGTAAGTCTACTACTATAAGTGCTCTTGCCCTTGGAGTCTCGGATTGTATGCCAACTGTCACGGACGATATTGATGGCGGTTCGCGGCTTGTCAGGGACGCGCTGAAGCAGTACTTCCGCGGACTGATCGTCACGCTTCTGACGCGCATGCAGACGAGCAAGACAGACAAATACGTGTACCACTTTGTGTATTTCCTCGGGTTCTGCCTGGCGATCAATGTGGACGGGCTGACGCCCGACTACATCATCGGGGAGGTCGACGCGATCCAACCAGGGTGAGCCCTCCCGGTGTTCAGTCGAGTTCGATGCGAGGTATCTGACATCAGCGCACGACAGGCTGTGGTCTCAGCTGTTGGCGAACTTCATCATCCCCCAAGCGCCCAAGTCTCCGCCGAAAGAGAGGAAGGTCGTGATTGTGGGACTCACGCGGCTGCTGAGCCAGAGCGTGCTCATGCTTCAGGACGCGCGCGTACAAGCGTGGTGAGTTCAGGTCTCGCATCCAGGGCTCTGGGCACGACTTCCACACCTGTCACTCGTCGTGTGGTGTGCGGTGTGTGTATCTGGAGGCCGATGTCTTCTCCTCTGCGTGCCGGACGCTCACCGCCGCTGTTCTTCCACAGGCCGCCGACGTTCCAAGCGCTCGCGAAGCTCTTCCAGACTGAGCAGCTGCTCACTAAGAAGGAGGAGCTGGACCCCGACGCCGGCCTGACCCAGATCGACTACGAGGAGCAGACGGCGGGCTACCAGGCGGCGTACTCGCGGCTCGCGGCCGCGGAGGCTGCCCCGGCCGACCCAGTCGCGCACGTCAAGGACCTCAAGGTGTTCGTGGGGCAGGAGCTCGCGCAGGCGTCGGCGAGGGACCAGAGGGTGAAGGCGTGGGTCGCGCAGACGGACGCGAGCGTGACGGGGCCGTTCGTGCAGGCGCTTGCTGCGTCGGGATTCAACATCTAAGTGTCGGGGGGGGGGGGAAATTGGACGGGGAACGTTTTGCATCGCGGCTCTGAGCCGGGGGCGTGTAGGGTGGCAAGACGGTAGTAGTACTAGTGCGTATGTTGGCGCACATTGATCACCGGGTAGCATTTTCCAGCATCTGTTGTAGTCCGCATGGGGCATTATGTCTAGTTTGTAAGCATACGCTGTCTGCGAGTTGCGCCAAGGCGGACATGTCGGTAGGACGGCGATGTGTGGCTTGGGGTCTCTCCCAATGCGCTGAGGACGCATCGTACGCGTTTGTTGTACATGCGTCTCTTGAGAATGGGCTTGGGTGCCTTGCTCCGGTCCGGCGTTCAATATTCATTATCGAGATATGGCTGTGCAGTGGTCCGCGGGTCACCACACTCCGGTTCGATGAGATGGACCACCACGAGCTCGAGGGTGCCAGAGGCTGAGGTCCCAGCTATGCCCCTCCGTGAAACTGAAACGTAAATAGACAAGAATCTCATCCGGGTATGAGCAAAAATCCCCGGATTACGGGAACCAACGGGCTGCCCACAATCGTGCTACTCTCTCCTTTTCTCTGCTATGGCTCCTGTGCTTGTGTCCTTCGCTGTCGTGCTTCTTGTTTTTCTTGCCCTTCGCCTCAGACGTAAGAAGGGCACACCGTTCCCCGGTCCCCCGCCTGCTCCCGTCCTTGGCAATCTGTTGCAACTGCCGACGACGAAGGTCTGGGAGAGGCTCAATGAGTGGGGCTTGACGTATGGTGCGTACTACTCCCTGCCCTCGCTCCCTTACTCGGCCCAACCCCAAATAAGGCGCTATCTACCAGATCCACCTCTTCTCCACTCCCCTCCTCGTCCTCAACACCGCCGAGGCCGGCCGCGAGCTCCTCGATGCCAAGTCCGTGCTCTACTCTAACAGGCCCTTGCCCAAGATCATCGAGATGTGAGCCCGAGCCATCGCGCGCGCTGTCTCGCCGTCAAAGAGAGCGCTACTGACGGCGTGTATTGCAGGACTGGCTTCGATAAGGGCGTCGTCCTCGAGCACGACCCTCTCCGTCTGCGTCAGGCCAGGAAGCTTTTGCACTCGGTGCTCCAACCGAGACAGCTTTCGTACTATCGTGCGGTGTTGGAGCACCACGTCAACGTCCTGCTGCACAACTGTCTGCACGAGCCGGACGGCTTCGTCGAGCACATCCGGCAGTCAGTGCTGCTTCTTGGGACTGTAATAGGCGCTCGCCTTGACCTAGGAATATCGCAGGCTGACCGCGGGCATCGCGATGGAGATCTCGCACGGCCACCGCGTCACGTCTCGGGACGACCCGTTCGTCAGAAAAGCAAACGTCTTCGCGGACAACTTCGCGGAAGCCAGCTTGCCGAACAACCACATCGTCGATTGGCTGCCGTTCCGTGAGTGATTGTCCCCACGGGGCTAACTGATGTTTGTGCAGTGTGTAGGACGTCGCTGACCGCCACGGCGCGCTCGCTCGTCATAGTGGCCAACTTCCCAGGGTGGCTACCTGGGATGGGCTTCAAGGAGAAGGCGCGCAGGTATCGCGAGCAGTACTGGTCGCTCGCGGAGGAGGGTCATCAGATGGTCAAGGACGACATAGTAGGCTGCTCTCTACTCTTAACTTGTGAAGACGTGCTGATGGTGTTCTGCAGGCCAACGGCCTCGCTCGCCCATCGCTGACTTACAAGGCGCTTGTCGAGGGCAAGCCTGGTGACGTCCCAGACGACGTGATTGCGTTCACCGCGACTCAGGTGTATACCGGCGGAGCCGATACGGTGAGTAGCCGTCAACTGCATCCCCCCGGAGCGGAATGCTGACCGTTTCTCAGACAGTCTCCACCTTGTCCTCGTTCATCCTCTTCATGGTCAAACACCCGGAGGCCCAGAGGAAGGCCCAGGAGGAAGTCGACCGTGTCATTGGCTCGGATCGCCTGGCTTCCTTCGCCGACCGCGAGAGCCTCCCGTACGTCGACGCTGTCATCGCAGAAGTACTGCGTCTCCGGCCACCGGTCAGCGTCGGTGAGTCGCGCACCTCATAGGACGAGACTTGGACGGCACCTGACGGAACGATCCCCAGTCACCCGCGAGGCCGGTCAGGACGACATCCACAACGGCTACCTCGTGGAGAAAGGAACGATCATACTCGTGAACTTCTGGTCCGCCCTGCTCGCTCGTTTTGAGCCGTCGCAGCCTATGCTGACAATCTGTGATGACGTAGGGGCATGCTGCGGGCCGAGGAACACTACCCCGACCCTCACTCGTTCCAGCCGGAACGCTGGCTCGGGAAGGACCACAGCGACCCGACGCACCCCTTCAACGTCGCGTTCGGCTTCGGAAGACGGTACGTGCCTCGCCATGCGTGCACTTCCCCGGCCCTCGTTCATTCATTATTCGTCTTCCTCGTGCAGCTCATGCCCCGGACAACACCTGGCCGAGGAACTCGTCTTCACAACCGTCGCCCGTATCCTCGCGCTGTTCGATATCGCGCCAATCAAGGACGAGCACGGCATCCCTGTCATCCCATCGGACGACAGCACGAACGGCGGCATCACGTAGGTTGTAGTACCAGACGCAAACCTGCCCTCTACGAAAGCAGAATTGTTTTTGACGTAGATATGTATTTTGCAGATTTCCCGTTCCGTTCCGCTGCTCGATCCAGCCCCGCTCGGCTCGCGCCAGGGAGGTGCTGGAGGGGCTTGAGCACGAGTCGTGAGGGAGCCTTGAGTGCTGGCCTGATCTTCGGGAATTTGCTGTCATCATGTAACTTATCTTGCATACGCTGTCGCTCGTGCGAAATAGGAATACCGCACATTTCTAGCATGTGATCAACCCTTGTGTGCATCAGTAGTACCCCTCGTGAGATGCTCTGAAGATGAAGGTATAGACGACAGTGGGTATGCACAAGACGTGCAGATGGATGGATATGCGTAGCCAGCTGGCCCCCTGGCTAGTCGTCGTCGATGTGGATGGCGTCGTCCCTGTCCTGCTTCCACTTCTCGAACATAGCTCGCTCGAGCTCCCGTCCCAGGGCCTCTCCGACCTGCCATGGCACGGCATTTCCAATCTGCCTGTGCAGCTGTGGGACGAAAGCGCAGTCAGCATCTATCTAATGTTTGCGGGAGACGAACTGGAACCCACAGTTTTCATGCGATCGCCGTGGGCGATGAACGTGAACCAGTCCGGGAACCCCTGCGAGCGTGCCAGTTCCCGGATCGTGAAGATGCGACGGTACTGGACCACGTGTCAGACAGCTGTGTGCCGAGCAGGCGGCCGAGGCCGCCATGTGTTGCTAGGCAGACTCACTTTGGGATGGAGCACGTAGCTCTGCTTTGCAGTCGGGTCGACATTGGTCACCGTCGTGTGGAACCATTCCTTCTCGTCGAGGCGGCCGTACATGCCTGGCTTGAAGCCCAACCGGGCCGTTGCGGAGGCCGGATTCCTGAACTGCCACTCGGAATGCTCGTCGGGGAGGACTAGAAGGGGGTTCGTTAGATCGTTGCACGCTCCTGCGCTCCCGAACGTAGTCACGTACACCTGTAGTCTGCTCTGCTCTTAAGAGGCACATTGGTGATACTGGTTGAAAGCCGGATGATGGGTCATCGAGCACACAGCTGGAGACTCGGTTAGGGCCCATACCGTGAGACAACGGCATGCTTGAATGCACGCGTATAGTGCTGCAACTGTGTTGTAGGCTTCGTCCTACACGCCTTTTGATATGAATTTTTTGGCGGACGCGCATAGTCCCCTGGGGGGCCGCAGTACGGCTTCTTGGGATCGCATTCGATCGAGAAGACACCCTTGCGTGGCTTCATGCCGTTTTTCCCCGGGTCCTTCCTACACGCCGGTCGCAGTGAGTTCGAAGGTGATGGGCAGCAAGCGAGAAGGGAACACACCAGTCAAAGGCCACGAGATCATCTATAGCGTCACGGATGCACACGGCCCTGAACGGAGCCGTGCCATCGCCTGTAGGGACGGGGTTGATCTCTACACCATTCGGAAAGCGGATGGAAAGAGCATCAGGATTGAGAACAGCATGCGTGGGCAAAGGAAACGATGGCAGAGGATAGGACTTCTGGGACGCTAGAAGGAAGAATCTAACCCTCCTCTGCGGCGTCCCGTATTGACCCGCTTGGAGAAGGCTGAAGTGAACTTGATAGCTGGATGGATATCGTTAGTGATCCACTCGGAAAGGGTACTGGGAGCCGCCTACCCTAGTGTCAATAGAGCATGGATGAAGAACTTCAGCCCGCCCATCTTGATCCCGCCAACCATTCTGAATCGTCCAGCCTGAGATGCATTGAGATTGTAGTTGAGGAAGCCTCGAACATTCTCAAACACGCAGTACTTTGGCTGTAGATAGTCTATCCAGGAGAGGAGATTGAGGAGTAGATGCGACTTTCTATCGTTCGCCTTCTGGAACATGTTCAGAGTGGAGTGCGGCTGACTGGTCCCACGCAATGAGACGGGCAATATCAGTGCTCGGGGAGGTTATCACGTCGAAGGCCTCCGTACCAAGGAAAACCAGCGACGATACAATCTATGTCTCCCGGTTTCGGAGGGTCAGGAAGAGCGGCTCTTTCCTGAATGTCTAGTGGAGGTGACCCTTCCCACTGCTTTGCACGGGACTTGACGGCATAGCGCAAGACGATATTAGAGCACTGGTTGTAGACTGTAGTATGAGGGGAGTTCTTCCTACAAGGGGAACAGAGGTTGAGCGAGAGGTTGGGTAGATATTCATAATCGGGTCTCCCTACTGCATTGTCGCCGCAGCACTGGGGGATATCTCGATGGCATGCGTGATCTTGATGCAGCCGGTCGCCTCCATAGGGAGTCCAAAGGCACCCACCCCTGCGAATGGGTCAAAGCCCCTCAGACACGCGCGGGGCTGTTGCCTCGTGAACGCTTTCAGTTGTTGCGCTCGCACTTCGTCTTCCTGAAAGCACACTTGGCAGACGGGAACCTTCTTCTTCCGAGAAAGCTCTGTAAGCCCGTTCCAAGTCTTGGGTTCGAGGGACTGCGACGCGTAGCGCACAAAGAAGTGGAACGGTGAACGGGCGAGCCAGGCATCCATATGCGTTCTTGATGAGTGGTGCAGCACGCTGCATCGCTTGATCAGGTCGTTGCCACTGACATCCATCTCGAGACCTGTCATGAAGAGCTCTCGCTGACGATTCATGAGATTACGCACATAAATACAAAGAAACAATCGGTCTCACTTACCTCATGTGCAAACGCGTCGGCAGGGGCGGCGAATGATGGCTCAGAGAGCAAATCCGCTATGCGACCGAGGAGCCTGACCGTGACCAGGATGGTGCCTTGAATTTCATCGTCCTGTCTTCTAGGTCGTATACGTATAATCATCCCAACCAATGCAGGAGCTTTCTTTTGTTTGGTGTTGGCAATCAGTGCATAATCATCATGATGGTAAGTGCTCCCAAGATAGCTCATGCCGCCTTTGACAATGGTGGGCACCAAATCACTTTCACGTTGGGTAGAAAGGAGACAGGCAGGGCAATTGTCGGGCGGATCAAGTGCATCTCCGTCGCTCGTGTCCACATCTTTGAAAGAGCCGTCGACTTCGTCATACATGAAGCTGTGTAGTGCATCAGTCCTGTACGTGCAGTGGGAAGAGAGAGGCATTGGCAGACCGGCAGAAGAAGTGAAGCGGGTCTAAATCCTCCCCCTTTCCAGGCCGGTGGTCATTGCAGACGACAGCCTTACCCAAGACATCCCGCAGGGCGATTGTCCCGCAGTACTGCGGGCAAAGGAACAGTTCCTGAGGGTTTGAGATCTCCTCGAGGTACGTCTTCGAGGAGTGCTCATAGAACTGAACATGCGCCTCCTTCTCCCTCTGGTCAATGTAAATAATCCTTGCGAACCTTTGTGCACAAAGATAAGCTGCTGTCACAGGACCGCTTATAGAGACATACCAGAAATACTCGCCAACAGACGCATGCTCTGGTATCTCATTCAAGTCTTGAGGTATATTGGGTGCAGGCCGATGTTTGTGCTTGCCAGCTAGGACGATGACGCAGTCACCGAGCTAAAAACCACACGTCGACCCCTAACGTCAACGAGACATCTTCGCAGGACTCAGGCAGTATGTCATACCTTGTATACTTCCTGGCCTATCTTCACAGCCTTCCAGTATTGACCATCGAGGCGCTCCCCTTGCGGAAATTCAATTGTAGACTGGTTGTCTATACGACGCATGATCAAGTCCCCAATACGCCCCCGTACCTTCAGCTGCCGCTGCCGGAGTTCATGTCCAGTCAGACGTTTGGGGGCAGCCCCGACCACTTTCAAGTGCTCGCGGAACAGGCCAAGAGCAAGCGTGTCGATGAGCGGTGTTACATGCGTCGGGTTCTGATTTTCTGGGCGGAGGACGGCAAGATCGAGGTTGCCTGTAACCTTGTTCGGCTGAAAGAATGGTCGCGGACGGCTTGCACGTGAACCCACAGGCAGGGTCATGTGGTGGACAGGGTAAGGAATGTGTTGCTCGTCCAGTGAATCGAAAATATGTTGCACGAAGGGCCGCGAGGTCACCTTGGTCCGCAGAGCTGGATCGTCATCAAGAATGCTCTTCACTAGCGCGACCTGTAAACCATTGTGAGTCCAGCGTGGCAACCGGCATTGGTAGAAGACCTACTGAGCGAGCCAAATCCTCCGTTTGCACGTGGTCATTGAGAAGGTCATCCCATCGCCCAAGGTAGAGTTCTGTAAATTCCGCATATGATGTCACGAGCCCTTCCAGGGCAACAGATATCACAATCTGCGCGATGCGATGTGGGGTGTAGAATCTTCGGTGAATGTTCCTGTACAACGCTGTGGGAGACTTCAAGATATACCACCCATATTGCGTCTCTACGTAGATAGGACTAATCGCAGTCAGATATAGTTATGAGGACGATACAAAGCGGATAATCTCACTCGTCCACGGCTTGATAGTCAATGAAATACCGGAAGATCGCGCTCGTACGCAAGCGTTGCAGGTCCGCCTTCTTAGCATTGTCGACTATATCCTCCTGGCCTGCATCCTCCTCGTTCAGATATACCGGCGAGACGTTGCCCGCGGCCTCAAAGTGATGATCCGTTCCAGCATTAGCATGCAGCAGCTCAAGAGAGACGAGCTCAAATCCCCGACCGTGCCTGGGGTCGAAGATTGCGAAGTCCGAGAGTATCCGCACCGGCTTTGCCTCCTCGTCCAAGTAGTCATCCGCGTCCTCTCCTTGCACGATAGTGTCCTCGTTTTCTTGGATTTCATCGGGATGAGGTTGGTATGATAGCTCTGTTGAATGCAAATGTAAATTTGCCTTGGAACAAACTGCAACCAAGCTACTCACTACGAACCGGTGGCCCGCCTACCCTGTTCTCGAGTACAGTATCCCTTCGCAATCTTTTATCGACCTGAACACAGTCAAAGGAATTCCATCTCTAACAATCGACAACCTACATGTTCTACCGCAGACGCATCAATGCGTCTCCGCTTGGCACCACGCGAGGACGCGGTGGACTGTACTAGTGCCAGTGTCGGATCCTGCGGCTGCACGAGCAGGCTTGGACTTGAAGCAGAGGCCTCAATCTCGTCAGGGAAGCTCACACCGAACGCAGTATGCCGACGTCTTGACATTGGGGAGACAGCTATATTGAGAGAGGGAGAGACAGCCTGTACGCAAGCCACCGATTGTGTTCGTTAACGAAGCAGAGCTGAGGTCAGAGGGTCCGGTCCACACGCGCTCGTCGTTCCCGCTCGGCCGCGCTGCGGCGACCCTGCCTTGACCCTGCATGCAGTCGGGGTATATGACCACGGCAATAACGTTTTGCACTATCTGACGTCGCACTTCGTTTCTCCACCGACAGTTGAAGTGAGCCCGCGGCATGCGTTTCACTCAGCTGTTTCCGGCCGTCATATGACATACATCGGTTCTCTCATCATGCAATTACTGTTGCGTTGCGGACGCCAGATAGAATGCAGGATTTACGGCTAGAGCAAATGCCGTTATAGGACATTGACACGAGAGCTCAATACACAGAAACAGACAACGCCGGAAAACTCATGAAAGCGTCTAACTACGCCAGTACTGTGCCCAGTCGTGCATCCTGTCCAGCACGACCGTGAACGGCGAAATATCGTTCAACAGCCGCTCAAAGTGCTCGATCGCCTGCTCCTCGGTCATCTCGAGGCAGAATTTGCCGAGCACCTGCTCGTGCACGTCACGCTGCTTGATGTGCGGGATGTTGGCGTCGACCATGAGGGTGACCAGGTTGAGGATGAGGTTCGCGCTCTTGCGGAGGATCGAGAACGCTGTGAAGCAGAACGACTTGAAGCGCTGGTAGTGCACCGACTGCACGCCGCCCATCGCGTCGACCATCTCTTTGCAGATCTTGACTGGCGGAGCGAGTGGCTTGGGGTCGCGCCCAAGGATGTACCCGAAGTCGACTACGGTGGCAGTGAGATTTGAATATCGCGAGGTGAGCGGAAGGACTGACCATGAAAGAAGTGACCATCCGGAGCTAGCAGAAGGTTGTCCAAATGCCGATCTCCAACGCCCAGTAGATAGGTCATGACACAGTAGCCGGCTGTGAAAGATTTTCAGTAGACGTCCATGGAAGCAACACCCTGGAATACGGACCGCAACTCCTGACAAAAGTATCAATGACGCCAGGCTCGACGCCGTAGGTCCCCACACTCCCCTCGTCGGGATAGTTCGCCCGGAGGTAGTTCAACAACGTCCCATGCTCGCTGACAATTGCGGCGATCGTCTTGCTCGGGATAAACTGGGCCATACCCTGGGTTGGACCCGTAGCGAGCACGTCGTAAGGGGTGACCTTCAGGTCTAGATTCTCCTTCCGTAACAACCGGTCCATGAGCGTGAACAGCTGAATCACCAGCTGATCCTGGCGCATGTCGTCGCCGTCCTTGAAGATGACGGGGTACTCGCCACCGTCCGCACACTGGAAGTACAGGAGCATGGGGAACATGTTCGACTTGAACACGCTCGACTTGTCCGCGATGATCCCTGTGACGTTCACGCGCGCGTTCAGCGGGAGCGGGAGCGGCGGCATCGATGCGAGGTTGTTCTTTCCCTCTGCGAGGAAGGCGCGCAGCTTCTCGATCTTCTTGGGGCGCGGGTCCTTCGATGTACGGAGGTCGCGCGCGCGTTTCGCGAGCGTCTCGACGAGCTCGCCTTGTCGGCGCATGAGGTCGCGGCGCTCGTCACCGTTATCCTGCGTAGAGCGTCAGCAGGTGAGGGCTCTACTATTGTGTGCGACCTTACCTCGAGAATCTTCATGAACTTGAAGACGACCCTGCCGTACATCTTCGCCATCATCTTGTCCTCCATAGACACCTCTACCATGAGGTACCAGTAGAAGCGGTTCCCAAGGATCGGATTCCGCACGGCGCGGGCGATCAGGAAGTCCGCAAGTCCACTATCGTCATAGGACACCGCGCTAGTTGCGGATCGCGACGAACGCTGATCGCTCGCTGTGCTCTCGAACTTCAGCGCCTGGACGAGTTGCAGCAGGTAGAGATGGAGCTCCTGTGAGATAATCAGAAACATGTACGTTCCCGCCCATTTATATAAGGACGGCTTACGTCGTCATCTGCCCTGCTCAGCTGCTTGACTGCGTATGCCCTGACACGAGAGTCGACGGTGCTGGGCCCGAGCAGCTCGAGCGCGTCGTCGGTGTCGATCTCTGTCCACTGGGGCAACAGTTCTTCTACGGCCTGTTTGACCTCCGACGGATCACGCCAAGTCACGGACTTGAGGAACTTGGTCAGACCCCGCTTGTCTCGCGTCAGGTAGAATCGGAACTTCCAGATCAGGTCTTTCTCTTCCGACGTGAGCGGTTGACTAGGAGCGTAGTTGAGAATTACCTAGTGGACATGCGATGAACAGACACGTCCCCGATATCGAAAGAAAGAGAAGACATACGGATAACTCATCGCGGATCTTCGCGTTCGGCTTGAGCTCGCGGTCGTATGGGCTGCTTCTGTGGCTTCGAACTAGACGGCGGTGCTTGTCTTCTACGGGGTTCTCCCGCGCAAGGTCCGGATCCACAACTGCCCATAGATGACCATCGGCAGTGAAGGCGGCGGCTTGTGGTGCCGGTGTTGTAGGCACAGGAGTAACCGACGATGTAGAGGGGACGGACACATTGGACGCATCCTGTGGGGCCAAACCTTCAATACGCCTGTGGACGAGAGGCGGCAGACGTCGCTTACCGGCTCACTGAAGATAACGGGGAAGTCGAAACGCGGGAGATCAATATATAGGAACAGGTTCTCCGACTTCGCCGTTTCAGCCTGCGCCGACCATCAGCTTCGTGCGACCATCCCGTCACAGCACGACGCGCGCGTACCTTGTGGATCTCGCCCATCTTGCGGAACACGAGCGTGTCGAGCCAGTCGGACTTGGGCAGGTCTCCGCGGTCGTACTTCTTGATGAGCTTCTCGAGCCTCCCGGACTCGTCCCTGGTGCCTATCTTGCTCGGGGTCGTAGTCTCGTTCGCGCCGTCCGCTTCGCGATCCGGCCATAGGATCATACGGTGCTTGCCGCGTCGGAGAGTCCTTGGTGCGACGTGTTATAGCGAATGAGGCGAGCATAAAGAGACATGCGCACCACTTCTTCCCAAACAGACGGAATGTAGTTCCACCGACCGGGACAGCAGACCTCGGACCGGCGATGTCCCATACGGTGAAGGTGATCTGCGAGTTGAGTGGAAGGTCGCAGTACCGGATCGGGAGTGTTATCCATTCGTTCCATCTTCATGAAGTCAAGTTACCGCGCGTCCCGCGTTGAATGGGGAGGAGAAACCACTCACGTATACCCATTCCGGAACGCCTTGAACGCGGTGCGAAACGGTATCGTCAGCGGCTTGTTGTCCGCGATAAGTTGGCACGTCACATAGAGGTCGGAGTAGTCCCTTCACTACGGTCATTAATCTTGAGAGGAGGGGACGAGTGGGAGGAGGACGCATGCTTACGGGGCTTGCTGGATGCCGTGGAAGCGAAGCTCTGGCTTCTCAAGAACCTCGGTGAAAGAGTGAGGCTTGCGTACGCCCTCCAACTGTGATCTATGCGCGAGGCGCAGCAAAGTACCGCTCCCTCAGTGCCGATGCAAAAAACAAGGATGGTTGAAGACAAGTACACTCGGAAGGTGACCGGCATCTTGAGGTCGCTGAGCTTAGCGAAGGTGAAGTCATCGCGGTTGTCTTTGTCCATGGTGGAAGTAGCGTAGTTTAGGCTACTGCATGCACTTCGAGCTGCAGGTCCGGCGAGTAGAAGGGTACACGGGATGCCCAAATGAGAGGGCAAGAGCGGAGTGGTTGCAGTGGGAAGACCAAGTGCGATTGAATCGGAATCCGTAGGCGCGTATGGTGGTCCGATCCAGGCGTCTCGTGAGGTGCCCGAACGTCGATGAACCAATCACGACCGTTATGTCGGACGACTTGCAGCATTTCGTTCCTCGTCTTCGCTCTACTCATAACATAGCCTCTCGTCTGCTTATGTGAAACGACTATACGATCATGGCTCCTCTGCACGAGATACCTGCTGAAGCCCTCAACAACCTCTCGGAGAAAACCCGGACGGCCATCGAGCGATTGAGGAGGCACCAGCCGGAGGAGGTTGGTTTGTTCGTACCATTGGCTCTATTCATATCGCTTTCACACTGAACATAATCCTAGTTCAGGATATCCCTCGAACAAGCTGGCAGCAGTGCTAGTCCTCCTATATGAGAAGGCCGGGGAACTCCGCGTGCTCCTCACCACGCGCGACAAGTCGCTCCGAGCCCACCCCGGACAGGTCGCGCTCCCCGGAGGAAAGGTGGACGCCACGGACGCGGACCTGCTTGAGACAGCCGTGAGCATTCTGCGCTATCTCCTGTCATGCGTCTGTGTGGTAGCTGAAAGGTGCAGTATCGCGAAGCGCATGAAGAAGTGGGCCTCCCCCGCCACTATCCGCATGTCTACACGGTCTGCACTCTGCGACCTTACATCGCCTCTAGCAAGCTGCTCGTCACTCCACTAGTCGCGCTTCTCACAGACCTGTCGATCCTGAACAAATTGGTGCCCTCTCCCGGAGAGGTGGACAGGATCTTTGACCATCCGCTGGAAGCTATCCTGGACCCGAGCCTTGCAGCGAAGGAGGACCTCGCTCCTAAGGGTAGCGAGGACTGGCCGTATGAGGACGACTTCCACGTGAGTGCTCTGACACCTTCATCGCCCAGTCCGAAGCGTTGACTGTATGCCACCGCGAAGTGTACGTCTGACGTTGAGCTGCCCTGGCTAGGCAACAGTACCTACCGCATGCACCGCTTCCGGTCCAGGGCCTATGCCATCAAAGGACTAACCTCCGATATCCTTGTAAGTCACATCGTGCAGTCCTATACGCGGCTCGATGCACTCAACTACGGCGTTGAACACAGATCGCAGTGGCGGAGATCGCGTACAATAGGCCACCCGCGTATGACCGACATGCTCCGAACCAGCTGAGGACGTTCGCGCCCATTCTGCGGATATTACTGGAGCAGGTCGCTGTGCAAGATGTTGTGTCTGGGACGTCCACTCCGACGCCAAAGGTCGAGGTGGGGGTTCCTTCTGGGCTGGCGCAGGCGGTTGTCAATGCGACAAAGTAGACGACATGGATGTGTCGATTGTCCACCAGCACTCCCTGCATGGATTAAAACACGGAATCATCGTCTAATCGTAGAATTCGTCTATTACGCGCTGTTGTTATATTCTATGGGTCAGGTGAGTGTGCCTCCGACAAGCCTGGCAATGCGCTACCGCTCGGCTCACAGCTTCGGAATAGACAATTCCGCCACAGCGTGTCGGGCCACAGTGTGAACCAAAGTCGGACAACGAGAGAACGACGATCGGTAAATCTCCGCCCAGACCTACCAGAAGGGGACACAGAGGAAACTCACGTTTAGGGTGCATGTGAGATGCTGCTGCTGTTGTCTGACTTGCACATCCAGCTATCCCAGTGAGTACGATCGGAACCGCGCGGTGCCCTTCACAACGTTCATGACTTTGTTGCTCTCGGCAAAGCTGCGTGGCAAGCTGGTGCGCAAGGTTATCAGTCTCAGACAGTCTTCTGAAGGACTGGTGGAAAGTCGCCGCACTCTTGTGATAGAAGGACTTGAAGAGTGAAAGCGAATGGATAGTGTCTCGGCTAGTGGGGCAGGGGGTCGGATGCGTGAAGTCTAGAGCCGAGCCATGCATGCTCGACGCGGACGTTGCGCTTGCGATGGATCAGGAAACAGGATCGCCTCGGCTACGTGCGCGACGGTGCATTTTAGCCCGAAGCGCCCTTTGTTCGCCAGATTTGCCCGTGTTCCGAAAGGAGCCTGCCTGGCGAAAGTGGCCGGACTGAGAACTCAGAAGGGAAGAACCCGGCTAAAATGAGCGGACACGATGTTTATATATAGATCTATTTGGCGGTGCTTGGCTGATTGGCGCTTCTCGGCTAGGCGTGGGCTCAAATATGGGCGGCGTCGTCTTTTCCTCAGCAACGTAGCCTCCTCTCCACCGTCCTCCGTCTCTCCTCCTCCCTTTCTCCTCTCCGTCTCTTTCAACGACCAGTCAACTGCCAATCATGGCCTCCTACGCTCCTTCCGTTCTCTTCGCCCTCCTTTCTGCCACCACCGCTGCTGCCCAGGGCCTCACCTGGGCCCCCACCCCCCTCGTCGACCAGCACTACCCCACGCCCTCCGATGCTCCCCCCAAGGTCTGGCCTGATACCCCCGCTTACGAGCGTGGCCCCCAGACCGGCTACAACCAGTGCAACAGCACCACCGAGGGTCAGGACTCGCTCTGCCAGACCATGTACTTCAACGGTCTCGATGGTACGTGATTGTTTCCCCCCGTCCAGCCGCCGGCTGTTGACGGCGCCTTGTGTCAACTTAGACTTCTGCCTCTGGGCTCCGCCCCAGCCCAACACTACCATCGCCGACGCCGAAGGCGAGGTCGTCGCTTGGTGCACCAAGAAGGGTTACGGTACCCGCATCATGACCGAGGGCACCATCAAGGGCGCCCAGCTTCTCAAGTCTAACGACTACTGGATGCTCACCGGTCTCATCGACCAGACGAAGCTCTACATCCAGGATGGTGACTACGGAGGAGAGCTTGACTCCGGTTCTCAGGATGGCGTGCGTCTAACCGTCTGTCATCTCGTGCATGACACGCATCTGACATGGCATGATCCTTCAGCGTGGTAACCCTATTGGCGGTCTCGTCTACTCGACAGCCTTCAACACCTCCGTGTACCAGGTCAACTGGTGGACTGAGTACGTAATTGATCCTCTCTGATATCATTGTTCTTCCCTGACCGCCTTTTCCTAGGTTCATCGGCAACAACCAGTTCTGCATCAAGATTTGCAACCCCGACAGCCCCAACCAGTCCGGTTACTGCCAGCACACGCTCGACCGTATCGGTCTTGGCTACAACTGCCCGTCTAAGTACACTGTCGGCGGTGGTTACCAGGAGGGCGAGTTCGAGGTTTGCGACACGCAGAACATGGCCATCGTCGGCGAGTACACCGATGCTTCGGGTGCCACTCAGTCCTACGCGCAGCCGCCCGAGTCGCTTGGTCCCATCACTACGGTCCCCTACCAGCCTACTACGGTCGCTTCCTCCAACTGCCAGCAGACTGCTTCTTCGGTGCTTTTCTCGCAGCTCCTCGCTGGCAGCGGTACCACCTCGGGCGCGGCTCCTACTGGCTCTGCCGGTGCCTCGGGATCGCAGACCGGCACTGCCTCTGGCTCCAAGGTGACTGGCTCGACCGCCTCTGGCTCCAAGTCGAGCACTGGCGCGTCTCCGTCTGCGACGGGTAACGGCGCGTCGCCGCTTGCAGCCGGTTCGGCCATCTCCGCTGTCGTTGGTGCCCTCGCGCTCGCGGCCTTCCTTTGAACGTGCCCAGTAATGGACACGGACGTGGTAGATTTAGGATTGAACGGACTTACTTTTCTACACGCATGTTTCAGTCTACTTTAGCTTGAACGATTTACAATCGCCGCATCTTTTGTCTCCATATATACTTCTTCCCTTGTCACGCCAGCATTGCTGCGGTAGGCTCTCGGACACGACTTGATCACCATGCGAATGGCCGACGTGGGGCAATGCTTGACTTGAATGACTTGTCTCAATGAATTACACGTTTTCTTGAGTCGTTCCGTGGCTGTGAGGCAGGATGAGGTTGAGGGGAGCGTTGAGTGCTCGGCCCATGCATGGGTCCATGGGTTCATCTTGACTTGACACCCCCGCAAGCCCGCGATCATGATTTGACACGACTCTACAGGACAGACAGGGGACAACTAACTGTGGGTATGCATGGAGTCGAGACGTGGTGGAGCGGGAGGACACTGGAGTACAACCGACTTTTGCCCGCAGCTTCTCCAAGAGCGAGTGTTCGATTCAGGTGACCTCTGTATGATGAACTTCGAAGTCTTTGACAGAGGCGTTGATTTCGATCTAAAAGGCCGACGGCTTGAGCTAGTCCAGCAGCCGCGCTCCTCAATGTGCAAACCACCTTAGCGGGTGCTGTCGACTGGTATGTCTTAAACCGTGTGATGTGATGTCAGGTTATCAAGCTCATGACGGTCCTCTAGCGATGAGTGGCCGTATGGGACGAGACGTTTACAAATCGGCCTACAGACTGGACCAAACATCGTCCCAAAAGCAGGAACAGCTCACGCTCATGAAAACATCTGGACGTCCTTGGGCAGGGCCCCCACTTTCTAGCAAGAATACAGTCGTCGGTGAGGCTGGCGACCTCCCGTCCTGATTTGGAATGCTCTCAGTATGGTCTGGCTTCGTGGACGTTTGTCCAGGTATTTGTCGTCAAGAATACTTGACCTGCCAGTGCTCTACATAGGTGCGAGCAGAGCTCCAGCCTTCGTAAGGTACTTGGAACTCTCCGGGCCAGCGACATGGTCGCCAGCTGGGACGTCCTCGTTACCTATCATTGTTTACCGATACACTTTGTATGTCTACCGACCCATAGCTTGGCTAGATAGTATCGGCAACATAGGAGATTCTACAATACGTACGACAACTAATGAGGTCAGATGGCCAAAGTGGTTATGGTCGCGTAGGGTTGGGCCCCTTCACGCTCGAGCAACGCTACGTGTTATTGTAAAGGTATCTCAGTACGATACACTTCCCCCTGTCATGATCATTGATGAGAGACCTTCCCGACTCGGGAAGGTCTTGGAGCTTGGACGTTGAACATTCTGAACTCTGAGCTCACGACATCGGGCCAGCGGCGGGATGCATACTGAAGAGGTAGAGGCACTAAAGTCTAGTGGCCCGTGGCGTGGAACAAACCGCTTGTCTCTGAGACTCAGAACTCACCGGCCTGTTATGGAGCTTCCTACGAATCCACATCAATCGCATACGTCCTCCCGCCGCAAAGCTAGCTGGACCCACAAGCTCGTCGATGGCTTCGATCTTTCCTCTCGAGATCTACTACCGCATCATCGATGCCGTCGGCGATGACACATCCCCTCTTTTCGTCAAAGGGAGATATCTGCGGTGTTCCTTGTGTGCCATTCATAGCATCCAAGATGCCGTGCCCTCGCCTTCCGCCGGACGCAGTTTCTTCCATACAAGCCGCTCTCACACTTATACGCATTCCGCCGCTTCATCATCCCTGCTCCCCATATAGCGACGTTGATCGAAGGAGTTGAATTGATGAGGATGGCAAACTACATGACCCCTGTGGAGGTTTTCCACAGCGCCTTAGCGAGACATTTACCTGCCCTCAAGGTCGTCATCATCAACATGCCGGACGACCTTCGCCGCATGCATTTACAACCTCGCTTCAATAATCCTCGCCTTCAGCTCCATACTGTCACGACCCTCGAGCTCAAGCTCATCCCGTTGATGGAAACCTGGGAGCTTGATCGGCTCCTCATGCCATTCCCGAACGTACGTATCTTGGACATGTATCGGGTATCATGGGTTGCGAAGGACCTGCGCCAAGTGAACACTCGATAGCCAAATATGCTGAAAATAGTGCCCCCCAGGCTCATTGATCTACGACTAGCTATGAGAGGGGACGACTTCAGTGTACGCACGTTTGTAATCTCGCAATATGTCAAGCGGGCACGGTAAGCTGACACCGCATTGCAGCATATGCTGGAAGGAGCATTCAATATAGTAGCTACGACCGGCTTATATACGCGGTCAGCAGCACACTTCAGATTTTGTCGCTCAACATGCCAGTGAGTCGTGTGCTAGTCAAAGCGCCTCGATGTACGTCGCTCTTTCTCAGCGGTCTTCACATATCGACGCAACGGCACTATCCACAGGGAACGAAGTTTCAAATATTCACGTCTTACCTGCACTAACCAAGGTGCATCTGACACTGGTTTTTTCCTCTCCAGGCAGACATTCGGCGCACTGCACCTGCGTCTTCTCTGTCACATATAGCAGAGGTCCCCCAGCTTCTCCTTCGGCTTGAAGCGGAGAACCTACACATGCTTATCCTGACATTTGACGCCAGAGAGACCATTGCAGAGCCTGAGCCATTCCTCGAGGAATTGCAGAAACTCAGAACCTTCATGGAGACTACTCTGTTACAGAGGTTCCCTCGCTTACAGCGGATCTCGTTCGATGTGGGTAGCAACCAAGAGATGGATTCGTGGTGGAAGACAAGGGTATTCGAATGGTACCCTCTGTTACTCTCAAAGGGGATGCTTGACGTCGTGATACGCAGAGTGTTTTTGGTAAGTGAATCATCCCCTCTTCAACTACATGCTCCGTGTTCATGCACATATCCACTGTCGAAGCATGGTGGACGACAACTGCACCATCATCCCTGGCAGGGCTCGCTAGCACGCTTTACTCCTCTCTTGCGATTACCGGGCTCTTTCTCCGCTCACCGGTCTTCCCCTCGCCCGCGGAGCTTGAAGGGTTCTCCCGAAGCTTTTCCCAACTTCGCAGGTTACAACTGGTGGGCGTACGCTGGGAAAAGCCATGGAAGCCCTACACTGCGTGAAGCGCCAGATTACGGTGGCAGGGAACATGCTGGGAATCTGCGTATCCCACGCATGTTCCCCACGGATTCCTCAGCATATTCCCCCTTTATGGGAATCTGCTGGGAACATGCACATTCTCTCTAGATTCCCTCCACATCCCCAACGGCCTTGGCGGATTGCTATGGCAAGGGGGACTTGTCTGTCCAAAATCACTTATCTAACCATGATGACGTTGTCGCCTGACCCCATATCAGTCTGCCATCGCGTCCATAGGCAACTTGACTTCGTACTTCTTCCATCCCCTCCTTGTGCCTGCCCTCTTCATGGTACGTACTGGCCATCGACTTCCGGATGCCAGCTGATGTCTGAGCCTCACTATGCAGGCGTTTTCAGGCTCTTGTAGGTACGTCTACTAATCGGGGCAATGGTGGGTCCTCTAATGTTGTATGTAAAGTCCCTGCATGGAATCTGATAGCATCTAGTAGGCCCGGCTGTTGTCCAGCATTCATCGTCACTTGATGGTGAGTCTCAGGTCTCAGCTTGATAGCAAACTGCTAACATTGCCCAAGCAGCACCTGTATACTGACATTATTGTTGCATATATGCGCAGTTAGGTACGTGTGTTTGGTATTGTGCGCGCTGTCTCAGCTTTGCCTGATGTCCAGATCAGTTGTAGGACATCACCACACTTTGAACGCGGCGCATGACATGGATGGGGTGTCTTATTATGCTGGTCTGCAGATTTCTCAGACACTCGGGCTGTAGCGTAGAAGAGTCGGCCTTCGAATATATTTTCCGCCTATGATGATGTATATGTCCTTGCTGGCCCAAAAGCCAATAACCAACCACCGTGAATAGGTGCCTATATTGGGATATATGAGGCGCCAAACTGCAAACCTCATGAATATAAATGATTATTATGGTACAGAAGTGTATATCCCGTTTAATCCCATGTTACGCAGGGTACGGAATGTCTAAGTAATATATGGGGAACATGGTCGGAATGTGAGCGGAAGGCAGTTAATACCACGACATCCCCTAATCCGGCGGAATGTGGTGGGAACACGCTGGGAATGCGGCGGTAATGTGCTCATCCTCTCCTTGTTCCCCAACCTCCGTAATCTGGCGCTTCACGCGGTGCTACCAGCCCAGCACGATTCATGGCTTACCCGACCTGCCCTCTCATTTGACGGAGCTGCATATGCTGGGAGGGCTTCACACGCCGGTAGGTGTGTCGCCTCTTATTCTCGGACTCAGCTTTGCTGATGATCCCGCCCCTGTTGCATAGCTTCAGTGACACGTTAACGAAGCTCGTGCTCGACGTACCTACGGTGTCACACATAACCTCTGGGTTCGAGGGTGAGTCCGTTCGCGCCACATTATCCCGACCATGATATTGAGACGTCGTTCTACACATACCTCCTGCGATACTGCGAAACCCCACCCGAAGGCACAACGCTGCCCCTCAGTAAGCCAGAGACAGTCGTGATGAGGCGGCTTACGTGTTTCGTTGTTGAGCTACCTAAGGAGACCAACGCCCGCCTTGCCGAAGAGCAGATGGCGCTTGAGGGTGCCGTGCAACGCTTGCTCGCCAAGTTCGTCCTCCCGAACTCCACCGTCTCTCATCTCCGTGCTCCCATCCCCATTCACGAAAACACGGAGGCCATGGGAAGCGGAGGAACCCCGAAAGCTGTGGTCCCAGCGTTGGGGTGGAGAATCCTAGAGTCTTCCGGCGAGTTCCGATAAGAAAGGACTAGAAGTGGCGAGGGATACGCTCCTGGATAATTGCACACGAGATCGAAGAGACTCGTCCTGCACAAGCGAGGGTGTAGCATTCGAAGATGGCGGATTGTGGCGAAGTATAGGCGCTTGTAGGATGAGTGCGCCCCAAGGCCTGCCGCTGAGAGGGCGCTTGAACATCATGCATCAGTAGAGTTTGTATCTATAGATAATACCAAGAATAAACATGTTGTAACTTGCAGTCAGTGTACCTCGACTTCTTGTCTGGCAATGGGTCACCTTCCGAACGACAAGGTTCGCTTTGCTTCCAGCTCTTACAGGGTGCGATAGTGGTCGCCGTCCGTAAGTGCCTCCTCAAGTGACGTAGGCATCCCTACAGTGATTGTGAAACTCTAGGCTCGACACAATAACCTGCGGATACGGATGCGGCGCTGCACAAGCTCGTTTCATCGTCGTACACAAGCTCCATAATGCATCTGCGGCACCGTCTATCCTTGCGATATGGCCCAGAACAGGGTCTTGCCACCTGAATAAGTCTGGAGTCGTCGGAGTCTGAAGATCTCGATGCACAAGAGGCAACTCTATGGTCATCCGACTATGCGTACGAGCGTTGTCATGCACCATCTCCCAGAATGGTGTTGCAGTTTCACGTCTCGGCCCCCGGATTCCTATTGACACCGCGGGTAAGCCACGAGACCTCAAGCTTACGGTATGACCTGAAACCATCCCCAGTTCGCCACACCTCTCCGGCATGGACATCGCACAGGCCAGATACACGAGTGGCTTGTGCGTACTATCTTCCATTGCATTGGCCGGTTCCTCAGCAACTCACGCATGCCAATCTGCCCTGATCCAGCACCCACATCATCGACGGCAAGCCAGCCACCTCACCGACCACCACTTGGGTGATCAACCCGTCCACGGGAGAGCCTTTTGCGCAAGTCCCCATCGCCACAAAAGCGCAGCTCGAGCAGACCGTCGCTGCTGCCGAGCGGGCCTTCACCTCTTGGAGCGCCAAGGCTTGGCAGGAGCGAGCAGATGTGTTGCGCGCCCTAGCCGTCCTCATCGAGCGTCATGCTGAGAGCTTTGTGGAGTTGATCATGCGAGAGGTTGGGAAAGACCGTCATAGTGCGTGAGTAGCCCCATCCTTCCTCCATGTACAATGGTATTGAGGAATCTTGACCTCGAGTACCTTCGAGGTAGGCGGCGCGCCGGAGGGACTTTCTAAGTCTGCAAGCCACAAGCTCGAGGAGGAGGTTGTGACGAGCGAACCGGGAAGGACGAGCAAGATACGATATCGGCCATATGGAGTGGTAAGTGTCCGTTACTCGCTGACGACCGACTGATCTACACGTTCAGCAATCAGTGTGCTGCTGCCATCGCGTTCAAGTATGTCTATTGCAAAATGAGAGCGAATGTCCAATGACACAATGCACAGCTTCCCACTTTTCTTCTGTATCCTCAAGCTATCGCATGCTCTCTTGGCGGGGAATTGCCTAATTCTCAAGACATCGCCCACTGCGCCATGCGTTAGTCTGAAATTTGTGGAGCTCGCGCAGTCAGTTGTCCCTCCTGGCGTGCTCTCCGTGTTGTGTGGTGGTGATGAGTTGTAAGTCCTCCTGGTGACATCCCATCGTGACGTGTATGTGAAGCCGTTCGACTGGGACATCAGGGGTCAATGGCTTGTTCAGCACCCACGTATTATGCGCTTTTCCTTCACGGGGTCGACGGCAACTGGCAAGGCCGTCATGCGCGAAGCCGCTGCAGGTGTCAAGAGCCTCACTCTTGAGCTGGGCGGGAACGACCCCGCAATCGTGCTTCCTGACGCCGACATCAAGAAGGTCGCCCAGTGCGTTCATCATATTCACTGCAACGACCCATAGTCTGTATGCTCACTTCACTTTACAGACATCTTCTCATCGGGGCGACCAATAATGCGGGCCAACAGTGCTTCGCTATGAAGCGGATCTTCATCCACGAAGACATTTACGACGCGGTTCGAGACGAGATCGTAGCGCTCGCAAAGCAGGCTAAAGTTGGGGATCCATTCGACGCCGAGACGATCATAGGTCCTGTCCAAAACAGACGAGTGTACGAGAAGCTGAAGTGCGCAACTAGTGGTCCTCAGCGGCGCGAAATAATTGTGATGCTCATTCGTAATGGCTTTGTTCTGCAGGGGGTTAGTTGCCGACTGCAAGGCCCGGGGCTACAACATCGCCTATGAGGGCGAGGCCGGTATGGCCGGAAGCAAGGGCTACTTCATCCCGATCACGATCATCGACAACCCTCCTGACAATGCCAGGATTGTCCGCGAAGAACGTAAGTGCAGCTATGCGTCGCAGACGCTCGGACTCCCCCTGACCAGCGGGTTGCAGAATTCGGCCCCATCATACCATTACTGAAATGGAAGGATGACAATGAGGTCGTTGTGCGCGCAAGTGAGTGCTGCCTAGAGGATAGATACCATCGCAGTCGGACGTCGATGGTTGACGAATGCCTCGTTCTCACCGCCGCTTTTGCTGTGGTAGATGACACCGAGTACGGCCTGAACGCGTCGATCTGGGGCTCCAATATGGTGCGCATCCAAAACATCGCCGATAAGCTATATGTCGGGACAGGTAAGCCCTCTTGCCTGCTATATGTCCCGCGCGGGAAGACTGATTACTCATGAAACTACGTCTTGCGCCAATGGCACCTAGTCTGGATCAACGAGTGGGCTGCAATGCACCCCGATCTAGTATGTCCATGTTATCTCCCGTCCGTCCCTACCCTTAACTGACCACTTTTCAGCCTTTTCTGGGCGTGAAGGTAATGTCTCAATGCCATTTGCACGAATGGTCCTACCTTGAGATGGGACATTGATCCCACGGTCTATTTGCAACATTCAGCACTCCGGGGTGGGCGTCGAAAATTCAAAGCACGGCCTCCTTTCGTGGGTGTATCCCCAGGCGTATGTGTGCAGGGAGTCGCTGAATGGTGCTCTGACCGAGCCAGAGCTAGAGTAGCCGAGCCGCGATGCGCAATCCCGAAGTGGACTATAGGCGTAATATTTCTTGTTGTCTAGGGGCACATGCACCCGCCTGCCTGACATTGTGTAGCGCCTCCTCCGAATCCTACTTCAAATACGACCGTCATGTGTACTGCGCATGTATTATCAGGTATCCCTCGTCCGATGTATTTGCAACGTCGCACTATTTCGAAATTCGCAATTGGCAACGGCGCATCTACCAAAGGGAGTTCAACTGCCGAGGTACTGGTACCATCGGCTGCGTATCGCTATCGGAAGAATATGCTGACCATCCTACTGCAGGTCACATTCACGATTTCACCTCTGTGCATTCAATCCTTGCCATAACGTAAGATGACATTGGCAAGGGCCCTCGCCCGCTCAGACGTGCAACTACGTGCTGGCATATAACGTATCTGATCGTGTCAACCTTTCTTACCATCATGACTATGGCTGGAGCTCATCGTCAGCGGTCGTGCGCGCTTCTGCTCACGAGTTTCAGAACCCCTGCCAGCGTTCATTGTGGACAATATCGTACTAACCTTTGGCACAGATGTAATTGTACGTCATGATCTCCCCCTGCCTAACATAATCTAAGACCTAGCTGATTGTCTGATGTTGCATGCTCTGCGTCACTTTGGTCCTGGAGTGGGAACTTCAAATAATGAGCGCAAAGTCTCAGGCGCCCCCCACCTGATTGTCAGAGGCTGGCCCGAAGATCGCTTCAAGGATTGCAAATCGCTTGAACGTTCATCAGCGCACTGGGATATTTGGTACAGGGAATGATAGTGGCTCCACTGCTTCCCTCGTATCGAGTGATTCCAGGCGTAAGCTATATAGACTCCCAGCTTACAGGAAAGTCCGGCAGTACCCCACCGGTCGCCGTACATGTTCACCATGGTTCACATCTTCACGGACTCCTTGTACGTGCGCTTTATAATCATCTTCACCTTCCCATTTCGCCAGCGCTGACATACATACGCGAATTGCCCCTGGCCGACTCAGCACGCACATCATTGACGGCAAGCCCGCTACCTCGCCCACTGCTGCACCAGTCATCGACCCCGCAACGGGAGAGGTCTTCGCACAAGTTCCTGTCGCGACATATACCCAACTCGAGCAGACCGTCGCCGCCGCCGACAGGGCGTTCGCCTCTTGGAGCGCTAAGAGTTGGCAAGAGCGGGGGGATGTGCTGCATGCACTCGGTGCCCTCATCGAGCGCCATGCCGAACAGTTTACCAACCTAATCATGCGGGAGGTCGGGAAAGATCGTGGCAGCGCGTGAGTAGTCTGTTGACGAGACGCACAGTCATACTCACGACAGGCTGCCATCAGTGCCTTTGAGGTGGACCTTGCGGCGCAGGCCATCTCCGGATTTGCGAACCACAGGCTCGAGGACGAGATTGTGACGAATGATCACGGGAGATCAACCAAGGGCCGGTATCGACCATATGGAGTGGTAGGTCCCCGCCATTGACTGTGGAGCATCCACTAATATACCTCGCGACTAGTGTGCTGCTGTTATCGCATTCAAGTACGTGTTATGAGGGAAGAAGAGTCATGGGTGTCTCAAAATAACATGACGCACAGTTTCCCCCTCATATTCACCATCCTCAAGCTATCCCACGCACTCTTAGCTGGGAATTGTCTTATCCTCAAGACGGCGCCGACTACGCCATGCGTTCCTCTGAAGTTCACGGAGCTCGCTCAGTCGATAGTACCCCCAGGCGTGCTGTCCGTTCTCTATGGTGGAGACGACTTGTAAGTGCTTCAGTGACCATGCTGAATCGGTGATCAGACTTCAGTTGAACGGGACTCTAGGGGTCAATGGCTCGTCCAGCATCCACGCATCATGCGCTTCTCGTTCACAGGATCGACGGAAAGTGGTAGGGCTGTCATGCGCGAGGCGGCTGCAGGCGTCAAGCCCTCACCCTCGAGCTCGGCGGAAACGACCCGGCGATCGTGCTTCCCGACATTGACGTGAAGAAAGTCGCCCAGTACGTTCAGCGCACTCCCCGTGCCGTTGTTCGTCTTCGTCACTATGTGCTCATCGAGGATCGTAGACGGCTGTTCATCGGCGCGATAAATAACGCTGGGCAGCAATGCTTTGCCATGAAGCGACTCTTCATCCACGAGGACATCTACGACGCTGTCCGAGACGAGATAGTGACTCTAGCACGACATGCAAAAGTCGGCAATCCCTTCGATCCCGAGACGATCATGGGCCCTGTTCAGAACCAGCGGGTGTACGAGAAACTGAAGTGCGTATCCGGCAACAACTCCTGCGAGCAGACTGTCAAAATGCGCTCGTCTACGACCACTTGATCGTTGCGCAGGAGTCTCATCGCCGACTGCAAGGCGCACGGATACAAGATCGCATATGAGGGCGAAGCCGGGCCTGCCGGAAGCAAAGGCTACTTCATCCCCATCACGGTCATCGACGACCCTCCGGACGACGCCAGAATCGTCCGCGAAGAACGTAATTGCGGCCCCGCACTACGACAGGCATTGTTCTGATGTGCGCTGTAGAATTCGGCCCCATCATTCCGCTGCTGAGATGGAAAGACGACGAAGAGGTGATCGTGCGCGCAAGTAAGCCCTAACACTGATCGCACCTGCGCAGACAGTGTCTCACGACCACGGCGTGGACTTTACCGCAGATGACACCGAGTACGGCTTGGACGCGTCGATCTGGGGCTCCGACATGGAACGCATCCAGAAGATCGCGGATAAGGTATACGTCGGGACGGGTGGGTCCTCCAATGCTGATGCACTCCTGGGCTAGCACACTAACTACTCATGTTCATGTACACGCATCCCTCCACTGCTACCAAGTGTGGATCAACGAATGGGCCGCGATGACGGGCGACCTTGTGAGTACATACTCCACGCTCGTCCACCTTGATTTCGCCTCATCTCCAATGGCAGCCTATGAGGGGTGTGAAGGTACGGCCTCAGATGCGCTCCTGTACCATCGCAACGACACTACTGTTCAAACGCCTCTTCTCAGCACTCCGGGATAGGCGTAGAGAGCTCTAAGCACGGGCTTGCCGAATGGGTCTACACCCAGGCATTCGTTTGCAGAGAATCGCTGGATGGCCCCTAGAGCTTCCCAGCGTCATGTCGCTCCGATGTCAGCAGACTGTAATTTGATAATAGATGTAGTCAAGACTCAATTGTATAACGGCAACATCTCGAGAGCAATGCAGAATAGCTAAGCTAGATAGCAGTGATACACTGATCGTCCATGCACGGCCATTCATGCAGCCGCGCCCTTTCCAAGTCCCAACAGTACCGATACCCAACAGTACGAGTACCACAACATGCGACAGAGGATCTTGGCCAAGATAGCCAGCGAAAGCGGCGGACGCAGGATTTTCTCCGCGCGATGTGCGCGACATAGAACCGCTCGTCTAGGGAGGGTCGAGAGCACGTGCTGGCGCCCGATACCACGCAGCAGGGACGCGGCTAGGAAGTCGAGCGTAGGGGAGCCGGGTCTCGACGGCATGCCCGAGGGAGCGAGATTAAGCGCAATGGTAGCGCGTGTTGGATAGGATAGATGCGTGATGGTTTGTGTGGCCCGTCCTGTCTAAGTCCGCGGATCGAATCAAGTCTATGATAAGTCGTAGGTGGATCGTGAGGCGCAAATGACGTTGCGAGCGCGTTAAGTTCGCTTCGCATATTTGGACGCGTTGCGGATGCGCTCGCCATACGTCCAGAGGAGGAACGGTCTGTGAACACGCGCATCGCCAGTCAGTAACGTATGCATGGAGCGGAGGGGGGGAGAGCGAAACTGGTACGCACGCAGGAATACCGACAGCAATCGCAAAGCATGCAAGGATGGTGTCGCCCTTGCCGTAGCCGAGGGCGTTGTACATCGCCGGCGCGAACAGCGGGAAGCCGAAACCGGCCAGCGAACGCAGGAACGTCACCGCCGCCAAAGCTAAAGCAAGAAACCCGTCAGGATGTGGCTATATGCGCTGCTCTCAGTGACACAGCACGTACCTGACGCAGCGTGGAGCGTGAACGCATCGATGACGTACGTCTGGATGGACTGGAAGTTGAGAATAGTACCCGCACCAACGAGCGCGATCCCAATGTCCGGCGCGATCCAGTGCACGTCCGCCCTTGCAGTCCACCCAGTGATGAGCAGTCCGATGGGCAGCAGAATTGTCCCTGGAATCATCGAGGCTGGATGTATGCTCGTCTTAGCGCAAAGTCAGAGCAGATGCAAGGCAGACGGATACGCACGCAATCGGTACTCGGGCTTGCCACCACTACCGTTCTTCTTCGTGTAGTACACGTATATCCTGTCCATCAACCGCGCGTTGATCTGTGACGCCCCTGAGAGCCCAATACCGAGCGCGAGGTAGTGCAGGCCGGCGATACCGACGGGTTGGTGGTAAATACCCTCGAAGATAGAGTCTATCGTAGTGAGGAACACTAGGGACGTTCGTCAGACACCGAGGCTGTATTATGAACGTGGTACCGGATGACTCACAGTAGAGCGTTCCATAGATGAAAGCCATGTAAATTCCGAGAAGCTGAACGATGGGCTCGCGAGCGAAAAGCGCGAAAGGGCGCACGAGCGCCTTCGCCACGATTTTCTTCCAATGGCGGTCTGTGTTATCGAAGACGGTGCGAACCTCTCGCACATTGGCCTTCTCGGGGTCCATGCTCTTCCTAATTTTGTTTGCTTTGCGCTCAAGAAGGACGGGTGCGAAAGCTACAAAAGATGAACAAGATTAGCTTATGATGATGATGGCGCAAGGTTAGATTTACTCACTTTCTTGGAGGAAGAAGAGGCCGAGCACCTGGATGAACGCGTCCACGATGGTGGTGGACCAGAAGACCCATCGCCATGTCGATCTCTGCGCGATCCAGGCACCGCATGTGGGGCCAATGACTGGGCCGAGTAGGGGCGCCAGCGAGTAGACGGCAATGGCTTGTCCTCTTTCTTCGGCTTTCCACACGTCGCCTATCAGACCTCCACCGATCTAATTATACGCACCGCCAGTCAGTGCGTCACTCCCTACACACCTCGCTGGTCACGAGTCCAGCGACCGGAAACAAAAACTCACAGACAGTGGCGCACTCCCGCCGAGGCCAGCGAGGAACCGGAAGGCAATAAGCTGCCCTGTGTTCTGGGCGAACGCGCAACCTAAATTCCACGCTGGGCACATGCATGCGTTGAGTCAAAGAGAGAGTAGCATACTACTCAAAGACACGCACCCAAATACCAGAGATTGGCTAATTGAAGGACTCGGGAACGACCATACAACTCGCTCATCGGTCCCAGAAAGAGTGGACCAAAGGCTTGTGACGACAGACCCATCTCAGAAACTTAGAAAAACAAATATGTACGCATGTGCTCACCATATGCAGCCACGAAGATAGACGTGAGCAGGGCTATTACCGCCGAGTTCGTGATCCCGAACTGTTGAGCGATCTGGTCGCTTGCGGGGGCCATCATGGAGGAGGAAACGGGGCTGATGAACGTGAAAGCGGAGACGATGGTAGTCGCTGCCCATTTTCGCCCAAAACTCCAGCTGCTCGTACGAGGGAAAGGTCAGGCCTGACACACAAGCATAGAAGAGAGTTCACGTACTTCTTCGGGTTTTCAGGATCATCCGGACCCTCCCAGTTGACGATCAAGACGTCGTCTTCTGAAGCGTCCTCGCTTGGGGGTGCCACTTTCGTCTTCTCGTTCTGTGGCTTGTCAGCCACATTCGCGTCGGTGTCTTCGATGTCGACCGGGCTAGTAACTCCGGGCTCTTCGTGAATCGTGGGAGACGCGGACGTCGAAGGGGTAGCGAGCCTGTGCTGGTCGGTCATGGTCGTAGTCGTGAGATGGTCGTGAAGTCGATGCTCCTGAGGTCAGCTATCGAAGACGGGACTGACGGAGAGGCCGGGCGGGTATATGAAGTGGGAATGGAACCGACGCGAACGGCATCATGGGTCAGCTGGGAGACGGCGTGCAGAGATAATTTGGGCCGGGCTCGGATGGTGTTCAGCACCATCCCCCAAGCCGAAAAGCCGATCCTCCACTCTCCCCTAAATGGAAGGCCACTTGCCTCTTCCGGCGAGCCATCAGTACTCCGAAGGGCTTCGGACTGCAGGCCGATGGGCGTCTGGCTGGGTGCCACACCACAGCAGCGACGATGGCCCACCGCCAGATCTCGGCAGCTCGGTTGTCCCATACGTACATACACTTACAGTACCCACTGAACCACCGAGACCGAGCGCATCATTGATCCCCCAGGCCCTCCTCGTCTACCGAAGGCCCGCCTACTAATGGATAGGCCTTGCTGCGTGCTCGGCCCGAGGGAGATGGTATCTTACGTTCAGACGTTGACGAGAACATAAGATGCGCGTGGGTTACTCCGAGTAATTCAGTATGGAAGCGTGTCCGAGCTTCGAAACCTCCACGCATTGAGGAGCCTACACGAGTTGGTGACACTCTTCTCTCTGTGTGTGGCGCACCCCATTAGAACCCTGCAACGTGAGCTGACAGGACTATCTTCCAGTTTGCGACAAAGGCTACGCAATTTCTCGCTGCGAGTCGAACACATCTCTGCAGATAACGATTGCACTCACACGGTTACCCGATCCAACACTTCCACTATTGATCTGCATGAGCGTACACAGCCTCGCGCTCGTCATATCTTCACCGATCTCCCATGTCAGCAACGGCTTTATCGGACCAAAGTCTGCCGCCCTACGACCGCGGATTCTGAAGTTGTGGCGGCACTCGGCGCCGCGAGTGGCCCCACAGTTGGTTCCCTGTAAGTAAGACATACGCAGCCAGAGAGGCCTGACGAACTCGGCAGTCGTCCAAAGGCCCGGTCGTTTTCCAATGAAAGGCCACGAGTTTGATAACTCACCGATCTGCAGTGAGGTAACCAGGGGTCAATGTAGCGGCTGGCAAAGCTCTCCATTCTCCTGCGCTTCGTTGGACAACGTTCACATGCAATTACTACACACAAACCAGCGCTCGGACCAGGTGCGTATACGCATCGATGCGAACGGGTTTCACGGCTAACGTTCTCCTGCAACTCAATCCAGTGACTCCTTACATGTGAAGGACTGAATGTATGCCCAGGAGGACAAGGCGTATTTCGAGCTCTCCACGCCTCCCCCCGAGTGCTTGAACGTATGGCATCGTCAGCACCGGACACAGTCCCCGGATCACTTAGTGGCGGATGAATCATGAACGTTACCTTTGTACCCGTTATGAGCTACATACAGGCAGAGATCAAGTCAGTGCTGATCCACAGGCGAAAGGCGTTCACTTACATGGTCGCCGTCGATAACGCCCCATTCGTTGATCCAAACTGCATACAGGATTTTAGCGAACGAATGATGGCAGCTCAGCTTGAGCGCAGCATACCCATGCCGTAGAACAGCCTGTCCGCGATGCTCCGAAGGCGTTTCATGTCGGATCCCCAGAGCGTCGCGCTGAATCCATACTCGTCGCTATCTGCACCAAAAATCGCCGGCCCCACGGCGCCCAGGTCAGTATGCCACGAGCGAGGACCCCAGGTCAAGCCTTACTTGCGCGCGCCACCACTTCTCCGTCATCTCGCCACTTCAAGAGCGGAATGATCGGGCCGAATTCTGGCATGCACCCGAAAAGTTAGAAAGAAGCGCAGGCTCGGAAGGCTCTACCGCACTCACGCTCTTCGCGGACGACCCGAGAGTCTTCCGGGGGGTTGTCTAGGATCGTGACCGGTATGAAGTATCCCTTGGACTTCTCCCCGTGAGCGGGAGCCTCGCACTCGAAGGCGATCTTGTAGCCTTTGTCCTTCGAGTCGGCCATGAGACCTCTGTCGAACAGATTGTGAGTAATGCGAGGCTGCATTCGGTGACGGCAAGGTCCGGACACACTTCAGCTTGTCGTACTGTCTCTGATTCTGCACAGGGCCGATAGTTGTCTCCGGGTCGAATGGGTCGCCAACTACCGCGGCCCGGGCAAGCGCCACGATCTCATCTCGGAAGGCGTCGTAGACGTCTTCGTGGATATAAAGCCGCTTGGTGTTGAAGCATATCTGCCCGGCGTTGCTCGTGGCCGCCAGGAAGAGGTGTCTACGTGATCTCGTAAGCACGTGAGCATTATATGAGATCGAATAGCCTACTTACTGCGCCACCTTCTTGACGTCGACGTCGGGGAGCACAATCGCAGGATCGTTACCTCCTAGTTCCAGAGTGATGTTCTTGACATGTGGGGCGGCTGAGCTTAGGATAGCGCGCCCAGCCGCCGTGGAGCCCGTGAAGGAGATGCGCCAGATTCGCGGGTGCTCTACGATCCACTGGCCTCTGCGAAGTATTCCAGTTAGGCTTTGTCCGTGACCTGGATGGGCTGGACATACAAATCACTACCACCGTAGAGTGCGGAGAGCACTCCCGGAGGGACAATAGATTGAGCGAGCTCGACGAACTTGAGGGCGACGCACGGCGAGGTTGGCGGAACCTTAATGATGAGACAATTTCCAACGAGGAGGGAGTGGCCCAACTTGAGGACGCACAGAACCAGCGGGAAGCTGGGTTATAATTATGACAAGTTGTAGATTTCAGCATGCTTCGCGTTACATCTATGTCAGGAAGACACCTACTTGAATGCAATGATCGCGCCACACTGGTGTCAGACTTCAGCATGCGGTATAGTTAGCCGACAGAAGTAGTAACGACGCCTACCACTCCGTACGGCCGGTAGCGGACTTGTGACACCCTCCCTGTCGCCCCTGTCGAGACCTCGTCCTGCAGGGTGTGCGATGCATATGCACGTAGCCATGAAGATGCACTCATAACCTCATATGCCCTATGACAAAAGTCCCATCAGCAACTCGTCCGCCCGTTACAACAAGCCAAGAAGAGGTCGCTTACGCGCTGGCGCGGTCCTTGCCAACTTCTCGCATGATCATCGTATTAAACCGCTCCGCATGCCGCTCGATGAGTGCAGCAAGGGCCCTCAAGATGTCTGCTCGCTCGCCCCATGCCTTCGCACTCCAGGTAGGGAAGGCGCGCTCGGCGGCGGCGATAGTCTCCTCCAGCTGTTCTCGAGTCGCGACGGGAACGTGGGCGAAGACTTCCCCGGTGGAGGGATTGATGGCCTCGGCATTGGTAGGGGAGTCAGCAAGTTTCCCATCAATGACATGTTTGCTGAAGTATAGAGCCGGTCAGCGAGATCTGTGGACCGGAAAGCCGTGCCCTGGCTGACTTACAAACTGTCTGTGGAGAGTGCGGTTTTCTCGAAAGCATCCATGGAGTAGAAGCGGCTGAAGCGTGGATTATGGAGGCTACCGTGTGGGCTTCGACCCTTATATACCTCGAGTCCGACGCGAAGGACAAGTGGGTTTCCGAGTCCTGTGACTACATCATGGTAGCCGAAGGACTCCGCAACTCTGCTGTAGAATCATCGGACAGCGTCAGTAGCCACCGAGCCTATTGAAGGACAAGACGTCCTTGGGACCGATTTCGTCATCTGCTGCATTACGTCGGCGTCGACGAGTTCAGCCTATGAGCAGGGGCGAAGCTATCGACCTCCCACGATGGCGTAGTAAGACACACGCACACGTAACTCACCTACGTCCTAGGGGAGCACCATTGGTTTCGTGCATTGCAGTCAACGTTCTATTCGCTTCACGTGGTACTGCCTTGCTGGGGATCCGAAGATGTCAGGGAAAAGAAGGGCGATTAATATGTTGAAGGGAGGATTCTAAGCAGCGGTTACCCACCGTCACCAGGGCGTGTGTCCACCCAGCATGTTTCTGTGCTTTCCGAGGTAAATGGGGGGGGTGATTGATGCGACTTGGAACACCAAATCAAGAGACTGGCCAGAACTACGCTTACCGAGTCGTCTGCCTACTTGTCTCAGCTGACTCGCTCCCACGTCCCAAGGAACGGGGGGGCAACGCCAGCGGCGAATCGCTGCAAGATACTATCGGTCAAAATAAACGACAGCGCCACACCTATATACCGCAACGCCAGCACAAGTCATGCTAGACTCAACTAGATCTGGAGGTATATGTCTTCAGTACATCTCCTGAGCGAGGTGACTACTGTAGACTACCTCTTGATGCATGAAGTCATAGTTGATAATGCATATCGCCGCAGAGGCCCCGGACTTGTACCAAGCCGGCGCTTCACATTCGATAGGCCGTCCAATAATGCATACGGAATTAGGGGTACCGACCCTATGCATTATTATATAGTCTGCTGTATATTGTTTCGCGGAAAGTGGTAATTGGGCCAAAGACAGCCACAGCGGCATATCACGCGGGCGCCGGTCGTGCTAGTGGCGTGCTGGCAGCAGACGTTGACAGGTACCCCGTGATTCTGACAAGTCAGTGAAGTATTTCAACTTCCCTCCAAACCCACATTGAGCGGGGCAGCTCGCTAAGTATATGTTGACCAAAGTTGATGCTCGAATCAACTCCAACCCGGACAGTCTCGTCGGCGTCTGTCATAGCTTCTTCAGCAGCCGAGTTTGAACCTGGGACGGCAACGAAAACTCGGCGCAATACCTGAGCTCCCTGCGCTTGATAGGGTACTTGTTCGCTTGCGCACTGTATCCTACCCGAAGCTTCGTCATCGATATCCAGAGCCCCACACTCAGTCCGTACTTTTTTGGGACCCACAGCGCATAAGGTGAGAAAGTTTGGTGGCAATAATCTGATAGCCATGTGAACATAAAAAAGGCAGGTATACAAAGCCCTACGACCTTATTACCAACCTCCCGAGTCAGGCAGCGGCGTACGCACGACTAAGCTGCTGCCGCACGTACCCGCTTTATAAGGATGTCGTGTTGCCCCCGTTAGGATCGTGCAGTCCCAGGAACCCATAGGACCAGAGTTGTATTGCATCGGACTCCGTCCCGGATGGCGATAGGCTTGCGAGGTCGGCTACGCTGAACGTATTGGTGGTGTTGTCGAACGCGTACGACCAAACCTCCGCGTAGATCTCTGTTGGGTGTTCAGCAGGATTCTAGATAGTTTAAGTAACAGGGAGGCACACCATCCTTGGCGCCTTGAATGGAGGTCCAGAGACGCGCCTGTGCGTCACGTAGTGTACGCACGAACTGAGCGTCCGAGCACCATTCAGGGATCGGAGAAGGCACGGGATTCGTGTCAACACTTGTCGTGTTATCCAGAGAGCAGAAGCCGAGTTGCCGGGCGAGGCCACTAGCCATGAGGCCTTGCTGGAACGACCTGTGAACAAGACGATGAGAGCGTGATGAGTGGAACCGTTATAGATGTTAGTATTACTCACCACACGACAGTCCCGTGGTATGCGGCGCGGTTTAGGACATCAATCATGGTCTTATTAGAGTCGTAAGCCGGATTGGCCACGACCATGCCGACATCCGTCAATAGTCCTACGAAGCTAATCAACGGCGCTGCCACGCACGCGGCGGACGATGTCCTAGGACTAACTCACCTCGAGGATATGGTTGTAGTGCATCAGCAACATGCCGCAAGAAATCCCGCGACACGTTCTCGCCATATACCAAGTTGAACCCCGTGTCTGAGTTCAAGACTTCCACAGGGGTCCCGTCCTCCTTCAGCGAGAGCGCGTAGAACGAGAGCTTGCTTGTTGGCTGGCGCGCAGTGGAGTCCAGAAGGGTAATGCTCAAGTTGGCAGCCTCAACGAAGCTCTCCAGCCGCGCCTCTGCCTCCTTGCCGTTCACGGTGACGTCGAACAGCGCTGGCGCGTGCGCCTCCCAAACGCTCGCGACATTCGCGACGTGGCTTGCATTCAAGGCGGCGAAGTCCAGAATACCCCCCTCAATGAGTTTTTGCGTCGCGCGCAAGGATGCCGGGACGAGTGCCGTGTTCACGTCGAACGGATAGAAGCCGTAACCGAGGCCTTCATTGCTATCGCGCCAATTCCCGACAGGCTGACCTGGGCGGAGACCGATGAGGTTGGAGACGTTGGGAGATTGCGAGAACGGCGTTGCACGTTGGAGGTTGTAATGGATGGTTCTGTTAAGAATATCTGCGTACGTGCCGGTTTGCAGCGACGCATTCTTGCTGAAGAACTGGGCCGCCCTGCGCTGGCCTGCGGGAAGTTCTAGGAAGTAGTGGCTGATAGCAGGGAGGAGCAAGAGGTCTGCAATCACCGTTATGCTCAGAAACGTGAGATAAGGCCGCAGGGATACCCACCTGTGTCAACCATCTGGAAAAAGGTTGGATGCTGGACGTCTATGTAAAGTCAGGTGGGAGGCGCACCTTGTAGTCGTAGAACGGCTGGTTGCCCACTTCCGGGTGACCATTCCCTATGTTTACCTGCAGCGTGAATTGTCAGCATACCCGACAGAACCGATAGTTAGTTGCTTGGCTCACGAAGGAAGCATAGTCACCTGAACTTCACCTTTAGCCGAGACAACAAACGAACTTGGAATGAAACTCACCGATCGTCTCCTCGTGACATAGCGCACCTGTACTATTCGCTCGCTCGATAACAGCACCGAGAGCAGACTCAATAGCTTCGGAGGTGAGCGTGGGCATGAGTAGTCGGAGTGCGATCATCGAGTCGCGCCCGAAGTACTGTCCTCAAAGCGATCAGCAGGCGTGCCTAGAGCTTGACGCAGACAAACCACTCACTGTGAGGAAGCGCCATCCTCCGGCAGTGAACTTGTCGGCGTACGTCAGGAAGGAGACTTGCTGAGCCGCCGCATTCGTTCCATCTGCCAGCCCCTGCAGAGCCGTCTCCAACGCTTGCGTCGCGTTCGTCCCGTTCTGAGGTAAGAAAAACGCCTGGACATCGAGCCCTGTCAGGCTCGTCTCGTTCGTTACCATGGTCACCCGCAGAATGCTCGTCGTGTTCTGCCCCTCACTCGTAGACGGGACGATGATATTCACAGTGGGTGGTGTCCACGTGTTGCCAGGAGTTACCGACAACTGAGCCGAGCTCCCCGCCGGAGCAGTCAGGTACAGATCCGCGCTTTTGTAGTCCGAGGACGTGGGCGAGGTCGTGTTGATCCATTGGCGGTGGAGACGAACGGAAGTGTCGTTGTACTCCGCGAGGGTGTAGTTGAATATCTCGTGCATGACACCACCACCCTCCACGTAGTCTGTACAACCACAGTGGTGGTTAATGCTGGATAACAACAGACTGGGAAGATGGACACGAACCTCGCATGGCGCGGACAGCGCCAATGATCGTAACACCAAGCGTAGCGTTGGCATCGAATGCGAGGTCAGCCCGGACCCCGACATTGGAGTAGTCGGTGGTCGCACTCTTGAAGGAACCATCCACCAGGCTGACGCCAAGCGCAGCGGTCGAGTTTTTGCCAGTAGTCTCAGCATCGGAAGGCGAGAAGTACACCAAAGCCCCGGAGTTGCCCGCCGGTAATGCCACAACAAGCCTCCTCTCTGCACTTGTGCTGTTCTCGCTAGTCAAGAGCAGCTGTGCACTCGTCACGTTGTCCCTGAGGAAGTAGTTATCGTTGCCGCCGGATGCGACCTTGAATGTCAAGCTAGGGTTGCTAGTATTCGCGGCCGTTTGCCCGGCAATGGCATGACAGGCCTGCAAGAGTGCGAGAACTTTGGTCGATCGAGCCACGCGCATGTCGTTTCGAGCCAATACCAGCACGGCAGAGAAGACGGGGTGTAGGTCGACCCTCCGCGAATCCTGACCTTGATGTAGTTCTGGGGTGCTGTCGCTTGCGTCATCGGTCAAGGTCAGGTGAGACGGTAGCCGGTGTCCGCAGGTGGGTCGTCCATCGACGCCTGAACTTTTTACGCTGCCACTTGACGTGAAGCCAAAAGCCGAAGCCTAATGAACATGCTGCGTGGCACACTCATTGATCTCAAGAACATTGCGAAAGCTTCGTGCCATCCGTCCATTGCAACTTTAACGTACGTTACACCCATAGAAAGAACAACCACGACACCTGACAGGCCACACATCAAGCACTCGCGACACCAACGGCTGTGGCGGCAGCCGCGACGATGGAAGCAGTCGACTCGAGCACATTCTCCGATGCTGAGGCTGCCATCTCCATGACCTTCTCCGTAGCAGCGGCGACCGTCGAAGGGCCAACCTCTGCCGGGGGGCTGGGATTCGTCTTCGCTTTCTTCTTTTTCTTGAGCATCGCTATTCAGACAAAGTAAGCGTTGCGGCTCATGCTTGTCCTGCTTGCATAGACAGGCTTACCTACTGAAACGGCACTCTTAACGTTATCCACAATCTCCCTGCTCTGCTCGATATACTCGGTGTCCTCCAAGCGGTGCTTCTTTCCCACTATGGGATCGGAGGATGAGCCATCGGCTGAGATACCGAGCTTCCTCTCGAGCGCCTCAAGCTTGGCTCTCTGCGCCTCCTGCTGTGCCTTCTTGCGAAGAGGCTCGCTCTCGATGTACTCGGCCAATCTAAAGTAGCTGTGAGTCGAAAGCGTCGACCGAGCAGAGCATACCGGACGTACTTCTTCGCCTCCTTGATCGTGCTCAACCTCCTACCACTCAAATCACGGCAAGAATCGTTATTGCTGGTCTTCTGGCTGCTCATACGACCACCGGCCGCACGCAGCTGGGAACCGAAACCACCCTTGCCACCACGAAGTCGTGGCACTAGACGCAAGCTGAGAAGGGTGTTCCCCGGTTCATCATCGCCGTTCAGGAGCGTAAACAGCGGAGCATGTGCTTCTGGAATGGGACCCGAGGTGGGAGTGAGGACAAGGTCCGCAGCATCGGAGTGAAGCGGGAGCGAGGGGTAGCGCTCCGCCAAAAGCTCGTAGAGGCCGGCAAATGAAGTCCCAGAAGGCACAGACAGAGCAAGGGTAGGGAAAGGAGAGAAAGTCGAAATGAGGACAGAGGTTGACATGGTGTGCGGGAGTCGGTGGACGAGATGATGGACGCTGTGGAGGACGATGAGCTTCGTCTCTGGGGCAGTTCTGGAAGACGCCACGGAAGGCAAATAGTACATAATAGAGCGACAGTGCCACGTGATGTGGGGTAAGGCGCGCTCATCGTCGCTTACGACGTCAACGCTTGTCTGCCCAGCGCCGACGTCACCCCTCTCAACCACCACTTGCTCCTCAGCAGAGAAGACATCTTCCGCAGCTCACGAGCTGAAGGATAAATACACCCGAGGCCCCCCCCATCACTGGGTACATCGCCCTCTTCCTTCCACACCCACCGAGTTGACCAAGAGTTCGACGTCCAACGTCCAACTTCCGCTAGGCCATGGCAATAGTACCCAGCACGCTCAGCACATTCTACAAGGGTGTCCCACCCTCGTTCCAATGGCCTGTCAAATTCTGCATCTATAACACAGTGGTCGCCTTCGTCCTTGGTGCTGCTACAGGCAATGTTTCCCAGGTCGACAGGGTGTGGACTTTCCTCCCCACCATGTATGCCGCGTACTACGCGTTATTACCCCTCTGGCCGAGCAAATCACCCCTTCCGCTGTACCCCTTTCTTCCAGAGACCGCGCATCCCGACATAGCTCATAACTTCAGTCCCCGTGCCCTTCTCATGTTCGGTCTCATAGTAAGTCGAATGTTTTTGCGGACATCGCGAGTCTGTGTCTAACATGTAGTCTACAGTTTATTTGGATGTGTCGGTATGTCACGAAACTCGTCGCGCAATCTGCATTATACCGACTAGATATTAGCCTCTCGTACAACACTTGGAGGCGTGGTCTGTTCAATCTGTGGGTAGTTCTCGCGTTCATCATTTTTGGAGTTGTTATAAGGGCCCTCGATGTCAAGTCGATAAGCGAAACGTGACTCTTTACTGGATTCACACCTCAGGCTTGGGGACTTGTCTTAGTGAACTCCTGACAGGCTATATCCCCTCACTGTATTCTGTTTTGTTGCACAAGCAACTTCTGACACATTGTGACCTGCAGCAAGGATGAAGATTACCGCTGGGCTATCCTCCGCTCCAAGATGTCCCCCTTGCTCTTCCAGGTCTTCAACCTCGTCTTCATCGCATTCATGCAGAACGTCATCCTCTTCGTCCTCGCCGTTCCCGTCCAAATCGCTGCCATGCAGCAGCCAGCCAAACTTCACGTCTCTGACTATTTCCTCGCGGGACTCGCACTTCTCGACGTTGCCGCAGAGTTCGTAGCGGACAATCAGCAATACTCGTTCCAAACTTTCAAGCACTCTGGCGTCCGCCAACCCAAGACAGCTGATTGGCCTGGCGCCCGCATCGAGTGGACGACAGCCGATGCCAACCGCGGCTTCATCACCCGCGGACTATGGGCTTGGTCGCGCCACCCGAACTTCTTCTGCGAGCAGACGTTCTGGGTAATACCTTCTCTTTGCTGCGGCGTGTCACATTCGGCTGACATATGGATGGCCTACGCAGGTGATCATCAACCTCATCCCTTTGGTCGCACCTGAGTACCCAGGCTACGAGCCTCCCCTCCCTCTCGGGTCCGGGACACCCCTGGAATCTCTTTTCCCCATCATTCCGTCGCTCGTGATCTCCTCGCTCTTCTTCTCTTCGACCATCTTTACCGAGAGCGTCTCTGCCGCGAAATACCCCGAGTACAAGGCCTACCAGCAGCGCGTCTCGATGTTCGTGCCGTTCCTCACTCCAGTGTGGGGCCTTTACCTCAAGCTACTTGGCAAGAAGGAGGAGATTGATAAGTTGGTGTATGGGCAAGATCTGCCGAAGGGGAAGAAGAAAGCTGAGTGAGTTGAGACTGCTCACTTACTGGACAATTTCTTGTTGCGTTCTTGTTCTGATCTCGCTATCGTCGCACCCCTGTAATAATACGGCGTTCTTCGGCTATCACCCTGAATGAACTACTGGCTGGAACGCGTTTCCCGAACATACGCGTAAACGAGCGGCACTGAAATGGGAGGACAAACAACAGTATGTAAGTGAACCAGCGAATCCACAACGCTGCTGTGAATAGCCACTTCTGACTGCGAGAAAACGACCGGCCGGTGCGTCGGCCAATGAGATTATATCTCATCGCGGACCGCGTGTTCGGCGTATGACTGTCGGATGGGATTGTACCCGTGGGCGGTAGGCCTACGACGACTCTCGGCAACTCAACCTAGGGAAGTAGTTCGGGTTCAGTCATCAAAGCATCCCGCTGTGCTATCCTATAGATTCCCACCGTCCCACGGTAGGTAGTCCGTACGACCGGGGAGCTCCGAGAACCGGCAAACCAGCTGCCACTATATGTGGGCGCTAGCTCAATAAGCTTCTAGTTGCTCTCGAGTCTTTACTAGTACTCGTCACGGGGAGGGACAACGCGATTATTTAAAGGCGGGAAGTCATCCAGAGGATAGTCCCTTAGATCTAACTTGTACTACTGGAACGAGTATGGCTCCTGTCACCAACGGACGCGTTCTCTTCAACGAATATCTCCCCACCGGTGAGTTCGTTGCCTGGGACCACATCCTGACGAAAGAGCTTGTTCACGTACCCGTCTGCAGGTTACCCCATACCGGGGAAAACCGTTGTATACGATACCTCCGAGACCATTGATCTCGAGAATGTCGCTCTCAATGGCGGTTTCCTTGTCAAGGTCCTGGTATTGTCTATTGATCCTTACCAGCGTAATCGGTTGAAAGCCCCGAGTGACCAGAGAAGCTACGTAAGGCGTATTCATCTCCATGTTGTTTCGGACAGTGATCGATCATATCATCCACAGGGCTCCTTTGAACTTGGCAAGCCGTAAGTCCTTCCGGGTTCGACGAAAGCGGCCCACTCAGCCACTTGCGGTAGAATACAGAACTTCGGCGTCGGGGTTGTGCTTCGTTCCGAGAACTCGGCCGTCAAAGCGGGCGATCATGTCTACGGACAGTACGGTGCGTCTCATATAGGCTTCGCCCTCGAAGCTTCTGCTAATGTCCACCAGATTTCCAGCAGTACGTCATCGTGCCTGAGCTCCCCAGCCGTATCTGGCGGGTACTCGAGAACAAGGAGCAGATCCCGTGGTCGGCGTATGTCGGCGTAGCTGGCATGCCTGGTACGTAGACGTGAGCTGAAGAGGATACATTTACCTCAGCCGTCGCACAGGTCAAACCGCCTACTACGGCTGGAAGGAGTATGCTTCGCCTCAGAAGGGCGAAGTGGCATTCGTTACAACCGGCGCCGGTATGGATGATCATGTCATCACGAATTCTCCCACCTGACTAATCTCTCCCATGCGTACCAGGGCCTGTCGGAGCGTGGGTCTTCCGCCCAAATTCAAATCGCTCGATGCAACTGTCATTCAATTAGCGAAGGCCGACGGTCTGAAAGTCATCGCGTCGGCTGGCTCGGATGACAAAGTCGAGTACATGAAGTCTATTGGAGCCGATGTCGCCTTCAACTACAAGACGACAAAAACCAGCGACGTGCTTGCGAAGGAGGGCCCGATTCACGTGTGCGCACGACCTCGTGTCACGTCATTTCGTTTCCACTGACTGAACGGCATCAGATTCTGGGACAACGTTGGCGGCGAGTCCTTCGAAGCGGCTAACGAGCATGCTGCCACTGGCGCACGCCTCCTTGTGAGTAGACTGGACCACGGTGCTGAAGATCATGCTGACAGGTTTCATATTTCAGGAATGTGGCATGATCACAGTGTACAACACAAACGAGACTTACACCGTCAAGAATCTCTTCCAGATCATTGGGAAGGAACTGCACGTCCATGGGGTCATGGTCGCGGGACCTCTGCACGAGAAGTATGTAGACGAGTTTTATGAGACGATCCCGGAAAAAATAGCTCGGGGAGAGCTGAAGTACAAAGAGCATGTGCTGCACGGGTTGGACAAAGCAGGTCAAGGGCTTCTCGATGTTCAAACTGGGAAAAACTTTGGCAAATGCGTCATCGTTGTCGCAGAGGAATAATGGCGAGAACGAATGTAGAACGATAGGGAGGTCTTCCGTAGTAAAGCTGGCGGCCATATAGGTTTACGGCGCCTCAATTACCGGCCCAGGGGGCTGTGTACCATGTTCGGTAAGCGCTCGTATTCGTACCAGACATATCTTCGGGTTCGTTCGATTGCACAAGTGCGTCGTGGCATTCTACGTAGTCGTAGATTTGCGTCTCGCTTCTCCCTCGCTCAAAGTGCTTCCGTAGGGCATAATCATTGCATGCTCTGTGGTAGCGCTTTTCTGCTGCCCGCCTGAACTCAAAGGCTAGACCGAGGGCACACCAAAGATGGAGAAACATACATGATTCTACTGAGGCCTCGGGAATTGAATCATGTAGACTCTCGACTTCAGCGTTTATTCGCACATAGACCATACCACATCATGGTCATAGAGGTCAGATTCCGGTCAAAGGCGACTTACGACCCATGACGTAGTGATCATTGCTAGCTGCATCAAGACTCGTCAGCCTCAGTCTGCATGCCAATCGTCAGCCGCCGCGCCCAGTCATATGCGCCCGACCAAGTCGTCAGTAACTCTTTACCTACTTCCCCCACACCACCCCCACACCACTGACCACATTAGCTCCCAGCTCCGCCATGTCGTCGACCCCAGCTTGCACCATCGTCCTCCACGTCGCTGGCGACTCGGACGACGAATACCCCCAATCCCCGACGCTGGCGTTCGGCGGCTTCTCGACCTCTAGCGCTTCGTCCTCGACCAGCACCCTCTGCGACCTCGACCCCGAAGACCTCCTCACCGTGCCCGGCGCGGCGCACAAAGAACGCTTCCGCAAAGCCAATCTCACCATCGAGCGCCATCGCGTTCTAGTCAACCCGCGTTTGGCCCGACTCCGGCCAGCATGGACGACGGCAGAAGATCCTGACGACGATCGCATCATTCTCGTCCCAAACGAGTCCCTCGAACCAGCCAACAAGCCTGCCCTGGAAGTGGACGCCAAACCCGTGGACAACAAACCCGCCCTCGAAGTGGACAACAAGCTCGACGACGACGATCGACGGAACCGTTTCCACCGCCCTGGCCAGTCCGAGACGCCCACACCGAGGAGGAAGTCCAAGTCAAACTCCAAGGACAGGAAGAAGAGCTGGGAGCTCCGAAAGCATGTTTCTTTCTTCGGCGCGATTGTGACGATCGTCGTGCTCGATGCGCTCATTTTTCTCCTCAGACTCGTTCATTAGCAGTTTAGATGGGCGGGGACGACGATGCGCGCGCAGAAAAGAAAACTCAAGACTCCGGGCTTGTCGTGTGGTAAGGTCGAGCAGCCGGTGCTGGACGCCGGCTGAGAGAAGTCATGAACCTTGGTGACGCCGGTTGTTCGGTATCGGTTCTCGGCCGTGTTTCTCTGGACATTGGACATTTCGTTTCGGACGTTGCTGCTATCCTTGTTTCTACAGGTTCGACAGGCCACGGTGTCTCGGTGTTTGCTTTACAGGTTTTTGTGGGGTACGAGGGGTCGGCTCTCTCGTGCTCATAGTGTGAAGGGGGAGTGGATGGCAGGTGTGAGGAGGGGGGTGCGGCGTGGTATCTGGGCGGGATGCCTCGTCGCACCATTATTTTTACAGATAAGTCGCACTCTCGTCATGATATTTGGTAGAGACTTACGATATAACTTGCAAGCGGTCGAAAGCTCTAGGGGGGCGGCAATCAGCAACGCCGCCCTCCTCTTGCTGGGATGGACCAAGCTACTAAGAGCACATGGACCGTACGTCTGCGTCGGCGATAATGCAGCGGCATCGAGGAATAGGGCTACGAGCATCTCGTCACCGCAACCTGACTTGCGCTTCTAATGCCCTCCTGATGTACGGGAGGCCTGTTCAGTGGGAATGGCCAAGACGACCTTGTACGTATTATACAGTGGCAGTCGCCGCGTTCTTGAATGTGAATGCTTCACGTCAACAGGTCTACGTACCGGACAAATCTTCTCCTCATCGCGGACTCCATCAAGCCCTCTGCCAAGTACGCTTCACGCAAGTTCCTCGGCCTCCTTCCTCCTGGCCGACAGACGAGCTTCAGCCTGGGAGACGTCCACGCAATCAGTCGGTGGGCACCGGTAAATCTGTCAGGCTGTACGAGAGCATCTAGGTACTCACCTTGAAGTCCCGTCTGCGCGCGCCCCCGCAAGCCAATGGCCTGTCGTCCGCGGGTCAGGCTCTAAGTAGGGTGCGAGACCTGTCAGGGCCGACAGTCCGCTACAGGTCTTTCATACTGCGAGAAGGGGCCCCGGCACCTTATGTGGCACGGCTCGAACGTTCCGCGTACAGGGCTAGGATGTTCCAGCTTCGCGCTCGGCAACGTTGTCTGACAACGTGCTTCGTGAGCGGGAATGCAACCTGTGAAAGAATTGGTAGCCGGTCTAAGAGCGGAAGGCGAATCCGTGCTGAGGCCTAAGACAATTGCAAAGCGGCCGAAGTCGGACTTACCTGGCTGCAAGACGCCTACTGGCACAGCTGTGGCCGCAGGCCTTCTGATCTAGACGTGGCCAGTGAATGAGCTGTGTGTACCGCGTCTGATATACGTAAGCAGCTGTGTGACGAAGCGTGGAGATTGTACTTAGCGGTCACGACAAGACAGCGTAGGCGATATTCGGGGCTAAGTACGCCACGCGGACTAGGACCAAGACGTCCGTCATGCCGAGCATTGATGGCGAACGATTATACTCGGTCACAGCCAACGGCTTGGCTCAATCGAGCTTATATATGTCAACGCCACAGGGCAGCACACCCACGCTGCGTACTATATAAATGGCCGAGAGGAAGACCTGGCATGTTGTCACTTGCGATCGCAAGCACAGCTGAGATTTCGAGGAAGATCTATGGAGGTGGAGAGCACTAAGTGGCAGGTGCCCAAGAGTGGGGGGCAACTATCGACCACGCACAATATAGCGAACGGCAGGTAGCGTCGAGACCTAAACAAGTGCAGAGAACAGAGATAGCGAAACAAATTAGAGTAAGGACAGGAACGGCCCGACATGTGGCGCCCAATATTTATAGGCGCTCACCGACGACGTCTAATGATGGAAATGATATTGGCGATGTTGACGGCGACGGCGACGTTCAGAAGAGATACGGCGGGAAGAAAACGGTGATAGAGGCCGAGACACTACATAAAACAAAAAGCAGGACGAGACGACAATCCGGGGTAATAAGGCCAGGAGCGAGACAGCAGCAGCAACGACGCGGGAAGGTTGGTGAGGTAACGCGGCGAAAACTCATACCGGGAGCAGGAGTGTGGGGGACGAGACGAGGATGGAGAATCACACGATGACACATCCGCCACAGCATCCACCAGCACCATCATCCTGGTGCTGGTTCCCTGCCCCGTATACGCCGGGGGCGCTAGGTGCACCTGGCTGCACACCAGGACGACCGGTTTGTTGTTCCTGCGGAGAAATTAGAGAGTCGCTATGAAATCACCGCGGATAGTATGGCGAACCTTGTTGTACTTCCGAATCTCGCGTACGAGTTGGTGGAATGCCTCGTCCACGTTGATTCTCTGCTTCGCTGAAGTCTCGATGAACTTGCAGCCGAAGTGCTTCGCAAGATCACGACCCTCTAAGACGATGGTACAAGCGCCAATATGAGCGAAAGATATCAAGCAACAAAATGGTCTCAGGTACGAACCATTCATTCCCACCTGGCGCTCGTATTCCAGATCGCTCTTGTTAGCAACGACGATGACTGGGAACGAGTCCTGATCCTTCACACGCAGAATTTGTTGGTGGAAGGTGCTGATTTCCTCGAACGAATTGCGGGAAGTAATGGAGTAGACCAGGAGGAACCCCTCGCCCGTGCGCATGTACTGTTCGCGCATAGCACTATTCGGCCGACGTGAGCTCACATACACCAAGCGCCAGTGGTAAGGCTCACCCATATTCTTCTTGGCCAGCGGTATCCAAGACGTCGAGAAGAGCGACCTCGTCATCGATCACGCACTGCTTCCTGTACGAATCTACAGGCCAGAGTAGCGGAATGAGCGTATGGCCAGCAGGGCGATCGGCGCATGAAGCATGAGCCGCGCTTCAACCGTTCAGCCGGAGACGAGCGGAGAAGCGCGACATGATATGAGGTGGACGGCGGACAGCAGACTACATACCCTCGATAGTGGGATCGTACTCGTCGACGAAGTCGCTTTGAATGAACTGAATAGTAAGCGCGGACTTGCCGACACCTAGGAGCCTATGTCAAGACAGAAGTGCGCGAAAGTGAGGGATGGGAGACGCACCACCACCGCCGACAACGACAAGCTTGTACTCGCGGAGGAACTGCGACTATGTGGGCGTCAGCATGTTGGTGGGCGCAGCGAGCGTTGGGCGTACCCTAGACATGGCTGAACAAGTAAGAATATGGGCTGAAGGGGTATTGGGAGCGGGAATATAAGGGTGAGGAGGTGATCCGTCGAAGGAGGACGAGGGAACAGAGCCGTGGAAGCGCCCTCTCTGGGAATATACCGGATCACAAATAAGCACAAACATGCCCCCTGATTGCGTCTCCAGCGTCTGTCCAATGGCCGTGCACATCGCCCGCCCTGATCCCAGACTCAACGTCCACGACGACCGCCACCGCGACATTGCACCGCCGGCACGTCTTACTCAAGTTCTTCGTGCGCCATTGACTGACGGCATTGCCATGTGGAGCGCGTTCTGTCCTCTTGACCACATTCAAGTGTGATCGTCCCGCCTAAGCCACTTTAGTCTCCGCTGCATTGAAATGTTCATGATGCCAACTTTGTGGCATTCTGATCCCTCAGGTGCGCGTCTGCGTCCTATCGACTGTGGTCCTTATCTCTTTGACATTATCGCAAACATTCTACAGGACAGATATGGGAAAATGTCCAATTTCTGAGCTGCTTGTACCGGGCAACCTAGGAGCTTCTGTCATTGAAGTGCAACGATAGGGCACATTCGAAAGATGAAGACAGCAGGAATGAGGCTGTACAACATCCATCATCTGTATCGCGCACTGCCTTGGCGGCCGCCCCTCTCACATGTTGGTCCTTGGGGTCCGTTTCAAGAGATCAGCGTAATCCCCTTTTGTTTCCTCTACCCTCGTGTCATCCCCGATCGCTTCGTCTGGGCTCCTGGGACATGATGCGTCTCGTGCCTAAGTAAGGTTCTACTCGCTCTTGACTCGAATCACGTTGATTCTCAGTCTATATGCTTTGGCAGTGGACTGCATCGGCGCAAGTATAGCTCGAGAAGATGTGCGGAGGAATAGCAAATGGATGTTCTTCCACCGTGCTAAGTTCGAACGTTTTCAGTCCGACGCCGAGTGAGACCATTCCCGCACATGCATAGGATTGAACTACAGTGAAGCCATGTCTGAAATATGGACTGACAAGATTCTACCCTGCCAGGACCAGTGGCAGGGACTGCCTGTACTGCAGAGCTTTACGGATAGTAGTACACAAGCGCTACGGTGCTTGGCCACAGGGTAGTCATGCTACCACCAGAATATTCAGAAGCTTGTCCCGAGCCGACATCTCGATGTTCTCAGAGATGCTGGGGTACTGTATGACAGCCCTGGGTAGGGTAGAAGCCCGCCCTACGTTTACTACCATCGCCTTCTTGACATACAGTGCCATCAGTCTCCCAGGATCATAACTGCAATGCCTCTTTGGGCTTTGGGTATACACGCTACTCTCGCAGGACTACGAGCGACCGTTCCCGAAACTTCTCACGTTTTCGGGGTGCCGTTATCTTGAGTGCAGTGAGTATTGCTTGCTCTCGGGCTGCAGTATGCACCGCAAAGACAACCTGATCTCCCCACACTCGACATCCCAGCAGAGACCTCTATCCCCGCCTCCTTTTCCTACAAAATGCACCTCAACCTCTTGCCTGGCTCTTTGCGTTCGTAGCTTGCGTAGAAGAGCAGTGTCAAGTAGGGCCCGGAATCGCCCGTCATCAAAGCGCAGGCTCATATGCAGTGTAGTTTCCTCTTTATGAGATGGATTCCATCGACCACAGCTCCAACTTCTAGTACTTACGGGTACACGTTGGTGACCTCAGCGCGATCTTGTGTAGGGGGGGGGGCGCAGGATGAACACCGCCCGACTGTGAGATGTGGGACTGGACGGGCATTGCGGAGCAATTGGGTAGATGCCAGAATGTGACTCGAAGCTCGATGATCATTGTGATCTTCGTCCGAGGATAAATTATAGAGGTTTGACTCAACCCGCACACGATGTCCCCCTGTGCTCGGGAGCCCGCTGTCATCGTGAGTCGACGCTGTTATGTACCTTCGATACTGAGATGCAGCATGATGAGACCTCAGCCTATCCGCCGCCATACCACCGCATCGATCTGACGTCTCCTCGCCGTCTTCAACCATGTGACATAAGTGAGCTCTAGACATATATCCCACACGACACTTACCTAACACAGGCGCGACGGACGGGATTTTTGCACGGTAGAGGTAATACATAAGATTAAATAGAAACGAGCGTGCAGCAGCGGGTGTGGGTGTCGACTACAGGTCGGATGTAGCACAATGTTTGCGGCGCAGTCCTCCACGTCCGTAACGCACAGTCCAGCTATCACATTACAGATCGAAAAAGGTTCGTAGGGAGGTGTCGGCACACGCCAGGTCACCACGGCTGGCCACGCCGCGGGTACCAAGTGCCCCGACTCAAGGGGAAGAAGAAAGAGTCCGTGGAAGATGCTCGCAAAGAGACAAGGGGATCGTGTCCAAGGGGGCCTGCGAACGTACAGTACTAGTGTCTCTGGGCTGATGCATAGGCGTACAGACCCGTCCCCAGAATCCATTTACAGGATTCCAGGAACGAGTGTCCAATCGAGACTGGCGGGTTATACCCGCAGTCTGCGCAGGGAGTAGACGGGCAGGGGGCTATCTGCAGGTGTGCTATTTTGCGGACGGGAGGACGGCGGGCGCGGATCATGACTGCTGCTGCACGGATCGAGTCTATTCATGGGTCGTCAGGGAGGTTCGTCAAAGCACTCGTAGCTCAACACTCAAGGCGGAAGCAGAGCGGGGCTGAAGCGACGCTGTTCAGAGGTAACCTGCACGGCTTGCCGGGGTCATCGGAGCCATTCCCATACGGCGTGCAGACGTCGGCGTGCGCGCGTTCGTGTTTCCAGTACGGTTCTGGCTCGGGGTCTGAACGTCGAGCGTATTCCCGTACATGGGCGTGCGCGTGGTGCCAGGCACGGGGGTGCGCGCCGAGTACGCAGGGATCGTCAGATCCAGTGAACGGGAGCGACGGCGCTCGGCCTTGGTTGTCGCAGTAGTCGGCAGGGAAGCATCACCGCGGACGCGGTCAGGCCACTCGTTGCTCGTGAAGGCCTCCCTCGTCCTGGGGGTCATCCCATAGTTGACGGGGGCACGGGCTGAACGAAGCGTCGAGAGCGGGGAGGTGGCGAAAGTGGTCTGGGTCGCCTGCGGGCGTGCGGAGAACGGCGTGGGCTGGGGACGAGGCTTGGCGGACATCGGCTTGGGAGGCGGGGCAGGCTTCTCCATTTCTGGCTGCTCGGGGGTACGGGACATGTACATCGAGAGGAGAGACTCATTCGCGGAAGTGTGGCGAGAGGCTTTATCCGGGCTCGACTTGGTCGACTCACTCCTCTTCGGAGGCTCTGGTGTCTTCAACGTGATCGTGGTGAGAGGAGGCTCGGGAGAACCCTCAGTGAACGTGGGCTGTCTGATGAGGGGTGAACGCGTGGTACGGCGAGGTACAGGGAGGCTGGGAGATGCGCCGGGAAGACGAGGACTGGCCGGCAGGGCGGTCTTCCTAGCGGCAGGCGGGGGAACAGTGATCATCGCGTTCAGCTCAGCCACGGGGGTGATGGGGTGCGCCACCTCAACCATTGGGTTTATCTGAGCCTGTTTACGCTTCAAAGAGACGCTTCGCCTAACACGGCTGAGGCTGCGAGCAACAGATGCGCCGATTTGAGCTGCAGGCTTGGAGATGGTGCGCACTGGCGGCGTCCACTCGCGCTTGTTATCACGCTCAGCGAGGAATGCCTTCTCCGGGTTCCTGGGGGTCTTCGGGGAGGGGGTGAAGGCCATCGGAGACTTGGAACCGGCGAAGAAGCTCTCCATGTCGTCGTCCTTGCGCATCTTCTCGGTGCTGACAGGCCCAGCTGGAAGATTGCTCTGGATGAAAGGACGTAGAATGCGCAGGGTGTTAACGAGAATGAGAGCATTAGCAGTGCCTGGAACCACTACGGCTTAGAAAGACAACAGGATGGGAGGGACATGCCGCGCACCGAGCAATGCAGCGCTAGTCATGGCAAACACGGACGCCGGGAATGGCACTGTGATACCTGACGACCGAGTAAGACTGACAATGATCTCCGGAAGGAGGAGGATGTTGTAAGCAAGTGGATACCTATCCAGGGCCATTAGCGACTACTATTTACGTGCTGTCATCTTGATGAACTCACCACAGCATGCTCCTCGCGATAGCAGAGATGAATCGTTGATATTCTACCGTAGCAGCACTGGACGTACTCCACCGATGGGATCGATTCAGGTTCAACTTGATGCCGTTCTTGATCGTCAGAGTGCCGCGGAGGATCAGGAATACAAGCGTATAGAAGACAACAGAAACGATAGCACCGAGCAGCAGCTGGCAAATTGCGACATCGAAAGAACCTCAGCCAAAGGAATGTCACGCATCAAAGAAACGTACCGGAAGTATGTGTAAGACAACGGCCAAGCTAGGGTGGCCAATTGAGAGCCCACAAGAGAGGTCATTGAAGCCGTACACAGGGCCAAAGCGAGAGGGGCGGATCCAGGATGGGGTGGCGGCTACAGTGGACGGCTATTCAACTGACATTCAGTACTGGCCATAAGTGCGACGGCTTACCCAAAAGCACCGCAACCAACCAGCCAAAGACAGTCGTTGCCAGGCACATCCAGACCGGCACCTTGTTCCGGAGAACAAGCGTGTTGAAGGTGTGGATCGCAATGGTGCCGGTGAAGTACGCTCCTCCCGTATCCCCAATCTGAGAAAGAATCCCTAAAGCACTCACGTAAGCTTCCTCTAACCCTCTCAAGCCTTCTCCCTACCTTGTGCAGTGCATAGAGTCCCTTGTAACGTGGACCGCGTCTCAGTCTCCAAGAATTCCCGCGTGCATCTGTCCCGTAGACGTACCTTCGGTCACAACCTTGGCAGAGGCCCACTCAGCATTTATTACCATCCCAACGCTGCCCAAGGCATTGCTGAGCATCAGCGACGCGATATATGCTCCAAGTTGTGTGTGGAAGAACGCCTTGGAGTGGTGCTGGTTCTCGAGCCGCCGGCGCTTGACGAAGTTGACGAGCGGCTCCCAGGAGTAACGGACGACCACAGCGAAGATAGCAAGCAGGGAAATGATAGCAAACAGGACGATGGCCTACAGAAGGCCCGTTCAGCTTCACGTTCATCGAGATATGGGGGAAGGGGAGATTGCGCGGGCGACTCACGATGAGGGTCTCAGCCTGGCCGTTGCCGTAGACCAGAGTAGTCGGGATTCGGACAGCAGACATGATGTTCGTCAGGGTCTTGGACGTTCACAAAAAAGCTAGAGAGGATGTACAAGACAGAACGAAAACGAAAGACACGAAAGGGGCTCAGAGCAGCGAACTGTCCCGGACAGACTGGCCAAAATTGCTGAGAACCGCAAAGAAGGTCGTCCTGCGCCTGTGGTCGAAACTATTTGTCTGACCTGGGCAGACGGGGAACCGGTCCACAAAAGAACGAAGGGAAAGAACGAAAAAGAAAGGGGAGAACGGAGAGAAAGCGAACACGGCCGCGCGCGACAACGATGCAGACGGGCTTGTCTTCAATCCCGCCCCAGCATTTGTGGCGGTGCTAGCATCATGATTGTTGATGGACGTCTGCCCGTTGCTGCCGCTTGGCGCCTCATCATCCATTTTCATCATCCCCGAGAAACACGCCCACACCTGCGAGACACCGCGCGCTGCCCTCGTCGCTCCGTGCCACATCGTGGACTGCTTATAAGAACTACATCAAGCCATAACCACATATCCGTTTCCAGCTCACACGTACAGGGCACCCGGAGTATCACCTCTTGCTAAAGAACTTCGCAATCCCCTGCTCCGCCACCTTCTTCTGTCGCTTTTTAGCAGTTGACGTCGGCCTGTCTGCTGGCCGGATGACGCGCTTAGGCAACTCGACATCTCCTGCAGCCGCCAGCTCCTCGGCGTAATGAAAATCAGCGTGCTCGAGGCGCAGGGCCGACAGGGCATCTTCCCTGATCGCGTCGTCAAGCGTCCCGATCCCTGCGGGCCCCTCCGCACCACCAGCATGAGTCGTCCCATCCGCATCATCCGCCGCGCCTGATCTTGCTGGCGCGTTCGATAGCCAAATTCGCTGCCGGCACTTGTCGCACAAAAAGGAGTACCGCTCGTCTCGCGTGTGCTCTGCTAACTTCGGGTTTGATACAGGAGTGTGACGATCCTTGGTCTTGCGTGGGCTATTATCCACCTCCTCGAAGCCATCTATGCTCGAGTCGGACCGCTGGCGCTTCGAGGGTGATATGCTGTCGTCACTGATCGCACGCTTAGAAGACGGTTTGCTAAAATCACCGATTGCAGCGCCGGAAGGAATCTGTTCATCGCACGCTGTGCGTGCTGAGAGGAAGCCTTCGATAGTGCGTTGCCCGGCTTCCATGGTCCCGATCCCGGAGAACGACAGCTGGACGTTGGTGATCTTGAACGGGGTCGACCCAGCAGTCCCCACGAGTTCCTTCCATAATTTATCTCCGAAGGAGGCGATCACGTCAACCGTCACGCTCCTCGTGAACGGGAAAGGGGTTTGCTTTGAGCGCATGGTCTCATAGCCTGCATGAGGGAGTTAGCGCTTGAAAGGATACAGGTATGGTAGGCTCCCAGGTTGCGCGCGTACTTTGCACGGCAGAGCCATACTACAACGCCTCACCTCGACGGATATGTAGGACGATAGTCTTCGGCCACAGTGCAGGATTGCTATCTCGTGCTTCATTGAGACGCAGCGCTAGCTCTGCTGCGAGGACACGGATCCAATGGTACCCTTCAGCGGCTTTCGTGATGGGCTGCGGGAGGTTCTTGGATGCTAACATGCTCTTGTTGACCGCAGACTTCTCCTTAACTACCCCGGATGGATCGCACACGGCAAGCATCCAGGGATGTCATATGTCAGCTCGTCGAGATGAAGGGGACAATAATGAGCTGACATACCTTCAGTTCGGTCGATCCCACTTCGACAGAGTGATAAGTAACAAGCAACGAGTCGCGGTGCCAATCGCCATAAGAACTCACCGCAGGATCTCGTAGACCCAGATCGAATTCTCTCCGAATTTCCGTTGCATTTCCTCTAGGACCGGAGTCCAGGTTCACTCAGCAGTCGTGAGATGGAGATTGTCGTCTTGTCGACTTACCGAGACTAATCGTCCTGGGATCCCGTTTCCGTGTTAGTTGCGCTTCACATTACGCCCGGGCCGAGGTATGGGAAGAATGCGCACAGCAGGTCGCTCACGGTGGAGACGTCGTACTCTTCTGCAAGAGCCTTGCCAAGTTTACCGCCCAAGAACCTAATCTGCGTGACAACATGAGCCATGAGCGTAGCGACGAGACCGCTCGCGTATTCGAGAGAAACTGCGCACCTTCTGGAACGGCATAGGTCTGAGGTAATTGGGGATGGCGGCGTTGCGTAGGATGGTCTGTCGTCGGATAAGTGTGAGATTGAGCGCGGTACTCAACATTCCCAACCTGGTTCATCGGTTTCTTGTAAGACGCTGTGAGCTTGGTTGCCAGGAGGTCAGCGTACACATCACGCCATAAGCGTTCTCGAGCGGAAGTTACCTTGGCAAGGAATTTATTCCTAGCAAGGCCGGCGGAAGTGGTATATCCCAGCTTCGTTCGAATATCTTCTCGTATACGCATCATAAGCTCGGCAGCAATCGACAATGCGACATCGTGCCAGGTCGTGTTTTCATCGTCTTCTTCTACGGCGTCATCTTCGCCTTCCAGCTCTGGAGTCTTCGAGCCACCTTCGACATTGGGTTCGCCTTCAATAGCATCACCACTTGGCGAGCTGTCTGTCTTCTCTTCCGGTCTCTCTTTCCGAGGAAACACCGGGACGACTGTACCCTTGTTCTCCCAGGATACCGGTGGCGGCGGAGGCAAAGGGGTATCCATGCCATTCGGCGCGTCTGCTGGTACACTGGCGAGATGTGGATATCTTCTCAGGAGCTCTTCCCGGACCGGTCGAGTGAAGTCAATGAACGCCTCATCTATGGACGCCTTCTCTAGCTCAAGCAACACCTGTGGTCAGACCCAAGCTGTTCTTCCGACCACACTAAATCGCTCGAGCGACACCGCGCCTCCACGTAAGACTGATGTTGTAGACAGACACTCACCAACCTCCCCGTTCGGCAGCCCCTCCTTGAACAGCTCAATGATCTTCATGCTCTCCCTCCGATAATGATCCAGCGACACCTTGTGCGTCCGCGTATCCGGGTTCTCCCAGTACCCCGGCTCCGCCTCGCCCTCCTTGTACGTCGCTACGTGCACGACCACAAGATTGGGGCACCTCTTCTTCGCGTCCTTGATCTTGTCCATGCGCGAGATCCCATACTTGCGCGCGGGGTAGTTCACGGCGATGAGCGAGTCCCACTGCTGCACGACCAGGGGCAGCGTCGGGTCGACGCCAAGCCGAACCTGCTCGCAGGCGGCATAGAACGCGTCGCTGTCACAAAGCGCGACGACACGGAGCGGGTCGCGCACACCAAGGTTCGAGGACAGGAGGTGCCGGTAGGTAATCGTCGGGTTCAGGTCGTCGAAGTCGTTCTCAATAGCTCGCGCCTTCCCCTTCCAGTACGAGGTAGATGGTGGCTTTGCAGGAAGCCCTCCAGACGAGGAAGACGCCATTGCTCAGCTTGTCGACAGAGTAGCTGCGAGGCGGCGAGTGTGGTGTCGATGGTAAGCAAAGGACTCACACACGCGCCTGCACCGAGTCGGGTCCGCGTTCTCGGTCACGGGGTTCGCGTGTCTGACGGTGCTATTAGAGACAAAGCGCGATGGGCGAGATGGGGAAGTTGTCGCAAAATGAGCCGCCAAACGTATCAGTAACGACTACCGCTTTACAAAGGGATACAAAGGTCAGTTCAAAACGGCAGCGGCGGTTTGCCTGCGAGTTGCATCAGCGGTCGGACCGTGCCGGCGGCGTCCCTACTGAATGTAGTATAATTTGAACTCGTACGAATACAGCACGTAGCATAGCTTGATGCCAACCACATCCGCTGTCGTACATCCTCCTTCTATCTAACGCCTAACATACGCAAGACATGCCCCGACGAAAGAAGTCCCACTTGGCGGCGGCTGCCCGTGCCCGTGCAGGCCGCGTGAGAGCCCGTCTTGCAGCTCGAATCGAGTCGGAAGCTCCAGAGACCAGCTCGGAGCCGCTAGACCAAGTGGCAACGCCATCCGAGTCCCTTTATGGCCTCGTCATGGTCGATCCTCCAGTGATGGGCGGGTGCGCCGAAGATGCTAGAATTGAAGAGCGCGAGGAGAGTTCTGTTCAAGAGCTGGAGGGTGACGTTCCCCTCAAGAGCGCGAAGGCGGCAGCGAAGTCAGCGTACACCGAACTCATGACGCCCAAAAGCAAGCAGCAGTGGGCAGAGGGAGGACAGATGCTCGGAGGGGTCCACACCGGCGGAGCCGTGCGGACCCTCCATGACCACCGTCTCAAGGCGCATACGAAGGCTATCGCGGATGCTGTGGTTCGAGAATCGTGAGTACATCGCTTATCACTGCACTGTAAGAACAATCCAAGAGACGATGAGCAGGGAGGAAGCGAAACACTTTCGTGCTTTCTTCAAGCGAGACCAGCCCTGCGCCGCCCCGGCGGAAGTGCCACTCACAGCTAGCCCCGATGAACGAGCCCGCCTCGCCGCCGCTGCGACTCGTCAAGCCAGCGACGCTGACTTCGCACGGTCGCAACTTCCGCAGACCATAGCGGACGCGGCACGCAAAGCTTGGACATTCAATCCACATGGAGCCAGCACAGCGAGTCCGCCAGAGCGGGAGAACTTGCCGGCGGAAGCAAGAGAGGCTGTCGCGCGGGCGATTGCAGCCGCGCGACATGAATCTGACGATGCATTCCTCCGTCGCGCGTCCGGACGGCAAGTTGGCGATGAGCTCGTGCGAGCTCCCGACCCCCGACTTGTGTTCCAAGAAGACGAGAAACAGGCTATTTACGATGTCTGACACGCACGCCGTGCCATCGCTTCGCGTCGAACCTGATGACATCCGATGGCCGCAGCGCCGTCGCGCACGATGGAGAAGACCATGGCAGTTTATCGGCGCTTGACAGCTTCATCTGCCTCGTTCGTGTTCACGGTGGGTCCACTCGTGATTCTGCGGGGCAGGCAGCATGACGCATGTCATGAAACGTGTTGCACATCGGGGAAGGACCATGCTTTGCTATAATACAAAATTCTTGCCGACTTCTCATATTTGATTCCACGAACTTGAACAACTCATGCAACCTTCGGCTTCGCCTTGACAGACGAGATATCGATGGAGAGCAAGTCCTATCATAGTAGCTATGAGTATATAGTCTAGCTACAGTGATAGTCACCCTTACCTTGCCAGACTTGATCTCGGACTTGGAGGGCATGAGCCCCAGCCTGATGAGCTCGGACGCCTTCGAAACGACGGGGTCCTTCTGCATGCTATTCGTGATCTGTGAGTGACCAGAAGAGAGGACACATTGTTGAGAAGCGTACCTGGCGACGGCAATGACAGTCTCTCCTTTCGTGTAGTAGGCGACAAACTGGACGAACGCGTGTGAATTGCCACACAGAGTAACTGAACATGAACGGAAACATACATACCTTCAATTCATCCGGGTTACCGTCGATAACAACATCGTCGAAGCCGGCGCCGACACCGCAGTAACGCAATTGCTGGCCCTCTACGTCTACGCTCAGCGAGGTTGCTGACTCCACCACACTGGCTTGCACTTACGAGCACTCCAGAAGACCGGGACCTTCACGAAAGGTTGACCCTTGCCCTCAGCGATGGTCTTTCCTGCAGCGCGGCCATGGTTTCCAGCAACCTGCAGAAGTAATCAGATCAACGACACCATGCCCGGCTTGAGTGCACTCACATTCCAGTGCTCAATTCTCCTCGTCTCACCAGTGCCATGTTGCGGGTACAACGCGATGTCGCCTATAAACATCAATAGTACCAACAAGTCTCCCGATCAAAGAAGTAGGACAAGCATACCAATGGCGTACACGTCCGGAACACCCTTGACCTGCAAGAATTCGTCGACGAACACGCCTCCGCCGCGCTCGAGGACTTGCTCGAAGCCCTTGCTGTTCTTGAGGTACTCGGTCGCGGGGGCGACACCAACACCCATGATTACGACATCGGCTTGGAGCGTGGTGCTCTTGCCGTCGCTGCCCTGCACGACGATAGCCCCAGCGCGGGACGAGTCCGAGTCCGAAGGGATGATCTTCTCAACCTTCGACTGCATGTGGAACTTGACGCCCTTCGACTCATGGAACTGTCACACAAGAGAATCAGCCATGTGCCCACAGGCATCGGATGCAAAGAAGCGACAAAAACCAAACCTTCTTCAGGCCGGCGCCGACCTGCTTTCCCAGCACGGCCTCGAAAGGGAACTCCTCCTGACCGATGACGTCGATGGACACAAGCTTGCGACTCGACACTGCAACGACGACCTCCATACTGATGAAGGACGAGCCAATGACTACCAGACGCTTCCCCTCCTGAGCCGCTGTAGGTCATGCGAATGAGCATCTGTGGATCCCCCAAACGACATCGACGGACCTGCGTCGATCTTCTGCGCATCTTCAACGCCGCGCAGAGTATACACATTCGACAAGTCCTTGCCAGGAATCGGGAGGCGGCGAGGAATACCCCCAGTAGCAAGCACGAGGGTATCGTAGGGCACCTTTTCCTGCGTGGCTCCAATCACGACCTCCTTATTACCCAGCTCGACGCCCGTCACTTCCACGCCCTGGCGCAGGTTCACACCGTACTTCGCACGCAGCTCTGCAGTTGATCGCAGCTCGAGTTTCGACGCGTCGGAGATGAGGGCCTTGCTCAGCTTCGTTCTACGCGAACATAGCACCTTCAGGTGAATGTTTTGGTTCGTCTATGAAAACCAAATGAACTGACCTGTCGATCGGACTGTGGTGTTCCTTAGACAAAACAGTGATGGGACCCTTGTATCCATGCTGAAACAATGACAAAATGCTGTCAGCTCCCATCCCGGGCAGTGCCTAGGGCTCTCACCTCTCTCAAACTCTCGATGGCCATGAATGCACCGCTGCCACCGCCGACGATCACGACACCCTTGGTCTGGCCGACCGGGACGTCAGACCCAGTCGCAAGCAACTTTGGTGGGCGAGACTTGTTGGCACTGGTGGTCAAGCTGGGATCGGCGGTGACGTGGATCTTCCCGTCCTTAACCTCCGCTTTGAAGCTGTGGAGCGCGGAGGGCGCGGGAGCATCCTCTAGAGGGAGCTTCAGAAAATGGTATTCAATGCGGCGACTTTCAAGGGACCTACCGATGTCACCAGTGCATACGTTGAAGCAGGCTGCGAGGGATGAAGTCAGCAATCACTCCACCGCGCGCTCGCGAGACACGCTGGGAATCTCGAGCACACGCATATAGCGCGCTCAAAACGCGCGCGAAACATTCACTCGCCTCCGTGCCACGGGCTGCGTTTCACAAACTAGTCAGCATGACGACAGCACAAAAGAAGAGCACTCCGTACCAGACTACACGGCCGTCCGCAGTCAAGACGCCCTTGGCGAGAGGCGCGCCGTAGTGCGTGCAGAACGCGCTGGTCGCGTGGATCTTGTCGCCGAGACGAGAGAGGAGGACCTTGCCATCGCCCTCGAAACCGACTTGCTTCCTGTGTTGAAAGTGTCAGAAACGAACGTCGTCGGCCGTGGCGACTGAACTCCAGGATGCAAGTCCGCCGCTCATAAGTCCGCGCTATCTTGACGCCTCTGATCCTACGTCGCACAACCCATGCGCCTGTGACAGCGTCCCTGTCGAGGAATGCAGAAGCATCGCACTGCAAGGGAATGGACGGAAACAACAACACTTACATCTCCCCATCCTTCAACTCGGACGCATCAAGCACGGCGATCGTCTTGTGGGACATACTGCGGCGTTGGAACTGGGTGCTCAGAGGGTGCAACGATGGCGGTCGATGAACAAGAACGCGTGGGCGTAGGCTGATAAATCTAAATGGCCAGTAGACGGTTCTGTGAGAGAGCAGACCAGGCATGGGTTTGCCGGCCGCAGCCTGGCTGCACCTGAATTTCAAGCATCATGAACACCGCGCGACCGTGCTGGGAATGACGTCGATGCCCCGCAATCCTCAATCCCAACCAATCAGATTGCTACGATTACTTGAGGACAGCACCCGCCGCTGTCTAACAACCTCCGCAGGCTGGACGGTTGCAGGATCAACTTCTTCATTTGAATTGCTGCTTTGTACTGAATGACACTGCAAGCCTTGCTTATGATATGCAGGCGACTAGATATCAGTGTCCCTTCAAGGGATGACATCAATTTCCCATTGCAGGAACGGTCGATATGTCTGTCGGCGAGCAACAACTTATCAACGTCACGGTAAAGCTCACAGTGGAGTACCTACACCTATACCGCTGTCGTCAGCATTCACAACCATTGCCTAGAGAGGTCTTAAATGATATAGTTACACGTACGCCGAACGGCTGCGCGCAGTAACAAGAATTCGCGGACTACCAGTCAAAGACTAGCAAACACAGCTGTTGAGTCAGCGACATGCATCGTGACTTGTGCTGGTAACAAGAATGTGGATGACGGTAAGGCAAAGAGAAGGAAAATCACGACACCTGTCCTTGACAAAGCGAGAACATATTTTGTTATCAGTCGCCAGAGTCAACAGTCGAGGGCCTACTCCGTAGTGAACATACAAAAGGATACAGTATACTAGGGCATCAGACAATAAGGAGAGGATGTACCATAGAACCACAATCACGAACCCCTTGGGCGGCTCCATGGTAGATCCTCCACACTCCACAGACCTGAAACGACCTTGAACAGCGCGTCGCCGACCCAGCCTTCCTGGTCGCGGAGAGCATCCGCCCGCCGCCACTGTTCGACAAGGCACATGGCGTCCTCCACTCGTCGATCAACTTCGAGCTCCTCGCAGAGCTCGTCGTCGTCGATGTCCACATAACCGCAGTCGAGCCCGTACAGATCGTAGTCAATGAGTTGTGACAGATCCGATTGGAGGGTTATTCGCACTGGGTCGAACCGAGGGTAAAGTTTCATCGTCCGCAGAATGGACGCATATACTGCAGGGCGCGATGGGACGAGTACCGTGTGGCAGAGTGGTTCGGTGAGCGATGTCATCCGTGGTGCCGGCGAGAGATCCGAATGAGCATATGATGCGAAGGAAGCAGGGTAGAGAATGAGGTGCTGCGCGAGAGCAAGAGAGGTATACCGGGTAACGCGGTACATGCGCGCCTTCTTGTAGAAGTCCCCCCCGGTCCGTATGAGGAGGGGCGGCGGCTGGGAACGAGGCAGCCCCTCGCCGTCAGCAAGTAGCTTCGACGCAGCGTCCAGTTTGTCGTCAGGAACCAGGTAGGAGAAGTTCTAAATGCACAAATGCACGAAGGTGATTTACAGTCGGCTCAGTGTGAAGACGGTTTTGCTAACCTTGATGATAACCGGAACGTTCATTCGTCTGTGCAAGAGCGATGACCATTCGATAAGCTCGATGCCCGCATTCTGGAGCGTTTTGAGGGCTTTATCGACGAGCTCCTCCGGTGAAAATTCGTAGATGTTCGACGTATCATCCTTGGGCGGATACATGGGCATGAAGTGATCCAGGGGCTTCTTCGGTGGCGTTCGCTGCGACATAGGTGCAAAGATAGGAAGTGCCATAGGCTCCTCTTCCAAGAAAGTAGTTGTCGTCAGAGGTCGCATATTAGCAGCTGCAGCTTGGAGAAGACAAGAGGCTCAACGAGGGGTCAATAAGAACATTCCGGAGGCAGTGGTGGTGGGAGCCGCTGTGGCAACCTGTGGCGACTCAGTTTGGTGTTCCGTAGCCAATCGGATCATACCGGCGCATGCCGCTGTCATCGATGAGGTGCCAAATTTGGGCAGAGTGTCAAAAATGGAGACCAGACTCTGACTCACTTGCTCTAGACGCTAGCCGGGTCCGGGTCGGAGCTCTTTCGGAACATGAATCTGAACCCGGCGGCTCATCGACCCAGTCACCCCACCTTGGCACCGCTGCTCCCCTCCCCGCACTAGACTCGATCATCGGTTACCTTATATCCGACATCCACACAATTCCCATCCATTTACGCGGATGCTCACGTTCTCAGTGAGTGGTAGTCTGGGGTCCGGACCCCCGTCGCATGTTCCGCTTATGTCTCGCCCTACAATCTCTATCTCTACAAATCAAAAGGATCATCTGGCTGCCGCTAAGGCTCTGACAAGCCATCTCAGCGAGTGGGGTATCACTTATGGCTTTATCGGCGGCTTCGCATGGTCCCTGCTCGGAAGCTCTCGTCCCACCGATATAAGTCACTTCTCCAATGCACCCTAAAGAGATGACTTTGACTAGGTATCCGTATATACGATATAGATATTCTCATCGACGGCAACGACATGCTCACTCTACGGGAGAAGCTGATGGAGGTAGATGGAAGGTTTGCGGACCTCGGCTTTCGATTCTACTTTGTCACTCAGGTGGGTCAATAGCATGGCATGTGTGCCTTGGGCTGCCACCGTCTGAGCCTCGCTGGCGGGTCAGCGTCCCGACGGACAACTGGTCCGAGAGGAGCTCGTACGCGGCAGCAAGAACAATGTGCTCGTCGAGACCCTTCGTACAGGTACCCTCGGTCTGCCGACCTCCATCGTTTCGACCTATGAGGTTGGCGAGTTCGGTGAGTGACCACTTCTCCACATATATATCATCATCGTACAGACTATACTTGGTCGCTCAGGCATTCTCATCCTGCACCCTTCCATCCTCATCATGACCAAGTTCAAACGCTGGTCCATGAGCTATACCTCTACTCGCCCGCAGACCATGAAGAAGGTTGCTTCGGACCTCAACGACATCCGATTCATGATCGACTGGTTGGCAGAGCACGGAGAGCAAATTCGGTTTGTGGACTACTCGGGCAAGACAAAGCTGGAATTGCTCGTCATGCTCCGTCGATACCACGACAAGTATGCGGATGACGAAGAACACATCGCGGTGCTGTGCAGCATTATGTCTGACGACTGGGACACCATGCTTGCGCTGCCTGCACCGGAGCTTGAAGAGTCTATGGCTCCCCCGTAGTCCGTCGGACGCCTGAGTACGCTGGTAGTCTTCAACCGTCACAGGCAGGTATGTCATTTTGTCTTAGGCTCCCCTCAGTAGACGGGTACTCATCGACTTCAACATAGCGTCGCCTCGGCCTTCATCCAGCAGGTTTGCCTGCCTCTGCCCTCCATATAGGGGTCACCCATGAGGAGGATTCGGCGAACGAGAGGGCAGGGCATCTCATGCCTGCCGTCACATTGTTAACACAATGCGGCGCTTTCTCATCCGCCCCCCATCGACTATACGAACGCTATGTTGTCGGTGGTGGATGGATGATAGAACAGCACGGGCATACGCGCCCACACAACACGAGGTTCTTCTCCGAGGGGACTCGGATTTCGTGGATCCATCTCTGATGTTTTTATGTTTTGCTTTTATCGCTGTCTTGTTAGGAATCGTACCTCGGAAATGACGCTGTATGTGATTCATGGAATGTAGGATGTGGTTGACAGTACTTTGCATTGTGCGTATGCTTTACCGCGTGTAAGTGTTACACGGTCTGTCCACATGCTCCCGCTCAACTGGGGCAAGATCGATAGTGCCAATTGGGCGGAGATCGGCCGGGGCGGACAGACTCCTGGCCTGTCTTGCCTTGGGGGTTGTGTAACAGGCGTGACGAGAGAGTATTTCGAGTAGAAAATGGGAGAGCCTGTGCCCTCCGAGATCACTACATCGAGCATTACGATCCAAGCTTGTGGCGTGGACAATATGAACCTCAAGTGTTAGAGTACCCGCAAGGAACCTTCAATATGCTACAGCTAATAGTCTTGGGGCTACAATCAGCGGCTGCGATCCCAAATGTGTCCTGCCTACTCGGACACCTGAACTACCGCTCTAGGAACTATGGACGGCGACGCAAGGCAGGCTAGTTTGGAGCCTGGGCCGCGGAGAGCATACCGAATCTGAGTACTGTCCAGTAGATTGTTGCTTGCGCAACGGACTTGCCGTTTCTCCATCATAGTCCCTGACTTGACCCCTTGAATTAAATGATCCAGTCCGTTGACGGTTGTCCAAGCATGTGACTACCACATAAGTGTGAACTCTTTGGCCAGTGCTCAGGGCGTTTTCTCTCCGCCTACACCGCCTTCGAGATCCTAGACACTGAGCTGATCCCTTCCAACGATCATTGTCCGGACAGATGCGATGGCCAGGGGGAAGCCACTATCAATGTTCACTGTTATCGGGTTGCTGGCGAGCGTAACTCGTAACCTTTACAGCTCCACATCTTAGTCTCCCAAGGTATGCATATACAATCAATCCCATGCGACATTGAAGGTCATGTGCTGGAGTCCAGTAGTATCCGAGGCTGAACATTTGTGCGGGTGAGTCGCTCGTCTGAGGCATGGCGCCGTGGGGTTGACAGTACTTGGTTTATCTAAACACTCCGGGCAAAGGCGTGAAGTCGGATATAGTCGTGTATTCGTCTGATGTATGGCGTCGCCAGCTCCGGACGCCCAACTGGTGGTGACATCACCATGTGGACGAGTCTTTCTTCCGTATTGAGCCGAGGAGCCCCATCTACCTTCCTACACTCGACATATTTGTGCCCATAACACTCGATGGACGCGCTTTCTCTTGAAACAACGCAGTTGCTCGTGAGCGTTATGCAGGCCGTGGTGCGCAGCTGTAAGTATATATGTCCAGGCCCACATTCCAACAGGCGCCGGTTCAACTGCTAACGCCATCACAAGTAGGACAGCGTTGTTGATGGATGCGCATGGCGACGTTCCATTCGACCTGGATGCACTCTTTCCGTTTCCCGCTGCGACGCTGGACTCACCAGAGAGTACGATAACGGTGCCTGTATCTCTGATGCGCCGCAAGAGCATATAACACGACCGACGAGCGGGCCAGGGAACCAACAACGTATTGCGACCAGGCCCTCTCTCCTCCTCCCCTCTCCCTCCGCGGTTCACGGTCCCCCGGTCTCCCCAGCATGCTGCTCACGTCGCGCCTGCTTGTGGCCATCACGTTTGCGCTCGCGGCCGCTGCAGCCGGTCCCCAGCTCTCGCCCCGCGTCCTCCATGAGTCTCGCAGCTTCGTCCCCAACGGCTGGACGCCCGTTCGTCGCGCGGGAGGTCACCAGCGCATCCCCCTCAAGATCGGCCTGGTCCAGCCCAACCTCGCGTCTATCGAGGAGTACCTAATGGATGTCTCTCACCCGGATTCGCCCAACTACGGCAACCACTGGACCCCTGCGAAAGTCGCGGAGACCTTCCGCCCGACCCCGGAGTCTGTTGACACCGTCCGCGCATGGCTCCATAAGAGCGGCATCGAGCCCCATCGCGTCAAGCTCACAGGCGGTTGGCTCACGGCAAACGTGACGATCGCTGAGGCGGAGGAACTGCTCGGTACGGAGTACTACGTGTACGAGCACGAGACCGGCGTGTCGCACATCGGCTGCGACAAAAAGTACCACCTGCCTGAGCATGTCTCGAAGCACGTCGACCTCATCACGCCCACGATCCACTTCGATGCGAAGATCAAACGCGAGGCACCCGGCACGCTAGAGAAGCGCAAGGTGCATAACATTGGCGCGCCCGGCTTTGGTCCCGTAAACCCCAAGACCACCGGTACGATCAAGGTGCGTCTGTTCAAGCTATGATAAGCGGTTCGGCGTGGATCTTGACCGAGGTGATACAGAGTTTGGAGGACGAGCTTGAGAATTGCGACACGCACATCACGCCCAACTGCCTTCGCGCGCTTTACGACTTCGTTCATGTTCCTCTTGCCACCAATAAGAATTCTATCGGAATCGGTGAGTGCTCATTGGCAGGTGTCCTCGCCGCTGAAGGCTAATACCCATATCCACAGTGGAGTACACGCCCCAGGCTTACGTTCCGTCTGACCTGGACTTGTTCTTCAAGAACTTCTCGTCTTCGCAAATTGGCCAGCGTCCTGTTCTGAACAGCATTGATGGTGGTACCATCGATGTTGATGGCTCCGGTTTCGACTACAACGGCGAGTCTAACCTCGACCTTCAGTATGCCATGGCCCTCGTCGGCAAGCAGCAAAAAGTCAGTCTCTACCAGGTCGGCGACACTGTCGAAGGTGCCTCTTTCAACAATCTCCTCAATGCTCTCGACGGCTCCTACTGCACCTTCGAGGGTGGCGACGACCCTTCTCAGGACGGCATCTATCCCGACCCTGAGGGTGGTTACCAGGGCAAGGAAGCCTGCGGCACTGTTACCCCGGCTAAGGTCATCTCGACGTCCTACTCGTACGACGAATACGAACTCACCCCTGCGTACATGGAGCGTCAGTGCGCCGAGTACGCCAAGCTAGGTCTCTTGGGCACCACCGTTCTCTACTCGTCTGGCGACTATGGTGTCGCTGGATATAACAACACCTGTCTACTTCCCGATGGCACCGTGTCCCATGAGGGGAAAACCTTCACTCCATCATTCCCCGGCACCTGCCCGTATGTCACCAGCGTCGGCGCGACGCAGGTCAACCCCGGCGCCAGGGTAACTGACCCCGAGAGCGCGTGCGCGCAGGTCATCTACTCGGGCGGTGGCTTCTCGAACGTCTTCCCCAGACCTGCCTACCAGAAGGCCGCAGTGAAGAACTTCCTGACCAAGTACCCGCCCCCATACTCGTCCGACATCTACAACACCACCGGCTCGCGCGCATACCCCGACCTCTCCGCCAACGGCGCCAACTACGTCGTTGCCGTCCAGGGCGACTTCTACCTCGTCTACGGCACGTCCGCCTCGTCGCCCGTCATGGCCGCGATCCTCTCCGCCATCAACGATGCCCGTCTGGCGGTCGGCAAGAAGTCGATCGGGTTCATCAACCCCACGATCTACTCGCCGACCTTCCAGCACGCGTTCAACGACATCACGGACGGAACGAACCCCGGCTGCGGCACCGTCGGCTTCTCCGCACAGCCCGGCTGGGACCCCGTCACCGGCGTTGGCACGCCCAACTTCCCCAAGTTGCTCGCTCTCTGGCTCCTCCTCCCTTGAGAGACCGCCCTCAATCCGTAACACACTGCTACCGCGGAGAGACTCTAGCCGGAAGCTGACGACCCCTGCCCTACTTGCCGCTCTTTACCACGTACAATGGGTCGAGACTTGTTGTGCTGACATTGCACTGTATACCTGCACTTAGTTACGTGTGCATATGATCCCTCGTTGACTTTGTCGTTCGTTCCTACGGTCATTTGCAGAAAATACACCTCGTCACTTCAATCTTGCATACTGTGCATGCGCTGACGCCGTAGTGCAGGGACCTGGAAAGCCGCTTATGGGGCCGACAGTAAGCACAACGGTGGCTAACGTCGCCCGATGCGTCGACGTATTGCCCACCGACATGTCCAGGCCTGGAGGCAGATTTAATCCCTCGTACGGAGCGCCGCAGCTACGAACGATCCACGCCTCAGCAACAGAACCGAGCCACGGATCAAGGACCAAATAACAGCTAGGAAAATAGCATCCTCAAGCTGACGAAACGAAGTCTGCAGACTGTGCTGTCAAAACCCGGAGGGAAAGGAGCCGGAACCCGCAAACGAAGCTGAAGTCAGGAGGAACGAAACCAGAATCAATGAAACGCAATGGGGAGTCACAGTCCATGAGCTCAACGCCCGAGGTCTAAGTCCGATAGGGCCGGAAAGTTTTGCTGCCTGCTTGTAGTGAGTTTCTTGAGAACGTGGACGGGTGGTATACCTGACGGAGTGAAACGGAAGGATAACTCTGCGGACTCAGAATCGGGAGCCACCCGATTGAATCATCCTCGTCCGCATCGCCTGAGTTATCCAACCCGTCCACGTCGTCGTTTTCCAAGTCTTGTGCCTTGCTTAAGTCCTTCTCATGACCTTACCCCAGATGGCGGTCAGCCGCTTCACAAAAGCTCCGCCAAAACTCTTGGAGGCGACCTGGCCATGATCAGAGCGGGGCCCGTCGTCGGGCCCCGTCTTGTACAAGCCTTTACGAGATACGAGCTTGAGGTCGAATGCGCTTTGAAGACGATCGGAGCCTTCGGGAATCCAGTCACCGAACTGAAATCCTAGACCCACGATCGCAGGCTCGACAGTCCTAGGACGAGAGCAGACCTCATCATAGCGGCCAGCCGCCTCCGGGGGAGAGAGGAGCTCCGGCGGACCGAAGGCAGCGTCGGAGAGGAGAGGAGGTCGCCTGACTAGAGGGACAGAGGGGCGAGCAGAGGGTGAGTAGGACGAGACCAGCGCCCAGCGCCGGGTGTTGTATGAGAGCATAGAGGGAGTCGACATGGCGAGGATAGATGGGGGGTCACTGCACAGCAGTGGGGGGAGGCAAGGTAGGTGAGGTAGGCAGGAAGACTCTGATCGGGCTAGATAAAAGGGTTCGAGGTGTCATTGAGAAGAGGACTGAGTACTGAGTGTTCACCCGTGGATTTCCGAGGACGAACGAGCTCTGCAGCTACGGTCAGCCCAGCGGTGCGGGGATAAATCGCGAGATCGCATGAACCGTAGCCTTGTTCTGAATAGTCCTCAAATCCCGACGGCCGTAGAACCTCATCGCGGCGTGGTATGAGCTTCGGCGTCGTGAGGTCCTTGTGCTTAGTACGCTGAAAGCATGAAAGCATGCCAGTACTGCCATATCTGAACTCAAATAAACCTTTCGATAATAATGGTGGGTGACATACGGCAGTTCAAGTTTCCGATCTCCTGCGGACGCTGAAGGTCTCCTCGAAATTTTTGTTCTGCCCTGCTTATATTGAAAGGCTGCTCTTTGAGGACTCACTGACAGTGGACGCTATGTGGGGAAGTGTAACAGAATGCAACAGCACGACGCAAACTAACGCTACCGGTACAATGTATACAATTAGCAGACCTCTTTCGAGTTCATTTTACCACTGGCTGTGGCTCGACTGGGACTCCGCGAAACGCTCCCAGAATGTCTTGAAATCCAGGTATCTGTCCTCATCCACTTCGTACTCCTCTGTATCCTTGCCATTAAATTCGCGATACCGCACCTTGCACTTCTTCCTGTGGCCGACCTTCGGATCGCCGCCGAGGTTGTCGTTGTTGATCCGCACCCCGCCGCGTTCCACCAACGCGCGGTAGAAGCGGTAGTACACTCCCTGATTCTTCACGTCCGACCCGCCATACTCGATCGACTTGATGTCCTGCTCGAGGTGCAGCGAGCTGTGCTCCTTTGCGTAGCGACCCTTCGCCCAGCCGTCCTGCCAGTAGAAGATGGCGCACGACTTCTTGAGGCCGAGCCACGGGTCGCTGCCGAGATTCTCATTTGAGATGGGGAACCCGCGCGGAGCGTCAATACACTCCTGGAGCCTCTGGTGTGCCCCGGGGTCGACGATGAGCCGCGCGCCGTACACGATGACCTTGTTCCGCAGTCCGTGCGCGATGTTGTAGCGTTGGAAGCTGATCGCGAGGCTCAGCGTGAGTAGGTCGTCGTCCAGGACGTTGTCAATCGTCAACACGGACGGGTACGCGCTGCCCGCGACGTTCTGCAGTGCGAGAGGGAACTCCGCGCGCTGGTGCGACTCGGTGAGCTTGAGCACGCTATAGTTGTTCGCGCCCGGGCCGAAGACTTGGAATGGGTTCAGCGTCGAGAGCACAGCAGCCATGTCGTCCTGCGCGAGTGTGATGTAGTGGTTGTATACGGAGTAGCGGCTGGAGTGGTAGAACCCGCGGCGGTGGAGTTCGCCGCGATCAAAGCCGTCATCAAACAAGAGGACCACGGCCGCTTCTCCATGCCCGATGAAGTCGGTGAGAGGAAGATCGTGAAGCACAACGTGCTCAGGGTCTGCAGTCGTGCTGAAGACATGCTTGATCGCCGTGAATTTGTCGAGCAGATCGCGACGATGGTCGACAGTGAGGTCGAGCCCTTTACCCTTCGTCTCTAAGAGGAGATGGGTGACGTGGCTGACATCGAGGATGATCAACTCGGAGTGGTCCTTGGTGAAGTTGTTGATATCGTTGATAACCTCGTCGATAGAGGCACCGCAACCACCCTGCCAGTCAAGGACACCTCCGAGCGGACTGAAGTGACCTGTCCGCCAGGTGCCTGAAAAGTAAAGCCAGTCAGCACACAAGGTATTCGCGTCAGACGGAAGGCAGGCCAACCAACCTGCATCGCCTGGGCTATCCTTTATGAGGAACGGTCGAATGTCAAACCAGCGCACGCCATGCTCGAGTTGCTGGTAGATGGACAACGTTTGCGTGATCACATTGCTGCGCGTGCCCCCCGGAGCGGTCGATCGCTCGAGCTTGTAAGTGCCGGCGTCATGGGAGCCAGGCAGGCAGATTTGGCCTACAGGGTACGCGCCGAAGGTGGAGAGGTGCTCAGACATCCATCGGCGCACGTGGTCGGGAGCCCTGTACAAGTAAAGTGAGCGGAGTGAGAGAAAGATTCTGCACAGCGAGCGTACATTTCGAGTTATGTTGGAAGCTTGGATTTTGAAGTGGTGCAGGAGTAGTGGTACAGAACGCTGCCGTTGTCTGCGCCCCCTTTATACCGGCCTGGTCTATGCTAGAATTCATCGGCAAGCGGTATGCTAGAGTCGCTCAGTACGAAGGGACTGATTAAGGGGTGGAAAGTCAAGAGACTCGGAGGGGGAACATGCCGGTGACACAGGTACGCCGTCTGACTTCATTTCGAATGCCCAATTCATCACAAAGGCCGCCAACACGGTGCCTTGTAGGTACAGTGTCAGAAATGAGTCTCATGAAGTTTCACGAGTCGGGTGAGTGGGAGCCGGAAAGCACATAGCACAACTTTGTATGAACGGTTGTCAGGCGCGAAGTTTGGCAATTGCGTGGGATTGCAATAGGCACTGCCTCTAGGCGCTCCAAGACTTGCCCACTCCCGGCGGGACTAGTGCGACCATCCGACCAGCGTATGCCAGTAAACGAAATAAAGATGGACGTTCCTTTGTGGACATGAAGACGCGGGGCACGCCACAGGTACTGCACTCGGTGAGTAGTTGCCCCGGTTGACGGCGATTCGAAGAGGCCAGGCACGCAAGCCCGGTGAGTAGGGACTTGCAGTGATGCTGTAGCCTACCCACTGGTTCCTGTCGCCAGTACCGAGTAGTCTGTGGCTGACCATGGGGAGTATAAGCTTCACTGATCCCCTACGAGACAGAGTGCTAGACATAACTTTGCCATTGTTAGACGGGGCCGCATACGCATCCATGATGGAATGCATTCAAGTTGCACGAGGCTGGGGGTCCTCCCAGTGAACCTGAGAGGTATGTGCAGCGTTGCTATTTCAGCGTTCCTTTCCTCTGCGAGCTCCTTCCTCATGTTAACCTCCGTCCGGAGGGTGAGCCAGACAGAGTGGTCACAAGAATGGGCCGCGCCTATAACTTCCGCGGCTAGAAACCGGGCCTTCTGTATATCGAGCACCATCCCCCGATCAGAATACGTATCCTCCCATTGGTTCGCTACTTGCCTTACGAGTTCCTCTGTCCCATAGTCTCCAATTCCTACCATAGCACATGTTTGCCGTACCAGCGAGTCTTCCGGAGCCCGAGATAGGCTCTCGGTTCTCAAGTGTACGTAGCACCGATCATCGAAACGGGCCTCAAAGAGAAGCGCTAGCATACAGTGGAGAGACATGGCCGTACTGAACGCCTGAAGCTAAGTGAAGGGTGTGGGGAAATTGAACTATATCAACCGGCGGCAACTACGGGTAAGTCTGAACGCCGCGCTCGCCAATGCTCCGCAGCTTGTGAACGCGGGTCATGCATCGTGCATCATAGCTAGGCCACCTGCATCTCACAGTTTCTTGTCTTCTTTCGTCTGCGTGTCGGACATGCCATCTACACCCTCCCTACATACTGTGCTCCTCTCATCACTTGTCTTCCTGGCAGCACAACCTATCATGGCACAACAGACTAATGCCGCACGCGTCCTCATCTATTCGGCGACGGCGGACTTCCGGCACGATTCGATTCCCACCGCCGTGGACGCACTTGTACAGCATGGACCGGGCACTAATATCTCATTCGACCACACAGAAGATAAGACGTGGTTCACAGACGATACCCTGGCACAGTATGACGCTGTCCTATTCTTGATGAACACCGGTGAAGGTGAGTATCGAGCCTTGCCACGAACAAGTTGTGAAGTGGCTGACGTTCAGCTCGGACAGTATTGGACGACTCTGGAAAGACTGCACTGCGCAAATACCTGGACTTCGGCGGCAACTTCGTTGCTATACATGCGGCATCGGATGCACTGCGGAATACCACATGGTACCAAAATGAAGTCGGTGCGTACCACATAGCTATCTTCCGGCATCACATGCAACAAGAATCGAGACCTCGTACTTGAATCCTTCGGGACCTCACCAGGTGCTGCGTTCGACTATCATCCCGCTTTGACCAATGCCGTGAGTGCAACAAGCTAACTGTCACTTGGTTTGAAGCATCGTTGAAGCGTATTATAGACAGTCGATGTCATTGGCCCCCCTCATCCTAGTACCGCAGGTCTCCCACAGGAATGGTCTGTGCAAGACGAAATGTAAGAGCTCCTATCCCATGTTAACCAACCCGTTCGCTGCTTTCGCGTGATACAGGGGAGACACCAAACGGCTGACTTCTTCTCGATTATGCAGGTACAATTTCAAGTCAGATCCTCGAGCCATCGGAGCTGTAGTTATCCTATCTACGAACGAATCCAGTTACACAGGTCAATTCGATGGCAGATCATTTACATTGACCTTGACGGCTAAATCACAATGCTAGACCCCGGACCGCGCAAATTCGACCAAGGCACCCCTCATCCTACCGGTAAGTGTAATAGGGGATCGCGTGCATACATAGTAGCAAACCGAGCATCGCAGCTTGGTTCCAAGAACACGGCGCAGGTATCGATGCAAACGGTACCGCTGGTCGTAGCTTTTACACAAGCCTTGGGCACATGAACGAGACATGGCAGGCTCGTCATCGATTTTAGCTTCTGCACCCGCTGAACCCCTGACAGGCTCCTTCGATTAGGACTCGTTGTTCATGGGACATGTTATGGGTGGTATCACTTGGACGCTGCAATCCAACACTACTCGTGCGTTCAACGCGACCGCGAAAGTCGGAAATGGGCCTTCAGGCTCCAACAGTACTTCCACTGCGTCTGGCTCGACCACTGGGACGTCCTCTCATACCAGGTATGTTATTGCGAGAAAACCTGTCTATATACCGCCCACCGCTTACCGCTCGATGAGCGATAGTCCTAGTTCGACGGATGCAAGCCCGAATTCGGGTGCCTCACTTGCAACACCAGCCGGGATCTCTCTCCTGGGTTTGGGAATCTTCGTCTCGTATCTTTGGACGATGTTGATTTAGCCCGAGTATTGCATGTAATGCACGTCACGCAACTTGGAAGCCGTGGACGTGGCATTGGACATTTGAATTGTGGATGCACCCCGAGAAGCCCTGCCGACTTGCTGCAGGAAATGTTTAAATGGAGACATTGACCAAAAGTGCAACGCAATACCATACGTTATCCAGCCATCCTCACTATGCATCAACTACGTGTGCTCAGGCGAATAGTGGTAATAAGCAAAGGGTATATATATTATGGGCGCTCTGGATACCCGAGTCAAGAATGGCGTGAGCGCTAAATTTTCAGACCTATAAGCACCGAGTCACTCTCGCGTACTGTTTCCCCTACCACCATGTCCTCCTTTGCCCTCCGTGCTGCTGCTCGTGCCGCTTCCCGTCGTGCGCCCCGCGCCGCGCTTCAGGCGACCAAGGCGTCGTACTCTGTCCTCTCCCGTAATGCCGCCGCACGTTCTGCGGCGCCCTGTCCTGCTGTCATGGTACGTACGTTTTACCCTGTTCATTTTCGCCCATCCAATACCCTATCCCGCACTAGGCAACGCGCGGCGTGAAGACTCTCAATTTTGCTGGCACGGATGAGGTCGTCTACGAGCGCAGCGACTGGCCCCTCGCGAAGCTCCAGGACTACTTCAAGAACGACACCCTCGCGCTCATTGGCTACGGCTCACAAGGCCACGGCCAGGGCCTCAACGCTCGCGACAACGGCCTGAACGTCATTGTCGGTGTTCGTGAGAATGGCGAGTCGTGGAAGCAGGCGATCGAGGACGGCTGGGTGCCGGGCAAGACGCTCTTCCCCATTGAGGAGGCGATCAACCGCGGGACGATCATCATGAACCTCCTTTCGGACGCCGCTCAGTCCCAGACGTGGCCCAAGATTGCACCCCTCATCACTAAGGGCAAGACCCTCTACTTCTCACACGGTTTCTCGGTCGTGTACAAGGACGACACCAAAGTCGTGCCTCCCCCCGACGTCGATGTCATCCTCGTCGCGCCCAAGGGCTCTGGCCGCACCGTCCGCACTCTTTTCAAGGAGGGTCGTGGTATCAACTCCTCTGTTGCTGTCTGGCAGGATGTGACTGGCAAGGCCAAGGAGAAGGCTGTTGCTCTTGGTGTTGGTATCGGCTCCGGCTACCTCTACGATACGACGTTTGAGAAGGAGGTGTACTCCGACCTCTACGGCGAGCGTGGTGTTGTACGTGGCATATTTCTATCCTTGATCCGGTGCCCAATTGACGTCTCTCTGCAGTTGATGGGTGCTATCCAGGGTCTTTTCTTGGCTCAGTACAAGGTTCTCCGCCAGAACGGTCACAGCCCGTCGGAAGCGTTCAACGAGACTGTCGAGGAGGCTACCCAGTCCCTCTACCCCCTCATCGGCCAGTACGGGTGAGTACCTCAACAGTCCTTAAGAGCATAATGAACCCATTATCTCGGATACTGATCGCCATATGTAGTATGGACTACATGTACAACGCGTGCTCCACGACTGCGCGCCGTGGTGCGCTGGACTGGGCGAAGGAGTTCGAGAAGGTCAATCTGCCTGTCTTCGAGCGTCTCTACGAGAGCGTGAAGAACGGTACGGAGACCCGTCGCAGCTTGGAGTTCAATGGCCGCTCGACCTACCGCGAGGACCTGGCTAAGGAGCTCAAGGAGATCGACGAACAGGAGATCTGGCGGGCTGGTGCGTCCTTTCCTTTGGTCTACTTACGCGAGTATGTGCTGATCGTCTGCAGGCAAGGTCGTCCGCTCACTCCGCCCGGACAGGCAATCATAGAAGTTTGGCTGGTTCTTTGCCGTGCCGAGCATACTTCATACCTAAAAGCACTCCTGGGGTGCACCGTTGGTTTAGTGCTGTTTTACGAGTACCTGACAATTGACGCCATGCGGACCGACCATTCCGTTCTGAGTGCGAGCAAGAAGCGCGTAGTCTGCGATCGAACGCTTGAAGGTTTACTAGTTTTCATGTTACGTCGATTCTAGGTCCTCTCGGCAGAAGGACACTGATTGTGTATACGCTCACTCTGGCTTATGTTAGCGTGATACCGCGTCGAAATTTGCATCTCAACTCGGCGGAAAATGGGTAGCGTGGGGATGGGGGCACCGTGATGCGTACGATTGCACGAAAAGTGAGTCATGCGATGCACTCCAGCACGAATCATTTGCCAATTGCGACTCTATACAGATCTTCGCATCCGGATGCGAGGCGGAGAGCGTGTGGTATTTGGGTTCTCGAAGATCGTTGAGGGACACTTGTTATATACGGGAGTGTCGCGTTGCATTTGACTTGGTCTCAGCCTTCAGACATGTGTACGAACCCGGACACGCCAGCGGATCCTTCGGCCCTTGCCATTGATGATGAGGGCGTGCACCAGCACGCGAGTCGGTCACCAGCTTCATCAGTGCAGAGACACCAAGAGGTCAAAGAGACACCGCTTCCGAAACTCCAGCTTTTTCTTCTGTTGTACCTTCAACTTGCAGAACCGATCACTTCCACCGTCATATACCCCTTCGTCAACCAGCTCGTGAGGGAGACGGGCATCACGGGCGGTGACGAGCGGAAGACAGGTTACTTCGCGGGTCTCATCGTACGTTTTTTCTCAAGACCATTTTCTCTGACCGTGCGGCGGTGTTTACGAATGGTCTCGCAGGAGTCGTCGTTCTACGCCGTCGAGGCGATCTGCGTTCTCCAATGGGGGCGCGCGTCGGATCGCATGGGGCGCAAGCCCATCCTGTTAGGCGGCCTCCCTGGATTGACGCTGTCGATGATAGGCTTCGGGCTGTCGACAAAGTACTGGGCTCTCATCCTAAGTCGTTGTGCTGAGGGCGCCCTGAATGGGAACATTGGTGTAACAAAAAGCATGATGGCGGAGATCACGGACTCAACAAATCGCGCTAGGGGTTTTGCCTATATGCCTATGATATGGGCGTTAGGTAGCACGGTTGGGTATGTTGCATCTATACTGTAGTCGGCGATTGTCGAGGCTGATGAATGTCGCAGCCCGATCATCGGCGGCGTGTTCTCAAGGCCAGCAGATGGCTGGCCACCATTCCGGCACGGCGCTTTTTGGAGAACGTACCCATACTTCCTACCGTGCATAGTCACGGCATGCATTTCGATCAGCGCATTTATGCTTGCCCTGTTCGGGCTGAAGGAGGTCGGTATCTGATTGAATCTCATTTTGTGGTCGTTGGCTCAGCTCTTGCAGACGCTCCCTCGCACCTTCCGCAACACAGGATCCGATACCGAACGAACCGCGACACTGTATCGAGATGCTCAGAGCCAACAAAGTGTCAGCGCTGCTGTCGTTTCCGAAGGGGACAACGTCATCGAAGTAGTAAGAGTCGAGCCGCTGCCCAATCTGGAGAAGAACGATCTCCCCGATACCGGGGTACTCGTCGACAAAGTTGACTCCGAAACGCCAGTCACCATACGCACCATACTCGTACCGCGTGTGCTTTGGCCGATCATCAACTATGGCTTCCTCGCTCTTACCGACCAATGCGTTGTCGTGCTCGTTCCCCTCATGTACTCAACCAGTATTCCCCTTGGCGGCCTGGGATTCACTACCTTCACTATCGGGCTCATTCAGGGTGTTGCGGGCTTCGTGGGAGGCATCGTGCAGGTCTTCAGCTTTCCTTGGATGCAAAGGAAGCTCGGCTCAAAGTGGCTGTATACCCTGTCGTATTCCATGTTTGTAGTGGTGTTCGCGCTCTTCCCACTCATCAGCTTCCTGACGAAGCGAGAGGGGAAAGTCCGTAGTACGACGTGGGTGTTGGTGGTCCTGCAATTTGTTGCATACGTGAACACGTACATGACCTGGGGTAGGTCCACTTGAGCTACGAATGTGCACGCGATGTTGACTTCACATGCCTCATAGGATGCATATTCATGTATATAAGCGATGGAGCGCCCAACCAGAGGGCACTCGGGTTGACCAATGGATTCGCTCAGACGACGGCTTCGACAGTTCGGGCTATCGCGCCCGCAGCGTCATCCTCCCTGTTTTCAGTCTCCCTGGAGCAGCATCTGCTGGAGGCTGGCTCGTCTATTGTGTATTGTGCGTAATCACAATGGCTGGAATTGTTGCCACTGGTCGCCTTCCCAAACATCAGGCCAGACAAAGTGCGTCATTCTATTGCAGATACCTCAGTCGCTAACGAATGCTGATGTAGAGGCACACTAGGAAAATGGCGCCGTTGGTACAACTCCGAGGTGTCCCTTGTTAATCGATGCTGCAGGCGACGACGCATATGTTTATGGAGAGCTGTAAATAATCACGGCAGACATTCTAAGTGCTTGTCGTTGTCCTACATCGAAGGCGTAGAAGTCGCTCTATTATGTACAATGACAGCTGACGTATGCGTACGCGATGGTGTTATCAAATTTTCGCCTCGGTCAACCTTTGTGTGGCTTCATTGCTTAGAGCTTGGACTTGACGCTCTTGGCATGCTCTAATGAGTAGCTGTGAGTGACTTCGGAGTCTGATGTAATATATGTGGTCCCGGTAGAGCCCAGCACCATGCGGGAGTTGGGCTACCGGCACAAATGTCGGAGCCGGCGCCCAGGTACTGGCGCTAATGAACAGTGATCGTCTCCTTCGCCCATGGTCACTACTACCGTATGGCTCTCATGTGCCATTTCAAGCGTACCTTGCTCGGTCGGTAGTTCAGTTGGTTGGCTATGCGCGCGTGTATCACGCTAACAGCTCAGTACGCACATCCTCGGGTTTCGCGTACTGCCCGTGAGCCGATGATCCCATCCGGACTTGAATCTAACGCGCAGCTATATCTCCTCAGGCACATCTTGCAGAGAAGTCTCTCAGTGTTTATCGAAACCATACCGTCTGAGTAGCCTCATAAAAGTATGTACATTCTTTTTGTGTTGACATGCCCACGCCAATCGACCCTGGCTGTTCTCGCTTTGCGCCGCTCGAAGGTCGGATGGAACAACTGCATTGTTGGCCCGGGGAGAGCTTTCTGTTGGAGTGTCAGAAGGGAGGGCGCGATGCGTGTACCTGTCTCTTTTCGCACAGACGGACCAAAGGGTATTCATCGGTGCCTGCTACATGGCTATGTTCGACAGGTCACAGACTTCGCTCGGCCATGTGGCTGAGAACATGTGTTTGACACAGCGCATCGGATCTATGGCGTCCGTACTGAGGTCACAGACAATCTGCTGGGTACGTCAATCCTACACGAAGTACTTTATTGATGCCCCTCTGATGGCCTATGTTCATATTTAGCCCCCCGTGTACATTGGTTACGAACGACGGCTGTGCTTGAATTGAGCGTCTCGATTCACCAGACGATCCACGAATGGCAGTGTACTTGTGATTCGGGGGACGAGCGGACGTCAGTTAAACGATTCTCACCGAAGATCGAGAATAGCTTTGTCCGACTCCGGTCTGAGTCGGCGGGCTCATTAGGGTCTCGAACTTCTCGTTAGATTCGGCTGCTGTATGTCTTCTCGCCGGGTGTATAAGGAGTGTGCTTGAACCAGTGCAACTCATCTGGCCACGCCTGCAACCTTGACAGGTAGTCCGTGCTATGGCAGACATACTTGCTGGATTGCTCTCACAGTTCTGGGAGTTGCGTGTCTCGGTATATGCCAATGGTGCGTGCGCTTCACGTCTACTCGTCGACGTTATCTGAATGATACTTATGCATGTAGTCGCTTCTCTCGCCTTGCTCGTGTATGTTGAAGCCATGAACTTCAATGCTATAAGTTGCCCACTTACACTCCTCAGATATGACTGGCAGCTGACGTTTGGAGACGAGGTGCGACTTTGCTACGAGGACCGTCAATCACGACTGAGCTCTGGACTAGGTCGATATCATGTGGATGTCTAAGGCGAAGTTCAGCAAACTACTATTCGTAAGTCAATGATTGCATGCACTCTATTCTCTTGAGTTAACATTATGGATAGCTATGGGTATGATTGTAAAACAGAGGTGTATATGCTAATCCTCTGATCGCTTCTGTTACTGTAATCAGATCCGTTACTTCGGCATAGGCACCCACACGTTCATCGTCGGTGCGATGTACTTGCTACCTGATCCTTCACCTGCGGTGAGTTTTCCCAGCTCACCCCGAGGCCCTCCGATCCCTTACAGTGTACAGTTGTGAGTTCCCTTCACACCTAATGCAGCTAGACATGGTTTGAGCTTCTTCATGATCCCAGCTGTCGTGTTGCAACAACGTTCCAGACCGCAGGGCCGAACATCATGTGGTGGTCAGTTGAGTTCGTCTTCGCGCTGCGGTACGTGTAGTCGTGCGCCCTCACGTCATCACACCCTCCTCATATCCTTAGCTGCTTAGCGTATGGATCCTCTACGAGAGGTCGCGGAAGCTGCTCTTGTTCCTTGCTATGATGTATACAGGTTTGTTCATCCGTCGGCGCATTTTATGAATGCTGATGATCCTACCTGTAAGCATCCATTGGTGCCAGGTGTGTACAGGACATCATTGAGAGCGGTCTGATCTATATACCTGCTTCAGTGCTGTCCTGTTGGTCAAAGCGTTGCTTCATGTCGATTGTGAGTTTCTTCCGGCACCGAAGTAATCCACGTGTGTCGAACTCAGTTCAAAACCCAGTGATCACGGTGCCGGGGTCAGCTCGACCATCTCGCATTTAGGTGTGAATTTGTGCTCAAAGACTGTCCACAGCGGGGTCATCTCAGGCTGCTTATCAAGTGGTTTGTGCTTGCATATGAGACAGTTCAGACTAGCCCAATGTATGCTAACAATCACCTATCCATCTCAGTCCCCATCTACATTTACAGCGCATTCGTCATTGGCATTATTACAGTACGTGTAGTATTATCTCATCCCATTGTTGCCGCTGGGTGTATTCACGAGCTACACTGTCGGCAGACATCGATGCTCTGCGTCTTGACATTGTACCAAACTATCCGATTTAGAGACGGGTTGACCAGGTCCCCGCTGATCACGTTGTTCCGTAAGTCGATTTCCACAACGTCTCTGACGTCCCAGCAGCCTAAAACCTCGGAACGTCAGTGAGGGACGGACTTGTCTACTACTTCGTGTACGAGCGGTGAATATGATGCTCTAGAGGCTTCTGTAAAGCTGACCCACCGCGCCTTCGTTCGCAGTGTGTCAGGTGAGTAGAAGCATCTTGACATGGAAACTTAGAGATCGATTCATGATTTTACATAACAGTGGTCTTCTTGCTGAACCTGTTCATGTTTCGCTTTGGTGCCGCGACATTCAAGAGCCTCTTCAGCGGCTTCCTCGAGGCGTACGTCATTCCCCCTCCTGCGCGGTGGTCTTAAGACTGACGCCGAGCACAAGCATCCCTTGTATGTTCGGCGCGCGGGTTCTCATCAACATTCTGTCCCTCGTCCAAAAACAATCCGGGGTCAGCGACACTGCTCCGCCATACTCTGAGCCGAAGTTCCGGCACACATCCACAGCAGGGTTTGATAGCGGGGCCAGTGTAACGTCTTCGGGTACGGACGCTGGCACCTCCACGAGCGGGACTGTCACGGTGGATAGCGGTCGGGAGGCAGGGACGCACCCCAGTGCGAGGAGCAGCTCGAGCGGTATGACGCTGTCTCGGGGTGCACTGTCTGCGTGTGCAATGGGAATCGAAGAGGTCCTGCGCACGTACAGCGATGATATCGAGAAGGGGTATGACTCATGATGAGATACGCTCTCTGTAACGAGTTGATGACAGATGTATGAGTGGATGACTTTCCATAAGCTATCTACGGCTCTACGGACGTCCGTAAATCTCTAAACAGACCGATTTGGGCAAGGGGCAGTGTTGCCGACACCAGATCTGAACTCCGCTGATGAAATTTAGGATACGGACGTCAAAATCTAGGAGGGGGGTCCGACCCCCCTTTCTAAATCTCTAACAGGCCGTAGACAGTCCGTAGACCTCGGCATACGGTGCCGTGACCACGAGAAAGGAAGGAGCCATCATGACAAAGCGAACTGCGTGCCAAATACAGACATGACATAAGCCACTCCAGTCACGTGCTGATGATGAGCAGAACATGCCGCTTGTTTAGCGCCCAAGATCCACAGACTGTTTCAAACCCCGCCTAGAAATCTACGGACGTCCGTAGAGCCGTAGATCCTTATGGAAAGTCGTCCAGTATGATCACAAAAGAGTGTCGTGGATGAGCTTCCGTTCTTCGTAGAGACTACAACGGCGGTTCTAACCTGAGGGGCAATCTGGCCTTGACGGTTTCAAACCTATACCTACCGCATGCAGAAAGAGAGCAGCCGAGCAGCGCGCGCAGCCACCGCTGTCACGCGCTCATCAAAATGTGATACGGGGGCGAGCGGCGAGGTCGAGGGCCCTGCCCATGACGACCGGAAGAGGGAAAAAGCAAAGCGACAACTATGTAGTATGCAAGCACATAGCATGCCTTAAGGCGAGCAGGTCTATGGCGGGAGGTAGGGAGGCGGGAGCGGGAGGCAGCAGTCATGACGGACAGGACGCGTCGTTTCACAACCTGTACGTGACTTAGCTATCTTGCGATAGGATCTGACGATCAGCAACAATGTACTGAAAGGCAGTGCGTGGCCAGGGACTATAACCTGCAGACAAGCACAAGTCACACATCGCTCGCATCCCGACAATTCCAGAAAAGTGTTCTCGTGCGTGTTCGTGTACAACAGTGCGAAGACGTTTTCAATGTTTATGGACAACTCGTTCTGCGTATCTCCCCTGTCCTGAGTCTCCATCAAGAATCTTGGCGTAGTAATCGCAGGATTGCGGAGGGTCGCCTGATACAGCCCACGAAGGATGGAATCGAGGAGCGTCCGCGACTATCGGCACGACCGTATTGCCCACCCAGCGGAGGGGGACTAGCCATGGCTTGCCCAGGGAAACTGTACCACAGACTTTCAGATACTCAATGTACTGCTCACGGGTATACGGATCGTAGGCTTACCGAGTGTTCCAAGGGAGACAAGAGGAAGAAGCAGTCGCCATCGTCTCCGTAGGCCGAAGGGGCTGACCTGACAAGGGGGAGCCACCGCCAAAGTCTGTCAGCCCCACCTGACATACAACCCCAACACTCCGTGGCCCAGAAGTGCTAGAGAAGATACGTCAGGGACCATGGAGGACGATTTTGTCGGCGACTGCGTTATTTGCCGCGAGTGGTGGGCGACTGGAAGAACTGCCTTTGAATCGTCAAGGGGGTTAGGACGAAGAACGACGAGGCGAAGGACCGATGCTTACTGAGTCGACAGCCTCAACCATCACTTATGAGATCCTCGGCACATGGACTGCCCGAAAGCGGCGATGTTCTCCACTCGGGTGCGGGGCAGGAGCAACATGCTGTCGTGGTGGACAGCGCTCCTTGCCTATAGACGGACGAGTAGTAGGCGAGGACGAGACCCAGAGAGTGCGTGGATGATGATCAAGGGACGACATCGCTGCCCGCATATGAAGTCAGGATGAGGATGATAGTTCACTGAGACGCGGAGAAGATGGTGGTTGGGGGGTGAGGAAGGGTAGCGGCGCTGTGCGGGTTCTTAAACCACTGGCAGGGCTGGCAGACCAGATGTGATGCCGGACTGACCTTCACAGAGGTTGGGTTGTCAGCCGTGTGAAGATGGTTCTAGGAGACGTCTGTTAGCGCGTGCATGGCAAGTTAAGTGGTGGTTCGAACATTACGATCTATTCCCTGGATCGCATACTCGCGATCCATGTGATCTCTCGCCACTGGCATGCAGACAGCCAATCGAATCGCTTGAACGCGCAGCCGGCTTTCCATAACACAGCGATGGCCAAGGTTACGATCTTCGGAACGAGCACAGGGACTCCGAAGCCTACTAGAGGTCAGTTCACGCATGTTGGCTGAGTTGAACGTAGTCGCATAGTCGCTGCTGCTGCTTATGGAGATTTATAAATGCACTTTGGTGAGATATATGCTTTCAAAAAAATGTACTGAGGGCCGAAGCGATATGGGGTTGCCATGTCTGCGCTGGCGAGCGGATACAAAACCTGTAGGGCCGTAACGGGGCGCTTCAGTTACCTAACTCGTCATCAATCTCTTCCAGAAATGTGGGCCAGAGCGATTTTGCGTGCATGTTTGTACGTGGATTGCTCGCCGACGCAGAAGCAGAGAGTCTGGAGCCAGAAGCTAATCCAGAGTCGCTTTTGCGAAAGCAACGCTCTGAGCGCCCGCTTCCCAAACAAATCCGAAAGTGATTCTGGAGTTGAAACGAAATTATAGTCGCTGTCAGGCTCGGCCAGAATCTCCCACTCTGACCTCCCCTAATGGATGCATCTGCATCGGGTCTCCAGATCTGAGGTGTACCACGACCTCTCTCGTTCGGGTTGATGAGACGTTGTAGCATATCGAGAGCGCCTTGAATGGCCTCCGCTTCTACTAGTATCGCCAACGTCAAGTCGGACTGGAGCAAGGCCAGTTCGATGAAGGAGGGATAAGAAGCGCCCATTCCCGCCTCGGATAGAAGTAGTTCGGCGTTTCCTCATGTGAGTGGGTCCAGCATGAGCCAATCTGTAAAGGAGGGATGTGCATCACTTTGACAACATCGCGGATGGAGGCGCAAAGAAATGCTCACAGTCAGCGTCCTCAGCTGTCGCGGTCTTCGGATCGCAGCCGAGTCAGGTTAGGAGCTTCACGGAGGCGATACTGACGCTTCGAATGTTGCTCCCGAGCTGCTGGCGGCATACGAGAGTCGATGTGTGAAATGTGACATTGGATGAGCCTTGACATCCTCTGAAACCGGTGAACACGATCCGAAAAGGTTGGGTAGTATTGAAGGGCGAAACGCCTTGACTCCGATGGCGACAGGCGAGACGAGGGGCCGGAGACGGGCTTGGCTTGGAGGACATCGCAGAAAGTACAGAGCCTGCGTCTGCTTCTGAGTTCGACTTGGGTGAAGAGAACAAGCATGCTGCAAGCGTAGAGTTGACGACAGGTGCGGGCGAAGTTGCAAATCGTGGCAGGGGCGCTGACCGATGATTGCTTCAACCACTTCCCAAGGAGGCGCGAGGGATACGGCGGAGCTGAGAGCGGCGTGTCCGCTGTGAGAGATTTCGAGACATCTTCTCTGAAACAGAGAGCAGAGGGATCACCATGTATAAAGAGAGAGCGAGAGACAGGTGGGGGAACGCATGTATTGGGTTGAGGGTAAGGTGACGATCCGTAAACATACCAATAGTTGCACATTTGCATTGACACCTAAATATATATGATGGAGCCCCCATTAGTCGAGGCCGGAGACCGGAGAATTCGTCGGGATTGCGCTGGCATCGCTGCGGCTGCAGTGGGAGTAGTAGACCAATGTCGTCGCCTCTCCCAGAGCGGCATTAATTGTGCCAGTCTGGCGCCGGCGTGTGCGGAGTTGGACGGTTGTGCGTGGAGTGATCTAATACTTACCTTGTTTGAAGTTATCTCTGGCCCCGATGATTGGCCGCCACAACGCCGGGGCCTGCAGTGCTGCGTCGGACCGGATTGGGCAGCGGGGTTCTGTGAAAGATGTCGTCACTGCCGAATAAAGTCGAAGTGGATCGCAGGTGTCTTCATGCGATGGAACTCGCACGTCTCCAGCGATTCCTCGGTGCTGCACCTTTCCACATCTGCTCGACCCTCTCCACCACTATATGACACCGACAAGAACCACCCACTTCCGGTTTCTCGACCAACTTTCCCCTCCCTGACTGCTCGACTGTTTACCTCTAGATCCCAATCTCGTGCACACTCATCTAGGCCGCGTCGCCCGACATGCAACGGTATGGCCAAGGGCGGACACGACCGTCGGCGGCGAGCTCCCTCGTCGTCTCCGTCTTCGTAGTCGCCGTCCTGCTGCTTGCGTACCTCAACGAACCGCTACTGGTATCGAGAGCGCAATCATACTCCTTCGGCTCACTCGCGGCCCAGAAGAAGAAAAAGGACAAGTTCCGTGAGTGACTTGCCTTCTCTTCCCGACGCGCGTAGGCTGGACACCCCACCCGCCAGCCTTCCCCGACTTCAACAAGTACATCCACGAGAAGACCATCCCTCCCGAGTCCCTTGGGTTAGGTACGTGGCCTTGCGGCGTTACTGCGGCTCTAACGATGGGCATCGGTCGCCCTGAAGGCTTACTCGGTCGTCCTTGCGTTGCAGGAGCACACGATGAACGTGTGATCATCATCGGCGACACACATGGGATGAACCGTTCACTACAGTGAGTATGCACGTTTGTCGGAGGCATGCAGGCGCTCCGCGAGTTTGAGTTCGCGAAGCGGATTAGCTTGCTTGTTTGGGGGCGGACGCGGAGGGCACCGGGTACCTCCGCAGTCATAACCTTCCCAGCCAAGTGTACTCCGTGAGGTACTGCATGGGGTCCAAGGGCATAGCGTACACTCATCTCCAACGATGTGACAATGCTGACTCAATGACTCTCGCAGCAACCTGCTCGCGGCGGTGGAGTACAAGCCGCACCAAGACACCGTGTTCCTAGTCGGGGACATCCTCGCCAAATCCACAGAAGCCGGCTCCCTCGCGATCCTCGACTTCCTCGTGCGACAGAACTGCTGTGCGAAGGGCGTCGGAGACGCGCCTCGGCCCTCGGGATCCCCTGCGCGTGATTCGCACGCGAAGCCGGCCCCGTGCAAGCCCGTCTACGCCGTACGGGGAAACCACGACCAGATGATCGTCCAGTGGCGTGCGTGGCGCGATTGGTTCGAGGGCCTCCAGCTCAGCTTCCCCTCCGCGCACCTCTACCCGCCCCGGCGCCGCTCAGGCTCCTTGTCCGCGCTCGCCGCGTCCCTCGCGTCTGCCACGACGACGACCGCGTCGTACGACGCCGGGCCGCCCGTGGGCACGGGGGAGCAGTTCCTCGCCCTCATCGAGGCGGAGTGGCTGCGCGACCGGGCGGACGACCCGAGCGGCGCCGGCTCGGACGCCGAGGAGTGGGTCGACGTCGCGCGGAAACGGGCCCGGGGGACGTGGCGCGCGGAGTGGTGGAGGCGCATCCCGCAGCCGGGCAAGGGCCGGACGAGCAAGGACTGGATCATGTTTGGGGACCACTACTACATCGCGAGGTACGTGGGCGCGCGCTGTCCGCGATCTACGGCGCCGGAATCGGCTTGTGTTCTGCTTCGAGGGATTTACGCTGACTTGCTCGTTGGTTGAATGGGCGTGGTAGGGATATGAAGCCGGAGCACGCGGAGCTCCTGTACTCGCTGCCGCTGGTGATCCACGTCCCTTCCGAGCACTTCTTCCTCGTACACGGCGGCCTCTTGCCCCTCGATCCGCGCAAGCCGTCCGACGATAAGCACCAGCCGCTTGCACATCCACCTTCACCGGACGATGAAGAAGAAGTTGAGGACGAAGACGATTACGATTACGAGTATCCCACGATAGACTCCGGATCGTCGCAGCACGTCTTCCCCCGCGCGGAGCCGCACGGCGAAGGCCACGACAACGGCGACGAGGTGGAGGAGCTCCGCGTCCTCCAGGAACGCTCCCTCCTCGAGGACATCCCGCACAACCGCGACCCGTGGGTGGTCCTCAATATGCGCGGCGTCAGGAAGAAGGGCAAGGTCACGCGGCGGGGCGACAAGGGCACCCCGTGGGCGAAGATCTGGAATGGCGAGATGAAGCGCTGCACCGGGTTCACCGGCTCTGCACGGGACGTCCCAGCCGCTGAGCACTCTCCCGGCGAGGACGAGGACACGGAGGGGGATGGGGGTGTGGACGGGCACGCGCTCCCGTGCTACCCCTCGACCGTCGTGTACGGTCACGCCGCCTCGCGGGACCTCGACGTCCGGCGCTGGACCGTCGGGCTGGACACTGGGTGCCTGTACGGGCGGCGCTTGACGGGGCTCGTCCTCACCCGCCCGCGCACGGACGCGGGGGGCCCGACGCGGACGTCGCCTCTCTACGTCGACGCCGATGACGACGCCGACGAGGAGGACGATGACGAAGAGGAGTCGAGCGACGAGGAGGAGGACGAGCTGGACGAGACGGCGCCGGAGGGCCACCTGCGGGACATGAACTCGCGGTTCGCGCGCGTCGCGGGCGGGTCGGCGATCGCGCGCGCGAGGCCGAGGGCCAGGCGGGCGAAGACGTGGACGCGGACAATCCGGTTCGGGGACAGGGACTCGGGGGTGGAGGCGAGGCTCGTGAGCGTCAAGTGTCCCAAGGTCGGGGACTCGAGCTGAGCGTGCGCTGGCGCGCACGCGTCTCGTGCACGTGGTGTTGTGCTGTTCGTCGTGTCGTTCTGACGCTGCATTCGGCTTGTGCTAGACGCATATAGGCGTGCTAGAGCTAGAGCTGATGGTTTAGGATACTTACTGATAATTCGCTTGGGCTTGAGGTGGTTTCCCTTGTCTGCATAGTACTGTATTTCTAGTGTCTCCTGGTCGGTGTTTTCGGTTTGCATAGTCTCTTTTTCTTCGCATTTATGAACGAGTAGGGTAGAGCTCTCTCTAATATATCGCGCCTTGCATTCTGTACCAGTACCATCTTACATACGCGGTCGTATCTACATTCAAACATTTTCCAAAGTTTTTCCTTTGATGGACTCTCGACGGGAACTGCTCGGATTTCTCGAGTGCGCTAATCATCACCCTGGAAGGCATGCACAGCTAGCAGCCTGACCTGGAAAATCGTATCTGCGTGCCTGCACATGTGCCTCGCGAATTTCGGTGGAGCAGGACTGTCGAAATCATGACATACGGTTGGTTGGCATGCTCATCCACATCTCGTCACGATAATCATCCGCGCAATGGCACTGTCTTGGGTCGCCGGCTACAGGACATTATTCCGGACGAATTCAAGACTTAAATGGACTTGTACAGTAGCCGCATACATCAGAGCGTATGTACGTCAGTACGGCCTCTCGCTTACGGTACTCTGTATGTCGGGTCTGGTGATAGTAGGTAACGACGTCACATGGTCACTGCACAGACTCGGGTCATCAATGCATCAAGGACTACCGCATGTGTGAAGACATCTATAGCGCGAATATGTTACAATAGATATATGTGCACGAACAGGCAGCGGAGTTAAATACTAGCGATACATACATACGAGATACACGATCGAAGACGAACGAGCGACGATAGCAAGGAGCGACAACAATGCGAAAACGATGGACGGGCGAGAAAAGACAGGGCGGAGACGAGCAAGCGATAGCAAATATGTACATAAATTACATCCATTCCGTCCCAGATACGACGACCAGCGGTGCCTACTGATGAGACACAAGATTCTCAACGTTCCGTCGACAGAACACATCCAGCCCACGCTAATCCTTCTTGACGAACGTCAGCATCTTCTCGAGCCCCTTCGCCGCAAACGCGGCTACGACCGCGCTCTCCATCTCCGCAAAGTCGAAGCTCGGCAGCCCGCGATACGGGAAGCTCGCCCCGCTCGCGACGCCGTCCTCGCTCTTCTCCTTCGCGCACACCACTACGCGCTCCAGGGGGGTCGCGCGCGCCACGCTCGCCGTTGTGGCCGCCATGCGCGGCCAGAGCTCGCCCAGCGCGCTGTCGTACTCCCCGCACTTGACAGCGAACGTGAGCGTGCGCAGCGCGGGCACAGGCAGGTGCACGAGCAGCAGCAGCGTGAAGGGCACGACCGCGATCCGGCCCGTCTGGATCTCGAGCGTGACGGTCGTTAGCGCGGCGAGCGGGCTGAACGCGTTCTGCGCCCAGCTGGAGCTCGCGCTTGGGAAGTCGTCTGACATGGCCCCGTTGTCCCCAAAGCCGACCTTGAGGGTACGGAGCGTCGGGGCGAGCGCTCCAAGGACGTTGCGGAGTACGCAGATGCTCGACCATGGTACCCGCGAGCAAGAGAAGGTGTGGATCGCAGTGTGTAGGTTCTGCGCGACGAGCCACTGGAGTACTTTGAAGTTATCGCAACAACTCGTCATGTCGACAACCTCAATGCGCGGGAGGATCACGCCCTCGGGGAAAGCGGCGATCGGGCGCGGGCCGGTCTCCCACTCTTGTGTGAACGCGATGCTGAGGCGCTTGAGGTCGGGGAAGGAGGCAAAGAGCTCTACGAAGACGTCGAAAGACGTGAGCGCGCAGGCCCAGAGGGTGAGGTGGGAGATGCCGGAGAGACGGCCGAAGAAGCGGCGGACAAGCTCGGCGTCGATGGTGATGAGGGCGAGCTCGAGCTTGGTGAGGTTGCTGAGCTGGGGAGGGAAGGACGGGGGGATAGAACGGAGCCAGGCGTCGAGGGTCGCACCATGTAGACGGTCCATGGAAAAGATGCCAAACGCGCCTTCGATTTCCAACGTTGCGACGTGCAATCCGAGGGCCGGATTAGACTGGAGGAGACGGGTGAAGGCGTAGCAATTGGACCAGTCGATATAGATGGAACGGAAGAGGTGATGCTGGACGCGAGGCAGCCATTGGCGCGATGCGAGGGCACACCTTCGCAGGGTGGGTTTGTCGTCAGAAAGGCAGTCAAGGACGCAGTCGTACAGCTCCGGGGGCAGGTCTGGTAGTGATGTCATGCTGACGGGACCTGCAAGGATTCACGGTGAGCCGGCAGAGCACGGAGACGGCGGGTGAACTAGCGAACAGCTGTGCGACAGAGAGAGCAGAGCTGAGCATTGGGATATCTTTATAGCGACTAGCCCGACTGCCAGCTCAGGCGGACGCCAGACTCCTTCGCGACGTTACGCTGTCGCCTTTGCCGTCACAAGACCTTCGAGACGCCAGACCGAGCTTGCTCACCTTAGCGCGGAGTGTGTGATGTGCCCTCGACACCAGAGGTCTGCGAGGAGCGGCCAGCAAGCAAACAAGGATCGTCGTGGGAGGTGGTAGAAGAGAAAGATGAGGAAGCGATGAGAGACGAGGCATGCATATAAGTTCTCGGCACACAGCCTGCTCAGCCAACGGCTTCTCCGATGTCTGGCTGAGCGCTAGGACTCCGGCGGATACCGCATCTCGTCACGCCCTCTCCGTGACGTCACACTCTCTTTGATGGCCCGGATGGCGGCCGCCTGCATTCGGCCAGTACATATTAGTACTCGCTCTCTTTTGTCGACACAACCAGCCTGAGCTCTGTGCCTGCCTGCACAAGCACTATTGTCTGGCAGTACTTTTCCGTTGCCATGGTCAACGCAACGAGTCGCACACCGCCGCGCTGAGGATCTCCTCATGGCGAGCTACTCTGGCATGCTCCCCACAATCGAACCTGAACATGTGTCCGGCATCGATGCCAGAACTGTCTTTGCATTGTGTCCATTCTCAGCAACTGCTGCCCCATTTGCAGACCGAACACTGGCGATCTCCGTCGCTGCAAAGTATAAGGCCGTCTCTGCTGCGAAAGGCCTGCTTCGTTTAGTTGCTCCCCGTCTTGCCCGCATCCAGCATGTCTTGCAGTCTTTGTCGTTTGCCATTCACTCCGAGCGCACGCTCGGTGCGTCCGCGATGGCCTCCAGAAGGCATGCTCTCCGAAAAGCAACTGCAATACATGAAACATGCCGTCGGCATGGGCCAGTACCTCGTCGGCCTGGTCGTCAATCTCGTACATCTCGGTACGTTCAGATCGTCACATCATGGCCGCTAAGGCCGCCCGCTGACGTTAACCACCAACGTGTGTATCTGGCAGATGACAACATGTTCACGATCAATAACAGCCCTGTCCTTGTCACGATCATCTGGGAGACGGGAGGCAAGACGGTCCGTCTCATCGCCTAGTATCCAAGCACCCGTTGAAGCGTAGCTGATTCGGACATCTTGCCTCAGTTTGTCGCGCTACACACGCACTGCGCCATGTTCCTTCGGCACAATCTGGGGCTTACATCCAATACCCAAGAAGCACTGATCGAATGTTCCCTGCTAGACATCATAGTCGGGCCGACCCAGAGCGGCGCACACGCAGGCAGACTCAACAACGTCGATTACGAAGGCGTCCTTGGTCAAGGCTCCCAGCGCGTCGACATCGAGTCCCTCTGGTCCATCGGGCCCACCGCAGGCAATCAAGACTTTGCATGGCACGAGTGGAAGCGACGGGGCCTCGAATGGACAGCTGTCCGTCCCGACGTGTATGTATCAAACCCCGCAGGCTTATGAGGGAGATTCGCGCATATATTGACCCAAAGCGATCCACACATGACAGCTTCCCGCGGTTCAGCCCGACAGTCCTCCCCGCCCGTCTCTCTAACCTCGGCGAACGGCCCGCCACGACCGCCGACAGGATCACGACGCTCCCGCTCGACGTCCTGCACATCCTCCTGCCATACCTCTCCGATGAGGCCTACGTAAAACTCATGGCGACGTGCCGCACGCTGCGCTACCACGCGCTCACGACCTTCCAGCCCCTCGCCCGGGCGCGCGTGCTCAGGCTGCGCTGGGCGGTCCCGCTCGAGAGCGAGTACGCGAGCTACGTCCGCACCAAGCACCCCGCGCTCGCCGACCTGTACCGGCAGCTCACATCCGCGCCGGAGACCGCAACGCACCCCCCGAGCCGCTCTGCGCCCTCTTCTCCGACCGACTCGGACGGCGCCGGCCTCGACGCCAGATTCAACTCACTGTCGCTGCGCGCGGCCGCAGCCGCGCAATCGCACGGGAACGGGAACGGAAACACAGACACGAGACACAGGGACCCGCTCGCGCATCTCGAGATGGCGCACGCGGCGCACTCGCCCGTCGACGCCGACTGGCTGCACTACCTGAGCCAGGTGCACCGGACGTCGTCGATGCGCGCACGGCGCTGGGTGTGGGCGCTTGCGGGGGAGGTCGCGCGTGTATATTGGAAGAAGAAGTCCGAGGGGCCGTACGCCGACCCTGAGCAAACACCTGACTCCGACGGTGTAAAGGGGAGGGGTGGGGACGAGAAGGATGAAAAGGAGGGGACAGGTGGGGGTAAGGGGAAGTGGCCGGGGAAGAGTGAGGCATGGAGGGTGTATGCGCAGAGCGTGGAGCAGCAGTACGAGATGCGGCGGGTCGTGCAGGGGGGGAATATGGGGAACGCCAGTCAGACGAGATTCACGTGGTGAGGGTGGACGGTGGGCGATGAGAGTAGGTGGTAGTGATACAGCCCTATGTATACTAGTCTCACCCTTGAATTTTTAGAGTATCCGTCTCGCTATAATCGAACGTTCTGCATGAACACACACCGGATGCGTGGGTTTAGATATATCATGGCTTGTGATACATCTTGGTCGATGTCATGGTCGGGCACGACAGGGTGGGACCAAGCATAAAGTGACGGCGATTCTATGAGCACCTTGAAGCCGCAACGAAGACCTCGAGTCCTAGCAGGGAGTTTGTTCTGCCCATAGTCACATCAGGGACCATCACAAGAGCGTATGCATACCCGCCGGTTATGTATGCGCTCTCCAGAGACGGACGCCCCATTCCGCTGATCCTCGGGACCAGAGTGGAATGGATTACGGAAGTAGGAGCGGCCTTTCATGTGCCTAGGGACGTGTCGCGCACGTAGAGCGGCCTGACCACTTTTTGTCGATGATCGAACACATACTCGTTCTCACATATGTATTGAGACGCACCGAGAGTTCAATACTGTCGCCGTGGCATATCACAAGGAATCCCCGGTTGTGTCCAGACGAGGACGGTTGTCCGTGCCAGAATGAAGTGGGCTCCTCGGACTCCGTAAGACGTAGCGGTGTCCGTCCAGGGGTACAAGGCAGTACAGTGCTGTTTTCTGGGTGCTCTCGGATGTCGTCGCTGATCAGTGGTCGCCGATAGTTCTCCTGGGATCCAGTGTCCTGCCTGGAGGGCGTCCCGCATGGCGTTATGGCATTTAGAGTTCGCCGGGCGGCCGGACCGCTAGGGACTTGTGAGCACATACTGCGGCTATGAGCACACGACAATACTCTTACCTGACTTTTCGCGGAAGCAAATTCCTGTGCCAGAGAGATTGTCACGATGTCTGAGATATCGGCAGCGAACGAATAACAGATGCGGCAGAGAGCTACTCTGAATGCTCGTGAGACGACCGACCTGGCATGTCCGCACAATGTACGGCGTACGCCCTTCTAGGCCTTGTTCTCCGTGATCTCGCCTGATCTATATGTTCTTTAGGAAAGCGAGTTCACCGTAGAGGCCGTCCGACCTCTCACCGCTGAATCTTCCGTCTTGTAGCATTTATCCCGGGCCTTCCCAGAAGCGAGTGGACGCACGAGGTTATATCTAAAATTGCTTTCGCGCGAGTTATCGGCGCTCTGACTTTCGCAGAATGTGTAAACAGCTTTCCACGGCCCGACAGAACCAGCACAAACATACTTGCCTGCTATACCCGGAACTGGTACTCCTCAGCCTTGCTCGAGCGGCGCTTCCTTCTCTGAGTCTTGAATGGCAGACACCCGCCATAGCTCGAAGGCAGCGAAAACCAATCGCCTACGGCATTGTCTCGTAAGGACCGACCGATCGACGTCGGTACGGATGTGCGGGTACCTGCCACAACCGCCGCGGACCTGGTTGGCCCGTCCATCAACACTTCTGCAAGCCACGCATCGAACCTCGTGGAGTGACATCGAGGACGGTGTCCCGAACCTGCCAGTTTGCCGACGGCGCGGACACAAGCCCGTGAATCGGCTCAGGGAGCGCTCTCACAAGAGGCCTGCGTCCAGTGACTGAATGTGCGCAGTCGATGCCGGACATCAATCAAAGCTGTGTGGTCAAAAGTTTATAGAAGTGACAAGGACCTCCTGACGAACGTCTGCTCGGGACGTCAACGCGACTGTGCCGCTCGGACGTGCCGTGTGCGTCACCAATATAATTGTCACGTTTTGTGACGAAATTTCACCGTCCGAAGGTGCTGCGGCCGAGTAGGAAACCTTGCGTGGCGGAAATGGTGAGGGGGAAGAAGAGGGCTGAAGGGCAAGGGCGAGTGAAAGATCCATGTCGGAAGATGTGTCATTGGTCGGCGCCCCGTTGGTCTCACATGGTCGTGGTTCGTCCGTCCCGTACAGCGTATGCCAGGTAGAGGATGCTGTGAATGCCGGAGGTACTGACATGCTGTCCCGGCGGAAAATGACCATTGAGCCTCGACTATGGATATGGGCATATGCCGCGGCTGTTGTTGTACGATTTAGATGATGAGTACTTGGCTAGAGAAGAGGAGAGGGACGATTTTGGTATCTTCGCATCGAGGAACGCCTCTTCATGGTATCAGGGCATCTGGAAGGGGCACCCCGTGGACGGTTTGCCTGGACCGAATGGACGATGAAACATCACTTCTATTGTGATAATGTGAATTTCCCTCTGAGAATTGCTAGGGAGCCAAAATTCCGCTTTCAACCCGTCTGGATCGTACAGGCCCACGTTTGTCGCCGTTGGCGCGCTTCATGAGATCACAAGTGTATGGGTCCGACAGTTTGCTTCCGCGGGAGAATTGGAATTAGTATCGAGACATATGATTGAAATCAGAAGGACGCAACATCAGGCACCGGCCATCCTTGTGGTGGACGCGGTCATGTTTGAGTTCTTTGAATGATGTGGGAATGAAGACGGAGCATTGGTATCGAATCAGCGTGATGTACCTCGCTCATTGGACGGATCGTACTCACGAAAAACATAGAGAATCGAGGGTCGCCGTTAGCCCTATGTTTCGAACGATCGATGAGGGTTTGATAGGGAGAGACGTTTCACACAGCTTCGGAAAGCAAGTCTTCTCTGTCTAGCGCTGTAGGAATACAATCAATCAATGAGCCTGTACTAGAAGGGGGATTTCGACCTATGGTGGATATTGTGAGCTCGGTGATACAAACCAGATTCGACCGCTTGGTGCTCAGAGACAACTAAGCGAACGGAGCACATTGTGATACTGCTTCAAGGTTACCCTGTCCGTATAGAGGGACTGAGTCGTAAGTAGGCTATACGACAGCGGGTCCTCGCAAGAGGTTGAAACAAAGTTCTGCCGATTGAACTCACCGGCACAACATTCACTTGGTGTACTGCAAGGCATCCGAGGCGTGAACAGACCGGCATGCACAAACAACGACATACACGCACCTCAGACCGGCAGAAACCATTCTCATAGCCTTCCTAGAACATATAAAAGCCAGCTGAGACGGCGAGGTCCAACAGCAGCAGCCCAATCGCTCAGCTCTCAGTTCTCAGCACTCTCAATCTCAAGCAACAGTGAGCTTCAATACGTTCGACTCGATGATCACGCCTACTCACTTCGCTACGACAGCATTCACCATGCAGTTCACCGCCCTCGCTAGCATCGTCCTCGCCGCTGCCCAGGTTAGCCTGGTCAGCGCTGCAACCCTGGAGCAGCGCCAGATCCTTGGCTCGTGCAGCAGCACGACGCTCCCTCTCCCCCTCTGCGGGAGCATCTTCGGAGCTTGCAGCGGCAGTGGGTGCGCTTGCACCAACGTGCTTGAAAGTATCCCCATCGTCGGCGGGACTCTCGGCTCGATTCTCGGTGGCCTCGGCGGAGGTCTTCTGAGCGGCTTGTTGCCTGGGGTGAGTACTGGTAGGGTACCGCAGGAGCTTACCCGAGTCGGACTGACCTACATATATCCTACTAGCTCTGCACCACCGGTGGTAGCTTGCCGCTGGGCTTGACTCAGTGCCTCGAATTGGGCTGCGAAACCGACGCTGACTGTACCTGCGCTGGTGCGACGTGCACTCCCGTCCAAGATGCCCAGAACAGTACTGCCATCTCGGTAAGTGAAATGCGATCTATTGCTGCTCACTGGGCCTACCTTATGATGTGACTGGGCTTCAGTTCTGCATCCCGGCCGATTTCAACAACATGGCCCTCTGAAGGGGGTTCGTGAGAATAGGCGAAGAGAATAACAAGGTCACAGTTGGGTTTCTTTGGTCGTTTGTTGGCGTGGTCTATTTTCAGAGATCGTAAGACTTAGGTTGATTCAGATTGTATAACTGGTTGATATGAAAGAATCGCTCACCCAATGATTCGTGTGAAGCTCATCGGAAGTTCTCGACATCTAGAAGCAAGGTTCAGTTGACTTGTTGTGAAGGTTCGACCCATTGCACGGTCTATGACGTGTCGGAGAATTTCGGACAGCTCAGTCCCGGATTATGTATCGTTGATAAGTAGCTGATTTGCGTCCCAATGCTACGAACAGTGACAACTTCGCGTGCCACGCAAACATCTGCAACGCGGAGGGGGCCGAGTACTGGAAGCGCTCGTGTCGACGCTCCGGTCTGATTCGGTCTTCCGACGCCCGCGTAACCGCCACGTCGCCATCGATGTTATCATCGATGCGGCGTTACTTGTAGTCTTGCCCTTGTCTTTGATACAATTCGTTCCATGCTTCAAGGTGCAGTATAGTACGCGACAGCTCCTCCATCAGGTTTGCTAATGAGAGCCTGAGGTAGATGTGGCTGCTACATACGACGACACTCGAGCTGCGTGAGTTCTCTGATCCGACACAGGTTCATTATGCGATTCTCTCGCATGTATGGAACACACAGGGACCTGAAGCCACATATCAGGTGAGAGTTCCAATTCACTCTTGCTTCACGAGATCAGATTCTGAGAGAACCCCAAGGATGTCAAGCAGATTCACTCCGCTGTCATCCGCGATCTCGGAGATGACCCGTCGCACGACCACGTCCAAGAATACCTCTCGAGTCGCTCAACCCTACCAAGCAAGATTCGGGACTTTGTTGCGGTCGCGCGCTCCAAAGGCTACGAGTACGTCTGGTTAGACACGTGCTGCATCGACAAAACTAGTAGCGCGGAGCTTTCAGAGGCCATTAACTCAATGTTCCAGTGGTATGCCCAAGCCTCCGTGTGTTACGTATTCCTGCACGATGTCGATGGCTCCGAGCATCCTGCCGCTCCGAATAGTGCCTTTCGAGCCAGCCGCTGGTTCACCCGTGGCTGGACCCTGCAAGAGCTCGTGGCTCCCCGATATGTCGCTTTCTTTTCGAGAGACTGGACGCTCCTGGGAACGAAGGACAGCTTAGCCAACGTCATCGAGGCAGTGACACATATCAGCACCACGGTTCTTACCCACGGGGTGGCGTTGAACTCCGTCAGCATTGCCGAACGCATGTCCTGGGCTGCCGAGCGCACAACTACTAGGATTGAGGATAGGGCGTACTCCCTTCTAGGTATCTTTGGCATCCACCTACCTACCATCTATGGCGAAGGACATCAGTCTTTCATTAGGTTACAGGAGGAGATCCTTCGGCGAATCCCCGATCAGACACTCTTTGCATGGGGACGCGTCTTGCGATGCCCAACAGACGAGTTGCATCGCCTCGCTACAGTCCAATTCGAGTCACGTCAAGACAACCCACTCCAGTTGGACGATAGCTGTCTACTAGCCCCTTCGCCGACATACTTCCGCGACTCCGCTCAGTACTCGCCGCTACCCCTCCGGTCCTTGTCACAGAAGATTGGTTCTCCTCTGGAGATACCTCAGTATACGACGACGAGTTACGGTATCCGCACCACGCTACCGATTTGTTTTGTGTCGCTCGGGAATTACGGAGATGGGAGCATGGGCGACGTGCTCATTCTGGCTATACTAGCGTGCTGCAGCTCTGAAGGGGCTCTGCTGTCGATCATCCTATCTCCCGCAGGCGAACCTGATCAGTACTTCGCTGGCACGGGGGTCCACCAAATCACTTTTGATTCCGCCTTCACCATTCCGCTCGAAGCCTCTATTCATGACCGCGCTTTCCATCCCCGCATGGTGCTCCTGGATGATCCTTCCTCCTGCGACGCTTCATCGCCAGTCCGATAGAAGTCAGGACTATATTCATTCTTCATAGCCATATGACTATGCTGCGAGTGCATGAAAAGAAGCGGAGAACTGACGGCTTCCGTTCCGCGGACCGTTGCGAGATCATCTTACCTCCATGGACGCGTTCGCACCTTCAAGGACTGGGGTTCGAATGCAGCTTCAACGACGACGTCCACCAAGAGCCAGCCTGGGACAGAAGCATCACTTTCTCGCCGACGAAGGGTTACCATCTCACTTTACTCTGTCCCAAGGTGATACTCCACATCCGCGTGTATCTCTGTCCCCTCATCGATCCGGAGAGTTACGCGAACCCTTGGGCGCTGCATGTTGTGGTCACTTTGACTACTGCCAGTAGGACGCAAATGGAGCGCTCGGGCATGTCGTCCCGCATTGACATCAGCGATGGCAGGATTGGAGCTGAAGGATGCGGGCGTCCGGAATGCCACGTCCATCAGTGGGAAGCGGGATCTAAGCTGTTCTACGACATGGTCCGGCTGACGTTCGCTAACTGGAGGTCAGTGAGGGGAGGGGCGCGCATGCTCAACACAGGCTCGTCATTTGCCCTTGACATTGAGATCAAAAAAGAAGCAGCCGCCATCCGTGACCCCTCATCTCCTTCTCCCCATGTGAACATCCCTGCTGCCTCTTCGCCGGCGGGTAACTCAAATGCGGACGCTCTTCGACGCCGCAAGGCGCGTCAAGTCCGCTTCCTCGAAAGCGTGCGCGTCGAGCTCTATGAACGAGGCTCCGACAAGAAGCCTTCTGCGCCACCTCAATGATCCCAGAGTGAGGTACGTTGCCAAATCATCAGGAGTGTATATCATAAGCCAACCATTACTGGAGACGGCCGGAAATGTCAACTAGGAGGTGTAGTCGAGTATAGGCCTGCTTGCAGGACGGAGTGGGTTCTTGACTAGACATCATGAGATAGTTTGTGGGACAAGTGCAGACTAACACAATGTGGCATCTGTCATCATGCGGACGTGCTCGATAGACGAGTGGGCGATGATAGACAAGAATGTTGTATCAAAACGGGAAGAGGTCCTATATGCTGTGGACGAAGTCATATCGCTTGTGACTAAAGGCACGCTGTCATCAGACGAAAGTGAAACAATGCGTGGATCTGCGCCGTCTACACATTTAACCTACAGTTACACGAGGTCACTATCAGCCGACTCTCTACCTGTACGGCGACGCACTATCCCGTCACCCGCATCTCATACACGAGCTGGCGTCCCGAGAGGGGGAAGACCGGCAGCCTTGAGGTCGGCGTTGATCTGCTCGATGTGGTTGACGAATTGACCCTTCAAGTCGTCCCACATCTTCGGTTCGTGCTCTTCACATTCACCGGACGTTGTCAGAATCATGATTGCCCTAAAGATGAGCGAAGAGAATTCTCACCGTGAAGCTTACCCGTCCGCTTCATGGCGTAGCCGGTGAGGGTGACTTGCATGCTGGTCTCAAACATGAACGCTGCCAGACGTTGAGCTCGAAGCGCAAACTGCGATGCGTGGTGATCAAACCCACCCAAAGTGCCTTCATGGATTCTCACGGGCTGAAGATCCACCTCTGTTGCCTTCTTGAACTCGTCATAGGAAACTAAGGCGGCGTCAGTGGTCAACCGAGCGCTCAAGGTGCTATAATTCACCTCCATGCGGGCAGAAGCTGTTCTCGAAACTGAGACCACCAGGGGCAAATTCGTCGCTACGTCCTCCATAATCACCATAGATGAGACCCATGATCTCACTGGCACAGTTCCTGTGGTAGTACTGTGCAATGGTACATCAGCTCCCCTTTTGTAGAGGAAATTTGTGTCTCCAAGCGTGCAGGAACGTACAGGAGGACGGAACGTGCCCGTCGCGACATCCCACCTCCCGCTGAAGATGAGGAAGTCCGCAAGGGGTGCACCGGGCGTCTTTGACTTCGCCGTCAGCACGCAGAAGATCGAGGGGTCGATATGGTCTTTCTGTATGCTGCCAACGTGCACAAACTTCTCCATGGCGTACTTGTAAGGAACGTAACTGGATTAGGTCAGACACTGCGAGTAGTGACGTCAGGAAGGCAGCACACTCACTTCCCATGCCATGCTACCACGTCGAATGGGGTGTGCTCCTGTTTGCACGCGTAGAGCTTGCCTCCGACCCTAAGTCGTATTAGCATGGGTCAGGATGCGTGTATCCTGTTACTTACTTGTAGACAACTGCGACATGCGACCGGAAATCAGAGCGTGCGAACGGGAGTAGTTCATGGTCAACGCACCTTCCCAAGGGGATTGGTCGATGTCGAAGCTCGCGACTGGGCTCTCGAAGTCTCTGGTGTTCGCGAGGCCGTGCGTGCCAAGGGGTCCCAAATCCGGAAGTTCGAAATGCGATCCAAAGATCTCGAGAATATCTGGACGTCGGTTTGAGTCTCTCGTGGACAAGAGGCGGAGCGGATACACTTACATCCACGTGAAGGGCCGTCCGGGAAGCCGACCTACAACGAAAGCTCAATTAAGAATTCTTCTACTAATCCGGTAGTTCAAGGTACCTTGAACTTCATACCCCGCTGGATGACGACGAGCTCTCCGGGCCTGACCATGAGCCTGCAGCACGCGTAATCATCCAGGAAGATGCCGGAGATCCGGCGAGCGTACGCACTTTCCGTGCTCCGTCTGAATGTCAAGCCGTCCCTGCTGCGGAAGAACGAGGAAGTCGCCATCACTGTTGCAAAACGCCCGCTTTCCCATAGATTCGGTTCCTGCAAAGATATGCACCGCGAGACCTTCGCGCAAGGTTGGGTCACCATTACCGGCGACGGTCTTCAGGCCCTCGACGAAGTCGACTTTGCTCTCGTTAGAGGGAATGTCGAATGGGTACCAAGCAAGCTGCGTAGGGCTGAAGTGAACATTGGGGTTGAGCGGCAAGAAGCACGATTCGAGCTATCCACACGGGTAAGCGCAAGGATTGTCTGACCGTCCCACGAACGTACGTCTGGGTTGCTAGGAAGTGCAGTGAAACCCTTGTGTGCGACGGAGGGGCGAATACGATAGAAAAAACTACAACAAATATCAGCAGATAGTCGACGTCATCTTAGCAGCGAACCCTACACAGATTGGTTCTCACGCCGTGGAGTTACAAACGGAGTTCCGTTCAGCTATATACTTGTTCAGATCATAGCAAGAAACCGGTTCGGTGAACCAGTGTCACTCACAGATTCAGTGTATAGGTCGTACTTCGCTTTTTGAGGCATGTTCTGCGCATAAGGAAGGGTGCCCGGTCTGAGAGCATGTCGTCAATTGGTGCGTTCCGCTATACATCATAGTAAAACGCACATAGCTTCGGAGGCAAAGCGATTACCGAAACCAACTTGGTACTGATAAGGATCTCGCTCGGTTGGGGGAACAGAGAATGCGCTTTGGGCACTTGCGCCGAAGGTGGACTGCGCGGTACGAAGTCAGGCGATGTTCGTCCGATAGGCATGGGAGACTACCATCTTCGTGGATTAGATGAGGCAAACCGGTCGAAGTCTGGAGGTATGGGTGGATAGCTGAGGAATTCACAACGGGAGACGATACGGCTTATATCACCTCTTGCCCAGTATTGCGTCCGCATGAATATATCATGCAGAACGGAATTCCCAATCGGTCTAGTGAACTCGGAGGTGTGCGTGATACATTCGCTGTCCTGGTCGCGGCGCGCCACTGTCTTTCCAGGATGTATATTCTCATACAGCTCCTCGATCGACCTATTCCAGTAGGAGCATGGCCAGGCCCCTTACCGACGACCGCGCGCGGGGAGGTCGGGTCTGCTAAACAGGTCGTGACTGTACCACCTGGTTCTGGCCGCCGTTGCGCAGACAATGGTTGCTTATCAAGAAGTTTGCACCCATAGCCTCACGGTCTTCCGGGCTGCAAGACGGGAGGCAGTGTCCTAAAGAGGAGAGATGTTCTCAGTATGTATGGTCGCTCCGAAGACGAAGTGGCAGCGAAGCTCTTTACGTGCGACTTCAGCCAACAATCAGCTGAGTGATCCACGGCCCATCGGGGACAGATCTTCTCAGACGTGAGTGTCTTCTGACTCAAGGGGGTATGTTGATCCTCCCGGCCCAGAGGTGGTCTCGCGAATGCTGCGTCGCGGTTGCAGTCATAGACCACCATCACAATTCAGTGATAGGTGGATTTTTGTAAGTAAGCAGTAAGTACGGAGGCCGCAAAGGGTCATCAGCGTCGGGAAGCCAGCTCGGCATCTCCCGGAGTCGCCAGGGACGCACATAGCAACCTCGTCCCGGAACGGTCCGCCGCAACAGATTCGAAACGTTCATTTCCCATACTGTTACGGTACGTCATATTATTGCTCTTGATCCGCGTACGAACCTCTGAGAGGCAGAGTCAGAAGAGAATTGTCAGCTTCACGAGTTTGGCACCGTACACATTCAAGTCCATTGTGCGTAGAAAGGAGAGGCCTAGCACTAGTGGCAGCAGTCTTTTATCTATGGCAGATCGGGAACAATCACAACTCGGAACCGCGCAGAAGCGCGATGTTCATAGGCCTCTTGCGACTTGTCGAGGGGGAACTTGCTAACCATGACCCCAACGTCGTGGTCACGAGCAAACTGGAGCATATCCTCGCTGTCAACCGCGTGACCGCATACCCATCCTCTGATGGACAGCCGCTTTCCGAGCATGGAGACTAGATGGTTGAGAACGTGAGTAGGTTGACTGCGTCATGAGATTCCTGTAACTTACGAGGTGAGATGGTTATAGGGGCGTCCTCCAAAGCGAGGAGCAGCAGCGTGCCATCAACAGCGAGACCGGGGAGGAGCCCTTCGATAACCTTCGCGTTGGGCGCGGTGCACATGATGACTTTCGCGCCTCCAAGCTTTTGCAGCTCCTCTGCCTGGTCGACTTTTGAGCTGTCGATGTACTCGTGTGCGCCGAGCTCGTGCGCGAGCGCCTTCTTCGATCCGCTCGAGGACAGGGCGACTGTACGGAAACCCATCCGGCGGGCAATCTGGAGAGCGATGTGCCCGAGGCCACTGCAAACTGGCGTCAAACTCTTATGTTTTGTATTGGACCGCTTGAGGCTCACCCAATACCCTGCACGGCGACGACCTCAGGGGGTGTAACGTTCATATGGCGGAGGGAGTCTAACGAGGGCGTCGATGTTAGTACACTTCACTGATATCTGACAATCAGGACTTACTGAATACGGTGATACCAGCGCAGAGAAGTGGAGCGGCCTCGTAGGGGTCCATGTCCTTGGGAACGCGCACGGCAGCCTCAGTACGCAAGGTCGCGTACTCAGCGTACCCTCCATCCATCGAAATACCTAGGCGGGCGGCCGATAAGCTCACAACGACCCATCGCCTCGGTTTTCGAATGCTACTTACCGTTGATAGCGGCGTTTTCGCAAGTTATGTAGTCGCCGACGCGGCAGCGCGCGCATTCGTGGCAGTGGCCTCCATGCCAGCCGCCGCCGATGCGGTCGCCAACCTTCCATTTCGTCTCGTTCGGAGGGATCGCGACGACGTCGCCGATGATCTCGTGGCCTGGGATTCTCGGGTACTGGATGGGGTAGATTGCCTTTGGGACCTGCTCATCGCTAATCAATCATCGAACGTTGAGGTGAAATCGGAGCTGTCAGTATATCGTCGTCGGGTCACGCAAGGCAGAGCATCAAACACACCTGCCGCAGACACCGCACGCGATCACTTTGACGACGACTTGGCCGTCCTTGGGATCCTTCCAGGGGACGGTGATTCTGGACAGTTCGCCCCCCTTCTCAGTGAAGGCGTATGCGGTGTAGGATTCGGGGTGGTTGGACGACGTCATGGTTGCTTTGAGTTGAGGAGTATAAGAGTAATACTAGCTGTTGCAGTGAAGAGGACTGGAGCAGATGGTGTAGAAATGAAGTCCACGAGATGCCCGGGCTTATATACCTATGCCCGAGGTATGTCGTAATACCCTAAGGATCTGCCTACTTCCCACCAGGTCGATGGCTGGCGCGGCGGCGTTTGTATGGGCCCGCCGACGCGTGCATTTGTGCGAATCCCCCCACCTGGTGGCGACTAGAAGCGGGCAGGAGTAGTAAGCTTGACGTACTGAGAAACACCACTTGGTCAGCTCCAGGGTACGTACGTTTAGGAGTCACTTCCAATAGTACTCACCTTCAAGGCACATAGAAACATGGTGCCAGTGAGCTTCTCAGACGATTTTGTAGGATTTGCCCTTGCTCACCGTGGCTGACCGCCGCAAGGTCAGCAGGACGAACAAGCATGACACCGTCTTGCTGCGCCCCCGAAGACGCACGCTTCGCTAGAACGAGCAACGCGCCGAACTTGCCAAGGTTGATGGCCACGGCTAGATACGAGAAAACGGAGCGCCTGAAAGAACCAGAGGATGAGCGGTCTTTCCGAGAAGTGTGCACCCGGTAAACGACGGCTTGTGCGTCCACAGCAATTGATCCCGAACGTCCGCCTTGACAGCGATTGCAAATCCGCACCTCAGACGGCCACTGTGGTAAGGAAATCAGACATATGTAGCCTTTAGTCGAGCACTTGACGGGTGCTGCGCGAAATGGTGACCGACCGACAGGTACAGAATCCAGCTCAAGCATGTCCGACATGTTCCTATTTCCGTTGTAATGCCGTTGTGTGAAGGCATTCCGTAACGAATTGTTCAACCGTTTCTTGACTATGTTCGCTTGATGTACACGCGGACCGGATACCAATCAGTAGCTGTTATCGGTCGACGGTGGATCTACGGTCCAGGGGCAGCTTAGCTTTTGACGCCAGACTGGACGCGCAATGGTCAGCAAGGTTTGGGATCCCATTCAACCCCGGCAGACGGCAGTAGCGTTTCAAGTCATAAAAACAATACATCTCACATTTGTCACGTCGTCTATGAAGGTACCCTGCGTGTACAGCTTTCCTATTACTTCTGCCAAAGCGTATCGTACACCTGCACAAGCACTGAACAGGACGTCTGCCCCAACTACTGCGAGAGCTCCCGAATGCGCTTGATGATGGCTATCAGAAAGAAAGATCAGCATCACTCGCTTTGATGCGAAGCAGGAAGCTGGCGTACATTGAGGATCGAGCCCTTGGTGAGGGATTTGCTCCGTGAGCCCACCGCAGCCCTCCTTGTTGCTGCCCATGTAACCGTAGCGAGGGGTAAGGCTACGCTCAAGGAGCCAAGTACCAAACTTGGAACCAAGCTATCATACAAAAACGTGAGCATTGTGTCTGACGGGGGTGGTATGGGAGCAGTGATACTCACGCCGGTCTTCTGGTTCAATGACTCGACGACAAGGACGAAGGGACTTGCGCCAATCTTGCGGATGACCTGCTCGTCGACGAGGTTGAGCGTCGGCTTGTTGATCAGACCGACGTCAAGGCCCTCCTGCCTGCAGCGGAGGACGGCGTCCCACGAGCGGTAGAGCATGTCGCCGTACGAGACGACGTAGCCGGCGGTGCCCTCGGCGATGATCTCATCCTTGCCCGGGACGAACTCGTAGTTCTCGTCGAAGTACTTGGAGCCGTCCTCCTTGAGGATCCATGGCACCTTGGAGCGAGTGGAGAAGACGAAGCGGATGCCCTTGTCGAAGAACACGCGCTTAATGACCGCGACCATTTGGGCGGCATCCGCGGGGAAGTACAACCACGATTGGGTGTCGGCAAGACCGTTGTCGGCGAAGAATGAGTTGATGCCGAAATGGCAAGTGTTGTCGGCCATCTCATCGACTTGAGGCATTTGAGTGAGTTCATGTAGGCATATACACGCCACGCATACGCACCTCCTGAGTGCGAGAAATGGCAGAGTACATTGCAGAAGTTCAGGCGTGCCATCGTAATTTCAGAGACAACCATTTCCAGGAAGGCGGAGAAGGTCGAGAAGACACCATACTTGTCGGCATCGAAACCGAAACCGGCCGCAGCGCTGAAGTTGCCACGCTCCATGATACCGGAGGGAACGAAGACTTCAGGGTGCTTCTGGTGGATGACCTTCAAACCGGTCGAGCCCTCGAGATCACCTGTAGGCAATGAGTGAAGAGTACTAGCATCAGGTAAGTAGGTTGCACGCACTGTCGATGACCAAGACCTTCTTCGCAGCCTCCTCCTTGGACAGCTTGTCAAGGACAAGGTTGACGGCCTCACCAAAGACAACACGGTTAGCACCGAGCTCCTTGGAAGAGCCTATATAGAGGTACGGGAACGCGTAAGGCTTAATGCTATTCAGTATGTCCGCCCCGAAGCCCTCAGGGTAACCGCGTTTCTCGAAGTACTTCAGTGCGCCCTTTACGGGGATGACATCGTGGCCATGAGGGCTACCCTCAATGTCAGGAACGCCAGGAGCCATCTTCCGCTTGGATATGACTGCAAAGATTGTGTGAGCGGAGGCTGTTGTTTGTGGACGAATTCGTGCTTACTAGCAGCAGGACCCTGATGTTGGATAATCTCTACAAGACCAGACCAGAGCTCGTCGACATCCTCTCCGTTGACGGTGATGACCTTGAGGCCATGACCAGCAAGAGTCTTGCCAATATCGTAGCCCTTCAAGTACTCAGACGGGTGGCCAGCGATGGTTACATCGTTGTCGTCAATGAGCAGCTTGACGTTAAGGTTCTGTGCGACGGCCAGACGGGCAGCCTCAGCATCGTTGCCCTCCTGTTCAGTCATCCAAGTGCGTGAGAAGATGCGTGCGAGAAAGGCACAGATCAGTGCGTACTTGCTGGGAACCGTCGGATCCGAGGAGGAACACGGTCTTGTCGCGATTGGCCAGGGCAACGCCATTCACGAACGGCCAGACATGGCCAAGACGGCCGGACGAAAACTTCACACCAGGGGTGAGGCCAAGCTCCGGGTGTCCGGGGAGCTTCGAGTTGGCCTCACGGTAGTGAAGGAGGTGCTCCCAAGGGAGATGGCCCTCGAGCGCGGAAACAAGGTACTGGGTCGCGACACGGTGACCTGCGTGCACAAGAGTGGTACGATGCCGAATCCCAATTGGTCAAAGCGCAGTTTAGGGTTTGCCTGAAAGAAGGACTCACCGGCCTCATCGAAGAGGATAGGGACGTACTTGTCCGAGGTGTTGAACAGAGCAAGAAGCAAGTTCACCTCGGGTACAGTGTCGAAGGCACCACCTGACGAGTGGGATGGTCAAAGACGCGTCTGGGCACTACAAGGATGCTTGCATGCGTACCAGTGTGCCCGCTCACGCCGCGTGCTGCACCAGTCGCGGTGAAGAGCACGATCGCATCGCGCATAAGCTGAATGTTGTGTTTCAATGCAGACTTTTGTTCGGCAGTCAGTTTGGGGGACGACGGATCAAGCTGCAACCTGGGTGTTAAGCGAAATGGATAGATTACCGTCAGGAATGAGAGATGACTTTGTCAAGTCTACAGTGTCCACGCACTTCTGCAGCTTGCTCATATCTAGCGGGAACTTGGCGTTCGAGAGCGACATATTTGCGATCGTCGAACAAATGTGCGTAAGAGATGAAGGAAAGGCGAGTCGTTGGGAGAAGCCGAAAGAGCTGATCCCAGACGAGATAAACGCAGCTTAGCGCCCAGTCTCCCCAACGGGTGACGTCTTCTTTCTCACCGCAATCTCGGCCCGGGCCATCCTTCTCGCGGCCCCGGACGCCGTCCGCTCTCCTCTGTCCTCTCACAGCCTCCGATTCCTCAACACTCTTTTCTATCGCAGCCCGCCACCCTCCACACAATCGGTGCGAAGCCAGGTATATATTGAATGATCCTTGCCTTCTGTGGCCCAACCGGAACAGGATCTCTGTGAAGCCGGACTTCAACTCGACACAGTCCCGTGTCTCCATCTACCCATTCCTGCGGTTCATGAGTCGTTATGCTTCCCACATGAAGATGTCGTCCCAACAACAACCCTGACTGATTGTGAATTTCAGACTGACGAGGATCGGTATGCATCCCCAAGGTCATTACTCGATCCGCACGTGTAGCTTCAAGTCGGAGCGCCGTCATGCTGCTATACACAGAAGGACCCGTACTGAAACATGGCGTCCACAGGGATCAGAGTATTCTTTCCCACAGGCTTTCATATGAGATATCTGTTCTTAGTCCTCCCTTTACGAACGATGGTCAACCTGCTGTGACATCTCAGCACTCTATCTATCACAACCCGCCAACGCGTCGACTCAGCCTTACGGTCAGTGTCGCATGCCTTCTATGGTCAAAAGCTACACTCCAAAGGAAGTCGGACCGCGGCGGACTTGTGTTCGCCGCGGTCCAGGTGCTTGTCATCCGTTGTCCGAGCCATGATCCAATACAGGGTCGGACACCTTTGTGTCTAATCAGTGTCAGCCCTCGATTGCGGAGTGTCAGCCAGCATGCTACTTATACAATTGCATGGCTGGAAGCATGGTTTCTTCAGTTCGCTTTCTCCAGGACTCCCACCTCGCCTTCCCCACCCGCCCCAGGACTTGTCTCGCCCCGATTTCGACGCTCGATAACTCAAATCCAAGATGCTTCGATCCACATCTAGCAAGCTCTCCCGCAAGTTGCTCCCCGCTCTCCTCCTTTCCTTCGCTCTCGCCCCTACGTACGGCTCTCCGACCCCAGCCAGTCAAGCCTCCGAGCCAGCACCCACCGTCCCATACGCAAGCGAGAACCCCAACCTCGAGCTGTGGAGTGCCAGCTCTTCCATCATTCCAGAGGCCATACGCGATTCGCTCGGCGCGACGGTCCTAGGTGCACAGAACATCCCCTTGGAGCTGCAGAACCCAGATTTGCTCGCACCCCCGACTACCGACCATGGAGATGTGTAAGTCGCCCTCTCGCTCATTTGGTGTAGTCTCCGAGGCTGACTAGTATGTGAGATTAGTCCGAACGCGAAGTGGCCGTTTGACCTTAGTCACAACCGCTTGCAGACGGGAGGGTGGGCGCGCCAGCAGAACGTCAATGCGATGCCTATTGCCAAGGGTCTTGCTGGCGTAGACATGCGGTTGGAGAAGGGCGCTATCCGGTCGGTACCAACTCTAGGCACGTTTATGGAGACTTGGATCATTGACAATATAGCCGACTCCGCACAGCGAGCTGCATTGGCATAACACCGCTGAGTGGGCGTACGTCCTGAAGGGCACCGCACAGATCTCGACCGTCAATACGGATGGTCAGAACTATGTGAAGGATGTGGTGCGTGCATTCCTATTGATTTAAAAGTACATGACTTCTGAGCGACGTTCCATTGTCTTAGACACAGGGTTCGCTATGGTACTTCCCTCCAGGGCAGCCTCACTCTATCCAAGCCACAGGCGAAGACGACGCGGGTGTCGAGTTTCTACTAGTAAGGTTCCACTCCCCCTCTGAGCGGCCAGAGCTGATCGTCCCTCCTCGCAGGTCTTTAATAGCGGAACTTTCAACGAGGATGATACATTCTTAGTGAGCGACTTCCAAGCTTCCAGTCCTCCTGACAGCGTCAAATCATCCCCTCTAGCTCACGGACTGGCTCGCACACACGCCCAAAGAAGTCCTTGCGAAGAACTTCCACGTCAGCCAAGCCGCCTTCGACCGCATCCCCAGCAAAGAGCTCTACATCTTCCCTGGAAGTATGTCATGTTTGCTTGCTTTTCCAATTTCCCGTCATTCATGTCGGCTCTCTTTAGCTCCCCCCGCTAACGAGGACGCCCCCGCAAGTCCCTACGGCGAGACACCTGAGCCGTTCACCTTCGACTTTGCGAACGTCGTCCCGACGCAGCACCCCGGCGGCACAGTGAAGATCGCCGACTCGCGCAACTTCAAGGTCTCTACGCAGATCGCCGCTGCGGAGGTCTCGATCGAGCCCAGCGCGATGCGCGAGCTTCACGTGAGCGGTGCTGTTCGAGACACATGGGTTGCTGTTGTGCTGACGATCGACTTCACACCAGTGGCATCCTTCCGACGACGAATGGACGTACATATTGTGCGTGGAAGTGATGTTCTGGTTGTGAACGCCATGATTGAGTGCGCTTGCAGGGAGGGCTCTGCCCGCATCACGCTCTTCGCGGCGAGCGGCAACGCCAGGACGTTCGACTATGAGGCTGGCGATATCGCATACATTCCAGCTTCGTATGGTACGCCTGTCTCCGAGATGGCTTTCCAGGAAGGTCGTTGACCGAACCGCTCTAGGGCACTACATCGAGAACACTGGGAACGGCCAGCTGCGTCTCCTCGAGATCCTTAAGACTGGTAAGCGGCTGGTCATGATCACGTCCTTTGTTACTGGTAGCTAAGCCATGACATTCTCCGAACTCCACAGACGTTTTCAAGGACATCAGCTTGATGCAGGTACGTCTTTGACCTGATACCCCCTCGCCCTCGAATGCTGATCAGCGTCCATGTATGCAGTGGCTCGCGCTGACACCGCCGGAGCTTGTCAAGGCGCACCTCGGCGTATCCGACGAGACTATTGCCCAGTTCAGTAAGGAGGAACAGTTAGTTGTCGCTCCTTTCCCGTGAAACACGATGGAGTTCTGTTCTCAACCTTTGTTACAATATCGTACGAGACTAATACCACTACAGCCTTCCGTGATGCACAGCACTATCCAACGATGCGGATTCTATGGTACTGATGACCTGTAATGACGACCCACGACAGTTCCATCATACATCACAAACCACAATGTTTCCCATTGAGATAAAACGCGACATGGGGCCGTGGGCGGGGGTGCGGCGGCTCTGCGGCCCGGGTCGGACGACAGATACTGCAAGACGATCTTCTGGCAAAAGGAACGCGACCCAGACTGTAAACTGTGCTGGCACGCAAGATGGAAACTTCCTTTATCGTCTTCACGTCGAAAATGAGGATTGATTTGTAAGTCCAGATGTGCGATGGGGGGGGGGCGAGTGCTTCCGTGGACGATTGGCCCTAGTCCAAGCACATAAGACCAGTGGACGCCATGGCTCTCCTGCTGGGCTGCGCACACGGCAAGTGCTCAAATGGGACCCCACATGGCCCACATGGTCGAAACGGTGGAGTATAGTCAGTGGCTATCTGGGCAGTCAGCCGCGAAGATCGCCCCAGCAGCGTCAGAAAGGAAGCCCCAGTCGGTATCGCAATTGGCAGTGCGTCGTTTCACAACCTGTACGTGACTTAGCTATCTTGCGATGAGCAAGCGCTGTTCGACACTGTGGGACACCCCGAGAGCGAGCCTGAATCCCTCGATCCTCTCCCGTGCATGATCTGACGATCAGCAACAATGTACTGAAAGGCAGTGCGTGGCCAGGGACTATAACCTGCAGACAAGCACAAGTCACACATCGCTCGCATCCCGACAATTCCAGAAAAGTGTTCTCGTGCGTGTTCGTGTACAACAGTGCGAAGACATTTTCAAGTTTCATGGACAACTCGTTCTGCGTATCTCCCCTGTCCTGAGTCTCCATCAAGAATCTTGGCGTAGTAATCGCAGGATTGCGGAGGGTCGCCTGATTCAGCCCACGAAGGATGGAATCGAGGAGCGTCCGTGACTATCGGTACGACCGTATTGCCCACCCAGCGGAGGGGGACTAGCCATGGCTTGCCCAGGGAAACTGTACCACAGACTTTCAGATACTCAATGTACTGCTCACGGGTATACGGATCGTAGGCTTACCGAGTGTTCCAAGGGAGACAAGAGGAAGAAGCAGTCGCCATCGTCTCCGTAGGCCGAAGGGGCTGACCTGACAAGGGGGAGCCACCGCCAAAGTCTGTCAGCCCCACCTGACATACAACCCCAACACTCCGTGGCCCAGAAGTGCTAGAGAAGATACGTCAGGGACCATGGAGGACGATTTTGTCGGCGACTGCGTTATTTGCCGCGAGTGGTGGGCGACTGGAAGAACTGCCTTTGAATCGTCTGAATCGTCAAGGGGGTTAGGACGAAGAAGGACGAGGCGATGGACCGATGCTTACTGAGTCGACATCCTCAACCGTCACTTATGAGATCCTCGGCACATGGACTGCCCGAAAGCGGCGATGTTCTCCACTCGGGTGCGGGGCAGGAGCAACATGCTGTCGTGGTGGACAGCGCTCCTTGCCTATAGACGGACGAGTAGTAGGCGAGCACGAGACCCAGAGTTTGTGTGGATGATGATCAAGGGACGACATCGCTGCCCGCATATGAAGTCAAGATGAGTATGATAGTTCACTGAGACGCGGAGAAGATGGTGGTTGGGGGGTGAGGAAGGGTAGCGGCGCTGTGCGGGTTCTTAAACCACTGGCAGGGCTGGCTGACCAGATGTGATGCCGGACTGACCTTCACAGAGGTTGGGTTGTCAGCCGTGTGAAGATGGTTCTAGGAGACGTCTGTTAGCGCGTGCATGGCAGGTGGTGGTTCGAACATTACGATCTATTCCCTGGATCGCATACTCGCGATCCATGTGATTTCTCGCCACTGGCATGCAGACAGCCAATCGAATCGCTTGAACGCGCAGCCGGGCCAGACCGAACTACGCGGAGCTGGCGCAACTTAGTCACTAGTATGGATGGTATAGATGCAACCATACTACTGAACACCTACCAAAGAAGGGGACGGGGACCAGATGATACGTCTAGGTTGTGCTCGCATTGCCGACCAACCTCTGGCCTCCAGTCAGGGTCAGGAGTGCATCGTGTAGCAGGTTCTTGGAAGGTTCTGGCGATGATATTTTGGGGAAATTTTGTCGAAGCTCTATGTCAGTGGAGATAGCCGAAAACGAAAGGTCTCGGGCGGGGGGTAGCGAGGGTGCCCGCTGTACATGTGTTCTTGCTGTGCTGTACAAAAAATGAATCACGGACGAACGCCATTTAACTCGTACCTCGAAAATCAATGTGTCATGGATATGCCGTGAAACCTATGCTTATCGCCTTGAAGCAACCCTTGTAATTGATTTTCCGACAATCCTGGAGGAATATGACACGACGCATGCGTAAAGAGGTCTCTAACGAGTTAGGGAACTGAAGCGCCCTGAAAACAGCTCATGACGGCGCCTAGTACTTACCCGGCCTCCTTCCATCACATATGGCACTCTGCCCACCAAGTTCCAACGTCGACATGGGTACCCCTTATCCTTATCTGCCTTCGTTCTAGCGCTCTATACCTAATCGCGCTCTATACCCAATCTTTCTATAAGCTGATGCATATACTCGACTAAACCGCATCCGGAGTCAGTACGTCTCCATCATCAGCAGTGACAGTGCTACTCTATCGAACTTGCTCTGGCAGCATCAGCAAAACCACACCCTAACTTGGACAGCTTAGGGCAATATAGAACTTACCAGCAAGTCTAGAACTTAGCTGGATCGGACTTACGAACATCTCATCAGCCGCGCTCACCTTAGAGCTTCGAGGCGCTTGCAACAGGCCTTGCCCGCGCCTACAGATGTGCTCATGAAGAGTTAAAGCTGATAAGTACTGCTCGGCAACCGTACGCCCCCACCTGAGGCAGGTATCTGATCCCATCGTGTTCACAATTTAGAGCTCACTGAATAGTAGTTTACAGGACCTCTGTATATTCTCGTTGCAGATGTTGAAGATCTCGCTAGCATGGCCTCAACACAGAATGTGCAGGGCGACTACTACCGTGTTGTGCGCGGGTTCTGTCTGCTGTCCCGGCCGCTTTACCGTCCCTCGAAGTCGCGGTCAGACCGCTCGGGCGCCCCTGGCCGGGCGCAGGAACTTATGTTCCCGGACTTGCATCTGCTTCTGGTTTCCCCCAAACGACCATGCGGCGGAAACAGTTGCAACTCAAGGAGCATCATAAAGTTCGCCATCCCTAACCCTTTCGGCGCAAATACGCTTCATTTTCCTCAGGGTATGTAGTAGGCATTCTGCTCCCCTTCGGCCGCTAGTGAGGGCAATTTAATGGGGGCGTATCCCCGCGGACTTGCCAAACCCTCTCCGACCCCTTCCTCTCATTCTCAGGCTTGTGTAAATTACCGCTACCGCTACCGTCGACATGGCCTGCTCACCAGCTCTCCTCGACGCTGCCGCCATCGTCGTGGCGTTGCTCATCCTCAACCGCCTCTTCGGCAACAAGCCGGCGAGGGCGGGTCCCCTTCCACCTGGTCCCAAGGGTCTTCCGCTCATTGGAAACCTGTTGTACATGCCCGCCAGTCACGAGTGGCAGACGTTCGCACAGTGGGGGCAGCGCTGGGGTAAGTGCTTCCCCCGCCTTGGATCGCATCGCTCAGGCCCGAGGCCGACTAATGTGGCTCTTTTTGCAGGTGGTATTGTCTCCGTCACTATTCTGGGACAGCCCTATGTCATCCTGAACTCGGAAAAGCACGCCAAGGAGATGCTTGAGAAGAAGAGCTCCATATACTCTTCAAGGCCCGTGATCGCGTTCGGCAGCGAACTCGTCGGCTGGAAACGCATTCTCGTCCTTCAACCTTACGGCAACACTTTCCGGGAACATCGGCGCATGATTTTCCAGCTCATCGGCAGCAAGAAGAACATGGCACGTTTCGTGCCTCTTGTCGACGCTAAGACGCGCGATTTCATTACGGAAGTGTACCGTGAGCCTGAGAGTCTCCTCAAGCATATCCGGAAGTACGTCGATCCTCTTGGCTCCTTCCATGTAAATTTCTCTCGATGATCTCACCCTTGCATACCGCATGAGATCATGATATGTCTTTGAGCTTCAATACAACACGACGCTGACCAACTTTGAATGGGATAGGTGCACTGGCGCTATCATCCTGATGATGTCTTACGGATACCAGATAAGGACGAGGGCGATCCACTCGTCGAGCTCGTGAACAGGGCCTTGGAGCAGTTCGCTATCTGCACCGCTCCTGGCGCTTTCTTGGCGAACATCTTCCCTGCGCGTAAGTTTCCCGTTCTCATTCTCATTCCTCACGCGTGGTCAAAGAGCTAACCGCCGCGATGCCGTGCCGCCCACAGTCGTCCACATTCCGGCGTGGTTCCCGGGAGCCGGGTTCAAGAAGACGGCCGCCGCTTGGAGGGCGACGCTTGAACAGATGTGTGAGGACCCGTACAATCTTGTGAAGCAGCAGATCGTGAGGCATCGTCGTCTTTGCTCCACCTGAAGCGGGAAAGCTGACTGTCTGGCTCGCTTCTGCAGGCTGCCGGTACGAACGTCCCGAGCTTTACATCCAAGAACCTTGAGGGTGACATCACGCCAGAGCGCGAATTGATCGTCAAGGATGCGGCGTCGTCCCTCTACGCTGGCGGTGCGGACACGGTACGTTCACATCCCGAGCCGTCGACCAATGGGTGCTCACACGTCTCCCTCTCTTCGACAGACCGTGTCTGCAATCAACTCCTTCTTCCTTGCTATGACTCTGCACCCCGAGATTCAGGCCAAGGCACATGCTGAGATCGAGGCCGCCATCGGAAACGACCGTCTCCCCACTGCGGAGGACCGCAAAAACCTTCCGTATGTCAACGCGGTGTTCCTTGAGACCCTCCGCTGGAACAATGTCGCTCCGCTTGGTACGCGTTCGGCTCGTTCAGATGCCAAGAATATTGGCACCAACACGTGCAACCTTGACAGGCATCCCCCATCGTCTCATCGAAGACGATGTCCATGACGGCTACTACCTCCTCAAGGGCACGACCGTCATCACCAACCTCTGGCAGATGCTCCATGACCCAGAGACCTACCCTGACCCTGGCTCCTTCAACCCGGACCGCTTCCTGTCGTACCCCGGACACGAGCCGGAGTTGGACCCTCGTACCATAGCATTTGGTTTCGGTCGTCGGTAAGCACTCGCCGTCATCGATCACCCGGTCATGGTGATGCCGCATTACCTCATTGCAAGAGGGGCTCAATGGACCGGCGACAAATCAATTTCGAAAGTCAACACACCCCTCACGTGCGGGTATATATCTACCACGACCAGGGACTGAATCCGATGACATGTATTGTACATTAATTTGCTAGCTTCTTCGAGCCTATCCAAATTCGGAGGTCAATCACCTCGCCACGGGCACGATCATGAGTACGCACTCTCTAAGCCTAGTACTTTGACAAGATGGTATCCTTGACCTCCTGGCATACCGCGTTGAGCGCCTTCCCCAAGTACTCAAAATCCGAGACCTGTATGCCGAGATGGTGAGAAACAGTACGAGGAGTAGATCCCTCTAGGCACGAATTGTACATGCCTCGTTGTAGACCTGAGCGCTGCAGCGCACCCACCACGCCCCGTTGTGGTAGAAGTGTGCCGCATACGTCTTCCACTTGTTGAGCAACTGATCCTTCAAGTACGCGTCAACTTCCAGGTAGATCTCGAGGTTGATGGGCTTCTCGTCCTTGGTGGGAAGGGGCAGCTGAACGTTGGACTGTATGCGCGGGACGATTAGTATTTTGAGTACGGACTCAATCACTGTTCATAGGTGCGCAAAGCTTACCATCATTGCGGTGAGCTCGCCGCTCTCGTCAATAACGCGCGTGCCCAGAACCTCGGCTAGTTTCTTCGCACCATCCACGGCTACTTTGTGGCAATGGTCGTAAATGGCCTTCTCACCGCCCAACCACTCGCGGAACGCGATGGCTGTACAAGAATTGGTGCACGTCAACACCACTCACATCTGCGAAGCGGCAAACATACCCTCCGTAACAGTTACAGCTTGTGACAGGTCGCTTGTCCCTGTCCCTATAAATCATGTTGATTATGTACGCCGTGCATATGACCGAATAGCATGACACCTTACATATATGCTGGTTGACGTAGTTTGTACCCTTGATCTTGTACTGAGGATCCTTGGGAGAGATGTATTCGTGAGATGTAGGAATGGAGGACTTGATGATGTACTGGTTCCTGATGAGCAGACACCACTCATTGTTAATGCTCCACAGCACGTGCATCTTGTCGACCACGTACCGGCGGGGAGTATATAGAACGGCGCATCCGCGCTTCGCGTACAACCACTTGTGTGCATTGGACAGCCAGAAGTCCGGCTTGGCCTCGGTCAAGTTGATATTCGGCTACCGAGTCGACTCAGTCAGCACGCCTTCCCTCTGACAGATGCAACCTGTTCTCCGAGCAGATGCCCACCTCCTGGCCAATGCTGTGCGCCGCGTCGATGACGGTCCACACGCCTTCCTCGTGCGCAACGCGCACCATCTGCTTCCAAGGCATTAGGGCACCGGGGTTCGCTGTGATAGAGTCTATGACGGCGACGAGCTTGTTCTTCTTCCCCGCCGGGTCCTCCGTGAATCCGGGAGACAACGCTGGGATGTCGGTAAACCGCGACTCCGGATACTGCTGTTTGACCTCCCGGATCTTCGCGCGGAAAATGTCCACGATCTGGGTGTGCGTGAGCGGGAAGTTGTATTCAACGCTAGCCGCGTCCGGACGCGGGCCCTCCGAGCGGTCGGCGAGGTACTTGATCGTGTTCGCGACCGCGCCATATGTGGTGCTTGCTGTCGCGCGCGGGGGAACCAGTCAGATCTCGCCTAACGTCTGTGTGTCCAAAGGGAGGGGAGACGTAGTACTGACCTCCGATGAGAACATCGCCGTCGCGCCACTCAAAGTTACGGAGAACGACGTTCAGCGCGTGCGTCGCGTTGGGCACAAGGACGATCTCGTCGGCCTCTGCGCCAACAAGCTTCGCAACCGCCTCCCTGTGATACAGATGATGTTATGAGCGCGCTGCTCGTGCAGACGGCCGACAGCATCATTCAGGACAAACTCACCGAGATCTTTCCACCTCGGGTCGAAACGTCAACCGATGAAACTTGTCTGGGTTCCTCTCGATCTCATAGCTCAGTTCGTTGATCTTGAATATGAGCGGGAGAGGAAGGGACCCGTACGATCCTGCATATCCAAGTCGTTCGGTTAGTCACACAAGCTTGTCCCTCAGTGATGCCGACTATATTACGGGACTGCGCACGCACCGTGGTTGAGATTAACGTAGTCCTCGTCTAGCGCGAAGTAAGCCTTCAACGGATGCCCGAACGGTGGCGGCTTTTGGCTAGCATCGTAAGTTTCGCCGGGGCCAGGAGTAAGTTTCGGGATCGGCATCGTGATCGGACTGTCTCCGGAAGCGCATACAAGGCGGTGACGACAATCACAACCGTAATAAGCAATCACAGCGCCAACGTCGTCGATCAGCTCAACTGCACGACTATCAACCAAATCGACATAGGAACTGCACCGACCTCTTGCTTTCAACGGGATTGAGAGATGCGAAGGAAGATCGATGATATCGCAGAAGTCTGGAAGGGCCGCGGGAGAGTGAACGAGTCGACGGGGAGCTTCTAAGAAGAGGCCTGGGGCTGTAAGGGACTGTGGAAACCTCACTAAAGCCGATGGCGAAACGACAGTAAACCTGGCGGTCCTTGCGTATTATTTGTACTCCCGTCTATGCCACGATATTGACTGACTCATGATCGTAAACGCCAAGTACCAGCGGGAGCGTATGACTCGGAGAGGTCAGCGATCGGCTCGACCACGTCGCGGATATCGCACAATTTCGTTTGCTCCCGTTTATGCTCCGCGTCTATGTCACGATACTGACTGACTCGTAAACGCCACTGGCAAGTACCAGCGGGAGACATATAGATATGTGACTCAGAACTGTCGGCGATCTGTTGGCTCGACCACGTCGCGAGTACTGCACAATTTCTGTGCAACATTCAATCGCTTGTTGTGCGCAGCGGATCCTACTGCAACCCGACAAGAGTTACAGACGTACGATGTATCAACAGTGTCCGCTAACATGAATATCCGTGAGCGAAGCAGGAGATGGGTACCCTAATGGTCGAGAACACGGCTGGTTTACGCGATCGATGTTCTCATAAGACGTCACTCCTGTTCAGTAGAACAGGCATCGTTCAGATTGAAGAAGCCGAGGCGCGGACAAGACGTCCATACTGACTTACCGGTTCATTAACGTCCGGTCGTTGCTCAGCCAAGCGTACGTGCGAGTGACAAATAACGCAGTAAACTAAGACAATATCACGATGCTACAGGTAGTACCGATCGCCTAGCGTAACAGCTTCAGCCCCGCAGCTCCGTCGGAACGCATAAGACAACTGCACTCACCAATGTGACCAATACCAGGCTCGACAACCCAGATCTTCCTCCCCTCGGCCTCGGCCTCTGCCTTCGTCTTCGCTGTCGGGGTCCCCAAACCTCCCGAATCCCCATCCTGGCTCGGCGATTGCGGCGTGGTGTCCCACAGCGCCCACGTCTCCCTCAGCATGGGGTCGACCGCCCCACACACGATGCGGACCTTCGGGAACGCGCGCTGCAGGACCCGCACGCCGCCACACGCGGCGACGATGAACGTGACGAAGATGATATTCTCCTGCGGCACGCCATGGTCGAGGAGCACGCGGATCGCCATGAACGCCGCGGCCCCGGTGCCGACCTGTGCATCGAGGAGGAACACGAACGAGTTCTTCGCGAGATGCCGCTGGCGGATGCAGTTGGGGAGCATGAGATGGAGCAGTAGGGGCTCCCCAGTATTGTCTTCGGACTGAATGAGGAGCGAGCCGATGCGGATGTCTTGGATCACGCGTCGGAGACCGCGCTCGAGAGGCCCGCCGCTGCGATGCTACTAGTCAGAGTTTGGGTCAGCTTTCAGCTTCAGCTGAAGACTCACGAGCGCAGAATGGATACTCCACAGATATGCTGTAAGTCGATGGAAGTCAGCGGCGTCGTTCAGTAGTTGTACAAGGGAGGATGCGGACTTCGACCGCAAGTTCCTTGCCGGTGTATGTGGCTTCTACGGGCGTTGTGATGTTCTTCGACTTGTACGGGAGGAACTCCATAGCCTTCTCGCTGAGGAAAGTTGACAACCTATCGGTGAAAAATATGAAGTCTTCCCGGCGAGTTCTGCTATTGCGGAGCATGGTGAAGATTCCCTGTGCATATGCCATGAGAATTCAATGCCGAATAATTTCACATCAAGCTTATCTGACCCGCAACTGGGGAGTCTGGCGTAGCACCGTCAAGTTTGGGAAGCTTTGATCCACTGGGTTGCCAAGGGTCAGATCCAAGGGCCCTATTCGCGCAAGATCTTTTCGTAGATATCGTGAACGATCTTCTATCTTCCTGCGGACATGCGTAGCGATGAGCTCTATAGCGACAGTGTTGTCTGATCCCGGCACAATCTGCCACAGTCATGATTAGCTATGCACGATGGCCATAGTTGCAGCGATAACCTACGATGTTTGCATAGCGAGATGTAGGCTGCACAAAGTTGTCGTATGCTGGCTTCACATAACGCAAGTATCTGACTGCCTGTCAGCGCGAGACTGTAGAAAGCGATGTATAGCTTACTGCTCCAGAACACCCTCTACACTCCGACCACGCTCATTGATGTCTCGCCGTATACGCCGTGCGAGCATCAGATCAGAATCGCATTGTACAAAGATCTGCTACACAGTCAGCCTCTAATCAGGGATGAGGCGTACAAACGCATACCTTCAAATCGTAGAGGTCTCGCAGTGTAGGGTCGTGTAGTGCAAGAATACCTTCAACTGGAGTGACGTTAGATAGAGGTGCATGTGTGGTGACACAATACGGTACCGATGATGATTGCAGCACCATACAGATATTTGGTCTCATCCAAGCGTTGGTGCTCTTTGAACGAGTAGATCGGAATATTAGATTGCCGTCCGGCCTTGAGGTCAGCGAGGCACTGTTTATAGTGTGACCGATGCCGCGAATTGTTGTTGAGAAGGTGCGCAGACAGGCTCTATGAAACTAGACACACCGAGGCAAAAAGCGGCATGTCGATAGCATCTACGTTTGCAAGTATGAGTCGCAAGAAAACATAAGCGAAGAGCCTTGACGAACCTGGGTGATCGAAGTCGTAGCGATTCTGAAAGGCAAGCTCCAAGTCTTCCGGTCCATGTTTCTTGTAAAAACTATCCTATCATTCGCGTCAGCTTTCCGCTAGCGCTCTTCTTCCTGAGATTACCTGAGATAATATCACAACGGTCGGGATTGAACCTAGTGCCTGCACGATCCGACGAGCGACGTAGGTCTGGATTGAACAGGGTGTATGGGTGAGATGCAGATGTTTGCACGCGAGATGAAATTCGCGACCTTCCCACTAGCGGATCCGCCTATATCCTAAGTCGTTGAACACGGTCTCAATGTGGAGGGTCAGGGAGGACGCACCAGCCACGCCTATCACGAAGGCGTCATGGACAGCATGTCCGTCCTCATCGTACCTTGTGACATCAGGCAAGATACTAAGTCGTTTATGGCAATTCGCACCATGGTGGTCTTCCATGAGACTTAAGTATGGTGTTCTTCTTCGCCTGTAGTAAGAACTCTGATCGCCCGCCCGGATTGAGGGTGTTCGAAACGGCTCTAGAGAGAGGAGGGCGGCCAGGGGACGGGTCCAAAAATGGGGTCTGTTCTTGCTCTCCCACTTCTTCCATAGAGCTCTAAAGTAAGTCGTCGAGGAACGACTTTAGCATACGAAGATGTAACCAGATAGATGGGAAAAGCGATGGCAGTCGCGTTTCCGGCGAGGGTGGCTGAAATGCCCGCTGTTATGGGCTTTCGAAGATCTGCACTCGTACAGACGCCCATCACCAAGATCTAGATCTCGTCTTCATTTTGGTTGATTAGCCTCTGCTGACCAAGTCTCTCTCCCTTGTCCACCATGTCGTGCGGAAATCCACAAGCAGAGCCAGATGCCTTGATGCAGCGTACGTTGGACTGAAAGAATGATATCACACATACTGAAGACCGCTATAGGTAAGAAGAAGTACGACAAAACAAGGAATTGCGTGCGGTGCAAGGATGCTATAGGAAACATAGTAATTAGACACGCAGTCTACTGCAAGTCTGTCTACTGTGTTCTTCAGTTGACAACATTTGACTTACTTACCATCAAAGGTACTGCTTCTTCCCTCTCACCACGCACAAGTTTCGTCGGGCACTCGAACCCAATGTGAATGCCAAACCAGACGGTCCCCGGAAGACTGCGCTCAAGCCGGCTGGAACTTTGCTTGTTGGTTTTTCTGGGGGTCTAGGATCATCGGTGCTCCTGGATCTCGTGTACAAGTGCTATGTCTCACTAGATAAGTCAACAATGCCGGCTGAAGGGGGGCGAGATCATCCTCGACACGAACGTGTGTGGAAGAAGATCACTGTATGCTATGTGGAAGTATGCGATGCGTTTCCTGGGGTGAGTTTTTCTGCTCCTAGCGCTCAATAAATCTGCCCCTGTTGACCCTGGCGATGTAGACGCCGGATCGAACAGAGGATGTCACAAAGTTCGTGTCTCGTTATGATGAACTACAGCTCGCCACCCTTCGAATACAAGACGCGTTCGACCCTGCATGGTGGGAGAAGATCGGAGGGAGGATGTCTTTCGCGGATATCGGAGTGTCCCTAGCAGACGAAGGTGCGTACCATATATCGTAGCACATTGCTGTCCTTCTCACCAACGTCTAGCACTCTTCATTGGGTCGCTAACTCAGTCCCACCTGGATCCGCTCGCAGCGCTTCGCGCATATTTGTCTTCTCTTCCGACCCCTACAGCAGTCCACAGCGCCATACAAACCCTCGTACGCGTCCTGCTCCTTCATAGCGCCCTTCATACCGGAGCATCTCACCTAATACTCGGCACCTCGCTCACGAGTCTTGCAATCTCCTTGATCTCTGGCGTCGCCCAAGGTTCAGGATTCAATATACGAGAGGAGACGTCAGAGGAATGGTATCCTGATACCGGGGTGACAAACGTGCCCGAGTATTGGCCCGACGAAGGGAGGAAAGGCAAGAGGCTCAAGCGTACGGTGCGTGTAGTGCGACCCCTGCGAGATATCGGCATGAAAGAGTGCGCCGCCTGGGCATGGTGGTCGCATATACCTGTCGTGGGGAAGGAAACGTGGCTTTGGCCTGGGGCGAAGCCAGGCATTGGTACACTCACCAAAGGCAAGTTTTTTCCGCTGTTGACTGCTGTGGTCGTTTGTTGACTGTCCGTCCCGCAGAATTCATCCTAGGTCTTGAACAGGACTACCCATCAACAGTGTCCACGATCGTCCGGACCTGCGCCAAGCTCCAACCCAAGGGCGAGGTCGAGGGCAAGTGCATCCTCTGCGGACGGTACGTCCATATCGTTTCTTCTTCTTCAGTCTCAATAAGCTCAGCTCGCACTTATACCTCCGTACACCAGCCCCGCGCAGCGTGGCGTACAAAATTGGAAGGCACAAATAGCCATCCGTTCGCAGCCTCCTCCGCCGCCTGCCGCGGACGCCCGGGCGGCCTTGTCTCCTGCCCTCGTTGTAGCAGAGCCCCCCTTTCAGGCGTCCCTCACACCTTACCTCTGCTACACTTGCCACACGACACTTACGAGCAGAAGCGCTCGGCCTGTGCCCACTCCATGGCCGGACCTCGCACGACCCTCGGTCGTCAGTCTTCCAGTGTGGACCGCGGCTCGCCTCTCCGTCTCAGCAGAGAGCGAGGGTGCCGAAATGGTCGAGCCGACCGACGAAGAGGTCGTGCGACAGAGGAAGATGGGGCAAGATGAGATGAAGAGTATCGTGAATGAATTCCTGCTGGAAGATTAGCGCGTTGGACACACTTCAAGTTCGCACCTCCATATAGCGCTACTTGTCGTCTTCGTCCATATCGATACTGCGGTGTAAAACGATGGGTTGCTCCGGCCATCTTGTAAGGACGGTAAGAAGCGTAGTGATGTAAGATAATTACAGTCCGAAACGGAGGTATGTGCTGTGCGTACGTATGTATACGATCCATCCAGTGTGGGCTAGTGCTACAAGATCTAACATGCAATGGTCTACGGTCTACGTGCGACGAGGGGAAGGAATGCGGTCCATAATCCGTGGTCGTGAAGGGGAGCAAACGCTGTCTAATATCTACTGAGGGAATGTGCGATTAGGATAATGGTGATGTTTGATGATGTGGATGCGATGATAGTGAACGAAACAAATCGTGGTCCTGTCCAGTTTGTACTGGGTGTTGATAACTGCTGCTAGACGCCTAGTAATGCATGACGCTGCCTCGCGGAGAGAGGCGGTGAATGGGACTGTTCCTGATGCGATGTTGAGACAGATTCTTGGATTGTACTTATCCCTTGAACGGCACGGAGGTCGTGCACACGGCGAGATTAGAGGAGAAGTTCGATCCTAGGGGCGAGCTCGTCAGGCAGGTAGCCAAATCATGTAGGGAGATACTCACCGGGGTAGAACCAGAACGTGACTGCTATAACGATATAGAGGCCTGTATGCGAGTATAAGCCGCTTGGAACGACGAGCCCACGTAGAATACACACGCACAGATGAGGATGACGCCCTCCAACCAGTTCGACTTGCCGTCTGCCACGACGTAGCCCATCGTGTGCACCGAGATGTACAGAACCTGTGGACGGACGATGAGGAGTAAGGGAATGACAGGTGAGCCTGCGGCTGCGGACTTACAACAGACTCGAAGGGGTCAAACAGCAGAGCTAGCGGCTTGTCAAGGACCCAACCCAGGAGTACCATGAATGGAATGACAAAGAGCGCCGTTTGCTGATCAAGACGACATCGGTCAATACACCGTGAACCAAGCCCCAGAGCCGGCGAGAAGAAGTACGTACGATCGTCGAGCCGACAGCCACACTGATGCTGAGCGTCAGCTGGTCCTGCGCGGCGACGTTGACGGCCGTGGCGCACTCTGCATAAGAGGCCATCAGAACCGGGAAGCATAGGGCCAGAGACGGACGCCGCACTCACCGGCCATCACGCTCACGGTAGGCAGCAAGATCAGTCCGATCCACTCCTTACTGATCAATGGAGACTCCTCGTTCATACTGTCCACCAGCCACTCCGCATCCAGGGCGACGAGCTAGACACGCGCATACCACCAGCAAGCCTTAGTAAAACGCGCATACATAGAATGAAGGCATAACGCTCACCACTGTGAGAGAAGTCAACAGGAAGAGCGTCAACGGCCAACTCATCTCTGGCTGCGGCTGCGGCTGCGGCGGTTGCTGCTCCTCCTCCGCCGGCGAAACCGGGGACGGGGATGCGATGAGGTACTCGCTCGGGCTCTCCGCCCTCTGGCTCTTCTCTGCCCAATGCCCGCCCGGCGTGAGGTTGAGCTGAACCAAACTCTTCCGCGGAGTCGGGTCGCTCGGGGCTCTCTTGAGGCTCTCCGGGTAGTACGCAGAGAGTACGTCGCTGATCGGCGTCCGTGATCGCCCTCGCTGGCTTCCGTACCGTTGCGGCGAACCGTCGAGCTCGTCGGCATCATACGTGTCGCCTCCGGCCGGCAACGAGTCTAGAGAGCCGTCGTCAGAGTCCGAGGACGTCTCTCTCCGGATGACGAACCGCTCCTGGTCCGAAACGAGCCGCACGGTGGAGTCTGCGGGCAGCGCAATCGGGTTCGAGAGCGTCACCTGGCTCGAGGACGTGAAAGGCGACACCGCCCGCGCGCTGCCCCCAGTAAGCGACCGACCGGAGGCTGTATGCGCGTGCAGGTAGGGTCCATGAGTGCGCGTTGCAGAGTCTCCCAGGTCTATCGACGTCTCTGGCAATTCTTCCAACGGGCTAATCGGCGTCGGCGCCCCGATCGACGTCGGGTTCAAATGCTGTGGAGTGGGCACTCGCGAGTGACCTGCTGATTTGTTGTTGTAAACAACGCTGCGGATCGTCTGGAAGGAGCCGGTGCGGAGGTGGTCGAGGGAACGCGCATTCGCCATGCGCTCATAGATGCTGTTACTCTTCTTGCGCACTCGCGCAGTCGCTGAACGGACGGAGGCCGCGACGGGAAGCTTGGCGCTCGGCTCTGTATTGTCTTCGTACAGGTGCGTATGTGACCATAGCTGGAAGACCAGATACGATACATAGACTACAGGGATGCTAGATTAGTATGTCAGTCACTGGGAGAATATATCCAGGCAACGCACTGAACAACAGTACAATAGCGACCTGTCGCATGAAGTGATCGGTGTTAAGTCGCCTTGTATGAGAGCTTCTTCAAAACTTACGCCATGGCTCATGCGCAGGATGTCGTCCTTCTGCTCTTGAAGACTGGGCTCCGCCTCGCCTTTGTTTTGGCTACCATATGTGATGGCAAAGTGGAACGCAGCGGGAAGAAGGACGGCGCCTACACTGATACTCAACAGAGAAGAGTGGATCTGAGTAGCCGCTGCCGTGTTGATGGCGTCAGAGGCTGCAGCTGCGCTTTGAATCTGTACTTACTCGAGTCGAACCCCTGTTCAGAAAATCGTATGCCGCCGGCGAAGAAGCACATGCCGAGTACCAGCACTGCAAAGGACATTGCATTCGGTTACTGCACACGGAGGAGAGATCAACTGGTCTTACAGAGCTTGCTGAGCATCCCTCCGATCACTGATCAGATGTCAGCGACTGCTCTGCAAATCTCTCCACAAATGCCACCTACGAGATGACTGCACTACGCGCAACTCGCATTTGCGAAGGGCGATGATCTGAACAACAGATAAGTTTGGAGGAAACGTGCTGAGCGGCTTAGAAGCGACTGACCGCGACGACAAGCTCCACGCTACCAAGACAAACCGGTATGAGCGTCTGAACTGTGACCGACTCTACAAAAACCTACATGTTACTCTTTGTGATAGTAAGGTCAACCAGGCGATTTCAGGCATGCCAGTGACGTATGGTCGTCGTACTCACCAAACTCGAGTTCAGCAAGCCGGTCTTGCTACCGCCAATTCTTCGGGACACGATGCCCGTAGCAAGATCGTGAAGCTATACAGACAAAAACAGCTTGCCTCAGCATGCCAGTTCGTTTCGGACATAAGCGTCCGTATCGTGACTAGCGGCGTTCTTCTACGGTTTTAGAACGAACCTTGATGAGCGGTACGAAAGCGAGCAGGCATGCTGTTACGAGCGTTTCGACGAGTTATAAATATTCTTGTGAAGGGTTGAGGCGGCCAAAGATACCCACCCACGAAGAGGAGGGTGTCAGAATCGGTCGTGACTTTGAGCACACCCTGGGGTGAACGCCTCGGTCAGCACGCCCCTCAGCAGTCCACGCACTTTGGCAATCCGCACTCACAGCGGCAGGAAGAAACAGTATCAATATGTTCAGCCCTACGGATCGCTCAGTGAAGGCACCGGGAGGTACGGTTCGGAGAATGGACGTACAAGAATCAAATAGAATGAGTCGCCACCCGTGCCATATCCTGACTTGAGGAGCCTTCGCAGTACCGCCTCCCTTGTCATATGGGGGATAGCCATGATGCTGAGCCTCTCGGTCAAGCATATTCTGACCCTGGCGCTTCCATCCAGAAAAGACCCGTTGAACAAAGGACTTGCGCTGGTTTTTGGTTTCGGAGCCGGGGTTGAGAGGCATGGTTGAATTGTAGCTTGCTGTGGAAGCCCGCGTATGTGAGCGGGACATTACCGGGAACGGCAGCCGCTGCGAAGGGGTCGAGCATTTATCTTCAGAAGACGAAGGAGATAGGACAGAGTCAAGACTTGATGGTGCTAGGGGCTCTCTGGTCGATGAATGCGGGAGCATAGTATGTGGTGTTCGCTGCAGCGGGAGACGAGTCGACGTCGACAGCTTGGGCGAGGAAAGGAGCGTGGGTGGTCACCGGCGACCTGGTATGTGGTTGGGAGCAAGCTGCGGAGACAATTTGAGACATGAAACGCGTCTGTTTCTCCACAGCCAACAGCATCTGCCGTGGACGCCGCCGCTCGGGAAGCATCGACAAAGGCGTCGTTCATCTTGCCGACTGCTTCGATTCCAAGTATAACTGCCTTTTTCGTACCCGACACCCAACCAATCTGCGCAGAAGCCATTACGTCAGCGCGCATCACTCCTATCGCGCCTGCCGGGCCACACCGGCCAGGAGCGTGACAGTCTGTGACCACATTCGTGACGCCGCCATCATCTGGCAGGCGGACACGGTTGCGGCCTTTGCACCCTGCAGTATCTCTCTTCAAAAGCCATGTTCGCCGCCGCCCTCCGTCCCGCTTCCTTCGTTGCTCGCGCCGCCCTCAGGCCTGCTCGTACGGCCGCTGTGCGTGCCATTTCCACCACCGCGGCGCGTCGCTCCGACGCCCCCACCCCCCAGATCTTCGGCGAGGGTGCGAAGCCGGGTGAGGTCCCCACCGACGAGAATCAGTCCACTGGTCTCGAGCGTCTTCAGATCCTCGGTGCCATCGAGGGCGTCGAGGTTTTCGACCTTAAGCCCCTCGACTCGTCCCGCATCGGCACCCTCGTCGACCCAATCAAGGTTTTCTCCCTGGTGAGTCTACTACGTGTCGCCCGACGCGCCCCAGGCCTCATGAAATGCACGCATCCGCGCGTGCCGTAGGAACCCGAGCGACTTGTCGGCTGCACCGGCTCCCCTGCCGAATCTCACGAGCTCCTTTGGTTCAACCTCACCCGCGAGAAGAACCGTCGCTGCCCCGAGTGCGGCTCTGGTATGTTGCTGTGTGTTACCCGCTCTTTTCTCTGCTTGACTCTTCTCCCCATCGTGACGCAGTCTACGCCCTCGACTTCCAGGGCTCCGAGCATGCTCATGCCCACCACTAAATGCATTCTCGCATCTTCCGCTGCGTTGTACTACGGACATGTTGCTGTCGCGCCAATGGATCCATCTTCCCTCTAGAACTACTGTAGCCCGTCATATGAATGAAGAAGCTGCTGCCAACCTATCGTGTTGCACCACGAAGCGTCGTGGCTCGTCACCCAATTCGGCCGGTGCGGTCGAGCCCCTGGCCGAGACCCGCCGACAAGGACGCGCCCGACGTCCAGACGTACCCAGGTTCTCAGACGCTTCGGAGCTCTGGCCGGCCTTCGCCTACGCTCTGATTTCGCCAAGCCAGTAAGACTAATACCTGTACGGTATGTTGCATCACAATCGTCTTCCCCTTCCGCGACAACTACCAACCCTACACATGCACCATGCGTGTGACCCGGTGTCGCTTGAGATCTCAGTAGCCCACAGTCCCCGACGCCCTCAGTACGCCTAGTGTTGCGCATACTCAATAGCCGTTCAGGCGTTGGTACTTGGCTTCGCTGCAAGCCCTCTTCCCTGTCTCTTCCGAGTCGTTCCGTGACGACGTCCCGACAGTAGCGCTCTGGCTGCTAAAAGGCGCCCGTGTCAGACAACGGTCCGCTCAGGCCCGTGGCGGTGGGCCGCTCGGGAACTCCTGGTCCTGGACGTATGCAACGATACTCTGGTCTGTGGTGAGCGCGAAAGTGGAAGGACCATGCAAGGGATGCAAAGCGTGTAAGTGGGCTTGGCCTAGTTGAAGATAGTCTCGGCTCCAGACGTTCTTCAGCCTCTCTGCCCCAGCACTCGATGCGTCGCTGCGCTCCGCAAGCCTCGGGAGGGAGTAGACCAAAACAGGAAGGCAAAATTGATGGAACGAATCTCGAAAAGATCTGGAGGGGGGAAACGAGCGCCGGGGGAGAGAGGCTTTAGAACGTCTGGTGTGTTTCGGGCTCGGCAGAGGGCATTGTGACAGGCGGGTCACCGGTCCATGGTCCGGCGTTACATACGTGACAACATCACATCGGAGGCGCACGACGGGACGGAGGGATCGATGTCGCGCACTCGTTCTTCTGTCTGCATGTAACTACAGTATACCTCCACTATGCTTGCGGAAGATGAATATCTAGCCTTCGACAATGATCTCGGGGAATTTGATCCTGACGATTACCTGGACTCATGTATTGAAGAAGTGGATTCCTCACCCCCTCCCCTTGCCGACCCTCCTCCTCGCACGCATGCGCGCTCCACACTATACGAGAACTACACCCGCGCGCTCAGCAACAGCATGGAGGCTGGTGGGATGTCTCTCGAGGATCGCGTTCTCGCATGTATCGATTACATGAACACAACAGGCATCAATCTTTTGGTAACAGCCTCGCGCGATGCGGTGTCGACAGCCCTCACGTGCCATTAGTCAGCCCACGTGGTGTGACTGATCGTCACAATGCCCTCTGCCGAGCCCGAAATGCACCAGACGTTCTAGCGGTACTGTCTGTAAGCGCTAGAACGGATGGGAACGAGACTAAGTTGAAGATTGAGAAGGCAGCTATATAAGAGGTAACATGCGGGGTCCACCGTCGATCCTGCATTTGAGCATACATTCATCGAGGTACGTAACTTACTAGACACGTTCTTGTTGGCGCGGTGCACTTATCCAGGCACTCCGTTGAACCCAATGAAATAGAATAGGAAGATCAACTTGGCGGCCTGTCCTCGCCAAGAACAGTCGCGACAAGTCCATAACATGCCATTCACTTCCCACCTGTTCATACCACCCGTCAACATGTTATCGCCCATCTTGCGTAGGTATCTCCGTTGAACCTCTCCGAATTCCTGGCCGTTTGTGTGGCAGCTTGGCTCGTTCGTGCCACACAGAGGATGTGCCGTGTATGCAGTAGGCGCACCGTGTGGGCTCAGACCTCGTTACAATGTAACTGACATGTATCGTTGGCGGTAGATTGCGGCAGTCGTCTCGGGGCGGGACACCAGTCAGGCACATATTGAGAAAGAAACTTCCTTGGAAGGTGCTGCATTAAGGGCCAGACTCTCGGACGCATAAGTAAATGCCGACAATTAACTGACGGAACGCTGGCGTTGCTATGTTTATGTGGTTCCTTCTTTGTTCCCGGCTAGTATACGTGACTTCTCGAAGACTGGTGAGGCACATGCTGGGCCCTGACGCTTTCGCTTCCTGCATAGCGATGCCCAACTCACAGTACGCTTCGTCCATCCAATCGAATCAAGAAGGACGTAAGGCCCGTCATCGGTGTGGACCCACTCGCAAATGCGTTGCGACTGCCGACGAACGGCATCGAACAGCACGCAGAGACTACTGCTTCCCGTCTTCTCCCTTGAACATATCGTGGGTGTGTGTAAGTACTTGTCATCAGCAGACGAGCGATTGTTCTAGATAAGAGAGCAGGGCAAGGGTACACGATGCAAATGAGACATTGAGCCAAGTTTGACTGCAGTTCCAAGTACTCGAGTAGTCTTACTTCAACCTCATGTCTTGTAGGCTCAGGAGGGATTATTTGAAGGGTACTTCTGATGTTATCACGACCACGCCGCCAAGGTCAGGCACGCATGACAAACGCATCCTTTCGGCGCTGTCCGCAGGTCTCGAGAAGACGGTGTTCTGCAGCGATTTGCAAACAAAAAACACACAGCAGGCCGCTACAAGCATTCGAATCATGCTGTACTCCCAACCTGGAGTTACCTCGGAGGTTCTGAAATGCGGAGATGTGGATATGGAGACGGTGGGCAAGTCCATTGTTGCACGTTGCCGTTGGCCTCGATTCCATCGTCAGATATGCCCCCCTGAATCCGCGAGGACCTCCTTGTAGGCGGAAGACCTGGCCGTTGTCATGATATCGCTGTGGAAACGGTCTCTCAAATTGCGGCCCGGGTGGCCTCCGGATTCTGCTTCGATGGCTCACGATCCTTTAAGGCACCGTCATGATTGACAAATATGAGATTTGTAGCCATGTGAAAACGCATTGTCGCATATCCTCACAAGAAACAAGGACGCTAAACTTCCCTCGGGACTACACGCATCCGCCTCGAGGAGAGAGCGCCGTGTCTGCCAAGTGCGATGGATACCATGCTCATAAAAGCGTGGGCACTCAGCTGACGTCGCCCCTGCGTCGGAGAGGGACAGGCAGAGACTCAGCGTAAGCATGTTGTGCCTAATCGTCCAATAGCCGTAGCAAATTTGACGATCTCCCGGATGATTGGAGGTGAGATTGCCGGAGGTACGTGGTCGGCGGTCATCAGGAACGTTGTTGAGAGTGAGTCGGCTTCGCTCAGGCGGTCGCGAGTAACCTGGCAACCGCGCTCTCGATCCTACATGCCTTCCTCATTTGGTACTGCTAGTCGGCTCATGTGTATAACTCAGCGTTATCCTTGATCACTCCGACCTTTCTCATAGCGTTTCCCGCCGGAACACATGGCCGGATGCAACACGGACACATGGGCTACGGCGCGTTTGCATGCGCCCAGGCAGAATATATAAGGGGACGTACGTTGTCTGGTGAAGCCCATCACTTTCCCCCCTGCTCTTTCCTTCAAGACCTTTGCTGGTTCGTTGAACGGCCGTTTTCTCGCCTTCTTCCCGACCAGGTGTCATTCCACTTCTCGTCGGTGCCATCCAGTGCAACCCGCTTGCTCTCAACCCTCCCGAGTAACATCATCCGGATAGTCTTTTTTCTCTTTTTACTACTCCGAAATGGTGTTCTCCAAGTCTCAAGCTGCTCTCGTTGTACTTTCCGTCCTCGCCTCCTCCCAGCAGGCGTTCGCCCGTATGAAGTGGTTGGAGAGGGACGACCGCCCGGTCGTTCTCAACCCCCGTCGTTTCGGTCAGGAGCACCCCGCTGTTATTGACAAGATTGGCGCAGCGTGCCCCGGTCAGGTTTGCGGTGTGCTTTCCGGTCAGGCCATCACTCCTCTTCTTGCTGCGCAGCCGGAATGCTCGCAGCAGGATATGGCCGATGCGATCATTGGTATGTCTCCCAGCCGCCTGAGACTAGAAGTTTGATCTAAGACAAGTGCAGATGCCGCGCAGCAGTTCGATGATACGACTAAGGCGAACTTGATCGCTCTGGCCGTTGAGTACCGTCAGGTGGAGAAGAACACGCCCCCTGTAGGTGTTTTTGCTAGATCGTACGCCATGCTCTTATTGACTCTCGATTCACGATAGGACTTCACTACCAACCCTCCGACCAACCGTAACTCCGTTTTCTGCCAGAAGGCGCCCAAGAACGCCGAGCTCAACGGTCTCGTTCAGGCACAAGACCCCGCTAACGACCCTAACGTCTTCTTCGATCCCGCCACTAAGCAGTCCGTGCAGAAGGGAGCTCAGCCCAACACGTTCCCCTTCGGCACTGCTGGTTCTGACGACTCGGATGCAACGGGCTCCGCCTCCAGTGCTGCCGCAACCTCCACCTCAAGTTCGGCTGCTGCCGCGACCTCGTCTGCGGTCCTCATCGCCACCGACTCTGCCACCTCCGATGCCGCCTCAGCCACCTCGTCTTCGGATTGTGAGACCGTTGTCACCGTCACTGTGACTTCGTCTGCCACCGACGCTGCATCTGCGACGGCATCCAGCTCCGCCGCCGCCGCCTCATCTACTGCGGCTGCTGGTGACATCGGCAACTTCGGGTCTTGCTCGGTCCCCCAGATTACGTTTGCCGTTGGTCTGGACAACCGCAAGGAGACCGCCTTTGAGCCCACTGATCTCAAGTCTTTCAACCACGGCTCCGCGCAGAACATCGACATCATCACCCAGTTCATCTGCGATACCCTGACGAACTCGTGCAAGGCCGACCAGACTGCCAAGGACACCTGCGCCAAGGCGAAGGCTGCCGCTGACACCGGAGCCCCGAAGACCGGCGTCCAGGCCGACCTCTTCAACGCTGTCTTCGGCATCACTACCAATTTCGCGGATGTCACCGCGATCGACGACCAGGGCAACCCCATTGCAGGCACTGGCTCATCGGCGGCCTCCGGCAGCTCTACCGCGACGACTTCGAGCGCCGTCGCCGCCGCCTCGTCTACCGCGGCTGCTGGTGGTATTGGCAACTTCGGATCCTGCTCGGTCCCTCAGATCACCTTCGCCGTTGGTCTCGATAACCGCAAGGAGACCGCCTTCGAACCTACGGACCTGAAGTCCTTCAACCACGGTTCGGCGCAGAACATTGACATCATTACCCAGTTCATCTGCGACACCCTCACGAACTCGTGCAAGGCAGACCAGACCGCCAAGGACACTTGCGCCAAGGCGAAGGCTGCTGCTGACACCGGTGCTCCCAAGACTGGCGTGCAGGCTGACCTCTTCAACGCCGTGTTCGGTATCACCACCGACTTCGCTGCTGTCACCGCGATCGACGACCAGGGTAACCCTATCGCGGGAACTGGCTCGTCGGGTAACCAGGCTGCGGCCACCGGTGGTTCTGGCGCGACTGCATCGAGCTCTGCCGCTGCTGCCTCGTCCACCGCAGCTGCTGGTGGTATTGGCAACTTCGGGTCTTGCTCGGTCCCCCAGATCACTTTCGCCGTCGGCCTTGACGGACGCAAGGAGACTGCCTTCGAGCCCACCGACCTCAAGTCGTTCAACCATGGCTCCGCACAGAACATCGACATCATCACGCAGTTCATTTGCGACACCCTCACGAACTCGTGCAAGGCTGACCAGACCGCTAAGGACACCTGCGCGAAGGCGAAGGCTGCCGCTGACACCGGAGCCCCGAAGACCGGCGTCCAGGCCGACCTCTTCAACGCTGTCTTCGGCATCACTACCAACTTCGCTAACACTCCGGCTGTCGATGACCAAGGCAATGTGATCGCCGGAAGCACGGGTTCTGGTAGCGTGGCCGCCTCATCCACCGCCGCTGCCGCGTCCACCACTGCTGCTGCGACGACCACCTCGTCGTCCGCCGCTGCGGCCACAACGACTGCCGCGGCCGCGAGCGGTCAGAACCTCCAGAAGTTCACCGGCAACCTCGGCGGTGTCACTCCTCCCGCCGTCACGAAGTTGTCCAACGGGCAGTTCCAGGTCGACGGCAACTCGGCGTTCCAGAACCTCACGAACGCCCTCGTCCGTTCGTGCGACGTCCAGCACAACAAGTGCGCCAACGCGGCCAACGCGTCGGGTAACAAGGGCGACCTTACCGTCTCTGCCTGCGGTGACCAGCAGACTCAGTGCAACGCCGCCGCTCAGCAGCAGTGATCGTCTCGTTCATGGTCCATGGTTCCTAGATACCGGGCTCCCTCCTGCGGTGCAACGAGGGTAGCTTCCACTCGACATTCCTCCTCCTACATTAGAGAGCCTGCTTACCTACTGTACTCACCAATCAGCAGCGAGACTTGCTGAGGGTTACTGGATTTCCGCACGCACCACGACGTGCCAATCTCCTCGATTGGCCAAGTCCGGGTTGTATCTCTACTTTTTGCCGTTCCTTTGTCGCACTAGGCACATACTGGATGCACCACTGCTCGACGCTTGTATTAGACACTCCTTAGCTAGCTAGGTCTGGAAAAGAGCATACCCCTTCCTCATCTGTCCTGTGTGCGCGTATATGTACCGAAGCATTTCAGCACTGTGAGTTCTGGTGTGGGTTCAGCTAAAAATTGAGGATCAGGCCTACAGTGTTGGATTCCGCACTCTTCCCATTTTCGCGAATCGCATCTTGAGGTTAGGCCTTCAGTTTCAGGCTCTTCCGTTAATAGGCAAACGTTCTTCGGTGCCGCCTTGATGTATCATCAGTACATATTGGCGGTCGTTGGTGGAAGCATGCAGACGGAGCGATGAATCACGTGGTCCTATAGAGCTCTTCATCTGATAACCCTGCACTGCTGCAGACGTGCCTGTGGCGCGTTGGCAATGCATGGGGTTCCGCCACGGTCCACCGCATGTCGTCAGATTGCACTCCATCGGCCGATGCCATTGATATGCTACGCAACGCCAGCGGCCCCTACAGCAATTGCATTCTGGTGAGATGTGAAATCCCCGGAGGTGGATTCCTGAACGGCTCATAGTGTTGTCGTGTGCACCCATACAACACTCATACCGGACGACAATAATTCGGACTCGCGCTGGCGCCACGAGTGAGGCGACACCACACGAGGCGGACAACCGCTCACGACGACGGTCGGCAACAGCCGCCACGTTACAATTAACAACAAGATGGCGCTCCGCGAGCTTCCCGTAATGAGCGGGCTTTGTGCGCGATGAGAAAGTCGGATGGATATCTAGTGAATGCTGGCACGGACTCCTCCAGCTTCTAATGTTCACCTTCGCTTGTGTTTGCCAATAAGTGCTCGCATTCGTACTCGCTTCACAGTGGGGGCCTCCGAGATAAGGCAGCGGAGCTTGAGAAGGAACCATCAATGTCAAGTTGAGGCGCATGATATGGCTCAAATTTTCTTCCGCCCTGTGTCGCGGATACAGGGACTAAGCAACCCCCTCTGCTGCCTTCTGCTGCTCCGTCTTGAGACCATGCAAAATAAAGAACAATACACAACGTCTTAATCCCCGACGAGCGGGCCAAGTTAGCGGACCGCCTCTCGTTGTAGGCAGACAAGCCATGAGACGTAAGCACTTTTCGTGAGGCTAGCGCTCTTGATCAAAACCCTGCCTCCTCCCATCATCGGCGCTACTAACGCATTTCGGGGCATTCCATAATGGAACATGGCGACACTATCCCCAACACGGTCGTACGCCGTTGGATACACATTAAAAGTATGTTGGAGCAGTTCGCCGCGCAGTCTCAGTCGCCCACCGCCCCTTCCCGCACTTACAGTCGTGCTGGCGAAGGCTCGTCTTCAGCTCGTGTCGCAGGCGTATGACCATCCGTCAAGATGGCGTCCGGCAGGCTCGAATTGGAGTACGTGTTTGACTCATCCCGAAATTTCTACGGGATTGATCATGGATACATTCGATCTACTTCTTGAAGCCTGAGCATGGGCATGCTCCTAATAGGCTTAGCCGCGACTGCTAGGTGAAACTCGGTTCAGCTGTCTTCTTGATCTGTCGCTCATATCAGTATCTGCTCTCCTCAGCTTGTTTGGAGGTATGTTGGATGAATCACCCGATCTGGTGTACGCATGAATCATTTGACTAACATATGATGCGGTCACAGTGACTTTTTCCCAAGCTATGTGGTACTATAGACGTTACCCCCGGGATAGGAAGATCTTACAACTCCTAGTATGACGCTACTGCGTAAGTTAGACGCTGCGCTGATGTCTATGATGTCCAACAGGTGACTACTGTCTGGGGGATGGACGCCCTCAGCCTTGTCCTGTACTCCTCCTCTCGTAAGCGAATTCCAGTACGGTAGCGAAACTCGATGATGATGATGTTGCAGTATGGGACTATCTCGTTAGAAAAAACCTGCATTATTTCGGTGGTCTATCTATACCATGGTAAGCCATTATTCGACAGGCTTCCACCGTTTGCTTTGAGTTGATGTTGGGTTTATAGGATGTCGAATGTATGTAATTTGAGAAAGCTGTGGCTTCCGCTCGCTCATGCTTGATCTTGTAGGCTCAAATTGTAGTCAATGTGGGTGAATAGCTGATGCCCGTATTGGAGCCTATCCTCACCATCTGTTCACGGTTAGGCGATTGCGATTGCTATCATCCAGTCGTGCGTTGATGCTTCTCTTCAGTGTACTTTGGACATCATTGAAGTCACGTTCAGGTTCTACACTTACAGGATATGGACCTGTTAGTAAGCAGCCTATATCGCGGCAAATCTGGGCTCACATGTTGCCGCAGTGACAAGGCAGAAGGTCTTGACTGGTTTCCTCGTGAGTTCACATATGCTTTCCTGAGGACTGGCTTCTAGCTCATACGCCTGCCCATAGCTCGCGTTCGTGTCGGCAGACTTTGGTGCGTGGCTCACTCCATGGGTTGACGTTGTTCACTCAAAGCATCATCATACAGCTCTGGCACTGCGTGAGTAGCATGCCGATTCCGCGCACTTTTGGCTAATTCCCTCGCCCCTTTGTACTCGCAGTACTCTTCTTCAAAAGGTTTGTTCAGTGTCGAAATTCGAATGATTGCAATGCATGACCTGGTATTTTCGCAGCATCAATACACAGTCTCTCGCTGACTACATTCGGCTCACGGTAAGACCGCCGCTACAGTCCTCGATTGTACTGTCCGAATCTTATACCTCCCAAGCCGTTCGACATAGCCATGAGCTGCACCACAGCTACCACGGATATCATACTGTGCGGTACGCTGGTCACGCTTCTTGCCAGGTCTCGGACGGGTTCCGCCGGGTGCGTCACAAAACGTTATGACCGGGCTATTGAATACTATCGCTCATACATCATCAATAGGTCTGACCGATTAATCAATCGTTTGGTGCGCGGCTGGAGTTAGCCGAACATAAGGGAAAGTACTAAAGACACGAGCAGCTGTTCTACACTATCAATACAGGGCTGGTCACCAGGTGCGGAGCTAACATTTTCACGTCGCTCGTCAGCTCATCGCAGAAACCGCAGCATGTGCGCCCTCACCTCGCTCATTACCGTAAGGCGACACCAATTGAACTCTTGATCGGGCTTTGTCGCTCGTCGCTTACGAATACACCAGGTCTTGGTACTCCCCGAGGCATCCGTCTATGTGTTGTTCTACTACATCGGTGCTCGCAGTGCGTTCCTTGACTGCATGCTACCTACACACATCCTCACACAGCCATCCGGTCCTCCGCAGTGTACACAGTGTCGCTCCTCGCAACTCTCAACGCTCGCGAACACCTGCGCATACAAGCCGAGCAGTTGGGCGACGCCTCGATACCTCGACTCACGAGGACGTCAAACAGCGTCTCCCGTCGCAGCGTGCGCGCCGTCGTGGACGCGATGGTACGTCTCCCCATCCCTCTCGCCCTCGTCTACCCGCATCCACGCCTGTCGCTCACTCGAAACCCATCTTGCCCCCTCTTCCTGCAGTCCCCCTCGAAGGAGATCGTCGTCGCGATCCAGCGTGACACGACCGTGACATTCGAGGAGCGCTCCGAAGAGGACCTGCACGATGCCCGTCGGCGCGGGCCCTACCGCTACCAGTCACAGTCCCCGACGGAGCCACGGAGCCCGAAGCTGGTCGCGCTTCTGACCAACAATTCCTTGTCCCCACCGAAGCGGCGCGACTCGATTGGCACCTCCAGCCTGCCCGACTCGCAGCTTGCCTCGTCATCGTCCTCGGGCTCGGGCACGCGCGTCCAGGCACCGTCGGACTGGTCTTGATGTAGTACTACCTGGTGTATCATAGACTTTGCTGCTTGCGGCTCTAGATTTCGTCGCGCGCTATCGCTCCCTCGACGTGGAAAACTGTTGTAACGGCTCGGATAGGTGCTTGCCACTCATCCTTGTCGGGACATAGGCCTCGAGTGAGATGATTCTAATGGCGTGTCTGGAAAAGTGGACCATGATGGTAGGCTTGTGTTCGGCTCTGCATATCTCGGCCAGAGCCATTCAGGTGGGAACGGTCACACGGTACAAATATTGCAGCAATCCAGATGCCGACAGTCGATGTGAAGAGTCGTTTTTGCGGAGCCGTTTCTTGCAAGTCATGAGAACATACTGTACAAGTTCATCCTAGCATGATGGTATCCAAATGTAGCCTACGAGATGAATGTCGACTCGACGTAGAGGTTGCCCTCAACCTCTGCCGTGTCCGACACGCCTTCAATCAGCCCCGCAGGCAAGCTCACGTTGAGCTTGGCAGGATTCAGCCACTTAAGTGCGCAGGGTGAGCAGCGTAAACAACAGGACATATACAGAAACTCGCCTGGTAAATGTAAGGCTTCGTGCCAGCGACGTAGTTCACCATGGTCTTGATCACATAGGGGATCTCCGCGAGGACGTCCACCTTCTCGATCAAACCCTTGTACGCATCTGGGCTGCCCAAGTCCAAGACAATCGTGCCGTCTATTGGTCCCTGCGCTTCCGGGACGATCGAAGGCGCCGCCCAACGGAACGTGATCTCGGTCGGCGCGTCGTAACTCGTATCTGGATCATGTGCCGTCTTCGAGTGCACCGCACGTGAGATGACGCCAGCCGTCGCGGCCGGCTCCTCGTCCGGCCACCGCGTCTCAGCCGTAACGGCTGCGAGCTTGCCCCCAAGGACGAGCGAGCCGACGCTGACGGTGACGAAGCCGGAGCCAGCGCCCTTGCGGCCGTAGTCGTTCGTCGTCGTGAAGTCCATCTGGATCGCAGACACCCCGCCGTGGGCGTCGCTCTGGAAATGCGCGAAGTTCCACCGTGCGGCAACCAGGTTCGGGCGCATGCCCTGGATTGCGTGCACAAACATGCCCGGCCCTTTTACCTGGACGGCGTGGCCCTTGTGCACAAGCAGGCCACTCGCCTGGACGCGCGGCCAGAAGCGGTGGATCACGTACCCCTCGGCGTTCTTTGGGTCTGGCCCAAAGTACGAGAAGCCACCGTTGGGGCCCTTGCCGGTCTTGAAACCGGGCACGGACGCGGGGCGTGCGATGTCAAGTGTGATCTGGAGGTCGCTGTCGAGGTTGGCAGTGACGGTGTAGGACTCGGGGGTGTCAGATCCGGGCTTGGACTTGTGCGTGATCGAGAACTGGTCCGCCTTGGAGGACCGCTTGTCGAGTCCGGGAGGGGGAGTGACGAAATTGGAGACATTCACAGACTTCCATGTCTTCTCCTTGGTATTCGGGTTGAAGATCTTGCAGGTGAATTGGATCGTCGGATACCATACTCTGTGGGTGTCAACAGCCGCACGGGAGCGATGCGAGTGTCAACAGCCAAGCACAGGAGCGATGTGAAGCGCAAGTACGGATCACGAGGAGCAAAAGGTGAGCGGGGAGCTTGACTAGATGGAGACAATACGTACCCTACCGCTGAATGGATGACCTGGCACATCAAGGACGTGCCATCCTCCAAGAAGATGTAGAATATCTGCGTCTCGACCGCGAAGCCGCCAGGGCATGTCCATTCAGTGTCTTTCGGCTCGAGCTCGCCGTAGAGCTCCGAGGGCGGGAACGCGGAAGAGACAGGGTGGAAGTTTGGTGCGTTGGGGTCGACTGGCGGCGCGGTGCTGATCACTCAGATTAGGCAGATCGGTGACAACGATAGTTTGAAACTCACGAGAAAAAGGAGGAGAACATAGCGATTGCTGAGCGAAGGATGCGGCAGCTGCAGAGGAGGATCAGGCCGCCGCGTGCCCGCTACTGGGGAGCACACTCACGTAATATCTATAGCCCTAACCTTATGCCCATATGCGGTAACAGGAAGTAGGTTCCGCCTCGCGGCCCCAGCCTCGCTTTCCTGTCCACAGCGTGCACGAAGACAGCGTCATCCATGGCCACAGTCTTGCAGGTGAGTGCGGTCAGAGTTGCGCAGCGCAAGATCAACACTCATTGACATCGACTGATTAGCACCCAGGAGCAGTCAGAGGCAGTGCGCGGCCGTCAGTCGCTTCACCTCGCGGCACCCTTTGGTAGACCGTTCCCATCTCGCCCTCCGGTATCTACTCAGGGACGCCGAGCTCCTAATTATATTCTGCGGAACACATAGGCTCCCGTCCCCCGGTCCACCGTGCCACAAAGCCTCGTCCGTACTACGTTCCTCCACCGCGACGACCCGCGCTCATACTTTCTCTCTAGAACGCCCTATGAGCCACTCATTGACCCAAACTACCGCTGCCATGCGAATCCCGCAGGAAATTCATGACGAAATCATCGGTTTCCTACACGACGACCGCGACGCCCTCCAAACCTGCGCCCTCGTGTGCCGGGCCTGGCTCCTCCGCGTGAGGTTCCACCTCTTTCGGACCGTCACCCTCGATCCCTCCCCGCGCAGCTGCAGCTTTGTCAAACTCGCCCAGCTGTGCCCCGAAATCCAGCCCTACGTGCGGGACCTCGAGCTGCGCGGGCGCGCCCCGTCCTCGAAGGCGTGGTGGGAAGCCGCACAGCCCACGGACATACGGTGGCCCACGCTGCCGGGGGGCGTGCCACACCCCGCCGCCCTGCGCCGCGAGCCGGACGCGGTGGAGGTGCTGTCGTGGCTGCGCCTGACATTCGCCCCCCCGGACTGCGGAGGGGGGCCCCCGCTTCTCACCCTGTCCAAGATCTACACGCTGAGACTGTCAGAGACGACGCTCAACGCAGAGTCTGCGGCGTTCCTCGCGGAGGTGTTCCCGCACGTCCGCACGCTGTCCGTCAACCAATGCCGTGTAATGTCGTTTGCGGGCCTTGCCCGTCTGTTCCAGGCGTTCCCGCGCCTGTCGACGCTCCGCCTCCTGGCGGTTGAGTGGCTGCCGCACAGGACTGGGGGTGTCCTCCCGGACACTACGCCCGGGTCGCTTGCGAGTCTGACCGCAGTCGACTTCTCGCGAGACATCTACCTCGAGCCGCTCATCGAGTGGTTCCTGAAAGTATCCGCGCACAAATCCATCCGTTCCCTGACTTGCTCGATCGCCACGCGGAAGAGTGCGACCGCGATACGCACCTTCTTGATGGCCTCGGGCACTTCACTGCACGAATTGTCTATCACGCTCGCCGAGGCCCAAGACCCGACCGGTTTGTCTGCTCCGCTCGCCCGCCAGTGATCTGTTTGCTTACGTTACTTTCGTATCACAGCCATCTTAGAAGCGACGCAGCTTGACCTTTCCACTTCCATGGGCCTCCGGTCTCTCCACATCCCATGTCTGCACAGTCGCATGGGCTTCCCGAGCCGCTCCCTGTCCTGGGTCCTGATACTCCTGGCCAAGGTGCGCTCGCCGAATCTGGAGGAGATACGGATTTCCATAACGTCGCCTGAGCTGGCCCGCCTCAACCTCGAGGGACTCGATGTCGTCCTGGCGCAAAATGCGCTTAGCAGGATGCGTTCCCTGACGTTCGACGTTGACGACACCAAGGTCGCCTCGAAGCGTGGGCCTGCGGAGGTCGAGAGACTGCTCACGCAGAGGGTCCCGACTGCGAGCGCGCAGCGGCTGGTGCGCGTAGAGTACCGGTGTTGAACGGGTCGCGAGTGGCTATGTATAGATGCGGCCTGGACCAACCAACCACATACAGTAGCACGTCGATCAGCCGCAGCCTCCTATCTGTCTGTGGAGCAGGTTCCCGAGCTGACCACTTGCTCGTTGCGGTTGCCGTCAAAGTTTGCGAAATTCTCTGGAGACCGTGCGGCCTTGGCGTAGTAGTCGGCCCTGAGGTTGGGCTTACGCCAACGTAACTGCTTTTGCAATAACATCGACCTCGAATATCTGCTAGTTTTTTCAGTAGCAGGGCGCGTATAAGGATCAATCGCCTGGACTCACTTGTATAAATCGCTCATAGCGAAATCTTCCGGCTGTCGTTATCGTTTCTTCGTTGAAGTCTGGGCATCTAGGCCTATCTATCTACCTCAGCTAGGTCTACTCGAAGGCCGAAGGAGAGTGTCTGATGTTTCCGTCCTTGGACCTACTGTATGGATAGCGCGGTCTCAGACCGGGTCGAGCCTAGCATTCTCGCATATTGCTAATGCTTTACAGTGGTGTATGAGATTAGCAGCCGCGGGCCGCTACTCCCAACCAATGATGGGTGCCTTCCTGGGTAGCGAAGCGGCGCAGGCTCTTGGGTACTCACACACTCGCTATGCAGTCTGTTGCACTCACGAGCGTACCCCTGATAATTTTATATATGGCGGTGCTATGAATACACATCATGAGAGTGTGGAGGGAGCAGAGTGTCAAGATGAGCTGGATCTCGATAAGAGGAGGACGAGGACGGTCGGCATCAGGCCGACGCGTTACGCGATGTCGTCGATCCCTGCGCCAAACGCAGCAGCGAGATGCAGATGCAGATGTAATAGGCTTCATCCCAATTGCATCTACATACGCCCCTCTTTCCTCCGCTTCCGCCCGCTTGAGACTCATCTCGCTCTTCCTTGCCCTGGCTGCTGCTCCCCTTTTGGCATACGATGTACCATGTTGCGGTCAGTGCTCAGCCGCGCTCCCTCTTCAGCCCCTCTCGCTCGCTGTCCTACGAAATCCCCCCGTCTGCACCTGCACAACCTCTCGCGCGTGCAGAGAAAGCCCTCTTGGCAGAATCTACAAGCTGAGCGTAGTACTACCGCTGCTCTTCCTTTCGTCGACTTCAGCGAGCCTGGTCCGTCTACTCTGCCCCCTACATCCACACCTGTATCATTACACAGCTTCAGGAGCTATGGTCTCGTATCCGCAGGCAGCCCATTACGCTCGCGTCGACGTTCTACCTGCTCGCTCCACCCTTCTTTGAGCCATGCTCGCGCCTTCCATTCAACACCCAGGAATCAACTGAGCCCCTTACCCTTCCTCGGCGCATTGCTCAAAGTGAGTAACTCGCAAAACCGCTACACGCACGCATACTCGCTTCACTAATACCACGTACCGACCTTCTGTCGAATACATCGGCCGCTTAGTCGTCGACCGCTCTAGAGTTTGCACGCATGACCGCTCGTGTTGGCCTCACGTTTGTGCCCTTGCTCCTGCTCGGGAACATGAAGTCCAAGAAAGTCCTCCAAAAGGTGGACAAGTGGGGACACCCTGATGCGGAGAAGAAGAAGGAAGACATGTTGCGCCGAATAAAGCAACGCACCATTCTCTTCCACATCCTCATTTTCATCCCTCTCATCCTCTACTGGGCGACCATTATGGCAAGCTTGGAGCGCACCCCGCTCACGGGAAGGTACGGCGCATCTCACCCTTACCCCACCCCAACCCCAACCTCGTCCCATCCGTATCAACTTCTTGCGCAGTCATATACAGTAGTCATAGCCGGTCCCGTAGCGAACGTGTGCACTGACGTGTCCTCCCCCTCATTTCCTAGGTGGCGAGTCATCCTCCTCTCCCCCGAAGAAGAGGAAGACATCGCCGCGCAGCTCGCAGGCCCAGGCTGGTACCGCGCGGTGGGCGAGATCCTCTCCGCGGACGGAGCGCCCACCATCATCCCCCCCTCAGACTGGCGCCTCGTCTGGGTGCGCGACACCCTCCGCCGCCTCGAGAGCGTGATCCCGACGCTCCAGCACGAGGACGAGCTCTGCCCGCACTGGGCCGACTGCGGGCCCGACGACATCCCCCTCCCCCCGCCCGCCGAGTACCCCCTGCGCCCGCGCCCGCGGGGCGCCGAGCACCTCCGCCGGTGGGCGGAGCTGACCTGCGCGCGCGTCGCGCCGCCCGCCCCGCACGCGATCGCGGGCCCGCCGTACTCGCTGCTCCTCGTCGACCGCCCCGACTCGTCGAACGCGTTCTCGTACGGGTTCGGGCCCGACGGCGGCGGGGGCATCGTCGTCTTCTCGGGCTTCCTCGACGAGGTTCTCTCGCGGCACCCGTGCCCGCGCCCCGAACCGCCCCCACAGTCGTTCCTGTCGCGCCTGTTTGGGCTCGCGCCCCTGCCGCCGGCGCGCCCGGTGCCGACGGAGCAGCAGACGGCGGAGCTCGCGACGCTGCTCGCGCACGAGCTCGCGCACCTCGTGCTCAGCCACCACATCGAGACGCTCTCGACGGGCTCGATCGTGTGGCCGAGCGTGCTGTCGATCGTGACGGACGCGATCCGCGCGTTCATCTTCCCCGTGACGATGTTGTGTGAGTCTCGTGCTATCTGATATGCGTCTTGTGTGTGCGAGCGAGGCTGACTTCGAGTGCGCAGTCGGGCCGTTCATCAACGATGCGCTCGCTGGGATGTGGAAGGCGGGGGCGGGAGAGTTCTCGCAGCTGCAGGAGTTCTGCACGAGCCAGAAGCAGGAGATCGAGGCGGATGTCGTCTCCATCAGGTGCGCCGGCCTCTTGTCCCGGTACGGCACTTCAGAGCATCTACTGACGTTCCGCGTAGACTGCTCGCGCACGCTGGGTTCGACCCCCGCGAAGCGGTGCGCTTCTGGGAGGACCGGAACCTGAATGCCCAGACGGCGGAGTGCTCGCCCCAGCGCGCCGAGGCCGTCGTCGAACAGGAGACCAGCTCCGCGGCGACGATCGCGCGGCGGATCATGGGCGAGACGCACCCCGTGCACGAGCTCCGCGTCGAGAAGCTCAAGTCTGAGCTCGAGCGGTGGGAGCACAAGCGGGAGGAGGCGCGGCGGGCGCGGGAGCAGCACGCGTAGGCTGAGAAGGGCCAGCGGGCATGAGCACTTTTGACGACGCGTGAAGGCTGGTGCCTGCGCGAGGGGCTGGCGTGGCGCACCGTAGGGCGGCATATGTACATCCGGACGTGGCGTTGTGCCGCGTCGACTAGAGGGACAAATCACTTACACACTCCTTTGCTAGCTGTCGATGATGTGCTCCGGGCTTTGATTATCCGTCTCGTGCTCTCTTTTATCTTATTGTACTAGTAGAATGTGTAGTAGCCAGCAAAGCATAACTAAACGCTTCTCACTTCCATGTACCAGGGGTTGATGGTGTGCGAATTCTGGTGTCTTATGGTGGTACCACCGTGAATCCGTACCAAGTGGGGCTCACGTGCATGATTGTAATAGCTTCGCAGGTCTATACAACGCATCTCTGAATGATATTACCCCACTATTGCACGCAAGCCTTCGATAGCTCAGTTGGAAGAGCGTGGGACTGTAATGGTTAACCGACTCATCCCAAGGTCACTGGTTCGATCCCGGTTCGAAGGAAGTATTTCTTTTTCGGGCATCTCCCAGAAAACATACCCTATCAAGTATGTCATGCACATATGTATGCTCTATATGGGAATAAACAGAAACATAGTGAAAGGGATATGTCGGGGAACGTACCCGTTGAACGTCGACAGCCGTCGCTACGTAGAGTTGATCAGGATCGAACCGGCGACGTGTCCAGCCATGGTCTGGGTGCGCTGGAGAATGCCGAGGGGACCTGCGAAGTTGATCGACATGCGTCATGGGTCGCCCGACTCTGCTCTGCTCCATTCCCAGCTCGCCATGGCCAGGATAAGAGGATCGTCTCAGAGACCGCTCTGTCCACGACCAACGAAACAAGTCTAGTCCGTTGTGGGGATCACGCCGGTGTGAAAGCTCGACTACCGTGTACGTATGGTACGAGAGCGAATATATTGGGTGTTTGCCGGACAGAAGACCCCACTCAGTTCCCTGTCCATAATTGGCCACAGCTGGCGCGGGCTCCTCCCCAAAAGCCCCACCCAAGACCGTACTAACTCCCCACCATTCCCCCCTTAACTCTCCCAGCAACCGCGACCATCCCCTTGCAGATCCGGCTCGCACTTCCCACCGCAACGAACACCACCATGTCGTCCGCTCTCCGTACTCTCCACAAACACACCCGCTCTCTCTCTGCCGCCTCACGCGTCGCTCTCCCCACCGCACGCCAATCTCAGGCCCGCGCGTTCCACTCCCCCTTCGCCATGCTCTCGAAGCGCGAGTCGCCGCTGACGGCGCCCCCCGCGCCCGCGTCCTCCGTCGGCGGCCTCTACGAGAAGAACGTCCAGTACGACTCGGAGCCCTTCACGTCCGGCGCCGGCCACCGCACCTACGTCGTCTCCACCCCGGACCCCGCGAACACGCCCTACGAGGTGCCCTCGGGCGCGTACCCCACCTCCGCCCCGTACCAGAACTACACCCGCACGGAGGCCCCCGCGCCCTCCGGCGCGCAGTTCGCGTCCACGAGCACCGGCTTCGCGCACCCGCTCACCAACAGGGTCCCGCGCAACGAGGCCGGCGTGGGCGAGTCTGCCGCGGTGCGCTATCGCGAGGCCCAGGGCGAGCTGCACGCCCGCGGGGGCAGCTATGGGGGCCAGGGCCTGGCGGACGCCAAGGGCACGCAGCGGGGCAGCGAGGGCGAGCTGCCGGACGTGAACCCCCCTCCGCTGTTCGAGAACGCGGAGCGGTTCTCGAAGGCGGGCGTCGACAATGCCTGGAAGGAGCGGAAGTGAGCTGGGCTGGACTCCGTGGGTCTTCCTCATCGCGTGCTAACATCGAAGGCTGTCGGGGATCGGGGATCGAGGGTCCCCATGCTAGAATGGGTCCTGGCTGGAAGGTTTGAACCGTTTTGGGAGAAGGGATGGTCGACGAGAAAAGGACGTTTCGCATAATCGCAGGTTCTCTCTCGCTAGTGCAGTGTTTGCAGCAGCTCTGTGTTCTGTATATCTGTATATTCCCGCCGTCGCGCATCATCAACGAGCAGCAGGGGGTCGTGTACGAGTAGTTGGTCTTTCATCATCGTTCACCATGCATGTCACCGTTGTTACCATTCTTGCCGTGTCCATAATGCATAGACTGTACATGTGCCTCCCTTGGCTAGTGCGCGTGAACAGCCTGCGGCTCGATATTGACCTTGCGTAACGAGCGTGAGTTCTGCCAAGGGCGCGTCCATCGAGATGCGGTCGAGACGCGAGACGAGAACCTCATAACGTCACCAAAGGTTGCGGCCTGCAGGCTTGTTTTGGACGCTGGATCGTGAAGCTGCGTCTCGGCATGTCTTCCAACCTAGTGCACGGAGGACGAGAGGACTCGGAAGCTAAGTCGACTGCTGACCGGTCCATGCCCACGGCTCGTGTCAAATGCGTTTGTTGTCCTACGAATACAGCGTTCAGCAATACAAACGATACAGAGTTACGACGCAGGGTATCCCCGCAGCGCAGAATGCGAAAAAAAAAAACTACCGAAACCTCCGGAGAAGGACCAGGCCGCGGCCCTTTCCCCCCAAATCCAGCTGCCCAGGCCTGAGGCATGAGGACTCGGTACTCAATCCTCGTATCCGAGCTCGCGGTCCCTCTTGGCCCGCCTCAGCGCCGCCCGCTCCTCCTCCGGCATCGCATACCACCCCTCGACGGTGTCCTCGAGCTCCATCTCCCACTTCTCCTCGAGCTCCAGCATCTTCTTGCTCTTCTTCGGCGCGGGCGGTCTCGGGGGTGGCGGGGGCGGCGGGGGCGGCGTCCGCCGGTTCGGATGCAGCGGCGCGATGCGCCGGAGCGCGCTCTTCGACGCCTTCGCCAGCGGCGAGTACGTCGCGCGCGCGCTCGCGGGGAACGGCGAGCCGGGCTGCGCCGAGACGCGCCGGATGAGCTCGGACATCGGCGTCGACTTCCGCGCGGGGATCGTGTATGTGCGGTTCGCGTGCGCGAAGCTCGGCCGTGCGGGCTGCGGCGTCGTCGCTACCGGTCTCCCGGGTGCGGACGCCTGCGCCTGCGCCTGGGGAACAGGTGGGGAGGCGGCGACGGGGAGGGGAGGGGCGCGTGGGGGTTCGGGGGCGTCGTTCTCCTGCAGATCGCACGTTGAGCGAAGGTTCGCCCAGAGAGATCGAGATTTGTCCGAGGACTCACCTTCGAGCCCTGCTCGCCTCCGCTGGACTTCCGGCCGCGCTTCTTCGAGGGCGCAGGCTGAGGCGAGTCGATGTCCAGGCTGGCCTTGTTCGACGAGATATCGGCGGCGTGCGATGCGTCGTCGTCGTCGTCGTCATCGGAGAGGACGACGGCGCGCTGCTTTCCCTTGCCCTTCTTCGGCGCGGGAGTATCCAGAGGTGCCTCGGGAGCATCCGACGTCTCCTTGCTCGAAGAAGGCACGTCCTTCCCCTTGCGCTTCGACGCCGAGTCGGGCACTGGGGGAGGCGGCATCATCGCCCGTTCTTGGCCCCGGTCCTTGCTCTTCCCCGCACCGAGCTCCTCTTCCCCGTCGGAGCCCCCAACGACCTCCTTGCTGCTCGGCGCCTTGCCCTTCTTGCCCCTCGGCGCCTTCTCCTTTGGCGGAGCCTTCTCCTTAGCGGTGGCCTTCTTGGGTGCCTTCTTAGCCTTCGCCTTTGTCCTCGAAGACGACCCAACCCCATACTCCTCCTCGTCCTCCTCGTCCGCGCGCGACCGCTTCTTGCCGTTCGCCGCCGCACGCTCTACCAGCTCCGCGTCGAGGCCAGCATCCCACTCAGCCTCATCCGCGTGCTTGCGCTTCTTCTTCGCCGCCGCCTTCGCCTTCGCCGGCGGCTCTGGCAGCTGCGTCTCGGGGACGACGCCGGGAGACAGCTCGCGTGGCGCGGGGGCGGGGCCTCGCTCCCTGCTCTTCGTCTTGTTCGGGGCGCTCGTGATCTCGACCACGGGCACCAAGTTGCCCGCCCCGGCCAGGACGCTGTCTTCGTCCGCGCCCATGTAGGAGTCGTCGTTGTCGTCCAGCCCAGGGTGCGGCCCGGGCGGCGGCCGCTTCCGCTTGCGGGGCATGGGCGGAGGCGGGGACGAGAGGGGGGACTCGTCACGATCTTTATCTGAGACGGGGTTCGATTTTACGCCTTGTGACGTCCGAGGCGCGGATGAGCCTGATGTCGAGGGAGGGGGCGGGGGGTCGGAGGGTGGCAACTGAGAAGTCAGGTGCAGTATATGCGGTGGTAGTGGCTGGGCGTGAGGCGGGAAGGGGAAATCAGAAGTGGGTACAGGGATGGTGTTGACGTCGGACTCGAAGCCGTCGAGTGCATCGGTCGTCTTGGGGCGTTTGGACGGAGACGGCTTCGACGGATCTCTGGGCTTGCCCTTCGACCTGCTCTTCTCCGAGCTTCCTTCCTTGGACGCCGCTGCTTTCTTGGCCCTTGGCTTCGGCTTTGGCTTGGGCAGAGACAGCTCGTCTTCTGACGACGAAAGCTCGATCACATCGTCGTAGACTGCAACCTGCTTGGCTTTCGCCTGCGACCGTCCTCGAGATCGCAGCTTCGCGCGTTCCGCGATATCCATCATCTCGACGTCCATCATCTCTACGCCGCTATCTGAGACGCGCTGGGTGGTTAGAACAGTCGTAGCGGTAAAAGCGGGTGTCATGCTCATTTGCGCGGGAGGGAGTGGCGGCGGCATCGCACTAGAAAGAGATGAAAAGACATGGGCTGACGATGCAACAGCACTTGAAGTAGCTCCGATGGAGATAGACGTGTCTGCTGCTGCTGCGGGGTCCTTCTTCTTTACGACAGGTCGTGGTTTGGGTTTGCCCTTGGGAGCTGACGGAGCCGAGATAGAGGTTGAGATAGAGCTTCCAGCGGAGGTGCTTGCTGATTGAGCTGTCTGTATGCTGGAGTTGGCCGCGCCAGCCGGTGAGAAGGAAGAGATGTCAGGGACGGCTGAGCGATGCATTGTGAAATTCGGAGATTGGATAGTGGAGTCTACAAATGACTGCATGTTACTATGCGCTCCCGCAGGTTAGAAGTAGGATGGCGCACCTATAGTGTTGCGAGTGCCTTTGGGTAACGGTTCAGGTGGGTCGTTCGGGCCGGGCGGCAGAGTCGTGAAGTTGGGGGTTTGTATAGACGAGACTAGGATAGGATGTCCTTGTTTCACGCCTTATTCTACGTGTATCAAAAAGCAAAGCGCACCTGTGGTGTCCGCAATCCGTTCGGGAAGTGGTAGTGGCGGAGGAGGAGGCAAACCACCTGCGCGGTTACGTGCGACCGGGTGGTCAATCATCATCTCGCCTTCGCCCTCGCTGTCCTCCACGTAGCCGTCATCAAAGGTGGTATTCCTCATCTCCGTGGAACGCGACGGTCAGCAGCCGAGGCGTTTCAGGCGGTTAGTCGATGGGAAAGAAGGAGGAAGGTTGTGGGAGAGAGGGAGGCGATCGGCGTTTAGCGCGCGGCGGTGAGTCTGAGCGATGCACGCGCCACACGTGTCTCGCGTCCGCTGTGCCACGTGATCGCGTCTATTGTGCGGGGCGCGCGTCGGCTCTGTGGCCCGCCAAAGCGAGCTGAGCGATTGAGCAGGGCGGGTATTTATTCGTTCATTTATTTAGACACGGCCTGTCAGCGCACCGTATCCCCGCCCCCCGCCTCTCCCACATCGCCCAACACCTCCTCAAGCCCGTCTTGCACGCCGCGCAGAGCACGATGTCCTTCATCAAGTTCCCTTTCACTCAGCTGCCTCACATCGAGTCAAGCCCGAAGCGCGTCCGCGTCTTCTTCGGAGGCGAGTACATCGTCGACACCACCGACGCCCTCCTCGTGTGAGTGGCGTACATCGCCCCGAGTCAGCCCCCATCTGACTCGACTCCCACCGCAGCTGGCTGAAGCCAAACTACCCGTACTACTTCTTCAAGACCAAGGACGTCCCCGAGAAGTACCTCGTCGACGCCTTCCAGTCCCAGAAGCACCACATCTACGACATCGTCGTCGGGAACCGCCGTGCGGAGGCCGCGGCCACCGTCTACCACGACGACGAGCTCGATGGGCTCATCCAGATCGAGTTCTCCGAGATGGACGCCTGGTTCGAGGAAGACGAGCAGATCTACGTGCACCCCAAGGATCCGTACAAGGTGCGTTGCCGGCAATCTGTCCCCGATCGCATTGAAGCGCAGGTACTCAACTTTCTCCGCGTTCCGCTCACAGAGGGTGGACGTTCTGCACTCGTCGCGACACCTCCGGGTGGAGGTGAACGGCGTGGAGGTGGCCAACACGACGCGGCCCCGCTTGCTATTCGAGACGAGTCTTCCCATTCGCTACTACATCCCGACGCCTGATTGCAAGCTCGAGCTGCTCACACCATCGCAAACTACGACGCAATGTCCATACAAGGTACGTCACCATCCAGCGCCGTACGGTCCGGTGGCTCATGAATGAATGGACCCCCATGTAGGGTGTCGCGAGTTACTACAGCGTACAGCTTCCCACCGGTGATGTCCACGAGGACATCGTCTGGTACTACCGCACGCCGCAACTCGAGTGCGCCGAGATCAAGGGCTGCGTTGCTTTCTACAACGAGAAGGTCGACATCTACCTCGACGGCGTCCTCCAGCCACGCCCAGAGAGCCCCTGGGCCAGCAAGCGAGCCAGCGCCGTCGTCCCTGTGTAACTCCGGCAACCTGGACGAAGCAGCAAGCGACGGACGATCAATATCAATTGTATGATAGTACTGATGTGCCGCAGGACATTCTAGTCAGCTTTCATGTAACTTCGTTATTGCTTTCGGCATTACTACCGGTGAGGGGCCCTTGGGGTGGCACACGGACATGGATGGCATTAGGGACACACAGACACATACGCATATATCACAGTGCTCCATACAACGTACTCGGTCAATGAACTTAGTAACTTGCGATAACTATACTATGCATAGCAGCAAAGTGATCCATGTAGAATGAGGGATACCGATGTCGGTCCAGCGTAGGATATCGTGCGGAAGTGGTATACATGCGATATCAGAAACCTCAAAGGTCAGGGTGATGCCGAATTACTTGACGTAGTCGGCTGCGAGGATCGTCGCTCCGTCCGCGACTGGTGTTCGACCGCAATTTCCGCAGACAGACGCGAGATCTCAGAGAACGCTGCCCGGAGGAGGTCAAGGTCTGCGTCAAGGTTCTCCGCCCGGGACTTCATCTGTGCGCACCGGCTACGTCAGCTCCCTTGCCCTCATGGAGAAACGCAAGGCCTCGTGGCGAGCAGCAGGTAACAGACTTACAGCAGCAATGGTGTCACTGGCGGCGATGAGCTCGTGATGGTGATTATACACGAGACTTTGCCGTTCGCTGTCCAGCTGCCGGATTTCTAACAAAGTACACGGATAGAAGCCTCAGTTGCTCCACCTCGCGCATTCATTAGGCGGCAGCAGCACGCACCCGTCAGCAAGTCGTTCTCCGTCTTCAGCAGCGTCGGCAGCGACGACGTCGTGATCAACTGCTCATAGTACGCCCGCGCGTCGAACACCGGCGAGTCTACAAACGTCCATCCGTCAGTCCTGGTCAGCGCTCGAGTCGCCCATCTCCGACATCTCGCCCGGCTCCGGAGCTCACCAAAGTCCATCGGGTCCTGGCTGCTCTTCGCCCCGCCCAGCGGCGGCGGCGGGCCCAGCCCCAGCCCGTAATGCTTCCTCAGCAAGTCCCGCGCGCGCGCCTTCTGCGGCGTCCCCGGCATCGCACCCGCACCTGCAGCCCCCACCCCAGAGGGGCGCACACCCGTGTCCAGCCCGAGCCCGACGAGCGAGCCCGGGGCGGACCCCGGCAGCCCGTGCCCCGACCCGCGCCGCGTCGCAGCAACCGATGAGGGTCCCCCTTGCACGTTTTTCAGTGACGCGGGGCGGTGGAGGGGAGAGACGGGCGGGCGGGTGACGGAAGCGTGGCGGGAGGGTGTGCGCGGGGTGTGCGGTGTGCTGAGCGGCGTGTGCGGGGTGGTCGGGGTGTACGGCGGTGTGTGTGGGGTCCGCGGAGGGCTTCCTGGTGTCAGGGACATATCTTTCTGCACTGACCGCTAGGCAAGGAAATGTGCACCAGACAAGGAAGGTGGAAAGAGAAGGATGGCTGTTGGAAAGCGCCCATGGAACACGCCGCACGGCCACTGTCACACCCAGGGGTACTAACCTCCGGCGGGTGCAGTGGATTCAATGCATGAGAACGGGCGTGATTGCTGTGAGCATCTTCACTTAAGGAGAATGACATGGGATGAGTGCCAAGCAAGGGAATGCGTATTGCGAACACGGGCATCTAGTAAGTACATAGTTGCTACAGAACTAATGTATGACACAGATAGAGCAATGCGAAATATTGTGCGCAGATACACGTAAGTCCAGTCCAGGAAACACGCCGCGCCTTGCAGCGTACGGAGTCACCGTATATCGTAAAAGTCCACAGCTTTGGCCTGCTCATGCAGGCGCTCGGGTATCGGCTGCTCCAACTGTAGAGGAATGACGCTGGGCAGCTCGCCGAACACGAACGGTCCACGCCCATGAATCATGGGGCATAACCATTAGTGCCCACGGCATGGTCGCCATTCGCAGTGTTTCCAAGCTGCCGACCGAGCATGCCATCTCCTCCAGCGGCATGTGTCTCTCGCATAGCTTCGCCACCTTGGCCTTGTTCTTGCATGGCGAGAAGGTGCTCACGCTTGAGCTCGCCAGCCCTCACGCCCTTCGCCATTCGGAGGTCCCAGACGAAGGTAAGGAGGTAGAAGGTAAATCCGAAAGCGATGGTCCACTCAATAACACCTAAGTGATAGAGACGAAGGCGTGAGTATTCCCACCAGCATTACACGTAACACGAGCGTACCTCCTACGTCGACAGCCTCGAACAAAGTAACCGCGAACACAATGGCGAGTATTATGAGAAGACCCGCGATCACACCCTTGGTGATGTACGCAGCTTTGAGCTTGCGAATCTCTACGAAGTCATGGGAAATCCAACGGAACTAACGACAGCGTCATGAGTCCCGACGTAAGAACAAATTTTGTGAGGGAACGCATACCTCGAGGATCGTGAATATAGCGCTCAGACCAACACCAACGATGAAGACCAAGAGGAAGATGCGGTGGGCGCTGTGATGACGATCCGTGTCGAAGATCGAAAGAAGGATGAGGCCCGCACCGCCGATCACCGAGCCAAGAATCGCGCAGGTAGACAATACCCTCTCCCTGCGACGCATGTTGGGCACAAGCCTGCGCGAGCAAGTTTAGTCACACGACACAAACTATGAGCGAAGAGACAGCACAACTCACCGACCACGGTGCCGGAGCCACCTCTCCACGACCAACGCGAACACGAAACATAAAGCCGTGATCGAACAACCGGTAATGAAGAGAGGTTTGAGGAAAGACGCCCCCACGTCAGATATATAGGCCACTTTCCCTGTCTGAGTGGGATATTTTGGCCTGCCTTCAGCGAGCCATGTGATGAGCATGGCCCACAGCATGCCTATAATGAAGACGTTGAGTCGCTGCGCACGAGTGACAGCTATTGAGGCTTACCAAACCAAATGAAGGCTCCAAATAGAGGGATCCATGCGTACAGCCAATGGTTATGTTGCTTCCAGGACATCCTTGCAGATCGTGGTCGTAAAAGTCGTGGAAACGTTGTGAGTTTTACGCAGGGATCTTATAAGTTTCGAGATGTTGGGAACGAGGCCAGCCGTGGGTGTGGGTGGGCCAACCGCAGGAGGCGTGGATGCGGCGGATGACCATGCTTGGGCGTACTTATGCAGACCAGGGGAATTCTGGTCTGTCCTAATTAATTCCCAGAGGGAGCACGGTCATGAAATGACGTCAAGTAGCAAGAGTTCCACCGGAGACGCCCACGAGAGGGCATCGGTCCGGCCGTCACGCCAAGCCGCACAAAAGTCACGCTAGCGTAAGCGGATCTGACATGTAAGGATCTCGAGCGCAGCAGATGCTTCATAAGACTGATGGCGCAGGGTGGCGCCGACTGACCACGTTCAGATACCATGTACTCACATAGAACTTTAGCTCGGCGCCGAAAGCAACTCGATTCCTGAGTGAACCCTAAACTCAATAATTGCGTAGAGAAACACCACCTGCCTATGCACAGCGACGTCCAACACAACATACGATAACATAGAAACAGGTCCGTTACTCCACACCGGATCTGCATGGAACAATAGAGTACAACAGCACGACAAGAGCAAGGAAGTCAAAACGAGCGACGGTAGGGATATCAGATGAAGTATGTAGAGGGGACGGTGGATGCATACTCTTCGTCCGCAAGAAATCGCGGCCAGGGGAAGATGAGATGGAAGGCCAATCATGACTTGACAGAAGCAGCGGCTATCGGGCATCCGCTATTATCGCAGGTCGGGGCGTTGGGGATGGGACGAAGGGGACCTTTCCCGGCCAACTTGCGGAAGATCTGGAACAAAAGGTGTAAGCTGAAGAAGCAGCAGAAAGTCTCCATTACGTACCTGACCGAAGACCTCGGACGTCTGACCACCGCTAACGGCCCAGCGACCATTGATGACCGTGAAGGGTACACCAGTGACACCCTTCTTCCGCGCCTCCGCAGCCATAGTCTCGACTTCCTCCTGATATTCGTCGGACGTCAAAAATTCGATAGCCTGCGGGCGTCCAGAAATGTTAAGCAAACACTCTTGAATCGCATTGAGATCCAGACGAGCTCCGTACCTCACTCTTGGACGTTATGCCAGCCTCTTCCGCAAGATCTCCGAGGATATTGAGATCGCTGATGTCCTTGCCCTCAGAGAAGTACGCCTTAAATATCCTGTCCAAGAACTTCTCCTGCAGCTCCTGCCCACCAAGGACGTACGCCTTGCGGCTCAGGCGGTGGGCGCGGATGGTCTGCGTCATAACACCTTGGAAATTGCTGGAGGCCCGGACGGAAGTGAGCACACAGCAATAACGATGATAGTGGCGAGTACGAAGAGCCAAGGAACCGCTGTGCGATATGCACCGCCAAAACGGCAGTTCCCCGCCGGGACCCAGCCCCTCCTCGCAGACCAGCGAAAGCGGGCACACTCACATTTCGATGCCAACCTCCTTCGCGCGGCCCTGAACCATAGACTTGACGTGCTCGAGCTTATCCGCCCCGAACTTCTCCAAGTACCATTCCGCCTTGTCGAGAACCTTGTCCTCCTCCATCGAGGGATGCAAGAGGAAGGGGCGGTGCTCGACCTTGATGGTGAGCTGGAGCTCAGAGGCAGTCTCCTTGATGGCCTTCTGCAGCTCGGCCAGCCCGATGTAGCACCATGGACACACCTGCCAAGCGCGCGCGCGAGATCCGCAGAGGTCAGCATCCGTGTGTCCGGCGCGTGTGGAGCGAGCGCGAAGCGCATCCGGGATGGGGAAGAGGGCCACTCACGATGTCCGAGATCACTACAAGCTGGACGACGCCTGGCTGGTGCATGTTGCGATAGTGTGCGCCCTTCGCAATCCGGGTCACTGAGCTTCTCCGAGGTCAGGCTAGTTGTGCGTGTCGATTGTGAATGCCCCCTAGGCTCGTGCGTGCGAGGTGGGATGCGCAGCAACTGTTAGAATAGAGTGTGGACGGAAAGAAGAGTCGGAATCAAGCTATCCGGGATCGAAGGTAATGAGGTGCTCGCGGGGATGCAGAGCGAGCGCTGGGGCGTATATATGAGGTGGAGGACGAGGGGGCGCCGTTACAAATAGTGGGAGGGAGGATTGGTGAGCAACACGCATCTCAGATGCGCCGCCTCCGGACATCTTCTTACTCAGTCCACGGGTCACACCCTGTCACGCCTTTCTCCGTGACCCGGCATATGGCGCAATGTCACACCTCCCCGCCGAGCTCACAACACGGAGGCTTCATATCCCTGCAAACGGAGAAGTTCGGGGTGGTCACACCTTGGGCAACTTCGCACAGCGCGCAACCGCTCCTCACAACACACCCTCTTGGGACTGAGAACGACGGCACGAAGCGCCCCACAAAAACAAAAAAAACACGGAGGCGGGCTATCTCTCGTCTATCTGTCGTTCTCCCCGAGCGATCTTCAAAACCAGATCCTTTGCTTAGCGCAACAACGTTCGAACGCCCCTGTCGGTCCAAGAAATTCAGCGGGACTCGCGTGGAATGTATTTGTATGAAGAGTATGTCTCCTCCGTCAGACCCTATGACAGGCTTATCATTTCCTCGTGTCTCATTGGTTGGCAACCGGTTCCGGATGGGCCCTACGTAACTGCGACAAGGGATCTGCTATGCACCTCAAGATCGGATGCCGGTGGGACGCCCTAGGCAACTTTGATCCAGTCGGAGCGCCCGCTAGCACTGTGGTTCGGATGTCGTCTGCTAGAGTCACAGTTGACCGTACGGTGCCCGCTGTAGCACCGAAGCAGACTACAGTGGCAGGTCGTGAGAGGAAGGAGGCTCCGATCGTCCAGCCATGAAGGAAGTAGATTCAAGCTGAAAACGCTTATGCCGCATTAGGGCCCGACAACATATGCATGGCTCAGGAAACGACCGAAGAGCACTAGTTGCGGCATAAGCTAGCTGTTAGATGACCTGCCCCTTGGCATTGTTTCTTATCTATCATATAATCGGGACATTCAGTTTCGGGGAATGGATGGGAGTGGGCAACCTGTATCAGGCAGTCAGCCGCTCTCTTACATATGCTATGCAACCATGAACACGTAGCTTCCAACCCTGAATTACATGTGCCCGTGGAAAGCGGCTGGGTGATCAGGCCACTAACATTTCCGAACTCCGGACTAAACGCTGAAATCGTAGGCACCGGCAACATCGTGGATCTTTCAGCGGTATCCCCTTCTGTCGCGGCGTATCAGTAGATACTTCTCCTCTCGGGGGCGCCTCGGCGGATGCTGACAGCACACCGCAAATTTCTGCGGATCGGGAAACCTTGCCATGCGGTTTGCAGATTGGCCCGGTGCACACCTATACTTGTTCAGAGAGGGCGGCCGCAGAGAGAAACTGCGTCGGTGGAACTGGTAGATCGGGAAGGAGATAACTTTCCTCGGGCAGCCCCCTCGGAGACCGAACCAGAAATTCCAGCTTTCCCTGGGCAAAATCCGGCTGCTTTGAGTGATGACGTTGCTAAGCGGTCGAAGGGACCTGAGGCTGCAGGTAGGCGCGAAGGGTTCAATGGGGTGCGAGGGCAGAGCAATTGCGCGGCCTAGCCTCTGGTAGGTTTGATTTCTCAAGCCGAAGATGAGGTGTAGAAGGTAGCGTGTACCTTCGGGAATCTGGCTCACCTGCGTTCGGGTTGCACATTGAAGGCTGGGTTTATCGCGGGGTCATGACGCACTGCTAACTGAAGGTATACGGGAAAAGGTGCTGGGCAAGTGCTCAAGTAGCCCGTCGCCGATGCTTCACAATGTCTATGTCACACGGGTCGTGATCCTAGATACCGTGTGGTGACCGTTGCATGCGATCACGGGTGCGTGCTAACTTCGCACCTCCTTGTGACCAAGACCAACGTTGTGCGGCGTAAGATCTTGCACCGTCTGGTTAACGTTATATCAGAGTCGAAAAGATCTAATCGCCGTCCAGCCCAAAGGCCGGAGAAATTGCGGCTGACGAGACGTTTCAGCATTTAAACATCCCCAATAGCAGCCTGCAGCGCTCAAAAAACATATATAGGGGCCGTATCGTCAGATGTCTCCCACGGTTTCAGCATAGTGAGAAGCCCACCATGATATGAGGGAAGCCTTTCTTTCCGCGTCCGGTGACGATGGGGCATCCATCAGGATTGTTCGCAGCCACGTACCTTGACGGTCGCCTCACAGGCCAAGCAAGCCATCCCTGGTCATGCCGACCACTTGCTTAGACAAAGGAACCATTGCGGGACACTGACGCTGTTCGAGACCAATGTCAGATATTCAGTGTGAAGGACATGACATGATAACAGGGGACAGAGTGGTCCTATAGACGTAAGACGGATTTGAGGCGTCATGAGTCTCGGTTTGGAGGGCAGTAGGGTGTCTTAGGTAGTCATGGTAAATGCGATACATGCGTGCTCGTGCTGCGTTGAGAAGTGCGACGGCAATGCAGTGCGTCACCTTGGACGGCGTGCCGGAGAGCTCGGGTGATGCGTCTCACGAGAGGGTCTGTGACGACATGGACAAGCATCTGTACGCCGTCAAGGAAGCCTAAGTCGTTGTCCTTGTGAGCGGCGAGCACGGCTGCTGACGAGATGATAACCGCACTGACGTAGTGTGTGAGGTCGTCCACACTGGTGCCGTTGGACAGTCCGACTCGCATAGAGAGTATTTGTTCTTGTGGCGTACCACGATGCAGTCTACCGAGACGTTGGAACTCAGGAGCTTCTCAGAAACGCTAGCGTTCTGAGGCTTGCATGCTGTAGCAGCCAGCTCGAGTGTGAGTACGCTGCTTGCTTGACCGCATGCATATGCCGTGAGCATGCGAAGGAGAATATGAGACGGAGAACGGATTCCGGGGGCAGGGGGCGGAGAGGAAGCGCTGCTTGAGGGTGCCGTGGGGCGCCTAAAGCGTAAGGGGCCCAGACGCCAGAGAGCGAAGTTGAGACTCCGCTGGCAGGGCACTGTTGCCTGTTCCTCGTCCCGCTGGACGCCTCCTCATCCCTCCTCCTTTTCGCTCGCCCTGTCTTTCCTCTCTTTCCCCCAGTTCTCGTCTCCTCCTCCAGCATGACAACTCCTCATGTAATAGCATCTTCCTCAGTACATCACTCCTCTCAGTCTGCTACCTCCAATGGCGTCGTGGGCAATCACTTTCGGGTCGGAAAGAAGATTGGAGAGGGTTCGTTCGGTGTCGTCTTCGAGGGTGAGCGATCATACGACCACTGCGGTATATGTGCCGTTGGCATTTACATCGAAATGCCTCAGGCACGAACATGCTCAACAATCAGCCTGTCGCCATCAAGTTTGTGCGTAACACTACTTCATATACCGTCTCGCGTTGAATATTGACTCAACGCCCGCTTCCAGGAACCGCGCAAGTCTGAGGCTCCTCAGCTGCGCGACGAGTACCGCTCTTACAGGACTTTGAATGGCACCCGTATGTGTTCATGGGAACCCTCATACCGCTTAGCGCTTTTCCCGCTCACCCACTTTCGTCGCTTTCGATAGCGGGTGTCCCCCAGGTTCACTACTTCGGTCAGGAAGGACTGCACAATGTCCTCGTTATTGACCTGCTCGGCCCCAACTTGGAGGACCTGTTCGACATGTGCGGCCGCAAATTCTCGATCAAGACGGTCTGTATGGCGGCCAAGCAGATGGTGAGCCTCTCCTCCCATGCCATTGAAGGGCTGCAGCCCCAGGCCGGTTGACAGGAGGTTGTGGGGCGCAGCCAATATACGAGTCGCGTTCCCAGCGTGCCGCCTATGCGTCTGGGGTTCGTGCCTAGCAATGAGTTAGCCATCGGCTGTAGGCGGCTAATTACCGTAGCCGACATAAAGCGCGCCTCGATGGCTTCGGGCCACAGCGCGACGAGCTTGGCGGCTCACACACGTCGTGTTACACCGAGAGCTCCCGCTCTTCAACGGCCTCAGCACCTGAAATGTGGCACTCTGTGTGCCATCTGTGTGTCATCTTTACTAACGAATGAATCCTTGCGATCCAGGTCACCCGTGTGCAGTCGATTCACGAGAAATCGCTTATTTACCGCGACATCAAGCCCGACAACTTCTTGATCGGTGTGCCGGGTACTAAGACCGCCAATACAATCCACATCATCGGTATGTCTCTGAGGCGTCCCAACCATTTTGTGAAGGTCCATCTCTCGCTTCCTCCATTCTTGTGATTTGGCATTTTCACCCCCGCAGTTGCCTACCTCAACGTGCCCACCGGCCATGTTCCATGCTTCGCGCATCATTCACTGATCGTTCATCTTTACGTCACGGCAAAGCACCCATTACGGTTTACTGACATTGTCACCCCTAGACTTCGGTATGGCTAAGCACTATCGTGATCCCAAGACGAAGGTGCACATTCCCTACCGTGAGCGGAAGTCTTTGTCCGGCACTGCACGTTACATGTCCATCAACACGCACTTGGGCCGCGAGCAATCTCGTCGCGACGATCTTGAGTCTTTGGGTCACGTCTTTATGTACTTTCTGCGTGGTGGACTGCCATGGCAAGGTCTCCGTGCTGCCACAAACAAGCAGAAGTACGAAAAGATCGGCGAGAAAAAGCAGAGCACGCCCATTGAAGAGCTCTGCGAGGGGTTCCCTGGTCCGTGTGCTATCTCTTTCCTCGCGTGCAGTCGCTAATTCTGTCGCGGCTTCTAGAGGAATTTGCGATCTACATGAACTATGTCCGCAAGCTTGGCTTCGAGGAGACGCCCGATTACGACTTCCTTCGGGAGCTGTTCACGAAGGTTCTGAAGACTCTTGGCGAGGCGGAGGATGGAGTATTCGATTGGATGCTTCTCAACAACGGAAAGGGTTGGGAAGCGAGCCACGTACGTGCGACCTCCGCGCATCTAGCGGTTTTTGCTGATCATGTCTGTAGACTTCTACTCTTCTGGCGTCTGCGCATGGGGGCACTCCCCACACTCCTCACAGGGACCGTCACCGGGAGCGCGAGCGGGCGCACAGGTCATCGCGCAACCAGCTCGACAACGGCGCACCCTCACCATCGTCCCCGTTGGTCCTGGCGCCTACACCCGCCCACGTCAAGAGCACCAGCCGCCGTCCTCACGATGCTTCCCGTGGAGGCTCGCGCGAGCAAGTTAGTGTGCAGCCCTTGGCGCCGCAGAGCCGACGCCAGAGTCAGCAACAAGTGGCCCGCGCCGAGCGCGATAGTGGGCTGATTGCCCCACATCCCTACGCGGCGCCCAACAGCGCAGGCGGTTACCGCACGAACGCCTACGGCAGGCAGTCACCTATCCCACCAAATGGGGCACCTGCCGTGGGCGTCTCTGGCGCGCTGCAGCAGCACCCGAACAACTCGGAGTCGTTCATGTACGGCCAGGGCCAAGGGAAGAATGGCACGGCCAGCCGGGAGGGAACGACAACCGCGGGCACGAGGCAGGAAGGGATGAACGGACAGACGCGGGCGATGGGGGTGTACGATCGGGAGCAGATGGAGCGTGTTGGGGAACAGGACGAGCATGGGATGGGCAGGAAGAAGGGTTTCTGGGCTGCGTTCTGCTGTCGGGCATGAGGGCTCAATGGACTGCCTCAACGCGCACGGGCTGCGCGGATCAACTTGTACGTCCGCTTCACGTTCGTGTGTCCCTCTAGCTGATTCCCGTATGCCTATATGATAGGATTACAAGTCTCTCTTCCACCTGTAACGGCTCTGACGACCCCTACGACCACCTTATCTTACCGTCTCCCTATTTGAAGCACGCGCAAATTGCTCTCGCTCTCCGCATTGACGGCCGACACCTCACGAGCCACGACGTCCACGAACAGTCCATCACTGCAATCCCGCATACATCGACCGCCCGCATACCCACTTCATTCGCTTGTGTATATTCGCTATTGCCATCCGGGTCGGCGCCCTATAATATCGCATCCACCCCAGGCATTCTGCTCATTGTCCCCTGGCTCTTCTCCATACATCTCCGGTATGCGTTTACGGCGCCGCCAGTCTCGCCAAGCTCTGGTTCCGGCCCAAAGGATACCGTCACTCCTTCACATCATATATCCCTTCCATTCCTGTCCCAATCAGACGCACCCCTCGTGTTACGCACGTCTCGATTCTCCGCGTTCGCGTCTGCCCGGGGTCGGTGTTGCGGGCCATCTACTTACCCTTCTCACCGCAACGTGAGCGAAGCTGGAGGCGTTGCTGTCCTTGATCGCGTCTGTCGTGCATACCAGATGCGGGCGTAGAACGCCCGGTCCGTATGATAAGCCATATTCATCGTCCGTGCCGTTTGTCGTACCACCTGTCGTGTCTCGTCTCTCGCCGTCCGTCTTCTCCGTCTCGTCTTTGGTTACAATTTTTATCCTCTCAACTAGCGTCTCAGATACCGCTCGCTATCACCACTGACTGGGTTTACATCTATCTGGTTCCTGAGCCATCGTCATATCCGCGTCTGCGTCTTTGTGCAATGCATACACACGCCTAAGCAGTAGACTGCTCTTCAATAAATGAGCCTGGTTGCGCGGATGGCTGACCTTGAACGGATCGCTTGGCGAACAGGATACAGAATAGAGCTGACAATGCGTGGACAGTGACATGTACTGACAGCTCGTAAGGAAGGACGCAACACATAAACAAGCAGTATGGTAGACTGCACACTCATAAGTGGGGCATTTACAGAAACGACACGACCACCCAAACCCACAGCCCCTCCCTCTCAAGTCCCCGCCTTCTAGCCCCGTACTTCGAGAATCTTAAGCATCCCAATTATTTTCCTCGCTGCCACAACGTCGCCCCTCTGGTAGAACGCCTTGATGAACGTCTTGTACATCGGTTCGACGTGGCGCTTGAACGAAAGCGGCGCGTCGATGCGCGGGAGGTCGAGATCCCCAATGCGTATCCCCGCCGCGATCTTTGTACCGAACGGAGGGCTTCCTGACCGACCGCCGGCCTCTCCAGTCGGGTAGCCAAGTTGTACGAGTGCGTCGAAGAGCTCTCGCGCTTTCGCTCCGTTGACTTCAGTCCGTGAACGCAGCTGCGCCTTCAACAGAATATTGACAGTGACGTGGTCCGCGACGAAGTCGTGCTGCTCTGCGAACTCCTTGTATGCGTGCGTGACCAAGCGTAGGCGCCGCCTGTTCGACGACCTGGTGCGCAATAAGTACCCGTGGAGTATCGTGTTGCCGAGCGAGGTGCGCACTGGAGGGCTCGCTCGCTCGTGTATTGCCAGGAAGAACTGTTTCGCGGCGTGGGTCCGACCGGCGCGAGCCAGCAGGTTCACGGTGTACTGCCAGGCGCGAGGATCGTCGACATCCACGCCTATCGACGCTAGACTCGACGTGACTGAGCGGTCACTGGGGAGCTGTCGCGGCTGGGACTGTAGGTTACGAGCGAGGTCAGCCAGCATCGCGAAAGATGGTGGCTGGTGGATCTGGATGCGAGACGCGACTCTGGTTGCGAGTCTGCGCACACCCACACGATACAAGCGAAACAATACTAGCGCAGTCCAACGGGAGGTCATATCTGGGTATCTCAGTACGGCGTGTACGAGCAGGTGGCGTGCCTCGGAATACTGCCGGTGGCGCAAGAGTGCGTGGAGTAGACGAGTGTAGAACTGGGCCGTGGACAGCGCGGGCTGCTGGGCAGAGACCCCCTCGACGAGCGTGACGACCTTCCTGGCATAACCGTGACGGATCAACACCAATAGTGTGGACTGAAGTACTGAGGTCAGGCGCATTGGGCTGTCGAGCTGGAAGTGCACGAGGAAGGCGCGGTCCATCACGTTTGCTACATTCCTCGGGGCCATGAACTCGCGACCTTGACGAACGTAAGCCCACAGATGAGCGAAGAGCACCCTCTCGCGCGACTCGGGAGGAAGCCGGACGTCGTTCATGTATCGATCCAAGTAGTCGCCGACGCCGTATCGCGCCAACGCGACACCCACAGTCGCGACGACTGTATGCGTGGGCACGATGTTGCGGTTACTCGACCACGCGACGAACTCTTGGGCATGTTCGGGGTCCGTGCGGGCATACCGGACGATCGACAAGTCGACCGCAGCGCGCAGGGTGCGCACGTGAGACGCATAAAGCATCAGGTCGACGAGGGCGCGCTCGAAGAACGTCCCGCACTCCAAAGAAGCGTAGAGCTGCTCGGCAGCCATCTCCTGCAGACCGTCTTCCGTCCTGGGTTTGTCGAGGTCCATGGACCACAGCGCAGCCGCGACCGTGTACTCGCGGCACATGTCCACGAGAGCCTTATCCTTGAGCTGGCCTGCGAGCTTGAAGACGGATGCGCAGATGAGACGGGTGACGAAAAGCGATCGGGGAGGAGCGACGGAGGGGTGGACCGTGGTCCAATCGCGCCAGACATTCCGAACGACGCTCGCCAGGCCGCGCAGTATTTCGTTCTCGAGCGGCAAGGCGCCGGGCTCACTCTGCGACTGCAGGAGGTTCTCCAAAATCGTGAGGATGCAGATGGTCTGCCATTCTACTACCGCTGCCTGCTGCACAGGATCTTGCGACCTGAACGCGCTCTGGCCGATAACGTCCGTGGAGCGCGTGCGGGCGAGAGCGAGAAATACGAGACAGTTCCACCGAAGGTCGACCGTGTCCTCCGAATCGGGATCGACAGCGAAGACGCGTCTGGCGATAGTAACGCTCCAGCTTCGCAAACGATTGTCGATTTGACCACGTCCGCGAGCCCAGCCAGAGCCAAAGGCAGCGCCTTCCAAAGCCATTGCCAAACTGCTGATGCCACTCCCAAGGGCCGGCGGCATGCGCGAAGTTTCCGTATAAGCGGATGTTGGTTCTGCATTGTAGACCGGAGGATCTCGATCGTCTCGAGCAGTGATGCCCTCGGCAAGAGCATTGATGATGCCCCACCTCGACGAAGCCAGAGGACCCTCTTGTGAACGGAGGACCACTTGAAGCAGCACATTAACGATCGCCGGATGACACCATCTCCGTGTTAACAGAGAGGCGAAGCTTTTCGTGAGGGCGTCAGCGGATGCCGCGGACGGAGAGGCAAGCAAGGCTTGTAAATAAGGCACATGAATGTCGGGATGGGCAGCCGTAGAAAGAGAGGCATAGAGCTTTCCCGCCTTGAAGAGGTATCGCTCAGCTTCCGTAGGATCTAGATCGGCAGTCAAACACCTGGTTGCGATTGTGGTTAAGAGCAACAGATACTGACCACTTGAAGCTCGCTCGGAGAACAAGGCGAGATACGTGCGCATCATCCAATAGCGGTCTGAAGATACCAAGGGATACCTTAAGGAGTACCGCTTGTCACAGAAGAGAGTGGCAAGGAGATCCCAGGGAGGAGTGTAAGTCGAGCACTTCATAAGAGGAGCACGAGGATGCGAGTAAAGTGTGCTGTAAGGCACTGTCGATGTCGAGAGCGAGAGGGTACCAAGGAGGCATATTAACGAGCTGATATCCATAGGACTGAGGTTGCGGAGAACGCCATGAGATTTCCAGAGCAAGTATCTGTGACGGATGTCGCGAACGGTGTAGGTACGAGGGACGTCCGGTACACCAGACAGGAAAGCACGGAGTTTCGCCATAGAGCGCACATGAGGCCCGTCAGGGAGATGTTGGGGAGGAATGTGAATAGACTGTACATCGTCGACGACGTCAACCTTGCTCACATCCTCTCCAGCCAATACACTGTTAGAAGGATACTTGACAGAAGCGTGAGCGGTGACAGCAGATGCGCTCGACAGATCAGTCGGTGGATGATCCTCACGCCGACCAAGGGAGAAGATGCTCCGGGCCACGGTACGTGTCAGAGTGTGCGATGGGCGATCCAAGTAGTGTCTTGACTGCGCCGTAACTGCATGATGACAGAACACCCGCGCATCACTAGGAAAGACCATGAATCCATTGTTCTCTAACTCGACGCCGTGCTACTCACCTATGCTTGGGGAAGAGTCTATCGCAGCCGCCCGCAACTCGGACGGTCTGCAGTACCCATCGCAACATTCCATTGCATGTGAGCTGCCGTCCCGGTCGTGTTAATGGGGCGATTGAAGACACGCAACCACCACCCAGCACGTATAGGCCTCCCGCAGAGTGCAGACGAGAACAAGCAAGAGAGAGACGGACGTCGGAAGTCCAGCCAAGTGATTCTACACAAGCCCGCGCGACACGCACTGACCGTGACCAGAATGTGACCATTCTCGTGACGAATTCACAGGCGCTCGCTACGCGTAGACCCGGTCCCAGTCACCATCAGGTTCCCTTTTCAAGGTGACATCCCTCGTGAGATTTGATCAAACCTTATCTGAGCAACTGCACGCCACTCGTCCACCGACCAGCATTCCGTACACGCGAAGTCGGTGATTCACCGCTATTGCACATCTGGACCAGTTGCCTTGAAAAATCCATTGGCACAGCAGGTGCGCATAGTGCGGCATATGTCATACGCTGTCTTTGCTAATACTTGCGCTTTAGAGGTCAATCGGGAGGCACTGATCATCTACTTGACCACTCAAAACCGAAGTGAGTACTTGAGTATGGCCCAATTGCACTACGACTTACATACTGACGCGTCCAAAGGACTACATCATCACAATGGGTGCCACTCGTGCGCAGAAGGAGCTATACTTCCAGAAGCTCAAGGAGCTTGTGGCCAAGTATCGTGAGTTAGCACGCACTTTTCCTTCCGGTGTTGGTAGGAAGTAACGTTGCAACCAGCCTCTATCTTCCTCGTCAATGTCGACAACGTCGGTTCCAACCAGATGCACCAGATCCGTGTCGCTCTCCGCGGCAAGGGTATCGTCGTCATGGGCAAGAACACCATGGTCCGCCGCGCCCTCCGTTCCATCCTCGGAGAGTACCCCCAGTTCGAGCGGCTCCTTCCCCACGTCAAGGGCAACATCGGCTTCGTCTTCACCTCGGGTGACCTCAAGGAAGTCCGTGACATCATCACCGCCAACAAGGTTGCTGCGCCCGCTCGTGCTGGTGCCCTCGCCCCCAAGGACGTTACTATCCCCGCCGGTAACACCGGTATGGAACCCGGCAAGACCTCTTTCTTCCAGGCCCTCGGTATTCCCACCAAGATCGCTCGTGGTACTATTGAAATCGTGTCCGACGTCCAGGTCGTCACTGCTGGTACCCGTGTTGGCCCGTCCGAGGCGACGCTGCTCAACATGTTGAACATCTCGCCCTTCACCTACGGTATGACCGTCGTTCAGATCTTCGATCAGGGCAACATCTTCTCCCCCGAGGTCCTCGACATCTCGGACAAGGAGTTGTTGGATCGCTTCTTCTCCGGTGTCACCACCATTGCGGCCATCTCGCTCGCCCTCAACTACCCCACCATCGTCTCCGTTGTGCACTCTCTTGTCAACTCGTACAAGAACCTCCTTGCCGTTGCTCTGGCGACTGACTACACCTTTGAGGGTGCTGAGAAGGTATGCAAACATCCTTAGTCCCAGTTGTTATAGTTATCGCCCATGAACGTACCAACACTGAAAATGCTGAGGGTCCGACGGACCTATGCTGTCTCTTTTCCGCTTATTGTCTGAGGCTACATTTGAGCTCCGTCGCTATCTATTTCCTTTTTGCTCACTTCACCCCTCTTTCACAGGCCAAGGAGTATCTGGCCAACCCTGACGCCTTTGTCGTTGCTGCTCCGGCTGCTGCTGCCGAGGATGCTCCTGCTGCCGCCGCTGCCGAGGAGAAGGAGGAGGAGAAGGAAGAGTCGGACGACGACATGGTACGTTTGATTGTTCTTTTCCGAGTCTCGAGCTCTGCTGAACGTGGCGTACAGGGCTTCGGTCTTTTCGATTAAGCGCGACATCTCCGAATGTGCCGTTGATAATGTATCGCTTCATGACCCTGCCAAAAGTTACACTACGATGCTGTCAATTTGTATCACTACTGTGTCGCTAAAACTCATGATTCTCGGTGCACCGTCGCAAGCAGATCTCCATCCTGAGACTACTTGTATCTCTGTGTGAATTCCTCTTGCGTGCTGCGGTGGACTCCTAATTGTAAAGCGCAAAGCGGCGCTCGTCGCATATGAAGAAAGCGTCGTCAATACGCCTTTGGTAATAGTTCACACCACCGTTACGTCTGCGGCAAGGGTGCACTTCAGGCACGGCACGCAGTGTGCTACTACCGCTATGTCTTTCCCTGATACTATCATGTCTTCTCGAGGGAGTGAGGTGAGCGAACTGGCCGTGACATTCCATCCCGCGCTGTACCTGCAGAGGCGAGGTTGGGTGCTTGACATTATGCGGCGCGAGGGCGTTACTGAGGTGCGCACTGGCAGTCATCCACAATGTGTGCTGAATCTAATCGCCCAGCGCGTACCAAGCAGATCCTCGACATCGGTTGCGGCGAGGGTGAGCTGCTGTCGTGTCTATGCAACCCCGCACCATGGCTAGCGCCGCCGCCACCGGACGTCCTGCCACCCGCGACCGACGCAAGCCCAGCCGAAACGGATGTTCTGAAGGAACTCCACGAATGGGTGCTGCACCCAACTAGAATCGCTGGATTAGACATCTGCAAGTCCGAGCTCGAGTGCGCAGCACGCGTTACGAAGCCACCAGAACCCGACAGGGACGACGTCCCGTGGCACAGTACGCCCGTGCGCTGGGAGCCTCTCGAGGTGAAGATCTGGGAGGGCAGCTTGGAGCACGTCAACGCAGAGTATGCGGGGGTAGAGTGCATCGTGGCCACCGAAGTGTACGTCCGCCTCCGCCCTTGATCGCGATCGCGAGTGCGGTGAGAGAGGGAGGAGCCTGACATTGACATCTCCCATCGCGAACCAACCCCGAACAGCATCGAACACCTCCCCGAACACGTCCTCGACCGCTTCGCGCCCGTCGTCTTCGGGGCGTACCACCCGCGCCTCGTCCTCCTCACCACGCCCTCCTTCACCTTCAACGCGCGCTTCACCGCGCCCGACGCTCCCTACGAAGCCCGCTCGGGCTGGCGCGACCCGACCGGGCGGACGGATCGCATCTTCCGGCACCACGACCACAAGTTCGAGTGGACGGTCGAGGAGTTCGAGCGGTGGTGCCAATCCGTGGCGGGGGAGTGGGGGTATACGGTGGAGATCGAGGGCGTAGGCAAAGCGCAGGAGAAGGACGAGTGGGGGCGGGACGACGCGCTCGGGTGGGCGACTCAGTGCGCCGCGTTCACGCGGATCGAGGGCGGAGACTGGGTCACGAAGAGGGCCGCCGCCCTCTGGGAGGCGTCGGACAGGCTGCACGCGAGGACAGGCTCACCAGGGCCCCACTCCCTCTTTGCGAGTCATCGCTTCGCCGCGAACGACGCCTCCCGCAGCCCCAAGCCCCTGGACGTCGTCGGGGAGCTCGTATTGTCGAAGATGCTCTACCACCGCGAGACGTCGATCGCCTTGAACGAGATCTGGTTCGAGCGGGAGGTCGAGCTCGCGTGTGGCGGCTGGATCGACTGGCTTGTCCGTGCCATCCAAGAGCACCCTGGTCTCGCCTTGCGGAGGACTGTGCTAGCGTCACGCATCGACCCGCATTGGACCATTGAGCTCGACCCCGCCCTTCACTATCTCGTGCCGCCACCAGCGATACGGGAAGACATCTGGCCCTCGCCGCCAGATACCGAGGAGCTGACAGACCTGGAGGAGGCAGTTGATATGATAGGTTCGCGCCAAGATGGAAGCATTCTCGTCAAGGATGCCGACCTAGAGACGTACGAAGAAGGCTGGGGAGCTGAGAGCGAGGACGCCAAGACCGGCTGGGGCAATGTGCAGATTGATTGGGGCTGGGGATAGGCCGGGGGAGACGGTGACAGGATGCCAGACTTCGGAGCTCCGGAGGCCAGCGGCGGAGAAACATGGACGTGGGGTTGAGATACAAACACTGACCTTACATTCAATGAGAGCCGTTTCTTGTTATTGATTCCACCTGTGGACACTTGGAACATTTCTGGGAATGCACGAGGAATGGGATATGAGCATGAAAGCGAACATGGGCTCGGTGTATGCAGTAGATTACAATAAGAGTCCTTCGAGGGCGCATCAACTTCAGTCACACATATTGCGATGGTGGTGCACTAGAGACGCACCAAGAACAGAAATCCTCTCCGAGAACCCCAGCATCCTCCACTACGTTCACTCCACAAGGGACTTCCTTGGGCCTACGGACACCTGTGAGTCTCCAAGGCGCGCTCTCTGGACGTGTCCGGGTAGTGCAACACTCACGCTCCAAGGGGTGCACTTGCGCCAAATACGTGACTGTCCACATGAGGTAGCAGCATGTAAGTGTCAGAAGGATACTAGTCCGGATGAGCCTGCGCAACAAGCCGTTTCGGTTCAGGAAGGCTGCATGAGCGCTGGATGGACACGTACGTCTGGTTGGGACCCTTGGGAGTGCTGAACCATGCCGCCGCCATGAGACCGAGAACGATAGCGAGGACAAAGAGCGTGGGCAGCGAGGACGACATGGCGGATGGTGCGAGCTCAAGTGATGGTACGCACTGCGCTATGTACCAGCTACCCAAACCGACCGGCGCCTCTGGCAACTGGCGCTCGAAGCCCTACGCGCTAACAGACGTCACCTAGAACCTCCTCACATGGTTGACAACCCAACCTCCGTGGACGTCAATCCAGTATCACACCTGTCAGCCAGCTCTGCCAGTGGTATAAGAACCTGCGCAGCGTCGCGGCCCCTTCTCACCCCCAACCACCATCTTCTCCGCATCCCAGTGGATTATCCCCCTCATGTCGACTTCATATGCGGGTAGGGATGTCGTCCCTTGATCTTCATCCACGCAAGCACTGGGTCTCGTACTCGCCTACTACTCGTCGCTAATCGGCAAGGAGCATTTCCCAGTCACTGGGACAGCATGTTGCTCCTGCCCCGCACCCGAGTCGAGAACGTCACAGCTTCTGGGCAGTCCATGTGCCGAGGATCTCATAAGTGACGGTTGAGGATGTTCACCCAGTAAGCATCGGTCCATCCCCTCGTCCCTCTTCCTCCACCTGATTCCCTTCAGAGGTAGTTCTCCCAGTCGCCCGCCACTCGCGGCAAATGATGCAGTCGCCGACCAAATCGTCCTTCGTGGTCCCTGGCGTATCTCCTCTAGCACTTCCGGGCCACGGAGTGTTGGGGTTGTATGTCAGGTGGGGCTGACAGACTTGGGCGGTGGCTCCCCCTTGTCATGTCGGCCCCTTCGGCCTACGAAGACGATGGCGGCTGCTCCTTTCCCTTCTATCCCTCGGAACACTCGGTAAGCCTACGATCTGCATACCTGTTAGAAATCCTCTGAGTATCTGAGGCTCTATTGTATAGATTCCCTGGGCAAGCCACAGCTAGCACCCCCTCTGCTGGGAGGGCATCATGGTCGTGACAATAGTCACGGACGCTCATCGTTTCCATCCTTCGAGGGCTGAAGCAAGCTACTTGGCTCAATCCTGCGGTCACTGCGCCAAGATGCCTGATGGAAACTTGCGACAGGGAAAATGGGGAGATACGCAGACCGAGCTGTCCAGAACCATTGGATATGTCTTCGCACCGTTGTACTCGAATATACAGAGGAACACTCTTGTCGAATTGTCGGGATCCAAGTAGTGTGTGATTTATGCAGGTGACAGTGCCTGATCAATATCACTGGTCAGTACGCGCTCACTTTTGTCAGCCTGCGAGGGAGAGGCTTACCAGTCTAGACGAGCCTCGACCGTATTCATATGTTGAACCAGTCTACCTCGCCTGCCTGCCGTCGAAAGGTGCGATGGCAAGAAACCCTGTGAAGGCACGGTGCACGCGACGAACGCAGCCCCTGCGTGAAGATATGTCCGGCATCGCAGTCTGCCGGTGATCGAAACGGTGGCTGACATTCGTCTTGAACCGAGCAGCGTTTCGCCAGCCACCATGCGCAGGGGCATAAAGGCGTAGTGCACAACCGCCAGTACTCCTCAGTACGAACCGCCACCATCCAGCCTCTTCACCAAGCATACCATCCTGGCGTTGATCACCAGCAGTCACATGCGAACACATCATATCTCTTCTTCTCCATAGCAATCTCTCAGCAGCTTCCACCATAGTCTCCATTGCCTCTGTTCCTGTTCCATCCGACTCGTCCTCCCGACTCATTATCGAATCGGGGACCATTCGTGCCCGGCGATCCCCGTCCGCCTTCGAGCTCGCCTTCACCTCCTTAATCACAACAATCTGCTTCAGAATATCCACCGCCAACTCCCGGTCGGTCCCCCCTTCGACCCGAACCGATAACCTCGCCTACACGCCCTCGAGATGTTGACCTTCCTGGGGGAGGAGCATTCAGGTGAGGCCTGGATCGCTTCGCCTTCAGTTGTATTATGCTGGTGAGCTGACCGCGGCTCCGACCTACTGTAGAGGGCCAGTTCGGCAAAAAAGGCACGTACGACGCATATATGCACGTCCTCAGCAACTTGTTAGGACGGCATGAAGAAGCGTCCATGGCGTCCTCGAGCAACAGTGTTCACCCCCCGGGCACCAAGGCATAGAGCCCAAACGTCGCGAGACGTCGCGGCAGCGCCTAGAGGGGTGCATACAGTGAGCACCCTGCTTGCCATCCCGTTTCAGCGACTTGGATATCTGACGCTGGCTCCAAGCTCGTGGTCGCTTTGCGAAGCACGCTAGCCGTGGCGCCGCTCACCGGCCCCATCGATTTGGGGCTGGTACCGAGGTTACGTCTAGGTCGTGCGCGCATCTGCAACCAACCCTCGGGCCTGAGTCGACCGGGTTCGGGGGCTCGCTGGGGATTGCGGCAGGGCCTGGACGGGTCGACGCGGTGATGTACGCCAGATTGTTTGTGGAGGTGTTTGCGAGGCCGATGTCAGTCGGGATAGCAGATCAGAGAAAAGTCCGGGTCAGCTATGTTCCTGCCTTACTGTACAAGCAAAGTGAATGACAAGGAACCTCGTTGACTCTTACCGTTTCGACTGCGGTGCCTGAGCTTTTGAGGACAACGCAAACGACCGTTCACGCATTCAAGGTTCAGGTACAACCGCTGGCTCCGAAACTAAATTACATGAGGAAGTCGATGTCTTCGTAGCCTTGAGTACGGCGTTCGCGGGGTCGGACACCTACACGATCGCGCGTAGCTGCGGCGTGCTGAGCGTGAGCATCCCGTAGCTGGTGTGGAGGACAGCGCGATCGTTCGTTGTTCGCTTCACATGGAGGGATGGAGGGACGGCGGCGAGATGTAGGCGATTCCACAGCGATTCGAGGCGGTGGTTTGGGATCGCTGTCGCACTTTCCCACAGTGAACAGCGCTTCCTCCCTTGGACGGTGGCTGGGTAGCAATATAGATGATGTTCCACCTAGTATGATGGAAGCTACGCGGACCGCGGTCATCTCCGATGTGGCGACGGCGATGACATCTGGTCGTATGAACATTTGTTGCTTCGTATGTTCACCCACAACCCCTCGTCGTTAGGATACTCGTAGCTCCGTCATCAATTGGTTACAGTAAGTGCAGTAGATCATCATGAGTCATAGCCCTTCTCGATGTCGTCGCTGTCTGTGCGAGGGACCTCTTCTAGTCCCATTGCACACGCAGACAACGCACCCCGAGACAGCGTCATACCGCTCGAGCTGCTCCTCGCACTGAGGTGCGTCCCTGTCCCGCAGCCGCTATCCACCGTGACAGTCCCGCTCGTGGAGGTGCCAGCGTCCGTCCCCGAAGACGTTACACCAGCCCCGCTATCAAACCCCGCTGTGGATGTGTGCCGGAACTTCGGCTCGGAGTATGGCGGAGCAGTGTCGCTGACCCCAGATTGTTTTTGGACGAGGGACAGAATGTTGATGAGAACCCGCGCGCCGAACATGCAAGGGATGCTTGTGCCCGGCGTCAGCGTCGAGACAACTGCGCAAGAGGGGGGAGAGGGGGGATGACGCACGCCTCGAGGAAGCCGCTGAAAAGGATCTTGAACGTCGCAGCACCAAAGCGAAACATGAACAGGTTTAGCAAGAAGACCACTACCCGTGGACATACATCAACCGAGTGCTTAATGTACATACGGGATATTTCCACTCACCTGACACACTAGATGGGTGAGGAGATAGGGGTCAGTCGTACAGGGGCTTCGTAGAGCATTTTGTTCACCAGCCTCACACGAAGTAGTAGACAAGTCCGTCCCGCACTGACATTCCGAGGTATTAGGCAATTGGGACGTTGGAGGCACCCTTAGAATGGACTTACAGAACAACGTGATCAGCGGCGACCTGGTAATCCCGTCTCTGAACCGGATGGTTTGGTACAACGTCAAAACGCAGAGCATCGATGTCTGACGACGGTGTAGCTTGTGAGTACACCTAGCGGCAACAACAAGATAAGATACTGCTAAACGTACTGTAATGTTGCCAATGACGAATGCCCCATAAATGTAGTTGGGGACTGGGTTGGATAGGCAATCGTCAGCATGCATTTGGATAGTCCGAACTTTCTCATATTCGAGCACAAACCACTTGCGAAGCAGCCTGAGACGACCCCGCTGTGGACGGTCCGTAAGCACAATCCACACCTAGATGCGAGATGGTCAAGCTGACCCGGGCACCGTGATCACTGGGTTCAGCACTCAGTTCGGCACACTTGAATTACTTCGGCAGTGGAAGAAACTCACAGTCGACATGAAGCAACGCTTTGACCAACAGGACGGCACTGAAGCAGGCATATAGATCAGATCGCTCTCAATGATGTCATATACATACCTGACACCAATGGATACTGAGAGGTAGGATCATCAGCATTCATAAAATGCGCCGAAGGATGGAACGAACCTGTATACACCGTAGCAAGGAACAAGAGCAGCTTCCGCGACCTCTCGTAAAGTATCCATACGCTAAGCAGCCAAGAATATGAGGAGCGTGTGATGGCGTGAGGGCGCACGACTACACGCACCGCAGCGCGAAGACGAACTCCACTGACCACCACATGATGTTCGGCCCTGCAATTTGGAACGTTGTTGCAACACGACAGCTGGGATCATGAAGAAGCTCAAACCATGTCTAGCTGCATTAGGTGTGAAGGGGACTCACAACTGTACATTGTAAGGGATCGGAGGGCCGCGGGGTGAGCTGGAAAAACTCACCGAAGGTGTAGGATCAGGTAGCAAGTACATCGCACCGACGATAAACGTGTGGGTGCCTATGCCGAAGTAACGGATCTGATTACAGTAACAGAAGCGATCAGAGGATTAGCATATACACCTCTGTGTTTTACAATCATACCCATAGCTAACCATAATGTTAACTCAAAAGAATAGAGTGAATGCAATCATCGACTTACGAATAGCAATTTGCTGAACTTCGCCTTAGACATCCACATGATATTGACCTAGTCCAGAGCTCAGTCGAGCTGCGTGAAGAACGGTCCTCGTAGCAAAGTCGCACCTCGTCTCCAAACGTCAGCTGCCAGTCATATCTGAGGAGTGTAAGTGGGCAACTTATAGCATTGAAGTCCATGGCTTCAACATACACGAGCAAGGCGAGAGAAGCGACTACATGCATGAGTATTATTAAGATAACGTCCACGAGTAGATCTGAAGCGCACGCACCGTTGGCATATACCGAGACACGCAACTCCCAGAACTGTTGGAGCAATCCAGCAAGTATGTCTGCCATAGCACGGACTACCGGTCAAGGTTGCAGGCGTGGCCAGATGAGTCGCACTGGTTCAAGCACGCTCCTTATACACCCGGCGACAACGCATACAACAGCGGAATCTGAGGAGGAGTTCGAGACCCTGATGAGCCCGCCGACTCAGACCGGGGTCGGACAAAGCTATTCTCGATCTCCGGTGAGAAGTGTTCAACTGACGTCAGCTCGTTCCCCGAATCGCAAGTACACTGACATCCGCGGATCGTCGGGTGAGAACGAGACAGTCGATTCAAGCACAGCCGTTACTTGTGGCCAACGTACAGGAGGGGCTGAATGTGAACATGGGCCATCAGAGGGGCGTCAAAAGTAGTGCATCGTGTAGGATTGACGTACCAAACAGATTGTCTGTGACCTCAGTACGGAGGCCATAGATCTGACGCGCTGTGCTCCAGGGTGTCAAACACATCTTCTCGGCCACATGGCCGAGCGAAGTCTGTGGCCTGTTGGACATAGGCAGGTGGCAGGCACCGATGAATACCGCTTTGTCTGGCTATGCGAAGTAAGACAGGTACATGCGTCGCGCTTTCCCTTCTGACACTCCAACAGAAAGCTCTCCCCGGGGCCAACAATGTAGTCGTTCCATCCGACCTTCGAGCGGCGCAAAGCGAGAATAGCCAGGGTCGATTGGCATGTGCATGTGAACACAAAGAACATAGACATACTTTGATGAGGCTGCTCGGGCGGTATAGTTACGAAAACACTGGGAGACTTCTCTGCAAGATGTGCCTGAGGAGATACTTATAGCTGCGCGTTAGACTCAAGTCCGAATGGGATCGTCGGCTCACGGGCAGTCCGTGAGACTCGAGAGTGATATGTTGCTCGCGCGTCTACAGGGCGCCTGCTTACCTGGGTCAGCTCAAGCGCCTGCAGCACAGCGAGCAGAGGTGAGCAGGCAGCGGGCGCCCACGAGCTGGCACTGGAGTGCGACGCGATAACATGATAATTCAGATGCTAAAGAGTTCCATGATTCGAGACGCGGAGTCGTCCCACAAGGTCTGAGTCCAGTTGCCATCGGGCTCACAGCGGCACCCCCAGCTGGTTAACCGTATGTATGTCGTGCTGACCAATTTGGGCGCATTGTGCACAGTAAGTCTATATAGGTCAACGGGTCTATAGACCTCTCCCGACGTCACCATCCACTTGCTGGATTGGTTTGTCGGGCATAACAAACCTAGCATGGGATGATCCCGTCGACCTCGCTGCACCACGGCCGCTGCCCCCCACCTTTGCTCGCTGTGCTACAGGCGCTTGAGCTGTCCTTGAATCCAGGTAGGCAGGCGCCTTTAGGCGCGCGAGCAACTGAGCGAGCGACAAGAATTGAACGCCCATCAGTGACTGTATGACTATGTCTGACTTGGGGGTGCATAGACTAACATCATGACAGGAGAGGAAGTTCATGATTCAACTATATTTCAATTCACTAGAGGCTACGACATTGTATCTACCAACAATTGAACGATGACAACGTCTGAGCTCTCACCACATTTCTTGGTGCACGTTAGCTTCCCGCCAAAGCGGTACTAGTCCCGAGGGCCACGAAGAGGCCTGCACCAGGCGCGACCATGCTTGTGCGCAATGGACGACCGTACCTCGGGGCGGCGTCTTGAATCGAAGGCAAGTTGCACCCTCGAAGCCACTTGTAGTCTTGTCCAATGTCTTGTCCAATGCTGTCCATCCTAGGACGGATCCGAGGATACGACGAGGTCTTGAAGTGAGCCCGTATGCAAGCCACGCCGTGCGTAGGACCCCCGTCCACAGACGGGGCAGTCAACCGGGCATAGGGTGGGGCAACGCGAGCTCAAACCTCGACGCCCGCATCTGTCAGATCGAGTCAGCAACATTACGAGAAGAGACGAAGATGGGGAGGCTCACTTCGAACTGCGGGGACAGCGTGCGCCAGGGAAAGGCCGTTTGTCGTCTATAGAACACGTCAGCCTGATAAGATTGGAAGAGGGACTCACCTGCGCGAGATGTCCCACAACTCGCAACGCCCCAGCCCCGAGTGCAGATCACAGCAGCTGACGTCCGGCGGAGGTGCCCCGCGATGCATATGCGGGTGCGGGTGCGGACGCGCCAAGAAGGTGGTTGCTTCTAGTCCACTTACCGCTGCACACTTCCTACCTTGACGTCGCCTGGTGTCCTGTCGCGCATGGGGGAGAGGTCGGGGCCTGCAATAGAAAAGTGAGCATACTAGTGGACGAAGAAGGAAGAGGACGACATACCATCTCGAGGCAGCAGTCCGCTGACGACGCGACGCCGTTGCACGACTGTCGGCGGTGGCGCGTACGTCGTCTATCCGTGACGCTTTACGAGTCACGTTCCAGGTTATGGCGTCCGTCCTTTCCTTACCACCGCCGTGAAGGCGGTGAGGTACTCGTCCCGGGTGCACTCCGGCTTACGCGCATTGTCAGGAAAGACGTTGCAGCAGCGGAGCACCGACGCCTGGGCGCAATCACCCGCTCGACCCGCATTGGCTTCCGCACCACAGAGAGGAGGTGGGACGTCAGGGTGAACAGGCTAGATGGCCGCTGTTGCCCGGGATGGCACGCGTCGAACCTAACAACCGCCACAGTCAAGATGTGGCGTAGAGCAAGGGGGCGTGAGAGACTCACAATGAAGCCGAGCGCACCCAAGTCTCCGAAGCTGTGAGTGGTAGACGACGATGAGCAAGGATGGAGCGGAACGGTAGGCAAAATGGATACCCATGGTCGTCGGGACCCGTGCTAACCGCCGTCGGTAGGTGGCAAGGCCTGAGAGGGAAGGCATCCGGCGTATAAACGAACCATGATGGCGGCGGGGAATGTTGGTGGTTGGGAGAGGAGATGGTCGTGGTTGTGAGGAAGGAAGGAAAGGACGGAATGTGGCTCTTTATACCACGATGGGCGCTCTGTGACGGACTTCGCTGGATTGTTTGATTTGTACAAGCCTCGAGGCTGGCACGGCCGGCCGCTACTGCTCGCATCCGAAAACATAGGATTCGCCCGAAACGGCGAACCATGGAGCTCCTGGAGGCTGACTCCAGCTGATCGATCGTACGTCTCCTGCCCGAATAGTCAGTAGTTCAATCCCAGCTCGTTCTTCTCGCTTCAGAAGACGACGGCGCTGAGAAACAGCCAACCGAAAGGAACGCCGCCCAGCGATTATCGACTGATGCTGGGCATGCATGCTCAGTGGGCGGTGCCCAGACTGTGTCAGCCCTAGGGAAGGCGAGAGTTCTAAGCCGTACTCACCTCACTTATTCATGTCAGCCTCGTTCGAGCTGACAGACGGATCAGCAAATCTGATCAGCCAACTGCGGTTCTCCTTCCGCGATTTCCTGTATTTACCTCTATTTGTCAATGTAGGCGACCTCATCCCACCGCTGTCCGCCACTTCAGATATTCCTGGGCAGCGTATCGATCGTTAATATATCCGCTCTTAACGGCATTCTGATGCAGGACTAGTTCCAGTTCGTCAGCACCTCCCTTCAGGCGGTGAACAGGAAACGTTCAACATTCAACTTGTTCTTGTCGTCAACGATCTGTTGGCCACCTGCCGCGCATCCCAGAAGGAAAAACGGTGGCGGAAATCTCGTGGCTATTATGAGCTCGTTCAGAGCAGCACACTGTCTGGCTAGAGTGCATCCGCCGTTCAGCGTGGCCCTATACTGGGGGCGGACGGGCACAGTCCTGCATACACAGCATTCATGAGCTTGCGTCTCCCCGCCTGGTTGGGAAACATACGCACCTCTGAGCGGTAGCACTCGAATCTGCTCTATATCCCACGAATCATAGTCGATTGGAAGAGGATGCTGCCAGTGGAAGATTTGAAGCCTGAGTTTACATTGTTCGTCTTGCCGTAGACATTGATAGTAACCTCGAGCTGACGCTGACCACACAATTACAGCTCTCATAGCACACTTCGAAGACGTATCCAATTGACATTGTCTGGTTGGTCAGTCAAGAATCAAGTAGAGTGACGGCAGTTGCTGCCAGCAGCGAGTTGGAGGGAAGGAGCGTCTAGGCGCTAAATGGGACACAGTGCGTCCACTGGCATAGTCGTCGAATAAGAATTTCTTCATTAATAACACCTCTAGGCTTCGAAGTCCCTCTGCGCGTTCCAAGGGGTTTGCTTCGTAACCTTAGCCATTTCTATGGTATGGAAAGCTATGTACGCACTCAAGCGATGTCATATATCGTCTGCAAGCCAGTGGCGAGAAATCACATGGATTGCGAGTATGCGATTCAAGGAGATGGTCGTGAAGTTCGCAAATAATCCTTCCCACTGATTGCCCGCCCTCTGCTCTCTCGCTTCCAATCAAGGTATCATAACATCTTGAACTAGGTTTCAATTATTCGTAAATGCGCAGTAGATCTATTGTACTTAGTGCGTGGTCGTAGAGTGTCTAACAGCTGTCCCAACAGCCGAAACCTGCCTCTCAGTCAAAGTTCCTGCGACGGTACATGATCTGGCACGGTAGCGGCTGCACCATCATCGACTATAACGAAACATTCATCAGCTCAGACACGGCAGATCAAGCCAAAACAGCAAACAGGACATACAGTATAGTCGGGCTTGGGGAACTCGCCCTCAATACGGAACTCCATCCGGCGGATGAGCGCGGTGATGATCGTGCTGATTTGCAGGTAAGCAAACTGCTCGCCGATGCACCGGTGCCTGCCCGCTCCAAACGGCAAGTAGGGCGACACCGTGCCCTTCGACACGAGCCCGAACCCGAAGTCAACCTTCTCGCCCTCGTTGTACTGCTTGTTCGCCTGCGCTGCCACGCCCTTCTCGTCGTACCACCGCAGCGGCTCCCACTTCTCCGGCTCGTCCCATACGGCGGGGTCAACTTGACTGACAAGCGGCGAAGCGAGCACGATGTCGCCCTTGGGCACGACGTACTTGACGTCCTCGGACGGAGCGGCAAGCGTGGCGGGCACGGGAATATCGGTGTGCGCCTGGCGCATGATACTGTGGATTGGCGGGTGGAGGCGAAGCGTCTCGCGTACGACGGCATCGAGGACCTTGAGTTCACGAATGTCTTCATAGCGCATGTCGCGAAGGCCGCCATCGGGGGTTCCGAAGTGCTCGACCTGTTCCTTGTAGAGCGCTTCTCTGTAAGACGGAAGGACATGGTGAACATGTGTTTTTAGAAGTTACTCGAATAGAACGTACTGAATGTCCAGACGGTCAGCGATATGGAGCATCGTCCATGCGATCGAAGATGAACTCGTGTGCTGGCCGGCCATCAGGAGGGCGATCAAGATATGAGCAATCTCATGGTCGAGAAGGGGAGTACCATCACGGTACTTCTGCTGCATGAGGGAGTTGATGACATCGTCCTCGTGTTCCTGCCAAAAGGATAAGCCATGTGACATGGATGCAGGGTAGGTCGTAAGGGTGCTCACACGTTCAGGGTGTTCACGGCGATTGCGTATAAGGCTTTGGTAGAAGCTACTCATCTTCAAGTGCGCAGCGTCCCTCTTCCGGTAGCTGGGAAGCGGGAGGCCAGGGACCATCCAATGGAGAGGCGTGAAACCATGGTCGAGGTCGGAGTAGACCTGTGCGTAGTCCTTCGTCAAGCCCTCCCGAATCTCCCGGCCCTGGAGCGTACGAGAGGCAGAGAGAATGGTGATCTCGGAGAAAGTCTTGAGAACGGGGAATGCGCCCCATTCGTTGATGTCGTTCATCTGGTAGGTGCGGAAGGCCGAATCGGTGTTCAAGTAGTCCCTGAGCTCGTCCTCGATCATGCCGACGTAGGAGCGGAACTTGTCAATGGTCAGAGAGACCTTTACAAACCTCTTCTGCTCCATAAACTTCTCATTGGGGCAATCGTACACGACATCTTTGCCAAAAATGGGCGTAGTCAAATGCTGGAAGGTGATGTATCAACACCAAATGTCAAGCATGTATGTGCAGAACGTACCGAGTAGACATCTTCTGCAGCGAGCTGAGAGTGCTTGCCACCGAGAACGAAGTCATTACCCTGAGTGCCGAGGGTAACGGTAACGCGCTTGCCGAGGAGGATGAAAGTGAAACAGTTGCCGTACTGTCCACGCGTCACCGAATGAACGACCTGCGTGTAGCGGCGAAACAACACACCTTCTCCCTGCAGTTCCTGAAGAAGGTGACGGGGTCGCGACCGTACGCCGGGGCGGAACCAAGGAAGGGTATCCAGTGCCAGACCAATGGAGGTTGGTGTTTCGGGCGGGGTATCTTCGTACGTCGTTTGCTTTACACTCGGTTCCTAAAAGCCAGTGAGTACTCACCAATTGCCAGAGAGCGTTCACAACGATCGAAAGCAGAGGAATATTGATCAGAGCAAGCAGCCAGAGCCGGGGCGTGTCAGGCCACTCCAGCTGGCTGAGGGTACCGGTCCAGGGTTCGGAGAAGGTGGCGTTGACCGACATGATTTACCAGCGAGCTTGGGCGGGTCGCTCAGCAGGTATGTTATGTCAAGACACGCAGAGGGGGGCAGACAGCGGACGGTGGGAGCCAGCGAGCGCGGGGTCATATACATTTTATTCGTCCGCCCCATCGAACCATTCCCACCTTCCCAATCAGGGATTCGCTTCTCCTCATTTGGATCTGGGTCTCTCTAGTCCTCCTCCCCCCTCTTGCGCCTCGTCCAGACCTGCGCTTCAACATGCCATTGCGTGGAACTCTGAACATCGTCCGACATATGCATGCGTTGCCTTACGGCACCCACCTCTACGATTGTTTGCGGGTGGGAAGTAACACATACACCGTGAGGCGGCGCTGACGTGGTCTCATGGGCGTTTCGATATCCAAATTCTCCAAGATCGGGATTTTTGCGGTCCCTGGTACCACAGCATGGCACATCCTCGTATACATACACCTTGGTATGTACTAGTTACTTAAGCCACGTCTCTGCCGGCAAGACGATTTCGCGTCGAGATGAGGATTCTGTATAGCAGTTCTTGCTCCTGGGAACCCGGGCGCAACCCGGCTATGCAAAGCCGCAATCTGAAGCCACGATGTGCCGCTGCCTGACAGTCAATTCCTCCCACAGGTCCCATCGGATTCAACCACTGAGAAAAGCAAACGCGCGCCATTCGCATGATGCAAGACTCCACAGATCGTGTAATTGTTTTGGACAATGATTATTTTCCAGGGTCTATGACAGCGTAACTCGTGCCACCCCCTCGCCGCTTTACATCTGCTTTGTCTCTAGTAGTATATAAATTGAGGGCTCGCAGTCCAGGATCCTCGTCCCCTCGCCCTTCGGGAGCTCGCGCTCCTCGAGCTTTCGTTTTTGCACCCCCCCTTCCGCTGCCCCATTTTTTGGTTTCTGCGACACGGACTCGGTGGTCCCGCGCAGCTTCCGTAACGCGCGCCCAATACCATCGTTTTCCGTCCTGCCCGAGTATAGCGTGCATAGATCCGTATTTTGGGCCTTTCCCGGCCAACGGTCCGCGGATGGTACCCTACTTATACTCACAAGGAGCGACAATTGCAGGCAGTTAGGATTACAGAGATTCACGCGTCCTTAGGACAGTCAAATCCTGGTCCCTGTATTATGCCAATCCCTGTCCCTTCTGTTCAAATCAAAGTAGGTATTTATATAAAGCATCATATGAAGTATTTCCACCTGTAATTGTGGGATGAACAAATGGCGTATGAAGCAGATCGAAGCAAATGTTGTGCAATTTCCGTTATCGTGCCTCCATGGGTCCTTGGGAAAGGCGCTTAATTGCCTTGTACAGATTCTAGCCGGCGTTAGCCGAGGCCCGATATGGGTAATTGACATCTAAACGCCCGTCCTAACGAGCGAGGGACCAATTGTATAGTAAGCACTCAGTACGCGTTATGCGGGACTAGATATATTACTAATATATGCACCTATAGTAAGCACTACAGTACATTATCAGTGGGAGCCCGGCGGGGTAACTATATGGGCGGCTCACCTCAGTACGCGTTATGCGGGACTGAGGTGAGCGAGTACAGATTCGACAACTTATATAGAAGAGAGAGGATAATGTAACAATCGTATCGTAAGGGGTCCGAAGAAGGCCGCGCCACAGGGCGCATCAATCCCGATGGTGTTCCGTAGTCGCGCGGCGTCGCGCAAGGCTTGCGACATCATCGTGCTACAATCGCGCCATTCTCCAACACTCCCCCTCAAGCCGAAGCGAGACCCAGCGCGACTGCGAAGTGCTTAACCTTGACGGAAGGGAGTGCTTTCGTGAGGATGTCAGCCGTTTGCTCGTCCGTCGGGCAATAGATGAGACGAATGCTGCCGGCCTCGATCGAATAGCGGATGAAATGGTAACGGATGTTGATGTGCTTCGTGCGGGCGTGGTACGAGCCATCCTTGGTGAGCGCGATGGCCGATTGGTTGTCGCTACGAAGAGTCGTCGGCTCGGAAAGCAGACGATAGACCTCGCCGATGAGGCGCCGCAGCCAGATCGCCTCTTTTGCGGCATGTGTTGCGGCGACGTATTCGGATTCGGCGGTTGAAAGGGTGACGAGCTCCTGTTTCTTCGAAGCCCAGGAGACAGCGCCGCCATCGACAATGAAAACGTACCCGGTAATGGCCCGCCTGTGCTCCTGCGAGGCTCCATCTGCATCCACAAATCCCTCCAACCCATTCCTGTCCCCGCCGTATATGAGCGACAGGTTTCGCGTGCCCAGGAGGTACCTAAAAATCCTCTTAACGGCCTCCCAGTGCGTCCACCCGGGGTTCTCTAAGTATTGCGCGAGGGTCGAGACCGCGAACGCGATGTCCGGTCGAGTGCCCATGGCGGCGTACATAAGGGCTCTGATCGCCTCTCGATAGGGGACGCGCTTCATGCGCACGACATCGGAGGCACTTTCGGGGCATTGGGTCTTTGAGAGCTGTAGATGGGGGTCCATTGGCGTTGAAATGGGCTTCAGATCATCAAAGTTGAACCGGGTGATGATCGCGTCGATGTACGAGTGTTGAGAGAGTGCGAGGGTACGGGTCTTGAGGTCGCGCGACACCTTGATACCTAGCAGCCAGCTAACTGGGCCCAAATCCGTTAGCTTGTACTTCTGTCCAATACGGTGCTTGTACGCCTCAAGCAGGGGTCGGGAGTCGCCAGTGATAAGACAGTCGTCAACGTGGATGGCAAGGATGGTGAGGTGGGTGCCTTCATGTTTGAAGAAGACCCCGTAGTCCGCCTCGGCGCGCTTGAAACCAAGGTCAGCGAGAGCGATGCAAAGGGTTTCATACCACTTTCGCCCTCCCTGCTTCAATCCATAGAGGGCCTTGTCGAGCTTGAGCACGTATCTACAGCGGTCGGCAACGGCGTGGTCTGGCGGCTGTTCCAGGTAGACGTCCTCGTCGAGCTTGGAGTTGAGGTAAGCAGAGTTAAAATCGAATGAATCTGCAGGCCAGCCGTTACGAGCAGCAATAGCGAGAATGAGGCGGAAAGATGAGAGTTTGGCAACGGGGGCAAATGTCTCGTAGTAGTCGACGCCGTAGATCTGAGTGAAGCCGCGCGCAACCAGGCGCGCCTTGTACTTGTCGACCTCACCGGCCGAGTTCTTCTTGACGCGCAGCTATGGCAGGTATTTTGTACAAAAAATCAAGAATACACAGGTATCCTAGAAAAGTAGAAATTCAGCACAGGTTACACACTATTCATTCAAAAAATGCACGGATTGTACCATTTAATGAAAGACGTAGGTCATTTGGCTGTAAATTACACAGGTTGTCCCTATGACACAGGTTTAGAAAGTAAGATACACACAGGCTGAAACTGCAGCTCAAGCTACCCTGCAACAATTGCACAGGTTTTGTGGTCTACACAGATTCATCTGCAGCTTGTTGACTGTTGCAACACAGGCTGAGAAGTACCTTAGTTCAAACTGATAACCCCCTCTTCATATAAGTCCACATTCCAACTGATAACACTGCTATTGGCAAAGGATTGGAATTATTATTCTGAATAAGTTCCACACCACCAAGTATATGTGTCACAGCCAACGAGCTGTGCCACCAGATAAATAAAGACAAAGCTTACTGGTGATGGGGTTGGTGCTGGGGGGCGAAGCAACTCCAGGTGACACAGCAAGAGATGGTGTAAAGAAGTAGATTCCCTAGACTAGAAGGGGCAGTGAGAGGTAGGGCTGCTAGCTACCTACAGAGGAGATGGGTGATCGACGAGAAGATCAAGTCTGAGGTTCCCTGCCTCAGACTCCCTACTATATATACTAATACAATGGTGCACAGACCAGGTACCTATTGACCATCGTTTGGTCAGAGTTCTCTGCCTCATGGCCTACCCTCTGACCTGCCTCATGGTGACCTTATGACTAATACCTGAGTTGTGCCGAGTCCGGACCCCTCCCAATGAGTAAGCGCTCCTGCTGTCACATCAGTCACCTGCCTGTGAGTGAGGATGGGCGCTCCTGGCCGTCACGAGGTCTGGGGTTCGATCCTGGCCCCTCCACTTTCCGATACGAGTTGTCCGCGGTCAAGGTGAGCGTCTGTCCCAGTACATATGACCCTCAGGTCACGTGGCACGAGAAAACTGTGACACTACCCCCTCTTCAAGATCTGAGCTCCTGCGAAGCGTTCAAACCAGATATTGCGTTGAAACTCCCGGGCGACTGGT